ACACCAATCATACCACAAAAAGCGAAATTTAACCAAGCGTTTGGATATTTCTCAGGATTTAAAAACATATAGCACAAACCCATAAATCCTATAATTCCTACTAGCATAGACACTCTATAGCCTTTCTTCATTACATCTAAGGGATCTTCTAATTTTCCATATGATGCGTCATATTCTGGTAATCCTTTCTTTGTTCTGACAAAATGCATACCTAATTATTTAAACCTATATTAAAACCTTTTTAGCTATGATATTTTTTTAATACCAACAGTAGAAGCAAATAAGTCTAGACAGTGCACTGCTAATGGGAAAAACATGAAGCTAACTTTTACACTTAAACTAAACTTGGCCTCATGAGCAAGTGTTGCACCTATAAATAGCTAAATTATAGAAACAATTAAAATATATAAATATTTTTATACCTAAAATCATTGCACTAATAATTTCAGCTGAAATTGATTCGAATAAATCAGCTGCTTAACCAGCACAATCTCCTACATTATCGCCTACTAAATCAGCAATTACTGCAGGGTTTCTATGATCATCTTCAGGGATATTAGATTCAACTTTACCTAAATTTATTTAAAATGCAATTAATGAAAATAAATATAAATAAAAAATAAGTCTGTACCTATTAAATCAGCACCAACATCAGCTGCCTTGGTATAAATACCACCACCTAGTTATGCAAACATAGCCACAAATGAGGCACCAAATCCAAAGCCTATATAATTAATTTTTAATAGTGGTTAATTTTATTTAGCTATTTGCATAAATTTCTTTGATTTTAAATAAGCATTAGATAGAGTTACCAATAATTAACAGAGGAATTTAGTCAATAATTTCAATAACCATTTCAGGCTTAGGTAGAACAGCTCTATAATAGAAATATTGCATCAAGAAAATAGTTGATATACCCATGATTGCTAAGGCTATGTTAATTGCTGCTGCAAAGTACCCACCTTTAAAAGCAATATTAATAGCTTCGTCATAACATCTACTAGCAGCAGAAGTTGTTCTTTTTAAAAATATATTATAAAATTAAGAAAATCCTATTGCTTCTTATAAAATAAAGATATTTTTAGTAATAAATCCTCTTCTATAGATTTTAAACTAAGCACCTAAAATATTTTTTTTACTAAATTGATTTACCTTACATTTGCTCTGACACTAACCCACATGCCAGAATATCCAGAGAATGCTGAACAAACAGCTCCTAGAATAAAACTTATTCCCGAGAATATGGAAGTTGCAGTACTGGTAATGACTAGTTTTGAACTATCTCCAGATTTATTGCTTGATTAAAGTTGAGGTGGTTCTCTGAAGTAATAAATCAACATAATAATCACACAAAAAAAGAAGCTGAGTTTGAAAATAGTTCCATATTATGCTAGGAAAAATCCTTCAGAACCTTCTTGAATGTAAAGTGCCATTCTCTACATTTCATCGCTTCCTGGCTTACTTTTCATAATTTCAACTAAAATATGGGTTGCATAAATCAAAGCCAGTATTGCTATTGTTATGCTCATAATTGCGAATTTTAGAGCAGAATTTAATCCAAAAAGGTTTAAAATAAACCACATAACAAAAGGTGTTGCTAGAAAACCTATTTTGATTCCTAACATTAATCCTGATGCTTCTAACTTTTGATGGAAAACTGTTAAGGAATCAATAAATTCCTTTGATGCTTGCCTCATATTTATTATTTGCAAATTTTTGATAACACGTTTGCTTGCGTTTTAAATTGCTTTTTGATAAAAAGATTTAGAAGTTATTTGATAAATATCTGTTTTTTATATATTATGAAATAAATTAGTAATATTTTAATATGAGCAGACAGATCAATCATACATACATATAAATAAATATATTGGAACAAATCAATTAAATTATTAATATCGTGGTTGAACAGAAATAAATATTACTCCTTCTTTTAATTTTTTAATTAACTTAGCAATTTCTTCTTACATATTATTAAAAAATAATTAAGAATAGTATCAAAAATTCTTTAATAAAAAAAGAATTTTCATAAAAAGTGTATGATTTTTTAATAGTTGATAGGATTACTTTAGATTTCTTTTATTCGTGATCAATAAAAATTATTTAATCAATTAATAATTGCTATACTAACTATTTATTAATATTATAAAATGCATCAATAGCTTCACAGAAAATTCTTTATTTTTGGCTCTTTTATCAAAATTTCTTTTAAAAACTATTTTTAGTATATTTTTATGTAAATTCTTTTATAAATCAATTAATTGTTAAGTTACTCCTAGCATTGCAAGCCAATAAAAATGTTTAAATTTTGTTTTCCAAAAATTCCATCTTCACATTGTAGTGTTTTTTGAATTATGTTTATCTTTATTTAAAGTTTATAGTAGAAGAAATATTTATCTAAATTAAAAGCATGCAAAGCAAATTCTACATTTTGGTGCAAAGAATTATTATTAAGTATTTATTAAGATAAAAGGATATATCAAACCAAATTACAAAGGTTAGAAATTGCTTTTTACAAAATATATTTATTTAAGATTATAAGCAATTTCTTTTAAAGCTAAAGATAAAACAACAAACAGCAAATAACAAGCGTTTTCAACCAATCTCCTAAATTAAGAAAATGAAATCTAAACAAAAGCAAAAAAAGAGAAGTAACAATTAATTTTGGAATACAATCTAAGAAATCCGTAAAATGACAAATGATCACATGAATCAAAAAGAAAAGAAGCATTTTGCAGCATCAGAAAAGGGTATGAAGGTAATAAATTAATAATATCCTAATTTATATGTTTAAATTTTTTTTATCAATTTAGCAAAAAGGTTAAAAAATGCCATTGAAAATGCTCTAAGGTATTAGATCTAAGATTATAGATACTTATAAAAAGCAAAAAGAAAGAGCTATCACTGAAAATATTTAGTATGATTCCGTATAGAGATTCCATGATACAAAATTCTTAGAAAAGCATATTAACAAAAAGAAATAAAAATCTGAATATCTCAAGAACAATTACAAATATAAAGATATGAAAAGTAAATAGTTTGGTGACTTTAAGGGAGGTGTTCTTAATGTATCATCAAAAGATTTAAAAAATTTAAATGGTCCTACAAAAAAAATTCAAAAAAGAAGAAAATGATGGAAAAAACAATATATTTATCTATCAATATATGATTGACTAATTAATTAATTGATATATATAAAATTACTTTAATATATTTAAATACAAATAATGTATAAAATCCTTTTTAGAATTATTAAATTTATCTTTATACTTTCAATCTGTTTACTTGTTCATCAAAGCATTTTTATAAGTTCTTCTTTCAATTAGAGAACATCCATTTTCCTTATTTTATATTTATTAGAATATCATTCAATATTTTGTTTTATTATAAAATTATGAAATTTACCTTATATACGTAGTAGAAGTCACTACAATGTTATCTCTGCTACATTAAATGAATAAAATCTTTATCATGTGAAATTATGATAAGTTGGAAAGACGATTATCCTTTTCTGGACTCTATAAGTTCACATAGTTGCTCTCCCAATTCTAAAAAATATTTTATAAGTTTAGAATGTTAACGAAAATATTATTTACTTTAGGCATGAAGCTTATCAAGATTTGTTGTAGGCTCATCAAGTGCAAGGATACCACAATTCATAGTAAATGCTTCAGCTAATGCTAACCTAATAATGATTGAAGCAAGAACTTTTTAACCAGCACTACATCTGCCTTTCATATCTATCTCTTTGAGATCTTTATCCTTTTCGCTTTTTAAAATATTTTATAAATTAAAAATTAGGAATAAAGAAAGAAAGTAAATAAGTAAGTTATTTATTTATTTACTCGTAGATAAACATAACAATTCTATAGTTATATATTTTTTTGCCTCTTCCTTCTGCTTCTTCTGCTTTGATCTCAACTTTAACAATATCTTAGCCTTAATAAATTTTCTAAAATAAAATAAATTTAATAAATTATTTGCTTTTAGTATTTTTACTTTCCAAGTATCTGCAATGCATTTATTAATTTATTCCATCTTATCCTTATGATAGTTAATTAGTGTTTTATCAAGCTCCTCTAAGTATTCTTAGATGTCTTTTAGCAATCCATTTTTTACTTCTAACTCAACTAGTGCTCTACAATATCTTTCTTCAGCCTGATCATATCTGGCTATTGCCTCTGCCTAATATATAATTTTAATTTTTTATTAATTTAAAAATTTAAAAGTTTTACATAATTTTTTTCTAAAGCTTATTTTCTATATTTGCAGGTTTCTTCAAAAGCTTTTATTTTTTGTATTTTATCATATCCTGCTCTCGTTTATTGTTAGATTTTCTCTAAAATTGCTTACTATTCTTTGAGAAGTTGTTCATTTTGAGCTAACTCTTTTTCCACCTAAGATATAGAAACACCAAGTTCTAGATATTAGATACCTTTTGTAAGATTGTCAAATTCTTCAGTCTGTTCTTTCAGTTACTCTATAATCTTTACTAGTTCTTCTTCATTTTATTATTTCGATTTTTCCTTGATAGCATACTCCTTTTCTAATTAAGCGATTTAATTTTCTTATAATTTACTTTTTTACTTTCCTTTGGCTTGCTTAAGTTCTTTATATTCTGTATAGGTCTTTTCGTATTTAGGAAGGTATTCGCCAATCAGTATTTTGGATTAGTCGTAAGTTTATTAAACTTTCTAAAGCTCTTGTGTTTATTCACTTACATTTTTTTTAAGCTCTTATAATAATTTGTTTTATGATTCTATATCTTTTTCAATATTTTATAGTTCAGTGAGAGATGTTTAATTTTATTATTCATAATCTTTAATATCTTTTGTGTTTCTTTGAATTTGCTCTTGTTCTTCTTTTAGCTTATTTTAGCAGTTTTTTCTTAACACTTCTGCTTATTGAAAACTAGCATTAGAGTTCGCTTTTTTGTTCTATAAATTAATAATATTTAATTAAAATTAAATAATAATTAAATTACATTTTCTTAAATAAGCAGGCTGTTCAAAGACTCTAACCTTTAGTTATTTTGCTTATAGTTTTTATGGATTTCTTCAACTTTTTCTGGTGGTATAATATTTTAATTATCAATATTTAGTAATTCAGGATTTTCAACTTAAAATTTCTGAATTTTATTCTTCAAGTTATAAATTTATCTTTATGTTTTAATGATTTCACTTTAAATAGTATGTGCTTTTTCTAGTTTAGCTAATTGAGCTTCTTTATTAATAAGTTAATTGACTAAATTTTATAATTGCTCTTGTAGTTCTTTAACCTGAATTTATATCTCTTTAATCTCAGAGTTATTCTTTTTTTATTTAGCCCTCAATTCATTATACTAAACGTACTATTCCTTGAGTTTTTTCAATTATTTTTTCTCAAATATTTTTTATTCTTTAAGGGCAATACGCTCTTGTATATCTTTTTCTGCTTTTCTTGATCTATCTTCTTAGGATTTAGTTATTTTGGATATATTATCTTCATTAACATCACTTTTACAAAATTTGCACTTTTTCTTCTCAGTGCAATAATTTAGAACTTATTTATCAATTAATAAGCAAGTTTGCTTTTCAATAATGCTATTTTTTAATTCTTCTATTTCTTCTTTAATTGATTAGTATTTTGTATCAAAATCTATAGTAAAAAAATTTATTTTTTAGAAAACAATTATATATTTTTTTTTTAAATACCTGCATTATTGTCTTAAGCAATAATATCGAGTAAATTACTTTCTTTAAAAGTTTAAGTTATTTGATTTAGTTTTAATTCAAAAGCTGTTTCTATGTCTTCATTTAGCTCTATTCTACCTTCTAATTTCGAAATTTCTGACTCAAGTTTCGATTTTTGCTACTTTAAGCTACTTATTTCACCCATGCATTACTTTCTTTGCTCACTCAAATGTTCGTCTTGTGAAATTTAATATTATTCGTATTCTTTTTGCTAAACCTCCATAGTTTTATTTATTTCATCAAACTAGCTTGTCATTTATTTTAGCTCTAAATATTTACTTTGCATTTTAGACTATGAGTTAATAATTTCAATTTATTTTGCTAATCCAGAATTTTGCTATCTAATATTATCTATTTAGTCTTAGTATTCTTATATCTTTAAGTTATATTGTTCACTATTTTTTTTAGACACCTCCAATAATTAAATTGACTCTTCTAAATTTTTTTGAGTGTTTGAAGATTTTAGTTTTCCAATTTCTTCTTAAAGCTATTCAATTCTCTTTTGAGAGTGCTTTTTTTTTTCTTTAAGTTCAGCTTACCTTACTTAAAGTTTTTGTAAATTTTGCTATGTTTAGTGAATAGTATCTTGATATTCCTGTACAGAGTTTTTTAAAGAAAATGATAATGTTTTATATTCTGATTCTATTTAATCTTTATATTGGTTAGCCTCTTTCAGCATAATCTCATCAGAATCAATAGATTTATGCATAATTTCATTTAATTTTTATTTAATGTTTTTGAGATCTTAATGAACTTATTTAGTATTCTTATCTGATGATTTCAAATTTTCTATTTCATACTTCAACTTATCTAAATCCCTTTTTTCTGTTTCAATACTTTCTTCAATTTCCTCTTTCTTTATCTTCAAATCTTAGTTTTCTTTCTTAAGATGATCTTATATTTTTTTTAGTGTATCAATATCTTCACCTAAAAAATAGTGTCTACTGCAGCTACTTAATATTTATTTCTACTATTTTTCCATTTCATTTTTGTTCCAATTACAATTGCAAATATCTTTATTTAAGTTTTCTATCCTTATTCTGACTGTTTCTTCATCTTCAATTCCTTTCTAAAATCAAAAATAAAGCTTTTTTACTTATTTTAAAATTTTAAATAAATTACATTAAACAAATTATATTCGTTTCTCATTTTTTCAAGATCTACAGTAGCTTAGAGTAAATCTTCTGCTTCTTTTGCAATCAACTATTTCTGAGAAACAGCCTCATCATATCTTTGCTTGTAGTGCTACAAATTAATTTTCGTTTCTGAAGCTTCTTTTTTAATTTCTTTCTGTTACTTATGCAAAGTTTCTTAAAGTTTTGTGAATCTTTTTATTATTTAATTAAGTATATTCTAAGATTGTGAAATATTAAAGAAAAAAAAATTAATTATTTTTATTTGTATTACTGTTTAGTATCGAAAAGTTCATCGAAAATACTTTTTAATGTTGCACTGTCACCAAATGGCCAAAGACTTTCATCTTAGTGACAAAAGATAACATTTTCAAAAACAGCTTTACTAACACCTAATAACTGTGGGACTTATTTTTCAATTTCTAAACACTTAAAAATAAATAAAATTATTTATAAGATAAGTCAAAATTATATATTTTATTTATACTTTATGATCTACAGAGATATCCTTTCCTGTATTCTTATCTCTAACTTTAATCGTAGCATCTTTCGAATCAAATGTAAATTTTCCACTCTTTTCTTTTTTTACCTTGTATAAAATACTTATTTTAGTTGTTGATTAAGAATTATTATTTAAAATTACCTAGAATAGTCTTCTAACTAATATTTATTTTTGATTAATAGCCTTGAAAATTAACGAAATTGACCCCTAACTCTCATTTGAACCCATCAATCTTGGATCCTTAATAAATGTTTTTCCTTTGTCAGAGTTTGGAGGAAAAGAACCAGTAGTGATTAGTTTTAAGCATTCTATTATAGTCTAAATAAGTTTAAGTTAACTTTGTTAAATTATTAAAAAATAAAAATATTACTGACTTGCCAGCTCCGTTGTTACCTAAAATCAGAGTTAAAGGTTTAAAGAAGGCTATTTCTTCATACTTTTCACTGTTTTAATCCCCATAACTTCTGATTCCGTAAATTCCTAGCTTTTTTAAGTAAGACATATTACTACTTTCTACACCTTTTAATATTGTTTTATTTCTACTTATTCTAATAATTTGTCAATAATCAGAAAATATTTATCAAACTAAAATAGATAGGATAATAAATTCTTTTTTACAATATTTATATTCCGCGGTATTTTAAAGATTTACCTTTGCGAAACAAGATAGTTTGAAATTTAGCAAGATTAAGTAAAAAAATAAGTAGTATGTTCAAAAAATAAAAAATAATCATTGATTGGTTGCCGTATATGTAAAAATCAATCTAGCATCATTAAATATAAGCAGTTAAAGGATATTTAAAGTAATTAAAAAGAAATTAATTTATTTTATTTAAAAAATTTAATAAAATAAATAAATAAATATTATTTTAATATTTAAACAAATTTGATTTAATAAAAAGTGTAAAATTTCAACATTTATTTTTAGAAATTTAAATTCAAAATTATGGCATTTTAATATCATCATGAATATCATGAATGATAATATCCAAATAACATTATCTTTTGAAAACGTATTTGAATTAAAATAACCAATATGAGTATACCTTATGTTAGAGAAAACAAATGGTATAATAAATTGAGTTTTATGAAAATTTTTATAACAGGATAATATAATTAATATAAACCTTGCTGTAACAGATATGTTATTTGCTATAGAACAAACAAAAAAATAATAAAATTACTAAAATAAGTAAAGAAATTGTTTTATTAAATTAATAAAAATACACACACACACGCTGTATAATTAATTAATTAATTTATTTATTTATCATTAATTCTTATCAAAGTCAACATCAACAAAATCAACTTCAAGGAAATTTCCAGATACAACAATTACTGCACCTTTTTGTAGTTTGAATAATTCAGAGTGATTTTTATCATTATTTCCTTTAAATGCAACGGTAGTGTACTAGTCTTTCTAAATAGCTGTAGCCATAATGTTTTAGTTGTAATCCATACAAATCCATTTTTTAAATTCTTCTTTATAAATAAAATAGCACTAGAATTCTTTAATAGAATGGTCTTCAATAGGTATTTCTAATCCTTTAGCTGTTCCTATGGTAAAATAACCTTGTTTTTTTTCTCTTTAAATTTAATTAAACTTCTTAAGGGTCTCTCTTATTTAATCCTCACATTCCAAATCACACCAGTCTAACTCTAATTATAAATAGCACTCACCTTTTCTTCTTGTGCATTTCGTTGTCATATCCTTATTAGGGAAACATCTGTAATCTTCTTCATCATCTTTTTACTTCTTCTTTTGATTTTTAAATTCTTAAGTAACAAATTAAGCTTGCTCATCATCAATTTTTTCATTGTTCATCTTCTTTTAGAAATACTCTTTAATATCCTTCATACCTCCTTTCTTCTTTTCAAAAGTTTTATGCTCATCTTTTTATGTTATTTCATTTTCAACTTTTAATCCTTCATCCTCATCAGCAATATTCTTTTCTTTGTAGTCTTTAGGGTCTTATATTTCTTTCATTTTGTCAGCTTTGCTTTTAATCTAAGCAAGAGCAGGATTATTTTTTTTACCTCTTCTAACAGTTGGTCCATCTCCAATAATACTCTCTTCTTCCATTTTTTCTACTACTTATTCTTCGTCAAGAGGTACTACGCATTCTGTTACTATAAAGCAAACCTACATTTATTTTTATAAATAAGTTTAATTGATTAAATTCAATCGAAATATTTTAATAAGCTCTTTCTTTCAAAATGTTTTTAAATTCTTAAAAAAAATATATGTAAAATTTATTGAATTAAATGAGATGATCTGAATAATATATATACCTTATCAGATAAAGTGATAACTGAGCCTTTGGTGATAAAGCAACCATCAGTCATCACCAAGAATTCAGTAGGATTGGTAGTAGATATGCAATAAGCATAGTAATCATCCTAGTCAGACTTAATTACAAACTATCTTTTACTGATAGTCATTTCCTTTTATCCAAAATAGACGTCACAAGGAATAAGGTTATTATTATTCATAGCTTTTCTTCCAAATCTAAATGTAATAAAAAAGAAAGATTAAATTTGATTATAAAATTTATTGAAAATGATACCTAACTGGCTTACGAATTTTTTCTCTGTCTTTAGATTATCTCTTGTCTTAGGGAACGACTCCATATTCATCAATATAAATTTATCTAGGGAATAAAGGATCAAAGTTTGGTGATTGCTTTTTTAATGTTAGGACTAATTTGTATTTGTTTTTCTATTTTTTAAATGTATATAATTAGTATTTAATTTAGTAAATTAACTTAATTTATTAACCTTTTCATCAGATTTAAAGAATTCCTTTTCTGACAAGAATTACTCTCTTTCATATGGATTACACCAAACAAAAGTAAAGAAGTCATCAACATCACTTAACTAAATTTAACCAGTGTTATCAAAATCAAGATAAAATTCAAGTTTCTTGAGGTGTATTTCTTTGTGCAAAGTTTTATTCAGATATTGATGGCCTTTAATAATTTTTTAAAATTAAAAAGGATATTTATTATAAATAAAGAAGAGAAATAAATTAATAGAAATATTCTAATCTCATGCGTGCGATAGATAATTTGATAGAAAAATAGACACGGCTGGAGATAAGAATTAATTAATGTTCTTATTTTAATAAACTATAATCATATATTCTTACAGAAAGCTTTAAGTCCTTCATACACATCATCAGCTTCAAGTGTTGCTTATTGAGTAACTGTGTGGTCAATAATGAAATATGGACAATCAATTTTATAAGGTTACTTATTCTTACCATATTTCATCATTTCAGTTTGACACTTAAAGAATTAGCTATCTATTTATCTGTATTGTAATATTGTAAAATTGAGAAGTGTCAAATATTTTTAGAACTCATCCAAAGAAGTTTTAGTTTCTATCTTAACAATTCCGTTATTAAATCCCTCAATACCTACTTTAATTAAATTCTATAAACCTTCTTAAATATTTTTTATTATTTCAAACTCGTCTTCATATTTTGAATTAAATTCAAACTACATTATTAGTGAATAAATAAAAATAAATTAATATATTTATTTGAAACTTTACTCAAAAAAGTGTTATTTCTAAAAAAAATAAAATAAATTTTAATTACTTTAAGCTTCTAAACTAAAGTTCTAATATTCAAAAAATCTCCTTTAATTTATTAGAGAAATCTCTAAACAGAAGGCTCTATATTTGATGATATATGAGTAAAGTTTTACTAAAATATAGTTTCAAGCCATCTATGAAGAACCCAAAATATTTCTTGACCTAAATATCTCTAAAAGCTAACTCTTTTTTAGTTTTCAGAAATAAAATTTTAAGTATCTTTAATAATTTCTATGACTTCCTTCAACTATTCCTAACAAGTTTTAGAAAAATTATCTTAGTTCATTTGCTTTTTTTTTACAATAAATAAAGAAATAGTTAACTTATATTTTTATTAATAATTATTGATATTTACTTTTATTCAATCAAACCAAATGTCCACAGCCTAAATTTTGTTTTAAAAGATTTTTTTCGAAATCTTAATACAAACTTGATTAATTTCTAATTAAATAATTTGAATATTAATTCTATTAAAAAAATAAAATTCTTTTAAGCTTTAACCTTTATTGATTAAAAAAAAAATAAATATAAAATTATTATTTATATTTTTCGCAATATCTCTGAAAAACGCAAAAAAAATTTTTTTTCAAATCATTATACAGAATATTTATTTATTTATTCATTCATATATTTTATATTTATTAATTTTCTATTTTAAAGAAGGTAAAAATAATATTTTTTATTAAATACTGTTAAAATTATGGACATCTATTTTTTATGGATTGATATCTGTTTAATTATTTACTGAATTTGTTTTTCATTATAAATCAAATACTATTATATAATTTATATATATTTATTTTATGGAAAAATGCTACAAAAATTTTTGTAAATGAAATTTTTAATTTAAAAATTTTAAACATAACTAATTCATTGATTGATTGATTGATATTAGTATGGTTTATCATTTTTTTTATGGAGTTATGTATTCTTAAGGCTATTCTTAGTATTGATTTGTTACCTGAAACTAATTACTGCTTTGTGAGTTTTTAGTGAATATTAATTGATTATTAGAGTTATTTAATTACTACACAGTATTACTTGATAACTGCTAAGGAGTATTTGTATTTGTAACTATCATATTATTGTTTGTATTTTACATTGAAGAAGAAGTGTTTGTTAAAAAAAAGTTGTTATTTGTATTATTTATGCTTTAATTTTAAAGTGGGGTCGAGTAAAAGTTTGACTTTGCAGGTGTTGTGCCTATAGATGCAGTATAGTTTAAGCTTTCAGAGTGATTCGATTGAATCCCAGTAATATTGCTATAGTTTATAGGATCTTAATAGTAGTTAATAACTGAATTAGGACTCTTAGGAAGGGAAGGAACAGAGTTTTTACCACTTTTCTTCAGTTAACTTTAGCTTTTATTCAAGTCAGGGCTTTTTAAATTCATTAATGGACTTGTGAATGTGTCACCTGAAGGGTATACTTTTTCTGAGCTATTTGAACCTTTGTTGTATTACCTATCAGTAAATCCTCCTGAGCCAGATTGGTGCAAATGGGAATTGCTTTGTTAGAGGAAAAGTATAAATTATTCTTGTTGTAATTATTGCTAAGGAGATAAATTTTTAATGTTAACACTACCACCAGTTGAGGAGTATGCACTTGTTAAATTAGAATTGCTATTAGTATTATAATTATTGCTATTTTACGGGGTCTTGTAAAACAGAGTATTTTGTTACTAACCTGAACTTCCATTAATTTAACCTGTTTGGTTGCTATGAGTTGAATTCTACCCTGTTTTTTAGTTTGAATGTTAAATGTAACTCATAGGCTGTAACGGTGATTACTAGTTAGCTAAAAGTGACTCATTTTACTGCTTTTTTATTTATTTCAGTATTACTTCATTTTAGTTCTCTATATATCTTGGTTACGTGACAACTTATTAAGATTACTATTAAGTCAACTACTTTTACTTTTCTCTTGAATTATGGATATGTTACTATTATTGACTATCGTTCGTAGAGTAATCATTTATATTCACTGGGTTGCTGCAAATAGATTATTTTTAAAGATAAATTTATTAAATATTTTAATTATTTTATTATTAAGTGAATTCATCATCGCTAAATTCTGCTCCTTCAGGGAATAACTGCTTCTTACATAAATCTATTCCTTTTTTCTTTTCACTTGAGTTCAAAATCTATTATTTATTATTTTGTTATTGGTGCTGTTGAGTTATATGTGATGAATTTCTTGCACTACTCTCTTGGCTAATGTTGTTTTGATTTACATTAAAAGTACATTGATTTTATTATGCTAAAAGCTATTACTGTTACTTAATAAGAGTCTACATTTGCTGCTTATTTTATTGCATAACTAAATTTTGAAAGTTTTAGGTCTACTTCTTAGAATTTTCAGCAGTTAAATCAGAATTATTTTTAACAGAAGGTGCAGATGAAGAAATTGATCCTAGGTTTCCAGTTGTAGTAAAATTCTAATCTATTTGTTAAGATTGTTGCTAATTAAGCTATTTTTAATTTTCTTAAGCTGCCTACTTTTCAAGGATTTCAGATTCATATTGACGAAGATGCTTGTTTAGAGTTTCTTGCATTTTAAAATAGTTTAACTGATTCTAAAACATTTTATACTCTTACTTTTATTTCTCTTAGGTATTATTTCTTTTTGTGTTTTTTCTATCGCTATTTATGTATTCATCTCCTGTGTATGACTCAGTCATGAGCATGTTGCTCAAAAATTATCCACTTTGTTATTAAATTTGAGAGTTATTTTGATGTATAGTTAAAATATCCTCTGAAGGTGAAAGAAGTTCTTTGCTAAAATTCTTTGAATGAATTTATTGTTTTTATTTTTCAAATGAAGCTGTTTCTCGAGATTCGCTAATTGTAGTTTTGCTAGCAGTTCTCTGGTTGTTATTGTTACAATGAGATTGATTTATATTCTGTTTTTAGTGAGTGGTAGCATCTGATTATGGTCCTCTTTCATGAGTGACTGGTGTCTAAAAATCTTAATCATTATTTTATTCTTTCTCATACATATAATTAACCGTTTCAGTTTCTTCATGCTAATTTTAATTCAGTTATGCACTATTAAATCTTCCAGTATTGTTTATATTTTAATTATCTAATCCAAGCAAAGTCTTTTTATCTTTTAGGGCTTTTTCCTTGAGTTTTTCAAAATTCAAAGAGGCGAGAAAAGGATCGTTGCTATCAAATTCTTTTTTTAATTCTGTAATTTCTGAATTTAAGGCCTCCTTAAATTTTTTGAATTCATTTAATTTCTTTTATATTATGTCTTTGCTTTCACTACGCTAGATAGGTTGCTAATGATGAGTATGTATATTCGATACGACAGAGGATCCAGAAGTATTTATACAAAGTTACAAATTCTATGCTTTAGAATCAAGAATTTAATTCATCATCATGTTACTGCTATCTTAGTTGATAGTTGGTTTATAAGTAGATTTACCATTTGAGCTGGTATTTATTATTTTACTTGTACTTTTAGATGTTGCTTTCTACAATTTTGATGGTTTTTAATTTATTTAATTTGATTGTAAAAATTTCAATGCACTCATATTGCTACTGCTCACACTACTGCTTGTATCAATTAATGAAGGCTTTTTACCTTTATCTAATTTGCTTAAGTAATATTGTGCTTTTTCTTTTTTCTACTGTTAGATTTGTTTGAGTTCATTAGTAAACGTATTTACCTCTTAGCTAAGGCGATTTTTTTATTGTTTTTTAACTTATGCTTATTATAAATGTGTAGTTGTCTCTCCTTCACTTTTCAGATAAGTAGGGTGATAAGAAAGATTTTTGCTATTAGAAATGTTTGGTTATTTGTTTTATTTATTTAGTTAAATTTCTTCTTATGAGCTATCTGATGAATCAAGAGAGCTTAAATCTATATGGAGAATACCTTATTTATTAAAATCATTTATTGTGCTACTCACAGATTTAGATTTTCTTCTTGCAAAAACTTTCAAGCCATTGAGTGACTTTTACTCTTTTAATTTAAAAACAATTTAGACAAACAAACAAATTATTTTAAAATAAGATAAAAAAGCTATTAATTATTTTACTTGTTTATTATACATTTGAAATGTTTACTAAGTTCAAAAGTTTTTCTTTAGATTTGGATAACTTAGACATTGAATTGTTTGGGTTTTTTTTAGCTGTTGTTAACTATGCAGCAGTGGTAGTAGAAGGACGAAGATTAGATTGACTTACTCTGCTTTCAATAGCTATTTTGATAAGTAATAAATTAGTAAAGTAAAGGAAAATTTAATAGAGTGATATAAGTAAAAATAAAGCGAATTAAATTTGTAAATTTACCTCTTGTCGTGTTTAAAGTTAGCTATTTTACAAGCTGAATATCAAGTTAATAATTGTTTATATCTTATCTTAAGTTTCCAATACTCATATTAGATTGTTTTACCAACATTTTCAGCTCTCTTCTTTTTTATTTTTCTTTTTCTAGCTTTTATTATATCTTTAACATGCATCTTTTTAGCATCTCAGTTTCGTTCTGCTCCTATTTGGTAATTTTTTAAAAAAATAACATGATTAATTTTAATCATAGATTTTCTATCCTAGAAAATAAAAAGTTTGATAGTAATAAATTATTTGAAATATAATTTGGCTGTAAATTTTTTATTCTTACTTCTTTTTATGGTATATTAGCATCTGCTGTTTGCTTATGTGGTAGGAGTTTGCTCATGAGGCTAGATTAGTCTCCTGCTTCGGAGATTAGGAATGGATTAACATTGTTGTTTACAATTAGATGTGCGTTATCGAGGTCTTCTAAAAAACTATTTTTTTTTACCTAACTACTTCCTGCTATAAAATAAATTTATAAAAAAAATGGTAAGCCTAAATATAGAACATAACTTGGTCGATAAATGATTTTATTTGATGTAAAATTTACTTAAAAAAATATGACTTTTTATTTAGTCTATAGTAAACTCTACAAGAGACGGGTAAATTATATTTGAAATTTGAAATAAGAACTAGAAAAGAATGAATTCTATGTAAAATAATGTAAATACCTTTATTAGATACAGATCTTGCGGTAGAGTACTAAGTAAATTCATTTGGGAGGATACTAATTTTTTTATATTTTCTTCTTTCTGTATCTGTTAAGATATACCCTCCTGTAGATCTCTCTGTAGCAGGGCCTTGAATTTATGAAAGCTAGTTAATTTTTTAAGAGTTTAAATTCTATGCAAAAGATAGTTGCTACTATCCTTATGACAGCTATTGTTAAAAATTTTATAAAATCTAAGAGTTCTAATTTTTGTGAATAATATTTTAATGGTATTATTCTGGAGAAGTGCTCATAATTTTCTTTTTAAGAGTTACTACTTTATTTTATATATCATCTATTTATTCTCTAATCTCAGAAGAGTTATTTTCAGCAAACTTTAATGCATTTTGAGAGTGTTAGTCATTTGTTTTTGAAGTAGGAGGACCTTCGTTAAACTACCCACTTCCTAAAATAGAGGGATCTTTCTTCTTCTGTGGAGTCTGCCTTGAAGAAAGAACAAAAGAAGAAACATCCTGCTTATTGTTATTAGTTAATGCTAACTTTTCATCATGCAGTGGCGACATAAATGCTCTCCATGTGTTTGACATTTACTAAAAACCAAATGAATTTTTTTATATGCTATACCACTTTAATTATCTTTGATAATTTATATAGTTTCTTATAAATCTTAGCCAAGCAAGATTCTTTTGATATTTTACCTAATTTATTTATATCAATAATTTATTTTACAATCAATTTTTTTCAAATTTCCATTCTTTTATTCATTTATTTTAATTGATAAGCTTGTCTTTTCGTCATCTCTTTTCTAGTTTGAAATCATTCATTTATTTTTTTATGAGCTTTTAAAGCAATGCTTTATTATTATTTTTTTTGAAATTCCGCTATTTTTTGATTTTATATCGATCACTCATCTTATTTATATAAAATTTTATTACAAATATTTAGATTATTTCATTTCTAAGGTAAACACATCAAAAGCAAATTAAACTCAAAAGTTCTGTTCTTTAATCAAAAAATTGAGCATTTTTATATTGATGAAATTTAATGGTAAATATTTATTTTAATTAGTTTCTAAAAATAATTAAAGCACATAGAGTTTGAATAGTTTCAGTATTTAATTATATTAATAATTTTTATCAATCAAATTGTTCTAAACAAATCCTAGAATAAACCCAAATGGGTTTTTATTGTATTTTTAACATAATAAATCTTTAATTACTTAAAAAAATATAATATTAACTAATTTTTATCTAATCTATTCTAAAATAAATTGCAAATTAAAAATGCTCTCAATAAAATTTTATTAAATTATATTGAAAATAAATTTTTTTGAATAGAATTAAAATTTTTTTTAATTTAATTGATATAGAAGATGACTTTTGTATTAATTAATAAATTAAAGTAAATTTCATTTATTTATAATTATTTTATTAAATTTATGTATATTTTTAAAAAACAAACATGGAAATATTTTTTTTAATTTAAATTAAATATTATTTTTTTCTACTTTAAAATATTAAAAAGTAGTTAATATAAAAAAGATTAACAATTTTAGTAAATGTTAGTTTTTTTAGAAGCATGTACTCATACTGTATGTATATATTTGTGCTTGTATTAATATTATAGATTATTTGCAAGAATTTTGATTGAATTATTAATTTTAGAAACTTTTCTATTTAGTATTATTTTAATAAATCAACTAATATAAAAAAATAACAATTAATTTTTTGGTATTAAAATATAATTACATTTATGGGGTCAGTTTCATCAAATTCTTCTGGAACTGAAGATTTAGGAGGATTATAAAACATTCCTCAAAATATAAGATAATTTGAATTGAAAGTAGATTTAAATAAAGATGTACATCCTACATTAAGATAGTTGCTTTTTTGTAAATTACAATAATATTTTACTATTAAAAAATTATTTGCTTTTATAGCTTGAACTATCAAAGCTGATAGTAATTAATTTATAAATGATATATTTAGGGTCTTTAAATGACATAAGATAAGTTTACGAAAAGTTTTAGAGGAGGAGTAATATTCCGTTCTTAGATATAACTTTATTTTGTAAGATAGTTCCTTTTACTCGCACAAATGCTATGTATATATTTAGACACTTTTGCAAATAATCAAGTAGAATTCATTAAATTTAAATATGAATTTCATATAAAAAATAAAATATAATTAATCTATTTTTTTATTTCTCTAACAATCTTCTTTCTTTAAAATATTTTAAAATAATATATAGGTCTTCTGTCAGTTTATGAATTTCTCTGCGTTCTTGTTATTACATCATATACTCATTATATAAATAAGATACATTGTAACTAATTAATTAAATTCTAATTTTTATATTAATTGGTTGTTTTTACTGAAGCTTCTTTTCTTAGTTAAAGATATTATAAAATTATTATAACATTAAAAATATTTAAATAGTTTTATATATACTCTTTGATTTGGATTGCAATGGAGGAATATCCTTAAATGAATTATTAATTATATTTAAATCAATTATTATGGGCTATTGCAAGCTAACTGAGACTGAATTACCACCTTATAGTACTTTAGAAAAATTTGCTAAACTTGTACATTTATCATATTTAGATGAAATTTATTTAATTATTTTATTCTAATTTTTAGATGTTCTTAAAATCAGATATTTAAGCTGACAATTCATTAGAGCTAAAAGAGTAACTACTTAAATAAAATATTGTAGATTTTATTTATTTTATTGACTTATAGAATTATAGAATGGGTTGAAGGAAATGGTAAGGCTATGGAACTGTTTGCAAGATTTGGTAATTTTTATTACAATTATTTAGAATAAATTATAATAGAATAACTTTTTTAAATTAGAACCTTAGTACAAAATAAAAGAAAGTTTCGAAATATTCTTGCATTTTAAGAGATATACTGAAGATGATGCATAAGAAATGCTTAAAATGATAAACAAAGCTAATAAATCTGAATATTATCATAATGATATTTAAAAAATTATAGGAGGGTAAGTTTTATTTTCATTATGACTTTTAAAAAATTGTTTTTTTTAAATAAATTAGAAAATATGGAAAAACCTCTTCTTACATGTAAGGCACAAAGAGCTTTAATAAATAAAAAGCATAAAGTCTTCCTAAATTATTAAATCCAGGTGTATTAACAAATTAAGCATAGAATCCTAATAATTCCAATTTGCCTGAATCAATTGAAGAGTAAATAGAAAATGATATAATTGAAAAAGCTTTGGATAGTCATGCAAAGAAGTATGGAGATAAAGAAATGTAAGAATCTAAATCGCATTTTAATCTGCCTTAAATCATGAAAGCTTAATCTCCAAAAAAAGGAATTTCAAAAAATATTATCATCATAGTAATTTCTTTTCAATTTATATAATTTTAAAGACAAATTAATGATGTAATAGTAAGGAAATACTCTAACTAGGAAATAAGTGTTCAGTTTAAAAGAATATTTTGATAAGTTGGCTGGTAATAATCAGCATATTAATATAAAAGGTATAGAACTAAATATTTATTTATTCATAATCTCATATTAATTATGTTTTATATAATTTAGAGTTTACTAAGGCATTTTAAGATAAACCTCATATGAAGAGAGTAACAGCTAGTTTGTTTAATTTTTTAGACTCTGATTAAAAGGGAATGGTAAGTTTTGAGTAACTACTTGTTAAGCTCTATCCGTCATTGACTAAGAATAATTTAAAGCTCATAAATACATGGATTAAGTAGTATATAAAAACATTTAGTGCAGAAAACAAGGATTTATTGATGGAAAAAGATGAAAAAGTAATTAAAAGAAAGAGAGTCTTACCAAGGACAGCTCTAAAGCGTATTAAAGAAGTTTTTAATCACTTAGATGAAGATCAAAAAGGATGTAAAAAATATTAATAAATAATAAATAATTTTAATTAACTATCAATTTTATTTTGTACAAATAGATATAACTTAAGAAGATCTTAAGCAGCAATTCACTTATGGTTATACAACGAAAGAAATAGATGAAATCTTTGAAAAACATGATAAAGATAGGGATGGAAGATTAACAATCGATGATTTTATAAGAATGATTTTACCTTCTGACTATATAATAGAAGAAAAAGATGAACAATGAATTAAAGAAAGAAACACTTTGATATATTCAATCTATAAATAAAAATCGTGCAAATGTTAAAAAATTTAATATAAAATGATAAAAAATATTTATTTTTTAACAAATCACTTTTCTAAATTTTAATTTTATCTAAAAAGAAAAGCTTTTTAAAAAATTTATATGTTATTTATTTGTTTGCTTGCTTGTTTAAAATAATTTTTATATAAAAATTGAATGTGAATTAAATTATGTCAGCTAAATGAATTGTGAATAAATACAAGAAATTAAAAAAGTAAGTTTATCAAAAACTTTTTATTAATTTAAAACAAATTGAAAAATTAAAAAAGCAAATAAAATTTTGATAATTTTATTCAAATCAACCTAATAACTTAATTAGCAAGATATCGTTTTTATTATTATTAGATCTAAAGTAAACACAGCAAATAAATAAAAAAAATCAGAGAACCAACTAGCTTTCAAAGATGAGCAAAAATATTGAAGACTACAAAAAAAAGCTTGAGGAGTAAACATATTTTTTAGATTTTCTAAATGTTATTTAGGTTTAGTTATTTTATGAGAATATGTGAGGGAAATAGGCTTAGATATAATTTGAAATAAATAAATGCAAAAATTAAAATTAGAAATAGTATCTTAAAATTAAATTATTTTTGTATAATAGATTAAAAAAAGGTAGAGCAGCTGCTAGAACAACTGAATAAATAGTAGGAAATGTTTAGACTAGCTAGTAACCTGTTTAAAATATAGATAAAGAAGAATAAAAGGAAAGCTAGTAAACAAGTTAGAGTCATTTAGATAATATTTCTAATTAACATTAAGAAGCAAGTAGCTCATCCTAAAAGAAACTTAGGACTTTCAATTTAGAAATGGATAAATAAGTTATAGAAATTAGCATTCCTCCTAAAGTATTTCCTATTTTGACTTAAAACAAGAATACATTATTCAAATTTAATATTTCTTCCTTAAATCATATGATAGGAAAAAATTCATTATGAAAGAGAAATTTAATGCGATTTAGAAGTAGAACAACAAACTCATAAACTTTTCCATGGAACTGGAAATGAATCAGAAAGCAATTTCCAACATGTTTAAGTGGAAATTGAAAACCCCGATGTATTCTAAAATCCTCATCAAGTTTCTTCTTAAATAGCTGCCTCAGCTCATAAAGCATTACAATAACCTGTCCTACCTTCTAAAGGTATTACAAAAATATAATTAGACTCAATAAATTATCTGAAAATATTTTGATGTGTAAATATAAAAAGTTGAATTAACAGGAGAAGACATAAGTCATATTGTAAAATCTAAAAATTTCCTAGATTTTTTTAATAGAAGTTCTAGATTAATAGAAAAAGTAAATTTTTAATAAAAATATATTTTAAATCAATAAAAAATTTATTTATAAATTAATTAATTAATAATTAATTTAAATTTGGAGCTAAAATTTATATAAATTAACATAGGCAATTACTAACAAAGACGACAGCAATCTCTATGCTTTAATTGATGTTATTGGAGATAAAAGCAATTCAAATTTACAATAGTAAAATTTAATTTAAAAAACAAGCATTTTACTTACAATTAAACATTTTTAAAGAACAGGTATCAAAAGTTATTTATAACACTCAGTCAAACTTACTGATCAGTAATATGGTACCAACAGAGTAGTTACTGGTATTGAGTGGTCTCCTCATGTAATTTCATTACATTTTAATTTTTTTTTCTAACTTAAATAATAAATTTTTTAATGAATTTTTATTATTTTAGAGAAATGATTTAGTTCTAGCTTCTTATTCCCAAAATGAATAAGGAAATATAAATGATCCTGTTGGGTTAGTTGCTTTGTGGTCTTTATCTTTAAAGACAAGACCTGAATTCTACTGCTTCAGTTAGGTATAAAAAATACTACTATCTATTTATTTTTTTAAAATAATTTTAAATAAAATTTAGTCTTAAGTTACTTGTGTCAAATATAATCCATTTTAAGAAAATCTCGTACTTGGTGGACTTTATAATGGCTAAATAGTTTTATGGGATTTAAGAGCTAAGAGTACACCTATACAGAGAACTACATTCACAACTGGTCATTCTTATCCTATATACTCTTTAGATGTAGTCGGTTCTGTAAATGCACATAATATTATTTCTATTTCAAATGATGGTAAACTTTGCGTTTGGAATATGAACATGCTTACTTAGCCTTCTAAAACTATTGACTAATTAACTTATACTCCTCCTGAGAAAACAAAATAGGATATAAATGTTACTTGTATGCAATTTCCTTAAGGAGATGCTAATAATTTTTACATAGGTTCTGAAGATGGTTCATTCTATAGAACCTAGTTACACTCTAAGACGTAAATACTATTTTTCAACAATTTTTTTTAATTTTATATTCAGATAAAATAATAGTCAAAGCATGGTAGCAGCTGTTCATGCTCATGATGCACCTATCTCTTCATTGAGCATTAGTCATGATCCAACTGGCTCTCATTAAGTAAATTTCAAATATCTATAATAAATTTATTAAAATAAAATTTTTTTCTTTTCAAATTAAAGCTTTCTGGTATGGTTTTAACTTCATCTTTTGATTGGACAGTAAAATTATGGAATCCTAAAGTCAGTGGAAAACCTAAAAAAGTACTTACATTTGATTGCTCTGAAGATTATGTCTATGATGTTGCCTGGAATCCTGTATTCATATTATAAATTTATTAATAAAAATATTTATATTATTCATTTAATTAGGTTAATCCTTCACTATTTTGTTGTGTTGATGGCGAAGGATACTTAGATGTCTGGGATTTATGTGAAGATATCGAAAATCCAGTTTACCATGAATAAGAAGGTATAATTAATTATAATATAAATTTACTTTATAAATATTATTTAAAATAGATAAATTTGCTCTAAACAAGTGCAGATGGAGTTTAGATGGTTCAAAGGTAGCAACAGGTGACTCAAGAGGCAATCTTAGCATTTATAATTTGGATAAAAAAGTAATTATTTATTTCATTATTCATTATTCATTTTAAATTATAAAAACACAATAATTAAAAACTTATTTTAAAAAATAGTACCTAAAAATAAATGAAAATAAATTAAGCAATATAATTGATTTATATGAAAATAAATAATGATCAAAGATAATAATACTATTTTTAATTTGTCTTTATATTTTTTTATTTATTTTAAGTAATTTTTAAAATTAATTTTGAATCATATCAAAATGTAAATATTTAAGCTCTTTAAAATCAATAAGTTTGTTTTATATAAAATTGTTAATTTTTATAATTTAATTGAATTATTTTTCTAAAAATGTAAATAATAAATATAAATAATTTTCCAAATCTTAATAAAAATAATAAAAATAGTTTTACAAATCTTGATAAAAATAATATAAATAATTCTACCAATCTTGATAAAATAAAATAAAATTTATTTCTTCTTCTTTTAAAATTTCTTTAACCTAGATAAATTTTCTTAAAAAAAAAAATAGTTAAAAAATTTATTATAAAATTTTAAAAAACTCAGAAAAAAATTTTGAAATTTTACACTCATTTTTATTGCTAATGTAATTCTTATTATTTTTAAGCAATTTAATATAAATTAAATCAAATTTATTTTAATTAAACTGGATTCCAATTTTTATTCACAAGTTCATATGGTGTATCATTATCATTTTAAATTTAATCCTAAGCAGGTATTATGTAAATTTATACAAAAAAGCTTTTTTAATCAATTGCACAACATTTTTTAGTAGTATTTGGAACTATTTCAATATAATAACCTAATTGAATTAACTAACCTTAACAAGTTAATTTAATATTTTTCTATACTAAAAACTCGACTACTTACTAAATACGACTACCTTTCACTAGAACACAAGCATTTTATTCTGTTTTAATTTCTGTTTTTGTTGAAGTACCTTTATTTGCTTTCATTTCAAGTCTTCTCATAAACTTAACTGTGAAATTAGATAATTTATCTCTACATTTACTAATATCTATATCCAACCTTACCTTGATAATTTCATTTGGAGAGAAGCAATTACTATTTAGTTACACGTTATAATTAATTAAGCTAGAGGTACAGCAAAATGTAGATGTTCTAATTTTTGTATAAGTAATTTATTATTACATTTATACTTTTTACCCTATAAATATTTCTTTATTTCCACTAAGAGGTTTTACATTAGTTTTATTTGAGAGAATTTATGCAGTAAGTACATATTTTAATGAACCTTTATCTCCTTCTTCTTCATAGAAAAAAGATGAAGGAAGCTTTTCTGCAATTTTTAGTTAAAAAGGTATTTAATACTAACCAGGTTCAATTTAAAAGTCTTTTCTATTAGAACCATTAGCATAGTCATAGATGAGTAAACTATAATTTAAAAAATTATTAGACTCCTTTGCGTAGGTAGTAATGTAATCGTCTTCACCAACAAATTCAGAAAATTTAATATTAATTTCTTCAATACCTTAAATTCTAATCTAGAGTAAATTTCCATGAAAAGGTTTTTCAAGATTAATGTAAATCAAGCCCTATATTGTTTCATTACTTAAAAAGTTAAGTTTTTAAAGATAAATATTTATAAATGTTTTGAGTTATTCCATATTATTATCAATTAAATCTTTTCTGTTTTAGTTTTTTTAATTTTTTTTTAATTTATAGATATAGAATTATTTAAGATTCCAGTATGCTTATTCCATAAACAAATTACCAAGCAAAGTTACTTTAATAGCTCAAATATAAAGATTTGGTTTAAAATATGCTGCAACATTTGTTAAATGTTAAAAAATTAATTTTAAAATGTAAATTAATTTGAGGCATAAAAAAATGTTAAATAAATAATTTTATTTTTAACCTAAGTTTCGATAACAAAATATGTTTTATTTTATTTTAGGTTTTTATAAAAATTACTGAATATTTTATAAATTTTAATTTAAAAATACCAAAAATAAATACTCAATAAGATTTTTGACTTAGAAATAAATCAAAAAGAGTTAGAATTTATTTTTAAAAATCAATTTAATAAAATTTTTATTGAAATTAATACATATTTTATACATAATGTTTTAGATGTAAGTATAATAACACATTTTAATGTTGCAACTAATCAATGCTATTATTATTACATAAATTTACAACATATTTTGTTTACTTAATTCTAGAACTAATTATCATTTTAATTCAAAATCAGCAGATACATATATATGTATATATATGTTTGTTTGTTTTTTGATAATTTCAATTAATTTAATATCAATTAAAAAATTAATTAATTACTCTTTAAATTCCTTTTACCTAGCTAAAAAGACAAGCAAGCAAATAATAGATAATAAAACTTGTAAAGGAACAAAAATGCACGATGTAATAATAGATATTATGTTTATTATAAAGCTTTAAATGAATCAAATATAAATTGTTAAGCAAATACTAATATTTTTTTGAAATATAAACTAGAATTTTGATTTTAACGTATAAATTAATGATGATGCAATTGTTAATGATAAATAGTAGTTGATAGCTGATAAAAATTATAATATTAATGATTCGACTACTATAAATATTCCAGAAAGCAATCAAAAATCTAAGAGTAATAGTATACTTGATATGGGTGCACCTTAATCTGAAATTAGAGGACAAGACTCACTACCAATAAGCTCATCTGCATATGATCTGTCTAAATCAGGTCATCCTATTGCCTGCATATTTACTTTTTTATTTAAAGCGTTATCATTAATAGTGTAAGAATTTTAGTTGCTGCTAAATACTTTTGAAATTAAATAATTTTAAATTAATAGGTATTTCTTATTTTAGTACAAGTTTGATAATAATATTTTCATATTTGTCCTTGTGATTGTATTTAACGCATTAGATTTTTGGACAACAAAAAACATAACAGGAAGGTATAGATTACATTATAAATTTTTTAAAAACTACTAAATTAGCACCCTATATTGAATGATGGTAAAAGCTAAATACATATATTTAAAATATAATAAATGAATGTAGGTTATTAGTAGGAATGAGATGGTGGAATATATAAAATGAAAAGGGAGAGGAAGTGTACTAGTATGAGACTAAGGGATAAAAATTTGTGCCTAATTAAGTAGACTATGCATTTTTCTGGAGCTCATAGCTTGTTTCATTTATCTTTTGGGTATTAGTAGCTCTGTTTCATATCCTGACTCCCTTCTGGGTAAATGTTTAAAATAAAATTTATTTTAAAATAGAAAAACTTATAAAGCGCAAAAACGTGTTATTAAATAAATAAATATAAGAAAGATTTTATGAATCTTAATTTTTAAAAAAATAAATTACTTTTTGATTAAACTTTTAAAATTAAAAATCAACAAAAAAGAATTCAATATATTTTTTTGACTTTTTCAACTTTTAAAAGAAAGAATGATTTTCAAATATCATAGATTATGTTTATAAAATAACTAATTTTTCATTTTTTAATTACAAACATAAATAAATGATTTTCTGTATTCAAATAATAATAGCTTATATTAGATCTCCTTACAATTGGAATGCTTTTTACAAACATCTATGGCTTTTATAGATGTAAATCAGGTAAATATTTTTTTATTATGAATAATTTCAAAATTTTTTTTTTTCAAAGAGCATTAACAAAAGGTTTAAGATGTCTAAGATAAGCTCAAGGTTAAAGGTTTCAGCTTTTTAGCAAATTATATTATGAAAAAATGAATTTTATAGAATAGTCTAATTTAAGTTTACTACAACTTTTGTGAAAAAAGCAAATAAAAATGTTTAATTTGCATTAAGTTATTGATAATTTAGTATATTCACTTATTTTATTAATTGAAGTTAAATTTTGTATTTTATTTTTATAAATTAAAATCAACCAATTAATTAATTAATTTAATTATTTAATTTAACCATCAAAATTTTTAATGTTGAAAACATTTTCAGTATTAAAATTGAAGGAAAATTTAACATTTTAATATAAAAAAAATTTTAATTATTTTTATTTCTTAAAAAAAAAATTAGAAATTAAAGAAATAAATATTTTATGAAATATTGAACATTTATGTGTATGCAGTGTATGTTTTGTGTTAAATGCACAATAATTACTTGCTAACTTCGATGCAAGATAAATTATATGTTTATTTAATTTAACAACTTTAGATTAAGAATGCTTTAATATATTAGAATAATATTTACTTATTATACATGCTGATTTTATATTAACCTAATGAGGATTTGTGTGAGTGTAGCTTTCTAACAAAGCTATCGCCACGCTATACACGAAAAAATAATTAGTTTAGAAATTGATACTGCATTTAATAAAGGGAGATGGATGTACAAATAAATAAATACAAGCTTTAAGTCCAAAAATTGCCGATTAGAGATAGATAATATACAGTTTAACTAATTTTACTTTGATTTTTAAATGAAAATTATTAAGGGTTCCTAATAGGCCTTTTGCAATACTTTATATTGTTTTTAGGTACCAAAATAGAATACAAGATAAAAAGTCAAAGAAAAGTATTGATTGAAGAAGATTTTCTAAAAATTAATAATTAATAAAATAGAGTAAGAAAAAAATTATAATTTGAAAATGGGTGACTAAGATAAAGAAACACAATCTACTAAGACTTCAACTTTGAATGTATTTACATTAAAATTAATTTTATTTTCTTAGGGTATCCTTTGCTTAAGTAGACATTGTTTAATTCATAAGTCATCTACCAAACGATTAATGAGCTAAATCTTTGGACAAATTTATTAAATGTCTTCATTTAATTTAGATGAAAATATGCTGATCGATACAGTTTAAAGATATGAAAAATGATTTTTCTAAAGGAATAATATTTCAGGAATTGATATTTTATAAACAAGAATTATACAAGGTTAAAATGAGATAGAATTAAATTATGATCAAATGAATAACTAGTAGTAAATCTAGCAAAATAGAGAAAAGAAATGAGTGTAGTAGGTCAATCAATCAATCATGATATAAATATATGAATTAAAATAATAATAAAAGCATATATGCGCAATCTAGTTACAATCGTTATAAAGATTCATGGTAGAATAAGTTAAACAATAAAAACGAAATAATTTAAAGATGCTAGTCATTAAGAACAATTATTTAATGAAAGCAATGCGCTAAGTTAAAGGATACCTTATACAAAGATGATTTCATTATATTAATTGTACTTGATTTAGATTAATTAATAAGCATTTTTTTAATAATATTCATTAGTAAATTGAAGAAAAGCAACAAAAGGTCATCGCTAAAGTAACAAATAATTATTAAAATATTTTTATTAATTTAGAAAGAGTCTCCTTACTCAATTAAAAAACATTTATTAGTTTAGTTTGTTTATTCAAAGGAGAGATATTTAAGTGTAGATTTAATATAGAATTTAGATAAATAGATATATAAAATTTCAGAAAAAAAAAAAATCTTTTTATAATTTTGATAGAAAAGAGTAAAAAATTTAGAAAAAAGCAATAAATTAATATGCACACCCACGCTTTTCAAAATAAAATATTTTAAAATTGAATAATTTTAAGAAGACAATCAATCAAAAATTCAAAAGTAATTTTGTTAAATTTAAGGAGTGATAATTAGCAGTAGATATTTGGATAGATAATTAGATTGTTTTTCTAAGTTTTCACATATTTTTTTTCATTATTTTAATTTTTGAACTTACCTTATTATTTGATAGCAAATATATTTATACTTTTTTCTTTTTGATTTTTTAGTTTTTTCTTTATCTCTTTTTTTTCTTCTTTCTTTTTTGCCTAATTATAAAAAACTAAAATGAATGAATGAATGACAATTTTTATCAGAATTTCATTCTAAGTTCTTAAATTCTATTTTTACTTTGTTAAATCATAAACTGATATATTTTGCACTAGCACACTTATCATAGTACTAACAATATAGCAAAAGTATAACCTTTTGCATTAAATCTACCATGAATATAATAAAAATTTTAGGTTCTTCCTTAAAATCGCAAACAAAATTAATTAAGTCTTACTTATATTTATTTATTTATTTATTTATTTTTTATCACTAAGAAAAATAAATAAAAAATAATTAATTGACTAATCATTTTATAATCATTTAAAAAGATTAAAGAGTTGTTTGAAAAGGAAAACTTCAAAAAAAACACTCACTTAACTAGATTTATTGTTAATACAACCACCAATGCTGTTCATTTAAATGGTGTTTTGAGTGAGAAATCAGTCTAAGAAATCAGTGTTGATCACAAATTACTTGATGAAGTAAATAAATTTGAATAAAAATCAATTCCTTAAATTGAATCTTAAAAATATGTTATTGTAATTAATAGATTTTGAAAAAAGATGAATTAAAGGACGTCATTAAATATAGTCCTCAAGAATTGACTGTTGCTCCTACCTGGAAAAAGCTTAGAAATATTCTCTACATTAAAAATATTGATAAAGACTTAAAGAATGAATTGTAACAATTAATTGAACAAGACATTAAGCCACACACTATTTATTATGTAAAAAATATTTTTGCAATTTATATAAAAACTTTGATTTTTTAGAAAAAAATTATTTTTTTTTTTAATTTGAGTTGTAAATTGATTGGTTATCCTTTTTTAAATAAGATATAAATATACTGAAACAACCAATTAATTAATTCATAAAACTTAAATAAAAATTGAAAAATGTAACATAATTATTTTAAAATGCCATCAGTTTTATTTAATAGATTAATTTCACAATTCAGAAAATAGTTTATTTTTATAAATAATTTATTTTAAATCATATAAAAAATCACAGAAATCAGAACAATAAAACATAGTTGATTCTATTAAGATTACCATCAATGAACCTAATTAAGAAGAGAATATTACTAAAGCTTTGTTCGATAAATTGTTCTTCAAGAAATACACTATTGGTGAAAAAGAAGTTACCATTGACTGCTCTATTGAAGAAGAATAGTTCACTGCTCCCGCTTAATAGCCCCATCCTCAATAACATCCTAACCAGTAATAAACAATTTATTAATTCACTTTATTTAATTTTCTAAAATTTTATTTTAAAAATTTAAAAATAGCACTTTCAGGGTTTCACGTGACAATTACCCTACCACTATTGATCCTCGTCAATAATAACAATTATAACAACAATAAATGATTATAATGAATCAAATGCTTATGTAGATGTAAAAATAGAGTAGAAATATGCAGTTTTAGAAAAATAACAGATAACAATAAAACTAAAATGGAAGATAATACGTAAACAAAAATGTCAATAACTTAAACAACAACACTAAGTCCTCAGGAAACAATTTGTACTAACCTTCTAGTAATAGTAACAGATCCATGAATAAGTAGGACAGAAACCATAAGGGTGGCAAAAATCACAAAGGTGGTAACAGACAAAATTCCAAGCAAGGCCAAAAAGTGTTTAATGCTACTGATAAGGACTTCCCCTCTTTATAATGAGTAACCTGAATTCAAAAAAAAATAACTAATATTAATATAATTCTTTATTATAAACTAGTTAAACTTTGATTTGCTACATATTAGATAGCTTGCTATTTAAACTCAGCTTATTAAGAATGAGTAGATTTATTTTTAGATTTGAAATTCAATGCTTTTATATGATTTTATAAATAATAATATTACCTATATAAATTTAATAATATGACTAAATCATTGTAAAACAATCTTATTATGGTATTTTGAATCTATAATGTTGTTTTCTTAAATATATTTTATGTTTTCTATTTAAATCTCTGATACTCTTTTTTAGCCCATTTATTTTATTTTTAAAAAGAAATTTCTATTTATCAAACAAAATATTTACAAATTAAATTAAACATTCTTAAAAAATTATTTATAAATTAATTTAAATACATTTTTACAAACCAAAAAATATCTATCTCAAAATAAATTAATATAAGTAATTAAAATATAAAAATAAATTTAAAAACACATAAAACTAATTTAATTTAATAAATTATTAATATTTATTTTACAGATAATTTATATAAAAAAAATTAACTTTATGTTAAAAAAAGTTGATCAAATAAGAAAATATCATACAAATTAATTTCAAATTCATCTAAGTAATTTTAATTAGTCAATAAATATAAATAAGTAAAAATAAAAACATATAATGTAAACAAACTAATTCAAACCAAAATTATTATGACCTTTATTCATCAACATCAACATCAAGTTTGATTTTTATCACATTCTCAAATAATAAACTAAAAAAAATTAATTAAGCCAAATGTTTAAAAACAAAAAAATATATCAACTTAAATTTAAATAATGATAAAAATTTTTAAACCAATTTTATAATGCTTAAATTAAAAAAAAGACATTTTATTTAATTTTGAAGATTTAATCTTAATTAATCATGAAATTCATATAAATTTGTACAAACAAATCAGATAATTTAAGTAAGCAATTTCTTGCAAAATTATAATGATTTTTATTCGAATGATTTTTAAGCCCTTATTCTAATTTAATAATAAAATAAATATTTACAAACAGAAAAAAAATCTCAACTTAAATTTTAAATCATGATTAAAATATAAAAAATAGATTTCAAAACATTTAAAAAATGCTTTATTTTTTTTTATAATAAATTATCAAAATTTACTTTGTATATGATTTTATTTTAATAGGTATGCAATTCATACAAAGTAATTCAAACAAAAACAAAAATTTAGAGCTTACAAATTCTAAAGATATTGTTAAGAGCTTGCTTCAATATAATCATTAAATAAATTCAACTACTTAAGAGAATTTTTCGTTTAAATGTTCTTTAAGCTCCATTAAAATAGCTGATTCTTTTTAACTTGATTAATTATTTAATTTTTTAAATATTTAAAATAAAAATTATTTAAAAATTAATTACTTTTCTTTAGTTTCATCCTCATAATCCAGTGATTATTTTTAGCAAAGAGTCTATTCATCTTAAAGCTAAATGATGAAATTTTCAAGGGAATTATTGTTATTTTCTAGTGAATTTTTTTACTGGTTTAGCAATGCACTAATAGAAATAATTTAATCTGTTAATCTTTATTTTTCATCATCATATTTCTATTTATTAATTTAAAGCTATTCAAGCAACTTTTACCATAAATTTTAGGCTGTTTCTTCAGCAACACGTCCTTCATCTTAAGCATCTGTTAATGCTTACCTCAAATTTTAAAGTAAATTAAGTATTTTCTAAATTGAATCGTTATTTAATTAGCTTGAAAGCTATGACAAAGCTATAATTAAAGGTTTGAATAGAGTAGAATGTTTAGATTTATTTGTGGTTAGCTTTTCCAGGACTTTATCATATCTAGATTTAATTTGGGCAAAAGAAACACCATGAACCATATGTTAAATTAATTTAGTAGCTTCATCTAAAGCGTTTAAAGCTTCTGTTATTTCCTTATCAGACTACTCCCATCTTTCATGAGCATCTTCTCTATCTACTGTACCTTTATCAATGCTAATATCAGTCTAGTTTAAGTAAAAATAATAGTTAAATTACCAAAAATATTTATTTTTAATATCAAATATATACATTATCATAGTCTTCACTTGCTTGTTAAAGAGCATAATTATCTCTCTGTAAACTATCTTAGTTTGAATTGATTTGAGATTATAGACTTGAGATAGTGTTTTAGGTATCTTTAATTTAGCGACTAAATTATTCAATATTTTAATCACATCTTACCTAGTTAGTAGAATTCCTATAATCAGCAGCAGCTTAAGATTCTTATAAGGATTGCAAAATTTAATCAACTAGAGTAGTTATAGGGCTTACATCATACATAGCTGCTAAATTTAATTATATTGTACTGAGTATAGTAGCTCCAAATGCAGATCTTCTCATCTAATAAAATAATTTTGTAAAAAACATTTTCAATTACGAATTTAACATAAATTAAAAGTTTTAAATTATTATATTTTAATATTTTTAACTAAATGTTTAAGCTTAAAAATAATCTAAATATGATTAGATTTATTATTGATATCATTTTTTTTATTGAAAAAAGTTGTTTAATTTTGTTTTAGTTATGCAAGATTTTGATATAAGCTTAAATATTTAGTTTTCTAAAATGTTGCTATTATAAAATATTAAAAAAAAGAACTCATTTATTTGTTATTAAATTTTGATTATCATGTTAATAGATAATATTAAAGGCCCTAATTAAATATCAAATAGTTTTTTGTTTTTCAAGAATGTATGTAAAAGGTTTTAAACATTTAATAGATTGCTAAAAAACAAATTATCATATTAGAATGCTCAAAAATAATGGCAATTATTTGTATAAATAATAAAATATCTTGTTCTTTTAAATTTTGACATTCATATGCATTTTCAGATACATTAAAAAGTATTTCTGTCAGTCAAATAATGTATTTAAAATCACTAAAAGTTAATGTTTACTTCAGCCAAAGCAACATTTGTTTCTCTTCTTGTTGCGAAAACAACTGCTAAGGTAATAAGAACTACAAATAATTTTTTATTCATATTTATGTGCAAGATTTTAGAATTAACAATAAAATGTCTTTTTGAATTTTAGATCTCTTGTTAATTATTTTCTTAATATTTTTGATTTCTTTGTTTAACAAAAGTGAAAGATTATTTTGATAAGTGAATGAATGAATACAGTAAACCTTTTAGCAGTGCGTTTTGCTTTTATATTGAAAACGAATATGATCTATCCTTATAAAACTTTATATTAAGAAAAAATATTGCAAAAAATATGAAGAATTTTAATTAAGTTTGATTTAGTTTAAAATAAATAAATTAATTTAAAATCATTTTATTTGTTGCTGTTTACATAAAAAAAAAGATTTTCAATTTAATATCATAAAATATTTCTAATGCCGTTTTTAATTTAATCTATTTTTTCGACTATTAAAATGAAATATTGAATGAACATCTTTAAAGCTTTTGTTCACTAAGTCTTTTGCTATTTTAATTAAATCAGTCAATATTTTCAAGTGAATTACAATGAATCAACATACAATCAAAACTAAAATTTAGAAAATAATAAGTAAATCAAAAAGCGATTAAACAAATTTCCAAAAAAGATCAAAAACATTAGAATTTACTTTTGAAATTTTCTTTTATGAAATAAGTAGCAATTATAGGATTCTTGCTTATCCTTAATATTACATTCTCTTAAGCTGTTTTTTTGAAAAGGCCTGTAACTTAACATTTCACTGTGTTTTCATAACTTGAAAAGGTAATTTAGTTGTTATAATTATTAAGCATAATAGTACATTTAAAGATCAAATAAATATTAAAAATGATTGACTACGCTAACCAATAATTAATTTAATTTAAATATTTTTTATCAGTTTTGGATGGTATTCTCTGCAACTAAAATACTTTAAAAAGAAAAAGAAATAATTTTAAACAAATTGCTGATTTAAAGTATTGATTTATTAAAAATTATAATTTTTACGCTTATAACAAAAAAAATATCTACGTTCGTAAATAATAAAATATTCAATATTATCAAACTGAAGGATGCTTGTTATTTATTATTTAAAAAAATTATAAAATAAATGAAATTGCTTTCATTAATTAAAAACGTGCTAAATTTAATATTTTAATAAGTAGAATTTAAAAAAATGATTTATTTAGATTTTAAAGAGCAATTATCAAGATTCATTAAATGTTTTTATTTTTTATAAGCACAAGCTAACTCTTTTAAAAAAAATACTGGAAAAAAAAAATGATTAATAATTAAAGAGGCATATAAAATTGTATTAATTTGATAATATAATTTATTTATCATAAGAAATCTAATTTATGGATGGAGATAAATATAAACTTTAAATTTTCTTATTTTTTGCTAAAATATTTAAATGATTTTATGTGATTACGATTATTTATTTAATATAGATTTTTAAAAGTGAGTTAGCTCATAAATGTATTAAAATCCCTAAATTAAACTCTTCTTGAATATTAATAGATAGAAAATCATAGTTTTGGTAAAAGAATACTAGATACTGTAGCATTGTAAATTACTAATAGAGTTCCTTTAGGAGAAGTTGCTAAGGTTATTTCTGAAATAAACTCTGATATATAATCCTAGTAACAAACTGCAGATAGCTTACAAGCTGAAAGAAGTAGGGAATGTGAATCTGAATAAGATAGATTAAATAGTATCATAACTGACAATAACGCTATAAAAACAGATGCCCTTGAAAATATTGCAATCCTTGAGGTTGAAATTAGTTAATTGAGTGCCAATATTGGGAATAAAAATTAATAGCTTACCTTGCTAAGTGACAGAGTTAGCAGCATTTAGGATGCAAGATCTAGAGACAACGAAGATTTTGAAAGAAGAAGTCAAGAAACAGAATAAGTTATAGAAGTAAGCTAAATAAAAAAATAGTTCTTTTAATGATATATTTTATTTATTATTTAAAGGCTTTAAATTTAATTATTGAGAAGGTGGGTAGCATTTCCCCAGAAACCTCAGAATAAGAAGTGTTCTTATAATTAGCAAAAATCGGAAAAAGCAATCCTATTCTTTCTTTAGTTTCAATTGCTTCTACTTTTTCATAAGATTCATTAGATAATGTAATTAATAAGCTTAGTTAACTTAGAGAATCTCTTTCTGCTTCATTAGTTGAAGACGGAGAAGCAGAAAATCGTGCTATTAAAGAATTTAACAAATTAGTGTCTGAACTTCATTCTACAATTAATAGCCTTAATTTACTCATTAGCTCTCTTAACAACGAGCTAAGTTAAAAGTAAGCATCTCATGCATTCCATACAAGTAGACTTAATAATGCTGAAGAAGCTATATCATCTAGTTAGGAGCTCTTAAAAAGAAAAGTATCATAATGTAATGATTGGAGCACTTAATATTAATCCGACACCTAGGCTAGGTATACATTTTTAAGTTTATTTACAGTTTTCTAATTTAATTATAAATTTTAATAACTAGGAATGAGCAAATAGATATTATTGAAGAAGTATAAAGTATAGTTGCTACTAAGCTTGAAACAATGAAAGATTATCTTAAAGAAAGAGCAGAGCAATGAGATGAACTAATAATCTATTAGTATTTTGAATTATTAGAGCTTACCTTAAAATTATCTATACTATACATGATTATAATTTTATGTAAAATGAATTCATGGAGCATGATAATTAATTTAAAAAATAACAAAAATTTAGAAATTCTTTAATCAAACAAAAATTTTTAAACCAAATAATTTTAATCAGCAGCTTTCATTTAAAAATAAATAAATTGTTTTATGTAACACAAATTGAAAATCTAAAATAAATAAAATTAAATTTTTATGTTATAATCTAAATAAATCTGCATATATTTTATAAAGGATATTGATAATAAAAGAGTATCAATCTATCTATCTATGTAATTTATTTAGCTTTCATAAAATTTTAAATAAAAAAATAAATATTTTGTTTCTCAAATTATATCATGTGCTTTAAATTAATTGAAAAACAATAGATTTTTAATAGTAGATAATCTAAATACATTTTTAATAAAAGAAGTAATAAATTTAGACATTCTCTCCTATAAATTATCATTAAAATTCTTATCCAAAATTTATTTTCTCATAAGAAATTATGGAATTTATGAATAATTAAATACCATCATTAAATATTTTCAGTTCGTATCTCAATAAATATTCCTATCTTTAATTAAAAGATATATATACCCATAAAATATGATTATTTTTAACCTAAACTAAATACACTAAATTTACATAGCATAAAAGAGTAAAGCTTAAAAAAAAAATGATAAAAATAATATAGATGAAAATCTTCATATAAGTTGCCAAAAAGTTTTTGTTATTAGCTAGGAATAAAATAGACAAGGTTATTTTGATTTCTTGTGCACAAGAAATGATAAAAAATCAATCTGACAGAATAGATAATAATTCCTTCTTTTATTAAGAATATGTAGAATGTAGACTGTTAAACAATCTTATTTATTAATAGCATAATTGGCATTTAAAAATATCTTTGATATTTGCAAAATAAAATAATAAAATAAACGTAAAAATAAATTCAATAAGTATCAAAAAACAAAAAGATCCATAAACTAAAACATAAAATGTCAGTTGCTAAGTAAACCGCTAGATGCCTTAATGGCCTTAAATCCAACGTTGCAGTTGTCTTAGGTACTTGAATTTAGAAAATATTAATTAATTAGCAGAGAAATCCCTTTGAATTGATTTTTATCTCTACTTGGAACAAACTAATCTTATTATTATCATTAATTTATAAAGGTGCTCAATGGGGTGATGAAGGTAAAGGCAAACTTGTAGATATTCTTGCTGAAAAGTATGAATATTGCGCTAGATTCAATGGTGGTGCTAATGCTGGTAAATAATATATATTTAAGCTTTAAAAAAATAAAATTAGAGAATAAGATTTGATGCCTTCAATTAAAATAGTAGCACTATTATAATAACTAAAAACGCATAAAATAGAAATTTTCAAAGTTTTTAAAATTTTTTTACTTAAAATAATTTAAATTTATTCAAATAGGTCACACTATCATTGCCAATGGAAAGAAATACCCTTTCCACTTACTTCCTTGTGGTATTCTTTATCCTCACACCAAGAACGTTTTGGGTAATGGTACTGTTATCCACTTATAAACTATGTTCGAAGAACTTAAATAACTCGATAGAGATCACATCAACTACAAGGGTAGACTTCTTCTCTCCGATAGAGCACACTTGGTTACTTCCCTTACTATTGCTGCCGATTCTAAGAGTGAATCTTCTTCTAAGAGTAAAATGCTTAAATCTTTAATTTTTACATTTTTCATACAAAAATAATCAACCATTTCATCGAAACCCCTCCATATTTAAATTTACTCAACAAAACCTTTAATTAAATTTAGATCAATTCCTTGGTACCACAAAGAGAGGTATCGGTCCTACTTATGCCAGCAAAATGAACAGATATGGTTTAAGAGTTGGAGATTTAAAGAATTGGGATACTTTCTTGTTAAAATACAAGTACCTCCAAGGAAAGTTTTCTGAATAAGGAGTTAATGCTGGTAGCGAAGAAGAATTGTAAGAAATCAAGTTATTAAGAGAAAGAATGCTTGCCAACAATATGATTACTGATACCGTCGTTCTTATGAATGAAGCAATTAAGCAAGGAAAGAGGTATTGAATAATTTAAAATTCATTTAGAAAAAAATGTAGCAAAAAGATATGAAAGATATAAAAAAAATTATACAGTGATTAATTAAATTAAATAGCGCGAACATCAGAGAAATAATAATAAATAAATAAAGCATATTAATTTATTTTAAAAACATCAAACATAAATTTTTTTAATCTAAAAAATATTGAATGAAATACAGTGTTTATCCAAAAATTTTAATTCTACATTTAAAAAGGCTAAATAATCTTTAAAAAAAAATGAGAAGTACACAAAATAATTTTTTTTTAAAAAAAAAAAAGAGTTTTAGTTGAAGGTGCTAATGCTTGTTTATTAGATATCGATTTCGGTACTTATCCATATGTTACTTCATCCAACACATCAATTGGTGGTGTTTGCACTGGTTTAGGTATTGCTCCTCATCACATTGAAACTGTTATCGGTATTGTTAAGGCCTACACCACTAGAGTTGGAGAAGGTCCTTTCCCTACTGAATTGAATGGTAAAATATTAATATAGCTATCTCAAAGGATTTCATATTAACTAAAATAATTTTTTTTAAATAGATTAAAATGGTGAACATTTGAGAAAGGTTGGTCATGAATTCGGAACTACAACTGGTAGACCCAGAAGATGCGGTTGGTTGGATATTCCCTTATTAAGATACTCTCATATGATTAATAACTATTAATCAATAAATATCACCAAGCTTGATGTTCTTGATTAAGTTGACGAAATTAAAATTGCTACTAAATATACTGTCAATGGAGAAGAAATTCATTTCATGCCCTCAACTATTGAAGAGTTATCTTAAGTAAAGGTTGAATATACTACTGTCAAAGGGTAAATAAATAATTATTCTAAATTTACAAAAAAAAATATAATTAAATTAAAATACTTTTAATAGATGGAATCAAGACATTTCTAAAATAAGATCTTATGATAAATTACCATAAAAAGCTAAGGATTATCTCAGCACAATTGAAGAATTACTAGGTGTTCCAGTTTCTTGGGTAGGAACTGGCCCTGAAAGAGAAGCTATGGTTCTCAAATAATGAAATAATTAAATTTATTTTTAGTTAAATTACTACATGTTTACATGTTTCATTTATTATACTTTCAATAACATTACCAAAAAATAATCAATTTCTGCTTCAAATATTTTATCATAACCTGTTTGCTTCTAATATTTTAAATATAGAAGTTTGTTTGAACCAAAAACTGTCTTTTAATTTAAGAATTCTTCAAACGAAACCACGAAATCAAAATTATACTTTAAAAAATTTTGTTTTGCAATTTTTTTTTTTTGATAAAATCAATGAATTTTATTAAATTCTTCACAAAATAATTAACAATAAAGAAAAAAGATACGCTTGCATTAATTACCATAATTTTTTAATTAAAATAAGAAGAAGGAGAAGATACTTTAAAATTAAAAGAATTTTATTTTCCTCTTTGCAAATAATTATTCGAATGTGCTAAAATCTAAAAAATAAAAATGAATACTTTACATATAATATATATTTCCACTTACATAAAATATATTTGTGCTTATTTAATTTATATTTAACTTATTCATTTAATCAGCTTTATTGTTTTATTTCATAATGAAGGAGGGTGATACTGGCTTAGCCTTGAGAGTGAACATACAATCCGTAATTGCTTTCTTGGGAGAATGGAATTCTCTTTGTCATAAGATTTTGAGACACTCTGTTTTTATCAGTGAAATAAAACCTGTTTTTGCTCAGATTGAGATTCAAGACAACTGTTATTTCGTTAGGAGATTCTGAAGATGGAAGTGAGAGATCTTGACCCTATTAGACAAAATTGCATCTGTCATCTGATTGATTGAAAAATGTCTTATAGTGTGTTAAGCCACTCAGCTCATCTTTATCACCCACGCCTAAGGTTACCTTCAATGCTTTATTCTAGTTTAAATTTGTCATTTTAAAAATGAATTAGTAACATTGCTTAAAATCGAGAGGTTTAGTAAATTTGGCAAAACATAAATCACTTTAACTTGTTAAAGTTTCTATTTTTGAATCGTGATTTTCAATTTAGAAATTAGATTGCTTGATATTATTAAACAGAACAGCTTATTTCTTCTATTAAGTTTGACTACCAAGTTTTAGTTTTGCCATACAATTATTCACATCATCTTCGAATTTATCTGTTCTGGCTATCTTATTTGAATCGAATGTTATTTTCTTAGTGTATTCTACAATGGTGTCAGATAACATAGTACTTTAATCTTTAGTGTAAAGATTGAGCTTATCATTGAATTCCTTGCAAAGTTTATCAAGCTCTTTGTTGTTACTTGTGTTATCCAATCTCTCATTTATAAACTATTACAACAGTTCATGTAAGGTTTCTTTGTCTTCATTACCATTTATAATTTCTGATATTTTTGAGCAGTCTACAATTTCATAGTATCTGTCCTCCAATTTTTATCCAAGATTTTTTAATTCACTATAATAAGTAAGAGCCCTTTATTTAGAATTACCTATCTCAGCCAAAATATTATCTTAGAAGTTATTTATAAATTCAGATAATCTTTACAAATCTTTTTATTCTGTCTCTAAATAAGCCTTTATTTGCTCTCTGCATTTCATTTTAATATTAGGATCAAGTGGCATAACCTATTCTAATTTAGGTTCGGGCATTTCAACTGTTTCCTATTTGTATTTAATAATATTTAAATAAGCTATTTTAATCTTATCCTCTTTTCTAGCTCTCGCCCATATTTCATCTTCTGTTTCACTGCAGAACTAGCAATAGAATCTTGTTTTTCCTTCGTAATTCTTACCAATAAACACATTATTTATATGGATTCCATCTTCGTGTTCTTTATGGTATTTGCAATCCCAATATTTCTAAAATTTATAGGATGAGGAAAATTATTATTAACTCATTTTTTTTTTCTTCTTTTTCTTTTTAAATTAATTATTTATTTATTTATTTATTTCAAACAAACTTGATAAATTTTTTGATTTTTGATATGATAAAGTTATTAGAATATTTAAATCACTTAAGCCTAAAGATAATGAGGAAAAAATTAATCTTTCATTTATCTACAGAATAAAAATACTCTACATATATGAACCTCAATCATTAAGTAATTATTGATCTATTCGTTACTTAAATTATTTATTTATTTATTTATTTATTTATTGTATTTTATGATTATCATATTTATAAATTTATTTTTACAAAAAAATAATATTTTATGATTATTTTATAATTAGAATATATAGGGTAAAATAAGGGGCCTTGCTTGAAAAAATATATTTCAGAGTATATGTATTCTAAATAAATTATTCAAATATTCTAATATTTATTTAAACTTCTCTAAATTGTTTATTTGAGCAAATCCAAAGCTGCTTCCCTTTAATCTTCTGGTACCATATGTCCAGCTTATCTAATTATATACAAAGATAAATTTTTAAATTATTTGATAGTTCCAAAGCTTTATTCGCCTATTTGCCAAGATTTAGTCTCTGAATTTAAAAATTATTCTGTAAATTTCCAATTTTTTAAATCTTTAATCCATTAAATAGGAGCAGTATATGGGACAATCATATCTAGATCTCCATTATAGACCACTATATCTAGCCCTTTATTTAATAGATAATCAAATCTATCAAGACAATCTGCTCTCATGAAATCAATAGACATAGACTTCTAGACTCTTGAGTCACATTTGGTATATTTTTTTTCTGAATTTGGAAGCATTTTTAAATTAAATATTTACCTAATTCCATATTATTCATCATTAAAAAACTTTTCTAAAGTCAAACTACTTTTAAGATCACCTTCTTTACGAGAAATATTATATACATCAACATTATTAGGGTTAGTTTGACGAATAAATCTCCAATATAATAAACGTGAAATTTATTACTTCTAAGGATCATTAATCGAATCTAAAACTTCTTAAGCCGCCTCCCAGCTTTGTTGTAATTATTATTCATTTAATAAGTTATGTTCATAGGCATATTATGGGATTTCTTTTAATATAACTTCTGGAGCTATAAATGCATCACCTATGCCTATGCTTTTTAGATTAAATATATTTCCTTGCTTAATAATTTTTTGGGCAATAGAAGGAATGTATTTTCCAGCATACGACTCTCCAAAAATAAAAAGTGGTGGATAGTTTTCTATTAGTTAACTTTTATTTAGATTGAAACAGCTTAGACTAGTTGAATAAAACTCTTTCAAAGCATAGTAAAATTACTCTGCTACTTAATCTTGATTTGTAGGAATTTCTTCGTCTTTTTCTGCATATGAAATACCTGTCCCAATAGGTTGATCAATAAATATTATGTTGTAATCGTTTGACCAAGAGAATTTATTTTAAATAAAACTGTATTTTTTCTGAAATTCTGATTAAAAAGGCTCAGTATTTAAATAATTTTCTACATCTTCTTCATCATTTGTTTCTAATATTAAAGGACCTATTTCAAAGAAATTACCATATTGTGAGCTGCAACCAGGTCCTCCATTAAGCCAAATTATTAAGGGCACCTAAAATAGCTCCTCTTCTTTTCTTCCTTTTGCTCCATAAAAAATAAATCCTAGTGAGGAAGTAGAGTTTGTTATGCCAACATCTAATAATCCAGACTTTACAATTCCCTAATAATCAGGCAAGTCTACATTTTTACAAACTGAAATTTTATTTTTTTTTGTAGCTTAATTGCTAATTATGGGTTAATCCATTAGCTTTAGAAAATATCTTGAATGGTTAGCCTCATCGTCTTTTAATTATTACTTAATATTACTTTACATATAAATAATATGTATCAGGAATACTAATGTGAGAACAATTCCTAGCTTTAAAAATATTTTAATCATTTCTAAAATAATTTATCTTTAGTTTGAAATTAAACTAAGCTCAATTTATTACTGTATTTTTACATTTAAATATAATATAATTGATCAATTTTAGTTAAATAATAACAATTAGGGGATTCTTTCATTTAAATTTTTTAATTAAAAATGTTTATCTCATTGAAAAAATAGAGAAAGTTAGTAAAACTTGAAAAATTATGAAATATATTTAATTTAATGAATAAAAATAAAACGATTTATTGGACAGTTTTTATTAAATGAACATTGAATTTTTTAATGTAAACAATAAAAAAGGTTTTATTAAAAAATTTAATACATATATTTTAAATTTTTTCATATATAATTTGTTAATTTTGATCACATTTCAGAAGTTTATACTTTCTGGGCTTTATTTAGTGCATAATTTACAGCATTTTTAATCATATCCAAGGATGCTTCTGGTTGATCTTAAGGTACCATGTGGCCTGAATTAAAAACAATAACAAATGATAAGTTATCATATTACTTAACTGTACCATAAATTGTAGAATTATTTCTCCATACTAAGGTTTCAGCTGATTTGTATTATTAGATTTTTGACCATTCCAAAGTGTTAATCCACAATTAAGGAGCATAGTATGGTACAATTAAATCTAAATCACCATTAAATACATTAACTTAGATACCTTATTCAAGTAAGTAAGTAACCTTTTAGACGCAATTATTTTAAATGAAATCAGTAGAAAGAGCATCATAAACTTAAGAATCACACTATTCATAATCCTTATTGAGTTAGATATGGAAAAGTTATTAGCCAAATTATGAGTTAAATAAGCCATCAAGAGCAGAAGAATCAGGTTCTTCAGAACGGAAAATGTTATAGACATCTACACCACTTGGGCAACTATTTCCAACAACTTAATTAAAGTAGTCAGATGCAGCTTACCAATTAGATTCGTTAATAGCCTTTTGTGAAGCTTAAACTAACAATAAGTTTTAGTTATATTAACTGGTATCTATCAAACCTTCATCGAAAGCATATTAGTTAACAGCTTAGACATCATAATATGGGGAAGTAAATCCATCACCAATACCTATGCCTTTTAAGTTGAGTTTGTTTCCTTCTTCAACAATTTTTTAAGCTATTGAAGGAATGTATTTTCCAGCATAAGATTCACCATATATGAAAAGAGGAGAATTTTCAGGTTTTAAGCCTAATTGATTAAAGCATCCGTTTGTGTTTTCATAAAGTTCAGTAAGGGCATGATAAAATTAAGCAGCAACTTATGTTTCATTAACAGGAATTTATGAAAATTCTTCGGCATAAGAAATACCTGTACCGATTGGTTGATCAATAAATATAGTATTATATTCATTAGACCAAGCATATTCATTTTTTTCAAAATAAAAATCTTCACTAGTTTCTCCTTAAAAAACTTTAAGAGGACCAAGCTCAAAGAAATTACCAAATTAAGAAGAGCATCCAGGACCACCATTAAGCCACATGATAGTTGGGCGATTTCTCAACTCAGAAATAGAAAGATTTTTAGCGCCAAAGAAAATGAAACCTAAGGCAGATGAAGAGTTCTAAATACCAACATTTAAGTATCCAGATAAAGAAACTCCGTCATGCTCTGTGATGTTGACATTGTTGCATTGAGTAGTTAAGTTTAATTTCTCTCTATAGCTGTAGGCGAAATTCTTAAAAAAGGATTTCTTCAAGCTTAGCTTTTTGGGTTGTGGCCTAAGAATTTAAGTATAGGCAGAGCTTATTAAGCAGACTAATAAAATAAGGAAAATAATCTATCTCATTTTATCTTTTTTTTATTATTTACTATATTTATATTTTGAGAAGGAATATTGATTTATTAATTTTTCTTTAAGAAGCAGTTTGAAACTATATATTGCTTTATTACCATAAGATTTTTTGATAATTCTTTTATAATCTAATGGTCATTAAATTTGACTTAAACCAAAATACCATCTTTTTTACATCTTAAAAACCTAGTTATTAATTACATCTAAATTATATTTTTACTATTTTAAAAAGTAAGTTTTCATTTTATTGGTTAAAAAGTTATCTTACAAAGCTAAAACCTTAATGCAAAATTATTATTTTCTTTATACTTACTTACTTACTTACATATCCGTCCATAGACAGTTTTTTTTTTTTTTTAAATTAATTTTAAAAATTAAGATTTCACTTGTTTGTTTGTGTTATAACTAAATACCTTGAATCTTCATTAAATTTCTTGAAATTTTTTCACTTTCTTTCCTAAAATCTGTTGATAAGATTTAGAAAAAAAAAAATTCATTATTAATATAAAAATTATTTGAAATATCATAAATCACGATATCATGGTTCTTGATATTTCAAATCTATATTTTTATCTAAAATGAAAAAATCAAATTTATAAAATATTTAAATTTAGGAATGGAATTATATAATTTTTTGTTATTAAGAATTGATGGATGATAATAGCTTATATATTTTAGTTAACGTATATATTTAATTGATGATTTTAATTTGATAACGCGGACTTTTTTTAATTTTTTAAATATAGCAACTGTCTTTTTACTAAAAATAAATAGCTTATTAATATTAATTCTCAAAAATAATATGATGCAAAAATAAATACATTAATTTAATTTTCAATAAAAAATTTTGATACATTTTTGTATTTTTTGATTAAAATAATAAATTAATTATGAATTATTTTTAAAAATTAAAAGAATAAAATATATTATTTTTAAATAAATTAAATCTTTTAAAAGTATTAAGTTAATATTTTATTATTTATAGAATATTTACTAGACATATAATATACAAATAAATTAAAATATAAATATCCTTTTTATCATTTTGTCACTCTATCCAATCGTATCCTTTAATTTCATCTACATCAAACCATTGTTTGCAGTCTACCCAATTAGTATCATCTAGATAACCTGGACAATAATATTAGCCATCAGCAAAATAAAATCTTATCCTATTACCTCCGCATGTTGGACAGTGTTTCACAACCCCAATCATCTTCAGTATAGCACATCTTTTAGCAAGTAACTTTTTACCACCAAAAGTGCAGGAGTCATTTTTAATCAACAACTACTTTAGTTATTTATAATCCATATTATTAAACTCTTCCTTATAAGAAACAAACTTATTCCATTACTGCTTATCGAATGTTTTTTATTAGTTAAATTTTGAAGTAGGTTTACACTCTCTAATTGTTATTTTTGGGAGATGTTAGACTCTTTAATCTTTTTTTCCTTATTAGATTTTAAGTGATTCTTTTATTTCTTTGTGATATTTAGACTCTAAGTCGTCTATTCCCTCAATATCCCATACCTTTAAGTTTGTAAATTTTTCTGGTAGAACTACACATTTAGGGTGATACCATTTAGTACTTATTACAGAATGCTCTTCGTTAACATAAATTTTATATCCAATTCTTAGGCTATCATTTTCAATAGGATTATAGCATGCTTTACATTAAGATCTACCACTTTTAGCTAGTTCAGCACAAAAGCAGTCGTAGTAAAAATTAGTAAAATTAGTTGTCATTTATTTAATTTTTTATAAAATATAATTAATTTTGTTTTCTTATTTTTTATTTTTTAATAAAGCTATTAAATTACTGGTTTTTAAATACAGATATCTTAACTTAAAAATATAATTTTTTAAAATAATTAAAATTTACGCTATAATTTTGTTAATGAAATAGAAGAAGGATTTAACATTTTTTTAAATCTACACAAAAAAAGAGGATCAAATAAATTTAAATTTGCAAAAAAATAGTGGAATTTTAATTTTGAAATTCTTTTAAAAGAGAGGTATTAATTTCATTCATTCATTTATAATTTTAAGTCATTTTAAAATTATTTAAAATTTTATTTTGTTTGTTGATAAATCTTATAAAAATAACTAATAATTTTTAGATCCTCATAAGATCTAACTAATAATATAAAATTTCTCATTACTTTATAAATAAAAATAATAAAGTCTAATTATTTTAGTAGGATCATTAATTATTTATTAATTCTATTATTAATCTTTTTAGTAACTAAATAAATATTTTTCTTATAATTTTATTATTTTTAAATAATAAATTTTATAAATTAATTAATATGAATTAAATTAAATTTATTTTTTAGAATATTTGCTAGAATAAATAATACAAAAATTATGAAAAACAAACAGCTTTAAATGATAATAATTTAATAAATAATTGATTAATATTCTATAATTATTTTAATAATTATAGAATACTGGATTATAAGATATTATTTAAAACTAAAGTTTAAAATTTAATATTTTTTGTAAATTATTTTAAGGTTAAATAAAATAAATTTTTGTACTAGTCAGTGAGTGAGCTGAGGATAAATTAATTTATTAATTTTTTTTAATTTTATTTTTGAATTAATAATAGATTTTTTTTATTTTAATAGTTTTCTTTTAAAAATAAAAGTTTTCTCACTAAAAAAGTATTTTAATTTATTTTGATAATTCTAACTTAAATACTATTGATAATTATAACAAATAAATCTTAATTCTAATTTTATTGTATTTTATTAATTATTTTGAAACAATTCTTTTTTTAAGCAAATTGAGAAATTTATATGTTAATAGAAAATAAAAGAGTTATTAAAATATGACTTTCTATTTATTTTTTCAGAAAATATCTCAATCAATAATTGAAATTTAAAAGCTACCAATTAATAGATTATTATATATAAAAGCTTATTATAATTTGTCAAAATAATAAAATTGTGCATCATATGTTTTAAAATTTGAGTATTTTGTTTTTTTATTCAAGCAAAATATAAAAATAAGAAAAATTTTTTTAGCAATTTGATTAAATCTATAAAAAAAATAGAACTATTTATAGTTAAAATTTTTATTATAATTTGAAAGTAAATTCTATTTTTTTTTTCAAAATTTTAAACAGAAATTATTAGAATTTAATTTTGTTGCTTGATAATTAAATTATTATTTGATACAAATTATGATTATTAAGTGTAATTTTATTAGTAATCTTGTAAATTAAATTGCAAAGAGTAATTTGGAGGTTTAAGAGACACCTTTAATTTATATACAGTAAAAAAAATAGTAATCCTTAAAAATTAATTAAAAATTTTTTTCAAAAATTTAACTTCTCTAATTCTAAAGCATTATTTGATTAGTTTTTATAATTATTTCACCATTTTTAAAAAGTAAAATTAATAAAAAAGTCAAATACTTTAAAAATTTTAAGCAATATGAATGAATAAAGTATTACAGCATAGCAATCATTAAGTAAATCAAATTCAGATAATCAAGTTAATATTGAATAATAAAAAGATTTCAAAGAATATTCATACAGGTTAGATTTAATTAATTAATATTAGCATTTTCAGAATTTAATAAATGTAATTTTGAGTTCACTAAATATGTAATTTATTTATTTATAAAAGATGGTCGATTGTTATAATGTTTTGTTTAGTCAACATGATGAATTCTATATAATCAATAACTTTTTCTCCTATTTCATCTTAGGTAGAATAAGTAATTAAAATTAGTCATACATATTTATTAGAGTAAGTTTTATTTATTTTTTTTAAAGGCATATAATACATCGAAATTTATTGTATCCATGACATCACTTGTAACGATGCTTTGCTACATTATATTTAATTTTCCTTCAAATTACATATTATCTCATAAAGGCTTAAAGATTGGAGTAAACATTTGAACCTTTATCTTAAATAATTATTAAATAATAATTTTTAATTAAGATATTTGTAGGTATATTTTTTACTATCTTAGGCTCATGGATAAGGCTATTTATTAACAATAACTTTGGGTGGGCTATTCTAGGGTAAGTATTTGCAGGCATTGCTTAACCATTTATTTTGAATGCTCCCACATAAATTGCTGCTGTTTGGTTTAAGCCTTATCAAGTAGGTTAAAATATAATAATTAAATTACATATAAAATTGAAATCATATTCAGCTTAATTTACTTATTTATAAAATAAAAATATTAAAAAATTAATAGAGATAATTGGCTACCTCAATTTTATGTTTAGTCAGTGTTATTGGAGTTGGGATAGGATTTTTGTTTTCTTCATTTATAGTTAATCCTTCTTATACAGATGATACGAAATAGGAAATATATAATTTAATGCTTTTTCAAGCAATTACAATTACAGCATGCTGCATCCCTTCGCTATTTTTTTTTAAAGAAAAACCACCTACACCGCCAAGGTAACTAATTAAATAATTATCATACTTTTAATAAGTTAAAAATATTTATATTTTTAATCAAAGCCTGTCAGCTAGCTTTTAAAAGACCGAATTTTGGATATCCTTGAGTACACTATTTAGGAATAAACATTTTTTATTCACCTGTATTTACTTTGGCTGTATACTAGGTAATTTTAACTCAGTTTCAGCCTTAATAAATTTCTATCTTAAAAATTTTAACTTCTCTACAGTAAATTTTATAATCGAATTACAAATAAAAAATTTTAATTAACTTATTTAAAAGAATGAAACAAGCTACCTAGGAGGAGCTTTTATTTTATCAGGCATCATAGGTTCGGCAATAATTACAAGAATGGTTGAAAAAAACAATAAATATAAAAAATATATAATCATATCTTCAATATTATCTTTATTTTCTTACACTTTCGTGTCCGCCGTTTTGATTATAGAGAGTTTTATTGTATAGCTCTTAGGATTTTTTTTATATGGATTCTTCTCTACTCCATTAATCCCTCTTACTCTTGAATTTGGGTGCGAAATAACTTTCCCTATTTCAGAATCAACAAGTTCAGGACTTATTTATATGTCAGGATAATTATTCGGAATACTCTAGGTAAGATTATTTTATAAAAATTGTAAATAAATTAAGTTAAATAAAAAAGATTATCCTTTCCGCTGAAGCTATTTAAATAGAAAGTTAAAAAAATGTTTTAATTTGTTTAAGTTTAGGTTTTTTTTTATAGCTATTTGGTCTAGTATTTATTGTATAAGTTGAAGAAAATTTAAAAAGGAAAAACCAAGAATAATTACAACTTTAAAAATAAACCGAGTAAATTTAAGAATTATCTGAAGTAATTGAAAGCTAATTAAAAAATTAAAGTTTTATGTCATTTTTGAAATAAAAAAATCCTTTTATCATTCATTCTAATTCGAAGAGTTGATTTTTTGAAATAGCAAAATAAAAAAGAGTTTAAATAATTAGGATTTAAAAATGTTTAATATTAAAAGAATTATTGAATCAACATACATATATTTCCATGTCTTCTTATCCATTTTCAAAATGGTAAAAAATTTATATTTATTTTTTGTAGTTAAATTTTAACAAACGATGATAATTACCACAAATTTTACAATGCAGCTTAATTATTTTTTTAATATGAATACATAAGAAAGGCAAAAATCAAAGAGAATTATTCATTGATTCTATTTTTGGATTGGATTATTTTTTATTCACATGAAATAGCACAAAATAAATAAATAAATTATAGTTCAGTAAATTAGCTAAAAAATAAATGCAAAAACGCATATTACTTACTTATGAATAATTTTTAGTTAAAAATTAAACAGTCACCCATCAACCAATGAACCAATCAATCAATTGGAGTTATGATTAGATTAATACTTCTATTTTATAAAAAGTATAACTAGTAAAAAGGGTTAATAAAGAAATTTAATATAAAAATATAAATCAAATAAAAAAGCAAAAAACATTTGAAAACTTTATGGATTAAAATTAACAATAAATGAAAGTTATACCTAATTGCGAAATTGATTCCGTTATAGAGACGAGTGACAAGAATAAGGAAGAATTTAAAGACTATCCCTATAGGTTTGAATATAAACTAAATGATTTATTTTTTTTTATAATCAATTTATTTTTACCAATGAATTATATCAATATAGGATTTATTTTTTATTCTGTATAGGTGGTGGATAGTTGTCTTATTTTGTTTCCCAAATATGATGAACGGGATAGAGTGGATTACATTTAGTTCTATCTCCACCCAAGTTCAGCAAGTATTTTAAATTTGACCAAATTTTATGCAGTGTTTAACTACTTTAAAAAAAAAAAACATAAAAGGCATATAATGTATCTTAATTTGTTGTTTCGTTAACTTCGCTAGCCTCAATGTTTTGTTATATTGTAATTAACTTTCCATCAAACTACATTCTTTCAGAAAAAGGATTAAGAATAGGAGTAACTAATCAATACATAAGAGAATAAAATAAATAATAATTGTTTAGGTATTTATAGGTATTTTTTTTACAATCGTTGGTGCATGGATCAGACTTCTTATAAATGATAGCTTTGGATGGGCAATTTTAGGATAAGTATTTGGTGGAATAGCTTAACCATTTATTTTGAACGCTCCTACTCAAATTGCTGCAGTCTGGTTTAAACCATAACAAGTAAAATATTTATTAGAATTTTCAAGTTATTTTAACACTTTTACCTTTTTTTATAATTATTAAAAATAATTTAGAAAATTTTAATTAAAGCTTTTTAATTTTAAAATTTAAATAGAGATAAATAGCCACAGCAATTTTATCATTAATCAATGTTATAGGAGTTGGAATCGGATTTTTATTCCCTAGCTTTGTTGTGAGTGCTTCTTATTCTGATAATACTAGGAGTGAAATTTATAATTTGATGCTTATTTAGGCTATCATAATCACAGCTTGTTGCATACCAACAGTCATATTTTTCAGGGAAAAACCTCCTACTCCACCAAGGTATCATTATTTATTAAAAATATACTAATTTTATCAAATAAAATATTTAATATGTAGTCATTCTGCGAGCGTTGAAAAATCTAAATTTAGCGAGTCTATGTGCACTCTCATTAGGGATAAGAATTTTATATTTCTCTATATTTACTTCGGCTGTATATTAGGAAATTTTAATTCGGTAGCAACCTTAATAAATTTCTTTCTTGAAAAATTTGGCTATTCTTCAGTAATTTTGTATTTTAAAATAATAATTTTTAATAACTTGGATTTAATAGGATGATACTAGCTATTTTGGTGCTGTTTTTATAGTTTCTGGATTAATTGGATCAGCCATATTATCAATAGTGGTAGAAAAAAATCAAAAATATAAATTAGTAATAATAATGAGTACTATTGCATCTATTTTATCCTACTCTTTGACAATGGCAGTTTTACCAGTTGAAATTTTTTCAATCTAATTGATTTCATTTTTTTTATTTGGGTTTTTTGCTACTCCTTTGATTCCTTTGTCGTTAGAATTTGCATGTGAAATAACTTTCCCAATCTCTGAAACGATAGGTTCTGGATTAATTTTTAAATCTGGCTAAATGTTTGGAGTTTTACAAGTAACTCTTAAATTATTAAATTGATTTTTAATATTTTTTTACATTTTTAATAAAATTAGATTGTTATTTCTACAAATGTTATATAAATTGATAGCTAATAAGATGTTTATATTTGTATGGCACTTGGACTATTTTTATAAATTTTGGGACTAATATTTATGCTTTTTATCAAAGAAAATTTAAAAAGAAAATAAGAGGAAAAGAACTAAGAAAACTTGAAGCAAAAAGATTTGTTATCCTCTCCAAACCCTTAGAGTTTAGAACTAGCATAATCAAGCTCAGATTAGTTTCAGCAAGTTTGTAACTTCAAAATTTGATTAATTTAGCTACTACTTATTGTATGGTTTAAATGATAAATAGACTTATATTAATTCTCAAATAAAGCTTAAAAAAATATTCTAGAAGTGAACTAAATAAATTTTTAAAGTCAAACTTGTTGAGATTTATCAACAAAATTAATTAATTAGTGAATCAATAATAAAATAAATACAAACAATAAAATCTTAAAATATCAAAAATATTTTATAATAAATAGTATTCTTAATGCAATTTGTGGTAATACAAATCATAAAACTGTACTTTATTTGTGTAAGAATTGTTATGTAAATAATAATTAAACCTATTTGTTAGAAAAGATATTCATTTAAGCATATGAAAAAAATAGATTAAAGTAAAAAAGGAAAATATAGTTACCATTATTCCTCATAAATTAAAAGCCACATTTTTAAGAAGCTAACAAAATTTATTTAAAAAATTTTTTTAATTATTTAATTATATTGATTTTTTAAAATGTTTGGTCTGCTAAAATTAGGTAAATTTGAATTTTAATCAATCAAAATCAATCAATATTAGACTAATAATTCACAACAATATAATCTAATCTCATGATTAATCATAGTTTGTGGTCACCTCACTTCATTTGGGTAAATAAAAATTAAGCTTTTATAAATTTACTTTCAATTTATATTTTGAGAAAAAAGATTGGAAAAATTAGTAAGCTTGTATAGTAAAGATAATTTAAACTTTAATTAACTAAAAAAATTCAAAATTTACAAATTTAATTTACAATTTTTAAAATATTTGTCTTTTAACTAAATTTACATAATAAAATTATTATTTACAATAATTATAATAATATTATATAAAATAATCTACTTTAAAGTATATTTGAGTCTTTCATTAAATAGTTGACTATATTTTCTTTTAAATTAAAAAATAAAAAAACGGGCAAGTAATATTTATCAAATATCAAAAAACAAATTTTTAGTTGATTAAAATGAAGATACAATAATTGATAATCTTTTAAATCAGGTTAATTCTTTAATCTTTTCACCTTCTTTTTATTAAAGATGACCATAGTATTAGATCTTAATATTAAATGTAAAATATTAAATGACTTTATAGATATAATTTAAACCAGAAATATAAATCAAGTAAATTAAAAAAAGAAAAAGTAGACAAATAAATAATGAATTAAACTAGCAATTAAATGAAAGCTATATCTAAATATGTCGACGATACCGACTCTATCAAAGAGGTGAATGATTAAAATAAGGATGAGTTTAAGGACTATTCTTATAGGTTTGAATATCATTTCTTTTTTAGTTCTCATTTTTAATCTTATTTAATTTGTAGCAATTAACTTAATAATTTTTTATGTCATTTTTATTTTTAATAGATGGTGCATAGTTATTTTATTTTGCTTTCCAAATATGATGAATGGTATAGAATGGATTACTTTTAGTCCTATCTCCTCTTAGGTTTAACAAGTATTTTTAATATGTTATTTTAATTTGTAATAGATATTAACTTCTACTTTATCCAAATTTAAAGGCATATGATCAATCTTAATTTGTTGTTTCTTTAACTTCTCTTGCTTCAATGTTTTGCTATATCGTTATGAATTTTCCATCTAACTATATTCTTTCACAAAAAGGACTTAAAATAGGAGTAACTTAATCACTACTTAATTTATTCTAATTGATAATTTTATATGAAGGTTTTTACAGGTATTTTCTTTACTGTTATTGGTGCATGGATAAGATTATTAATAAATGAAAATTTTGGATGGGCGATATTTGGATAAGTATTAGGTGGAATAGCTTAACCTTTTATTTTGAATGCTCCTACTTAAATTGCTGCTGTTTGGTTTAAGCCCTAATAAGTAAAATTTTTATTACATCTTTCACATTACGTTAGTACCTTTTAAGATATTCGATAAGATAGAATTAATTAATAATCTTAATGAAGCTTTTTATTTTTGTTAATTTTAATAGAGGTAAATGGCCACTGCAATATTATCATTAGTTAATGTGATAGGAGTTGGAATAGGATTTTTATTTCCTAGCTTTATCGTCAGTCCTACCTATTCTGACAGTACCACTAATGAAATTTATGATTTGATGCTTATTTAAGCTATTCTTATTACAGCTTGTTGCATACCTACTGTGATATTTTTCAGGGAAAAACCACCAACTCCTCCAAGGTAATGAACTAATTATTTTAAATAGGTTTTTAATTAAAAAATGTGTTTAATAATTAGTCATTCAGCAAGTGTTGAGAAATCTAAATTTAGTGAGTCTATGTCTATTTTGATTAGGGATAAGAATTTTATATTTCTCTATATTTATTTTGGCTGCATATTAGGAAATTTTAATTCTATTGCTACTTTGATTAACTTCTTTCTTGAATAATTTAGTTATTCTTCAGTAATTTTGCATTTTAAAATAAATTAGCTTATTCTTTAATTCTAAATAGGATGATACAAGTTATTTTGGTGCAGTTTTTATTATTTCAGGATTAATTGGATCAGCTATATTATCTATAGTAGTAGAAAAATATTAAAAATATAAGTTAGTGATAATAATTAGTACAGTTACATCTATATTATCCTATTCTTTAGCTATGGGTGTTTTGTCTATTGAAAATTTTTCACTCTAATTGGTTTCATTTTTTTTGTATGGGTTTTTTGCTACTCCTTTAATTCCCCTATCTCTTGAATTTGCATGTGAAATAACCTATCCTATCTCTGAAACAATAGGATCAGGATTAGTCTTTAAATCTGGTTAAATGTTTGGAGTTTTACAAGTAAAACTTAAAATTATTAATTTAGTTTACTTATAATAATAATTTAAAAATTTATAAATAAAAATAGATTGTAATCTCAACAGAAGTGATATAAATTGATAGCTAAAATAATGTATATATTTGTATGGCTTTAGGACTATTTTTATAAATTTTAGGACTTGTATTTATGCTATTTGTTAAAGAAGATTTAAAAAGAAAATAAGAAGAAAAGAAATAAGAAAGTATGAGACAAAAAGATTTATTATCTCCTCCACAGAGTATAGAACTGGTATATTAAAGCTCAAGTAAATTAGGGCCAATAAACAATATAAAAATTTGATTAAGAAAATGAAAAATTGCTTGATTGATAAATAACAAGTGTGAATCATAATTTTATTTAACAAATTCAAGATTAAAATATGTTCTTATGATGATAATAAATTAATTATTATCAGTGAATCAAATGTAAAAGTGTAAAATACAACAAACAAAATAAGTTAATATTATAAAGGAATAATTCAATTTTAATTGCAAAATTATTTAATGGGATTAAATATTTAAAAATAAAACTTAGTGAATAATTTGCTTTTGGCTACTTTAAAATTTACAAAAATGATTTTAATAAATATTATAATTAAATTGTATTTAAAATGTAATTTTAAAATAACAAATTTTAGTATTTTAAAAATATTCTGTTAAAAAATTATTATGCCAGTAAATTAGGAAATTTATTGTATCAGTATTTATTTAATATAATTAAATAGTTTTACTCTTCTTGGTTATATTAGTCAATAATAAGTATAGATGTTATTTTTGGAAAAATTCTTATCGAGGAGCTAATAAAAAATAAGGATTTTTTAAACTAAAAGAAATATAAAAGCAAAGATAGTAATCTAATCACGCTATAATTTTTAAGATGTAATTAATGACAAAAAATATCAGTATAATAAATTATAAAACTTTTATATAGAATTTTATTATAATTATAATTAATTAATTTTTGTCAAGTATCTTTCAAATAATATAATATTTTTCAATAAAATTTCATTATTTTTATTTTATAAAATAACAAATAAGAGTTTGTAATAAAGCTTTGAAGACTACTAAAAGAGTATTTTTTGTTTGAAATTACCACAAGTTTTGTTAACATTAAATTATAGACTAATTCATTAGATTTTCAATTTTTTATGGTGATTTTGGGTAAAAAGAATAAAATAGTCAAAAGAATTACATAATGATTGGATTTATATATATTTGTGTATTAATGTAAATTAAATGATTAAAATCTTTAGAAAAAAATAAATAATACCCAAAATAATATAGCAAAATAGTATGATAACGAATAGTTATTTTCTTTGGTACATTTTTAACTCAAAATAATCAAATGCTAATAATGATTTCTTATGGATTTAATCTTCGTATGTGTTTTAGGTTATAGTTGATGCAATTATTTAATTATAAAAAAGTTCATCTAAATTAATTAATTTTTAGTTATTAAGTAATATTAAGTAAGAAATTGTACAACAAAAAAAATAAATAAAAACATGATAACAACTGAAACAAAAATCTAACCTGTATCTTAAGAGGTTCTTAAATAAACATAAAATGAAGAGGAATTTCGTGATTATCCATACAGGTTTATTTTTAGATAATTAAATTTAAATATTTATAGCTGTATCACTCTATTTGTGAGTTTTAAATAATAGCAATTTTATAAAAATATTTTTATTTTAATTTAGATGGTGGATTGTAGTTCTATTTTGCTTTCCTAATATGATGAATGGTATAGAATGGATCACATTCAGTTCAATCTCATCACAAGTATAATAAGTAATAAATCTTTATTTATAAATAGCTTTGAAAAATAAAGTAATAATTTATAACTACTAAAAAATATAGGCATATGATTAAACCTAATTTGTGGTAACTCTTACTTCACTAGTATGGATGATAATTTACGTTTTCATAAATTTTCCTTCTAATTATATACTCTCAGATAAAGGATTGAAAATAGGAGTAAACATTTGAATATTCATTACTGATTCAAATCTTTAAAATGCATTACAAAAAATAAATTTTGAATAATAAATAATAGGTTTTCACTGGTATATTTTTTACTATTTTAGGAGCTTGGGTTAGACTGCTTATAAACGAAAGCTTTGGATGGGCTATTTTAGGTTAAATTTTTGGAGCTATAGGTCAACCCTTTATTCTAAATGCACCAGCATAGATAGCATCTGTATGGTTTAAACCTAAATAAGTAAAAGCTTTATTAATATTAGATAATTATTAAATTGCACGTTTCTACAATTCAATTTAAATTTCATATTTTATATAAAAAATTTAATCAATATAAAGAGATAAATGGCCACAGCTATATTGTCATTAATTAATATAATCGGAGTTGGTATAGGATTCTTATTTCCTAGCTTTATTGTTAGTTCCACTTACTCAAACGATACTAGGAATTAGATTTATGATTTAATGTTAGTATAAGCAATTGTTATCACTGCATGTTGCATTCCTTCTGTCATATTTTTCAGAGAAAAGCCACCTACACCTCCAAGGTAATTTTTACAAAATAATGAAATATCAATAAATTTTTTTAAATTGAAATTATTAGTCATGCTGCTAATACAGAAAAAACCACTTTTAGAGAATCAATGCCTAAGCTTATCAAAGATAAGGATTTTTTATATTTATATATTTCTTTTGGTTGTATTTTGGGAAATTTCAACTCAATAGCAACACTAATTAATTTCTACCTAGAAAAATTCTCTTACACAACAGTAATTAATTTTTTGAATATTTAATATAAAACAAAACTAATCAATGGGTTTAATAATTTAGGATGAAACAAGCTATGTTGGAGCCATTTTCATAGTTTCAGGTTTAATTGGTTCAGCTATTATCACCTCTATTGTAGAAAAAAATCATAGGTATAAGTTTGTAATGATAGTAACTAGTGTTATATCAATCTTTTGCTATTCATTTATGATGGGAGTTTTACCAATTGAAAATTTTGGGCTTTAGTGTTTTGCATTCTTTCTTTATGGATTTTTTGCAACTCCTTTAATTCCTATTTCTCTTGAATTTGCATGTGAAATAACCTTTCCTATTTCAGAAACTATCAGTTCTGGATTAATTTATAAATCAGGATAATTATTTGGAGTTCTTCATGTAAATAAGCTACTTTTTGAATTAATTTGTTATAAAATATTTGTATTTATTTTAAAATAGATTATTATTTCAGCTCAAGCAATAGGTGTTGATAGCTAAAATAACGTTTATATTTGCTTAGGAATAGGTCTTATAATTCAAATTATAGGTTTAATTTGTATAGCATTAGTTAATGAAAATTTAAAGAGAAAACATGAAGAAAAAAAGTAAAGTGAACAAAAAATAAAACTAACAGAGTATCCTTAAAGTATTTAATTAGTTTAAGAAAATTCAAGTAAATAGACAAGTAGTAATAATTGATATAAATTATTTAAAATTAATTTTATTAACTTTTACTTTTATATAAATAATAAATAAAAATAATAAAAGTTATTTTTCAAATTTAGATTAAACTGTAATTTAATTATATACTCCTTACTATATGTAGCACTATCCTATCATTAAAATATAAAATAATGCAAACTATTTACTTTCTTTTAATTAAATTCTAATAACTAATTATCAATTAAATAAATATGCCTAAATTTAATTTGATCAGTCTTTTTACTTATATTTTATAATAATTTACTAAAATAATATTTTAATTGTAAATTATAATAGATAATACTTGGTTTTTGATAATAAATAACACTTAACAAAAAAAAAATGAAAACTTATAAAAATAAAACAGTTATCTTTTGAAATCTAAATCTTTCTGCCTTTCAAGGAATAATTATTTATTTATTTATGAGTATTATTTAAAATATAAGCTAACAAGCATACTTTAGAAATTTTAGAAAAATACTAATACATACTTTAATTTTTTAGAAGCATCTTAAGACTAAAAAATCAGAAAATGGAAAAAAATAAATGCTTATTTCATGTATCATACTTCCTGATATTTGAATAAAGTTGGATATAAATTATAAAGTGTGAGGTAATATAAGATTACGTGATGTCAGAGAGATATAAATGCTATAATATTGATATTGAATATTGGCATATATTGGATTTTCAGAATAATAGAATGTTTTTGATTACTTATTCATAAACTATTTATCAGAATAAATCTTTTGAAGAATTAATTAATTTCTTTTCTAATATTATAAATAAACAAAAAAATCTTCAAAATTTAATATTTATAATTATCAAAAATAAAAAATTAAACATTTATCGTAATGGACCGTGTAGCATCTTTGAATTAGCAAATTACCTAAAATTTATGCAATGACTCCCGCAAAGTTACTATAGAGTATTTAGATAACAAGACCGTTGGTGTGATATATTTTAATTCTCCTAAAGATTTGAACTGTCTTTCTCTTTAGTTAGAAACAGAATTATCATAAAGCATTACTGAGTTAAACAACTCATAAGATGTTAAAGTTATTGTCATTTTATCCAAATTTCCTAAGGCTTTCTGTGCAGGTGCTGATATTACTAGATTCACCAAGTTATCTGTTTAAACAGAAATGATTTCTAATACTTTCTAAGTATATGATAATGTTCTTTTCAAGACAACTAAACCTATTATTGCAGGTGTTAATGGATTCTGCTTAGGAGGTGGATTTGTAAAATTTTATTTTAAATCTTTCGTATTTGATTAATTAAACATTTAAAATTTATCTTAGGAAATAGCTTTATCAGCAGACGTAATTTTCTGCTCTGATGATGCCAAGTTTGGATTCCCAGAAATTAAATTAGGTTTAATTCCAGGCATAGGAGGTACATAGCGTTTCTCTAAGATTGTTGGCAAAGTAAGAGCTAACTAGTATATCTTAAGTGGTCAATTCTTTGATGCTTAAAAGGCTAAGGATATGAATGTTGTAGCTGATGTTTATCCCAAAGAAAAGTTGCACGAAGAAGTATTAAAATATGCAAGAGAAGTCGCTTAGTGGTCTATGTACACTCTAATGACTGCTAAAAAATCTGTTAACAAATCTGAAGATTTAGGAATCACAGAAGGTATTAGCTACGAAAGAACTCTATTTTCTAGTTTATTCAATCTTCCAGGATCAAAAGAAGGTGTTGATGCCTTCATTAATAAGAGAAAACCCAATTTCAACAAAATTTGATATAAATATAAAATTAAATATAGAAATAAATAAATAATATTAATAATAAAAAATCAAATATGGATTATTCACAAATTGAATTAAGTGAAAAAGTATTTTACAAATATATGTGCTATTTGTTATCTTTAGAGAAAAGTTAAGTCCAGATTCAAACATTTTATATAATTTAAAATTAATCTCCAATAATTCTTTTTTTTTTTTGCAAAAATAAATATCTTATCAATAAATAAAAAGAAATTTTATTATTAAATTAACTCCAAATTAAACAATTTTTAATATTTTTATTGAATTATAGAATAAATATTTTCCTGATCTTTTTTAAAATCATTATTAAAATTTATTTTTTAAAAAGTGATTTAGCGTTGAAGCTTAAAATGTTTTTATGGAGAAATTTATTTAAAATAAAATCTTATTTATTTATTTAAAAAATTTTTTTATCTAGTTTTTGTGTGTGTTAGTCAAGTGAAAAAATATCCCTTATTGATTTTTAAATTAAAATTGCATGTCGTTATCTAATATAAAGATATTTTTTTTTGTAATATATTTAAAATTAGCGAAAGATAGATTATGAGCTATTGATAAATAGATATTGTTCAAATTTTTATCAAAATTTTTAAAGTAAAATTCAAAGATAGATAATTTTTTTTTTTTTTGATCAATAGAAAGTACTTTGAAAATTGAATTTGGGTAGATTTAAGTTAAAAAGATAAAGTAAATGAATAGATTAATTTGCATGTAAAAATGATAGTGAATGTTAATCTATTAGGTATCATTAAAATCAAATGGTTGTATGAATTTTAATGTTTTTAATTATTACAATTCAAGTTTTAGTGGAATAAACTAAAAATTGAAATTAATTTTTCGTAATAACAATATTTATTAGCAGAAGAAACAAGCAAAAAAATAGAAAATAACAAAGCGAAGAGATTTTAATTGATAATATTATCAACGACATAAAGATAGAATTTAAAATAGATTATTTCATCTTAACAAGAAAGAAGAAGAAATGAGCTAAGTAAGATAAAATATGCAAGGGTCATAGGTAGAAAAAGAAAAAACAGTAGGCCATTACATAATAGGTAAATATTTTTTGAGTTAACCTTACAGGTCAAAAATTAATAAGGAATTTAGTTCATTTTTATAAAAACTTGAGTCTTATAAATAGATCTTAATGCTTTTGTTTTAAATTAAAACGATTCTCTAATTATTTAGTCTTTATTCAAAATTTAACTACAATTAGGGCAGAATATAGGAGAGGGAACTTTCGGAAAAGTAAAATTAGGAACTCATATAGAAACACGCGAAAAGGTACTAAAGAAATTTTACAAACTTAACAGAAAATTGAAACCTGAATCAGATTAATTTTCTTTAATAAAATAAAATTTGAAAGTTAATCACAAAATTATCAAATAAAAAAGGTTGCCATTAAAATTCTCGAAAAAGATAAAATAACTGAATAAGCAGATGTTGAAAGAGTAGCTCGTGAAATACATATCCTGAAAATCTTGAGGCATCCAAATATAATTCAGCTTTACGAAGTAAAGAGATAGATTAAATTCTGTTTATATTTGTATTTATTTTTAAGTGCTACTGAAAAAAAATAAAATAAACAAACACACTTAATTCATAAATTAGCTGTTTTTTTGAATGATAGGAGTATGAAAAATTTTTCATTTTTTGATAGTAAAGTCAAAAGGCTCAATAAAAAAATAAATAGATTTAATGTGGCGAATAATTTTTTGAAAAATACAAATATATGACAAGATGGCATAATTAATATTGATCTAATTTTTATTTTTGAATGAAATAATAGATTATTGAAACATAGAAATAGCTTTATTTAATTATGGAATATGCGTAAGGAGGAGAGCTATTCGATTACATCGTTAAAAATTAAAAGTATAAATACTTATATTATTATGTATTATTCTATTTCAGAACCTCTGCAAATGTTTTATAACGCAAACTAGTTCTGATTGCAAAAGATTTAACAACTTTTACCCGAAGTTACTGATTTCTTTTTAAATATTTTTAGGATAAACGAAAGGGAATCTTGTAAATACATCTAACAGATCCTCTCAGGTGTGGAGTATCTGCATAATCTCAATATAGCCCATAGGTAATTTAAAATTAATACACTCATAATATCACAAAAAATTTAAGCATATCTACAAAAATTAATATTTTACATTATTTTCTACCTTGCTACACTCATGCTTGATTAATTGATTGCTTGGTTGTTTTGCAACACATTTGAATTAAATTAATAAATAAATAATCAAAATCATAATTTTTATTTAGAGTTAAATATCTGAAGAGTAAAGCTGTTTGAAATTTATAAATAATAGTTAATGAATATATTTTTGAATTTCTTTTAAATAGAACTAAAATAATCTTAAAAATAAAAATCTATTTGTAATTAATTTATTATAGAGATTTGAAGCCAGAAAATCTACTCCTTGACCATTAAAAAAACATAAAAATAGTTGATTTCGGTTTATCTAATTTATACAAGGAAGGAGAGCTCCTCAAGACAGCATGTGGCTCTCCTTGTTATGCAGCTCCTGAAATGATTTAAGGTAAAAAATATGAAGGACTTTGCGTAGATATTTGGAGTACTGGTATTATTATGTTTGCTTTAATCTGTGGGTATTTGCCATTTGAAGACTAAAATACATCTGTGCTTTATAAAAAAATTGTAAGTGGTGAATTTTCTATTCCTAGATGGGTTTCTACTGAAGCAAAAGATTTATTGAATTGTATTTTAAATACTGATCCTGTAAAAAGATATAAAATAAACGATATTCGCAATCATAAGTGGTATTTGTTGTTCAAGTAAAATCTTAGTAATGGAATATACGTAGGAAAGTAACTCATTCCTGTAAAATTATTTTTGTTTATTTTTTTTTTTAAATTATTTACTTAATTTTTATAATTAATTAATTAATAGGTTAACGAAGCAATATTGTAAAAATTAAAAGACTTTAATATCGATCTCGATGTTGCTAGGAAATGTATTGAAAGTAATAAACATAATGATATCACTACCACTTATTATTTACTCCTAAATAAGCATGTTTAACAAGGGGGTTCTTTAGAAGATATTTTCCCTTAGAATTAACCAAGGTAGTAATAGCCTATTTAATCTTAAGTATCTTCTAGAAATACAACTTCTACAACACCAAATAGTTCTGCTTAAACTGCCACTGGATCTTTTACAAATTAATATAATGTTAACTAATCAAACAATTATCCGAATAGCAGCACAATTTCGTAGAATTAACAAGTTTAGAATTCTTAAAACAGTGCTAACTATTAAAATTATAATTAATAGCAAAATGTTTCTCCTGTTTCTGTAAATCCTTAATAGTAGTATGATCCATAAACCTAGTAATCAAATGATTAAATAGAAGCTCAAAAAAGAATTCAATAACAATATTAAATGTAGTAGCAATAATAATAACAATAATAATAATAGCAACAATACAATCCAAATTTAGATCAGGAAAATTAAGAAGCTATTAAACTTTAAATTGCATAATTTGAGCAACAATAATAGTAGTTGATAGAATAACAGTAAAAAGAGTTATTGCTCAAATAGATGTAAATGGAGGAAGAATAAAAATAAAAACAAATATTTTTATAATAGCAGCAAGCAGCAGAAGAGTAAAGGCGTAAAAAACAGCAGTAAGAAGAACAGGAAATGATTCGCTTATAATTACTTAAATAATAGTAATATGAAGAGGAATTAGCAAGGTAACTACAAAAATAAAGAGAGGAGTAATTGAGAATATAGCTTTTGGAAGAAGAGTAGTAAAGAGCTAAAGCAAAATTGGAAGAGTAGATGAGGTAACAAGCTCTAATTGAGGAATAATAAAAAAAAAAATTGTTGGAGGAGCAACAATAATTCCTTTTAAGAAAATAAAAGTAAGATGAGGAATACGAATAAAATTTAAAGTAGCAATAATATCTTGCATAAAAGCAAGCCTAAATGTAATAGCAGTAGTAGTAATATAAGCAATAGCTAATTTAGTAATAATAATAGCAATAAGTTCCTGTTACAAGCAACCATTCTCAAAAATATTAAAATCCTTCTCCTTAATAGTAAGCTGTAACTACCTATAATGAAGCTATGTAAATAAACACTTATAGTCCTTCCAGTTAGCATAACTATGGTTAAAACTAACCACCTTCTTTTGCTCAACCTTTTGCTTATCAAAATTCAAATAACTTAAAGCTTCCTGAAGATAATTAATTCAGAGAATCTCTCAGCAATAACAATAATAGATAATCAGCTGCTCCTTCATTCTCTAATCAAACAGATTCTATGATTGAAATTAATGAAAATAATTAAGCTCCTTGTCTTAACTTAGAGGATTTTGATTAGGCTAATTCTAATACCTCGCTGAATGCCAACGAATAATGCGAATAAGTAAGAAAATCAATTGGTGAGAACACTCCAACACCTAAGAAATTGGAATTTAATAACTAACCTAATCGTTTGTCAATAGAAGATTAATAAAAGTAAACATTTTTTATTTAAATTAAATTAAATTTTATTTGTTAAAAAGACGTAGTAAAAAGAATTCGGTAAGTAACTCTCAAGAATTTAAATACTTCCAAAAGGAGTAAAGAGAAGAAATTTATGTTGCAAACACTAAAAAGAGCATTGATTTAACTTAATCATAAAGAAATTCTATTTAATACAATAATTTCATGGCAGGTGAAGAAAACCCTAGACCTTATGATCATGTCCTTTAGCCTGAACCTATACCTCAAAGTATTCAAAACAACTGGTATAATTCAAAATTTCGCAAACTAAATTACAATAAATTTTTTATTTTTTTAGGAATCAACATAATTAAGATAATCAAAACGGAACAATGTCATCTAATAGTTCAAATTATTACAAAGAGTTATAAGTAGTCAACTAGCTTTTAAGAGATTCTTAGCAAGGAAACACTCACCATATTAGAGAATAGTCATATTCCTAAGAGAGAGAAACTAAGTAACATGCATAAACTAATCAAGCACATCCTCATAATTCATAGCAAACTTAAGCATAAATGTTGATAAATTCTACAATTCCCAAAAACACTGTTAGTATAACATCTAATCACTCGATTAGCAATAATTCTTAAGCAAACTAAAATAACCCTCAAGTTCAAAATGGAGCTGCTGCTGCTTAACAGCAGTTTACTAGTGCATCACCTGTGAGTGGAACTCATAAGTAAAATATGAACTCCAACGTAGCTTAGAGTTTCTCAAACAACTCTAATGTGAGAGGTTCTTAAACAATTGCTATTAATAATAATAGCAACAATAATGGAGATAGTTCTAAATTTATTTCTCCAAGATAAAGTATGGATGGAGCTTTAAAGCTTTTAAGCAATAAATAAAGAGATGAAAATGTTCGCTAAAGTGCTAACTAAAGCTTAACTGCAACAAACACTCCTAATAGTATGAACAAAAAACTCAAAAACAATCTAAACACACTATCAGTTACAACTTCAAGCAGTAAATAACCTTCTGCAAAGTAGTCTCCTTCACCCAAAAGCAAAAGCAAATTACAGCAATAGCAACAACAGATGCAATAATAAAACAGCATGCATTCTTCAGTAAATAACCACTCAAATGGATATCATTCTACTCTCCCTTCTCACAATATAAAATTGTAAAACAAATTAATTTTATTGAATAATAATTATTAAAACAATCCTAATATGAATAAAAATTATAATCAAAAAAATAAAAAATTTAAAATAAAAAGTTTTTTTAATTTTACTTTTCTTATTTAATATTTTAAAATTTATATAAAGGACTAACAAGAGTTAAAGTTCAGGTACTAGCAACAACAATAATCAGAATAGTCTATAAAATTCTTAATTAGGATAATCAAAGCTAGTAAATAACACTTAGACTTAATAATAGAATAAGCCTGTAAGTTAATCATCTTCAATAAATTCAACCTAAAATGCTATATCTGTATCTAACACTTAATAAAGTATTAGTATGAGCAATAATAATACCTCAAGCTAATAAGGTTACTCATAAAATAATATTAATTCTAACAATCAATAAAAAAATTCTAAAAATAATGATATTTCAGAAAATTTAGCAACTGAACCAAATTACACAAGTAAACATGTTCAATAGTCTTCTCAGTCTAGCAATGGTTAATACTAAAATAGCAGCAATATTAATAATGGATAAATAAAAAACCATTCTTTATCTATAAGTAAATAAAATGCTGTTTCTCCAAGAATAGCAACTGAAAACAGTGATCCTTATTATAGATAGCATATATATTAAAATAATTCAAATAGTAGCAGTTCAAAATCTTACATGAATTCATCTAAAATAAGTCCATCTACTACTACTAATGCTTCCTATCAAAATAAACACTTAACAGTCTAAAGTAAATTTATTTTTATTTATATGATTTTTTTATCAAGTTAAAATTAATATTATAATTCATAGGTGGTATTAAGGTTCACAGAGGCCCATTCAATCTCAGAGCAATTACAAATAAAGATCCAAAATATATTGTTTCTGAACTAATAAAAACATTGGAATCTTTTAAAATGTATTACAAGCCAGTAAATTAATTATCAATTCATTCACTTTTAGTAAATAAATGCATTTAACCTAATTCTAAATTTATAAATAGACTTCTAAATTTGATATCAGAGTAGAAAAAGATTTGGTCAAATTTGATATTTCTGTAAATATACTTCATAATGTCGAAAATCTTTTTATAATAAAATTCACTCGCCTGATAGGTGATACACATAAATACAATGAAATATGTAATAATATTCTCAACTATGTGCAATCATCTACTAACCACGAATCTTCTTCATAAGTTTTTAGGTGAGCTGATACAAAAATAATAAACAATGCTAAAAGTTAGCTAGCCTTCATGATTAAATACTTTTTAATATAAATTCATCATTATATACAATAAACATTAAGAGAAATTAGACTTTAAAAATTGACAATAAGTGTTTTCTAAAAAATAAAAAACTGATTTTTAGCTTTATAATATATGAAATAAATAATTACAATGAATAAAATTAAAGTTAATAAATATTAAATAAATCTATCTACAAAAAAACTATGAAGATCTTATAAAATAAATCCTTTATCCTCCAAAATACCTAATAAATCAATAAAGAGCTATATGTGCTTATTTATATATAAAACTTGTTTATAACTATTTTCCTTGTTTTCATCATGATTTTTGCGATTTCACAAAAATTTAATCATTGAGAATAATTAATTATTTAAATCTTTTTATTCTAATTTATTTATTAAATAATTAAAAATTCCATTTAATTTTTAAAATTAAATTAATTATTTTCATTTATTTTGAAATATTTTAACTTTTTTTAAAGACTTGCTATGAAAATAAAAATAAAAATAATTTAATTAAGTGTATTTTTATATTTTTGATAAAAACAATCAAATAATTTAAATTAAGAAAAGGTTTTTAATTTTATAAAAATTATGAAATATAAATTTTAATATTTGATTTGTCTAATCAATAAATAAATAATATTTTTCTTTTATGTTAAATGTGTTAATTCGAATTTGCTAAAAAATGTAAATTTTGTTTGAATTTAAATTAGATATTAAGATCAAATAATAAAATTGCAAATAAATTTCCATTATCGAAATCACTATTTGATTAAATTTTACTAATAGATTAATATCTATCTGGTCTATTTATATAAATCTAATATTTGATTGATTTTATAGACTTTGCCCTTTAACGCTTGGTTTTATATTATTATTTAAGAATACTAATTGCTCGAAAATAAATTACTTAATTAATTAACAAATATTCGAATTAAAAGGTGTTTACTCTTAAAAAAATATTAAAAAATGAAAACAATTCGTACTCGAAAGCTATTTGAGTAATTTAATACAATTAAATATTTAAAATTTTATGCAGAATTAAATTTATAAAAAATAGAAAAGTTTGTAAAAGTATTGTAATGTGAATCAATTTATTATTAATGATAAGTATATTTGTAATGCTTAAAAATACAAATTTTTAATTATTTAATTATTATATGGCTGCCAGTATTTTGTTGTGGATTACTTACTTCAATTTTAAATAAAAATTTACGGAGACAGAAAATTTTCAATTTTATTTTTTAATTTACCTTAAGTATTTGATTGAAAACCATAAATAATAATATTTTCGATCACTACCTTTGTTTTTTATATGCTAATTGATTGGATTACCATGTTTCGATTATAATTTCTTTCTGACTAAATTAATAACTCTAAAATCTATTTGCCAAAACAAAAAAAAACAAAAAATTTTTGCATAATTGGTAAAGAGAATAAGTGATAATACCAGTAATTAAAATAAAGAAAGCTTTGAAAAAAGATATTTATTTCTATTCAATTGGCTTTATTAGATATAACTTAAAGTCATCTTATCTAAACTTGTTTTTTCGTTTTGAAGATGATATCTTCAGGTGTTTATAAACATAAAAACAGTCTTTCTCCTTAAGAAAACCCCATTTCATTATAAAATTCACCAGTTAAAATGCAAAATAAACATAGTAATCATGTAAGAGATAGCAAATCTGTAAACACAAGTATCGAAGCTAAAAAGAAAGGTAATTATTTTTACATAATATGTACATTTATAAGCTGATTTTATGTAAATTGCTCAAATATGTTATAATATTGTTTTATTATAATGAAAGAACTCATTTTATTTTTTTAACAATTAGAAGTATCACAAAACATTAAGAAGTAATCAAAGCAAGCTCTAAATAAAATATTGGTAAAACTTATATTAAATATTTAGTATATCAAAATTAATAAATCTATATGTTATTGATATTAAAATGCTTTTTGAAATATATAATTAATACTCACTCTTCTTTGAAAGAAGGATAATTTTGCAAGCTTGCAAAATTAAAAAATGAGTTCTTATTAAATATTAAAATATTATAATTATAAAAAATAGTACAATCCAAATAGCGATGATAAAAATTTAGGGATGTATCATAATAACCATTCTAGGAATTAGCTTGAAGATATGATTTAGCAACAATAAAATTATTATTCAAATCATTAACCATAATAGGCATAATATGGAAATTAAATTTAAAACAACTCAAGTGCTTTGATAAATAGGAAATAAGAGAATATTAATACACATGCTAGTCATAATAATGATTCAAGCAATATTTATTAAACTCCGCCAAGGACTAAAATATTGAATTATAGCAATTGGGAGCCAAATATTGATAGCACTCTACCATATATTCATTAAAACATTAATCATTAATCTTAGAAACATTAATAATTGCTTTAGCTGTAGACAACTTAAAAAAAGCAATAGAATTCATAAAATCGCACTAATTCCTAAAAAACAAAGAAAAAAGAAGATATACTTGCACCTTACATTTATGGAAACAACCCTTTTAAAAATCCCTAATAGGGTGCTACTTTGAGTGGAGGATTTAGATATCAACCACCTCCATTTGTAAGTACTATTAAAAAGTAAGTAAAAAAAAGCAAAAATAGCTAAAACTAATATAACGCTAATCCTTCTCTTTCTGAAAATGAAGCTGACGATGATGTAAATGTTACTTATCATCACCCTAGCCGTAATAGAAATAATTTAGATAATCCTCTCTAGCAACCTTAAAATATATTGGATTAAATTTTTTAACCTTAAAACTAAAATGTCAATAATACTATGAAAACAACAAATTAAGAAAAAACCAATGATATTGTTAAAACAAGAGCTTCAGCTTCTTTTAACAGTGACCCTTCTCGTGACTTAACAGCATTAACTGATAGTGAAGCAAATGATTAAACTTCCTAAAGTAGATATTATAGAAAGAAGTATACTGTTAAAAGGCGTGCAAAAGAAGAAGAGTAATCTAAATAATTATAAGGCTTTTCTTCAAATAGTAGATAAGCTACTAACAATTATTACCACAATAAGTAAGAGGATATTGATAAAAAAAAAGATTAACCTAGCACTACTTTGAGAAACAATTGGAGCTAATACGAAAATAGCCAAAAATAAGATAATAATGACAAGTAATATCTAACATAATATTCGAATACCATGAATCAATAACAAATTTAGGGATAGCATAATATACTAAGCGAAGATTCCAGATAACATTCAACTAGCGTTAATGGAGGAATAAATCCCTACTTAAGAGTAAGTCATTAGTCTTATGATTCCATAGCTAATTAAATTTTAAGTACTATCCCTAAATCTTCCCATTCTACCAATGCTAAATTAATAGAGAATTTTTACAATAAAGGCGATAATTCTTATGTTGCGAAGTAAACTGAATTATCAGATACTTCTTTGCCATAAATATAATTTGTTAATACATAATCAGACTAACAGAAAATACATGGTGATAGCTTATCTTAGCAATATGATCGTTCTATATTGAATACATTCAACTTAGATAAAACAATTAAATAAAACTCGTAGATTCATACGTAAGAAAAGTGTGAAGATGATGGAAAAGCTCTTTCTTCAGTTCCCTCAAAACCGAGCTATGAGTATAATATAAATGAAATAGGTTCAGATAAAAATGGAAGAAGGGTAGGAGAATTTTTGCCCATAACAAACCAAAGAAATGATAAAAAAAGTAGAAGAAAAGAAAGATCAAATTCATATCGCATGCAGCACCTTGAATAAAAAGAAAGCTAATTGATAAATATGGCTTACAGAGAAAATGAGTTTGGAAATAAAATGCAAACAAAAAAATCTCATGTAGCAACGTTTCATGAAGGAAACCAGCTTCTACCTCATCAAAACATAATACTTAATAGCAGGATGAATGAAATAAAGAAACAAATATAAGTTAAAGACATATAAAGATTGGACATTAACATTGATTTAATTGAAAAGTAGAAAGAAAATAAGATCGTGATAAAATAATAAGTTAATGGTTAGACTAGCCATCCTTAGAGCTAACTAAGTAATCATGTTAACACACATTAATCAAGAAGAACTAAAAAAACATCTAGTGCTCTTGAAAATGGAATTTATTTATATAATAACGACTTTGAATTTGAAGAAGAAGCAAGTCAGTATTAATAACCAAAATAATAAGGTTCTGCTGAAGTTTAAAAGGTTTCTGAATATCAAAATAACTCAAATATTATTTAGAATTAAGTTGTGAAAGGCTAATAAAAAGAAAATAATCATAATGTTTCTAGTTTACTAGCTAAGGATAATAGAGAGAATGAATTAGTTAACAACAGTGATATTAGCACAAATATATCTTCTCCAAATCCCTCCATATTAAATGAAATGAATGATAGAAAGAACAATCAACATGCAAACGAACCTCATACAAGACATAAATTAGCTGAAAAAAGTCACTCAGTTATGCCTCATAGTTAAAAAATTGACAATAATTTAGCAAATGAAAGTTTTTTGATGAACAAAGATTCTCATCACACAAAACACGATTAAAAAAACACAAACAATAGCCTTTCTCCAGACTCATTTTTGAAAAATGAAAGCATGATGATAAAATAAAAATTAGCCAAGGCTTGTATAAGATTCTCGGTTTTAGGTGGAGGAGAAGTCATAGAAGCCGAAGATTTTTCTTTGAAAAGCATAGATTAAAATGGCTAATCCTTTAATAAGTATAGAATTAACATTAAAAATGTTGTTGAAATCGAAGACTATATGGAGTAAATATGCTAACATTTAGCTAACCAATCTTATGAATATATGAATTCAGCTGAGCAGTTTATTATTATGATTAATGAAGATCCTCAGTACAACATAAACCAAGTTTATGTAAATTATTTGATATAATATTTTTTAATTTCTTATGAATTTTATTAAACTAAAGAGATTTTTCAGTGATGAAAAGTTATCTAGAGTTGGCAAAGTTTTAACAGTGCTGGAGCTTATATCTGTCTATTTGATAATTAAAATAGGAAGAACTAAAAAAACTTCAATCAGATAGTACTATCCTAAAATGAAAAGTCTTTTGACATACACTCATTAAAGCTTTTTACTTTTTTGGGACCAAATATACTTGATGTTCTCATAAAACATAGAAGATAAGGTAAGAAATTATTCAAATATTAAACTTTCTATTTATACAATGAATTAATAGGATTGCTTAGAAAGACTAAGAGAACGTATAGAGGAGAAAAGACAAGTCAAGTTAGGAAATAAAAAATCATCTTACCTTTAATTAAAATAGAATTATGATATTATTTGTAATCTCATAAAGCCATTGTAAAATATTTCTTAGTGTTATTTTACATTTTTAAATATTTTTTTTTGATAAAGAATTAAAGAAATAAAAGAAATAAGTTAAGATTTAGCTAAGTTATTTAAGGTATTTGAAGATCAAACAATTGTAGAAACCTTTAATACAGTAAAGTAAATCTTTGGTGAAGATTTGGTAATTTTTGAAAAATTTATAATTAAAGAACATGTTCATTTTAATTTAACAAAAATACAAATTAGATTTAAAATGAGAGCAGTCTTAAGGAATAAGAAAATGATTAAAAGTAAAACAATACAGGAAAACCAATTAATCAAACTAATAAGAGAGTTAGAAACGTTAAGCCTTTCTTACCATAATTAGACACAAGCTAAAAAACATTAACTCTTGTATTAGATTTAGATGAAACTCTCATTCACTTTTATGAAGTACTTACTTGCTTTTAAATAATATTTTTTATAAATTCTTATTAAATTTTGTAAAAAAGACTCGTAATGGCGGTTAATATCAAAAGAGACCTTTTTGTGATAAGTTTTTAAGAGAAATGAGTAAGCTATATGAATTGGTGATATTTACTGCTGGAACAGAAGACTATGCAAATTGGTATAAATTTGACATCTCTATTTCTAATATAATTTTTTCATATTATTTTATTCAGGGTTTTGGATTCATTGGATAAAAACAAGTTCATTTCATATAGATTATATAGGTAGCATACAAACTTTACAAACTGTGTTTATGTGAAAGATCTAAGTAAAATAGGTAGGGATTTATCTAAAACAATAATTGTTGACAATGTGCCCGAGAATTTTAGGTTGCAAAGAGAAAATGGAATTGGAATTAAAAGCTGGTATAACGATAGAAATGACACTGCTCTAAACGATATAATACCTGTACTCACAGAATTAGCCTAATAAAATCCAGAAGATGTTAGAATAGCTTTAAAAAAGCTCCGCTAGAAGTATCCACCTCATAAGGTGAGAGGAAATTTTGATCTTCCATATTGAAAGATTTAATTTCCATTAATAAATATAAAAATAAATATCAACTTTAAGTAATAATTTTGAGAGTTAAAAAAATTTTCCTTAATACTATGTAGATTTTTTAATAAAATATGAAGATTATAAAATATTAAACAAATGGACTTAGTTAGAGAAAAAGATATAGAACTTACTAATTTATTCACAGATTATAAAATAATTTCTGATCAAATAATTTATTTTTTCCACTCTATTAAATAAACAACAAAAGCATTATTTAAATAAAAAATAATTCAAGATAATTGAATGCTTTATTTACTAATAAACATATATAAATTTATTTATAAAAAATATAGTTAAGCGAATATTTAAACTATTTGTATATCTATTTATCAATCAATCAATATTTCTTTATTTTTGTACATAAAATTTTAATGAGATTTATAAATTCAATTTTCTAAGAAAAAAATAAACATTTTTTCACTCTTTTAAATATTTTTTGAGACATTAACTGTAATAGAATTTCACAATTGTTTGGGATTCATACATACCCTATTAGTTTGATATATTAAAAATAAAAATTTGAATATAACTATGTTTCGAGCACATTCTTTTTATATTCTTTTCATATTTCTATTTAGACTGTCTATAATTCATTTTAGATAAAAATTGTTTAATTTTCAAAAGCAAAAAATTTTGGTAAGGGATTATTTTTCCCGTACATTATTTTTCTATTAGGCTCTTTGTCACATATATATATATATACATTATTGAAAATAAATAAATGATGATTTTTAACTGAAGTAAGAAAATTAATCGATCATTGAATATTTTTTAGGATAATTTAATAAATTAAATTTTCTTAGTATTTTAATTTAATAAGTATTTATTTTTAATAATTAATAACAAAAATTATAAGATGTTGGATGATTTCTATCCTGTTCAAAATAAATTTATTTATTTAAATTCTTTTCGATACTATATTTCATTTAGGGTCAATATAATAAATAAAACCATAGGCTTTAAAAAAATTGATTGGATTTACTAAAAAATTAATGTAAATTTAAAGTTTGAAAATCTAACTAATTTGATTGAGATGATGGCAATGACAATAAATATTAAAATTTCTTATAGCTTTTACTTGAATAATTTGATATAATTTCGAAGGATGTTTATTAGAAACTAGCTAGTTTGGAATAAATTTTTTATTTTTAAATATTGATGTGATTTAGGCATTTTGATAATATAATTTAATTTAAGGTAAAAATAAACAAATCTAAAAAAAATTAAATTAATCAAAAATGCCTCCCAAAAAAGGACCCAAGGAACCCGAAGTTAATGTCCCTGAAGGTGACGCTTCTGCTGGTAGAGATATTTTCGATGCCCAATGCTCTGCTTGCCACGCTATTGAAGGTGACTCTACTGCCGCTCCCGTTCTCGGTGGTGTCGTCGGAAGAAAGGCCGGTTAAGAAAAGTTCGCTTACTCCAAGTCCATGAAGAACTCTGGTATCACTTGGAGCGACAAGCACCTTTTCGTTTTCCTCAAGAATCCCTCTAAGCACGTTCCCGGTACTAAGATGGCTTTTGCCGGTCTTGCTGCTGATAAGGACAGAGCTGATCTTATTGCTTACCTCAAGTCTGTTTGAACAAAATTTAGCAAGCATTAATTATTATGTTCATAAAACCAATTAAAGCATTAAGTTAAATTATTTTTGATGTAAATTTGTGTTATGCGTGTACCATAAGTAGATGTATTCTCAGGTTTATCTATTATGCACAAGAGCTCATCTTAATTTCAACTCCAATATAAATAAAATTACTCATTTCAATAAATTATTTTATTCTAAATAACAAATAATATACATATATCCCACCAGCAATATTCTACTAAGCGTTTCCAATTATGTTTTGTAAAGTGGATTCTCAAACGCTATAGTTTGCTTAGAGAGCAAATTCATATTTATTTGTTTTCCTACATGTGCTAGCATTTATCATGCATCCCTTTCCAATATTTTTATTTTACTTTGTTGCAATAAACTCTGTTGTTTTAAGGCTTAGTTTGAAAATAGAAATTTCTGAAAAGAACTAAAAACTCATATATTTATTTTTTTATTTATTTTTACCACATGCTATTTAATTTTATTTTTAAAACTTACTTATAAATTCATACATAATATAATAGTTTTTATTCGCTAAATCAACAAATCCTTTTCATTATAAAATTTTAATATTTGAAAACAATTCAGAATTCTAGTTTATTTGAAAAATTGGTAGTAACTAATATTTCAAAAGTATAAATAGTTTTTAACTTATAGAGAAAACAAAAATATCTTTTAATATTAATTTCTACAATTTTTTTATTTTATTGATCTATTAAAAAAATTATTGTGTCTAAAGATAAACAATAATACGTATTATGTTTTAACAATTTATTTTTGATGATAAAATATATTCATCTTAATTAAGTCTAATTTTATTAGCTGCACTATTACCTTAAAAAAAGAAGTCATACTAATAAGTTAATTTTTTCATTGCTAAATTTTGATAAAATTATTATTGTCAAATATAAAATTTTTCATTCCATTTAATATACAAAAAAAACTAAATATTTCTTTTATTTATAAATATTAAAATTTAAAATTATCAATACAGTTTTATATTTTTGTGTATTCACTTTAACAATGTTCTTATAATAACCAAGATAAACATAATTTTAATTAAAATTCTAAGGTATTGAATTAAACTGGAAATAAAATTAAATTAATTTTATTTAAGTTTAGGCATTTTAAATAAAAATTAAATAAAGGATTTTGTTTAATATTTTAGAGCAAATTTTTAATTGAAATCTTATTTTGAAGCTATCAAATAAATGAATTATTAAGTATTTTAAAAAAATCAATTTAAGTTATGTGTTAAAGTGATATAAATTATAATAATTCTAATAAATACTAATATAATTTTAGAGCGGGTTTATTTTAGGTTATGTGCTAAAAGTGGTATATTAAAATAATCCTAATAAATACTAATATAATTATAGAGCACAGCGAGTTTTTAATTTTAATAAATAATAATACTTTGAAATAATTTAGAAGATACAAAAATAATATTAAATGGAAGACTCTGCTTTATTAGAGAAATTAAAAGGATAAAAATGGGATCGCATAACAGCAGATGAAGACAAAGGTTTGAGACTTCTTCTCCCAGAATAAGGATAAAGCTAAAAAATCCCTTACATGTATAGCCCTTAATTGGTAATAAGCTTTGCAAAAAAAATTTAAGAGGAATAGATCATAAATGGCTTTTCAGCCCTTAAAAAATTAGGATTATTATAAGATTTGTAAATAAATGTTTTTTTGGATTTATTTGCAGATACACCAGCATTCAAAGATTTACTACAAAAAGTCTCCTATTAATTAGGGTAGCTTAAGGTGTTAAAAAATTTAAAGATTCTATAGGTTTAGTCTTATAGTTAAGGATAAGAATATCTTCTAAATGATATCTATAATATAGTTCAACTTCAGAATTTGGGTATTTAAGAATCATGGAGTATTCATTAAAACAATTCTAATTTATTGTTCGACAGTACTTATGCTAACTAATTTTAAATGATATTTAAATGCAGCTTTTTAAAGAGATTGAGCATAGATTTAACTAAAAATATCGAATGTAATGAATAATTCAAAGAAGAATTGAGAAAACTTCAAAATTTAGTTTAATTAGAGGAGTTCCATATTAATTCAGGCATCAAAAATGAATCTTTTTATGATTTGTTAGGATATCATTTATCTAAGCTTCCTAATCTCAAGCATTTAGGTATTGGAATCGAAAATAATGATATAGCTGAGGTTGGTCAATTTAGTAATAATATTATGAGACTTTCTTAAAATATTTGTAAATCACTTAGCATAGAATCAGTAACAATAAATACAGTTAGAATAGGAGAATAAGAAGTAGAATATAACTAAGCAATTGATTTTATTTCCTAAATAAAGCAATTAACTAAACTTAGAATAGTGGCTTTAAATCATAGCAACATATTAGATAAACTAAATTAATTTACTTCATTGCAGAGTCTTAATTTGGTTTTAGATAAAACTTTAAACACGTAATAGCTTGAAGCCTTAAAAAGTCTTACTTTATTAAAAAGATTAGATTTTTTTTCTGTTTAAATTATGGATCATTAAAAATTAAGAGAACTGTTGGCAACAATTAAGTGCCTTAAAAACCTAACTTATATTTCTATTCCAGATTACCATTGGCTTATTTAGAAAATTAAAAAAGCATTACCTAACTTGGTAGAGTTTGAGATTATTGATTCAGAAACTGCATATTAATGAATTACTTTATATATTGTAAATGTTTTTTAATTTGTGTAAAAAGAAAGATTAAAATTTTAAAATATGCTTCGAGACAAATCAATTCAAATTAAAATAATAATTTTTTCTTTTCTCAAATTTCATAAATTGAACATTTTTCATTATTTTAATCAGTTTTAATAATAATAAAAATAAATATATTATTTAAAAACTAATTAGAAATATAAAATATAAATTATAGTTTCAAATTAATTTAGCAATTTAAGCTGCTTTTTGTTAAAATAGTTTATTATTAGGATCTTTTAATTGTTATTAATGCAAGGCGTAAACAGTTTTAGCATCATGGTCATCATTAGACAAAGCAACCTTTTTAAATATTTCTTCATATGAAGGGAGATTTTCTTAAATTTGTATATTATTAATTTATTTGTTAATATTTGAGTAATCAAATAATTTAAAAGTAGTTATAAATGCACTCATTAAGCCTATAAAATAAGATTAAAAGGCTTATTTTTCATCATTCATCAAATTAAGGACTTTCTAAAAAGATAAAAAGCTGTTGAATCCATGCATTATAGTAAAGTTACTTGTTTGCCAATATATCTTAATTAAAAAATCTACCAATTCCTTTTGAGTTTTTTCTCCCTCATATAAAATAGGATGAGATAAGATATCCCTAAATACTTAGTCTGAATCTATAATTTTCATTCTATCAACAATTATTCCTGATAGATTAACTTATTCAAAATGCTCTCTTTTATCTAGAATTTTTTCTATTATTTATGAAACTGACAGGGCAGGTTTTTGTTCATCAACACTCATTAATTCAAAATTGCAAATAGCTATATAAGCAAGGATTTAAGGATATGCATCAGTTAGATTCATTTCTAAAAAGAAACCTAACTTAATAATACCTAATATCAAAATAAATAGATAAAATTTAATTTGCTAATTAAAAAAAATTACAATGAAAGGCTTCACTATAGAGAAAAGAAGGCATTTGGTTTAAATAATATTTAAGAAACTGTTAACTGTTTTCGAATCTGTTTTATTCTTACTCAAAGAAATCTAAAAAATTGTAAAATTATTCTTCTTTGCCAAGATAATTTTTATAATTTTGTTAATCGATCACATTTTAAGGAAAATGAGCTACTTCTCTTGTTACTTTTTTAGTCATATAATTTAAATAACTCTCACTTGCTTCTATAATTCTTTCTTTAGATGCACCAATATAGTATAAGCTGTACATCATCATGGGATGATGAATTGATAGTCCACATAGATTTTATTGATTGCAATATCTTGGTAATAGATTCAGCTAATCTTTTATCAATTTTACAGTAGTTTCGTAAACTTCTTAAGACATTTTTAGATTTTTTATTTATTTGGTTTATTAAATTTTTTGATATTAATTTATTATATAAAATTATGTTAATACTACTTTTTAATTTAGTCAATATTTTCGATAATTAATCTAATTTATCATTTTTAGCATAATGCATTTAATTTTTACGTCACTAATCTTGTATGATTATCAGAAAATAAAATCAGATTTTGTTAGCATCGAAAATTTTTAGAAGAAAGATAGAAAAATGATCGAAGAAATAGAAAAAGTACAAAAATAAATTTAATATTTGTCAAAATTTATTGAGAAGTATTTATTATATAATATTAGGATCTACAAAATGGTAAAATTTATTAATCTAAATTAAGCTATTTAAATTAATAATTAAATAAGTTTTGATCATTTATGAAATTTCTAAACTAAAATCTAATTTAAATTTATTGCTTTTAATTTAAGAAATAATGTAAAAAAATAAGAGAGCTGTATCAATTTTCATTTCAAAATTTTAAAGTAACTAATTAATAACAACCACAACTCCTTTATTCTTATAAATTCATACATTCTTGAGTGAGGAATTCATAAAAAAAATAATATAAAAAATATTTTACCTATTTAAATACAGTGAGGACTTAATTGTTAATTATCTAAGTATTTATTTTTAAACGATATTTAAAGAATAGATAATTGAATATAGTTTTTAATTTATTTACCCATTATAATTATTTTTAAATAACAATACAAGAAATTATAATTTTACTATAAATTAAATCAGTAGTTATATACAATTTACTTAATATCTGTTTTAGCTGATTTTCATATATTTAGGAAAAAATTAATTAAAACTTAGTAAATTTATTTTAATGCAGAATAATAGATAAATATAAATTTACTTCATTAATTAATAATATTTTTTTAAACAAAAAGTAAATTTAGTAATATCTAAGAGCAAAATTCTATAAAAAATATAAACTTACTTAAAAGTTCATTAACTTAAAATACTGAAAAATTGCAAAATTAGCTTCATTTTAAAAATATTTTGGCAATATTTAATAATTTAAAGATTTTATATTTTCTAAGTAGCAAACATTCATTTTTTTCCCAAATTTAAATTAAAAAAATTATTAATATTTAAAATATTTTAATTTTAATTAATACAAAAAGTATTTATTATATATTAATAATTTCAAATTATAAAAATTCAGTAAGAAATAAGTTCAAAATCTATCTTAGTTTTGGGAAAATAAGATTTGACTTTTTATGGTATCAAATAATTAATTATGAATTATTTTATTTTAAAGAATTTGTTTCATAAGTTATTTATTGAAGGTTTAAAGAGTTTTTAATTAATTAATTAATTAATTAATTATTTAATCTAATTACAAGAAATTGCTTACATTTTATTAAGTTGTAAATGTAAAAAGCTATAAAAAATTCAATTGTAAAATAGCAAAGAGAAGCTAAAGATTTAGGCTCTTTCAGAAAGTAAAGGCTATTTTAGAATATATGTAAGAAAAATCTTATAGAAGTTGAAAACGTTTATGTTGAGTAATCAGAGGGCCACTAATTATATGATGCCCATTTAAAAAAAATGAAATAAGCAAAACCTAAAACTATCGAAGATATTCAAAAAGATAGAGCTAATCCTTTAGGGATAGATAAAAAATAAATAAATAAAGCTAATAATCTCTTGCATGAAATAGATAAAAAGGAAAAATAATTATCAGAGAGCTTTATGATCAAGCAGAAATTTCAATAAAAAATTCCTGTCAATATGAATGGAGTGAATGATAATTAGTTTTATTATGACTCATTAGAAATTAGAAGTTTAAATGAATTTATGTTTTTTTATGAAATTCTTAAAAGAATAAAAGCAGATAAATAGCACGAAGAACAGCGTGCTTTATTTAAAGCCAAACTGCAAAAAATATGGGAGTTAGAAGCTTTAGCAAATAACAGAACTGTTTAAACTAATAATAGCACTATCAAAGACTCAAATAAAAATGATAGTAAACTAAGTAGAATATAAAGTGCTAATAGTCAAAGCAATAATAGTAGGTTAAAGTTATCTATGATCGAAGGATCTCCAAAAACATTCATTAATTCAAATAATTTAAAAGGATTTTCTCCCTCAGAATCTCATAGTAATTATAAACACATATTCTCACTCATTGAAATTATTTATTTTTATTATTTAAATTAACTATCATTTAAACATTCTTAAAGGGTATAATACTCTCTCTTTAAAATGGAGTTTTAATCATAAAAAAATTGAATAATTTAATCTAAAGTAGAAATTATTTAAAATTTATCCTTATCAAATTAGAATAAGAAAATGAGACTCCGACTTCTACAAGTCAGAAGGCAAATTAAAAAAAAAAAACTGGGAGAATAGGCTTAACCTAGAGAGTTGAAGAACTAAAGAACAGAGATTCACAAATTAAATTTCTTTCAATAAAGCCTTCAAAAGATTCAAATGAGGTCGATACAAAAAATAATTCTTAGAAATAAAAAGTAGATTAGAAGGTAGGGACAGATGAGTTATAAATACCTAATTCTACCAAAAATGTGAAGAGCTAAAAAGAATTTTAAGGAACAAGCAAATTTATGACCATGAAATAGGCTGACATCTAATTGGTTGAACTATTAGAAAAAATTAGAAAAACCACAAAAACAAGTGAAAAGAGAGAGAAAACATAAAATTTAATTGTCCCAGGTATGAAAAAAGGTTTTAATGCCTAAGATATCAATAATGTGGTAGATTAGGCAATAGAGAGAGCAGGAAAGACAAAAAATGTAGTATCAATGCAATCCTTTACAACTTTAGATTAAAATAACTTAAAAGTTCCAATTTTAAATAAGATGAAGAGACCTACAGATTATATTTCTAGAGAGAAAGATTCTTTTAATTTTAAAACAAGAAATGCTTCTGATTTAATTATTGGAGACAATTTTGATACTGAACCTAAAGAATAGAATAAATTATTTAAAGTTAATTAGGTCAAATCTTTGAATGTAATCAAATTAACTGAGGGAATAAAGAGCAATAAAAATAATTCATAGTAGCAATTAGCAAGTGCTCAAGATTAAAATAACATCCAAAAAGATCGAGAAAGCTTTTAATTGAACGTGATCCATGAGACAGAAGAACATTAGCTTTAAGTTAGATAAAGCAATCAATTAGATTTTGGTAAAAAAAGATAGTTTTCTCCAGAAAATTAAAATTAGGAGAATTTAAATTCTAATTAAAGGAGAAATAGCTCAAAAGGCTTGCAATAGAAAATAGATTATCAAATTAAAATAACTACTGAAAATGAATAGAGCGATTAAAAAACACTAGAAGTAGAAAGCAATAAATAAGAAGTAAGAATGTCTGATTTAATAGATTTATCCTATGCCTAACATACTGAAAAAATAGATTACTTGTCTAATAAAATTGATAAAAATTCTTTAGAGATTATGAATATCAAAAAAGATTCTGAATTCTTTTCAAGTAATAACGACGAAGATATTAAAATGAATTAGTTTTTGATGGAGGAAAAAGAAAATAATGAGTAACCCAGCAATTCTTTGAATACATAATAAATCCCTTAAAGGTAGAAGAAATATACTCTAGAACATATTGATAGAGATTCATAACATTATTTAACTATTTAGGATGAAAATAGGCATAAGCATAATATTAACCATTCATCTCCTGATTTAGATTAAAGTTTATCACCTCCAAAATTAACTTAGATTTATAAGAATAAAAGCCAAAATTCTTTTACAACACTCTTAGTACCTAATAGAGATTCACTTGTTCTTAAAGGTTCAAGTTATAGGGAAATTTCAATGAATTTTACAAAAAAGGAAATAGATAAATTCGAAATAGAAAAAAAAATATAACAAAATTTGGATAATATTCATAAATAGCTTAGAATTCAAAAGAAAGTCAATCTTCCATAAAAACTGTAAAGAAGAATAAGATCCAAGCAAAGAAGTGCAAAAGAATAGTAGGAAAAATATCCTTTTAAATTCTCTCCTTCCTTTATATCTAATTGGGTAGATTTAAGATCAAAGATAGAGCAAAGATATGATATACCATCCAAATTTCATGTACATAAGATACTTAATGATAGAATCAGAGAAATAAAGCATCAAAAAAGAATAAGTAACTCAGCAGACAATTCATTTTATATTTATGAACCAGAGTATAACAATTATTACCTATGAAAGTTAAACCTAATATCATTAAATAAATAACCTTATTTTATTTACAAATTTGTATTAGAATATTCTCACTTAAATTTGTAATATTTGTTTTTAATCAATTTTATTAATCTATCAATTTGATACACGTTCAGTCTTTTTAAAATTTGTAACCCTCCTATTTATTGATCTTAACATACAAGAAAGTTTTTGATTTTATTTATTCAAATTAGATGGTAAAAATTGATAGTAGAATCGAACATTTAATTATTAATTAATTAATTGATGAATTTCTTGAGTAAATTCGATTTTTTTGCATTAGATGAAAATTGTATATATAATCAATAGATTGATTGTGCTTACTAATATAAATTCTTAAATAATTACTCCCAAACAAACTTTAAAAAATAAGACAAAATTTAATTAGTATAATAACATAATATTTATAAAATATTTAATATATTTATGAATAATATTTTATTTATTTTTTCTAATATTTACATTTATTTATATCTATCTATTGGCTTTTTACATTATATTTTATAAACACTTTTTATTCATTATATGCGTTGCACTTTCAAATCAAAAAAGATTCGATTAAAAATTATTATTTTTTCTTTGATGAAAATTTTTCTAATTGTAAATATGTAAGCTTCTTTTTATTTATTCCCAGGTATAATTTTATTTTATTGAATGATTAAAAATTAAGTTAAAAGTCTTTTTTTTCTTTTACTATCATCTTTTATCTTATTAGGTTTACTAGTTATCTAAAATTCTGTTTATAGGTTATACTGAACTAAAAAAATATTTTATCTGTTCATAGCTAACACCTTTTAAACTTTGGTTGTTATTATTCATATTAAATGTTTAGTCAGTACTAAGAAGCTCATATGATACATCCTGTGATTTTGCCTCAAAAGAGTTATGGGCGTTTTAGTTTTAGTGTTAATTAGATGGATGAAGTAAAATTGAGGACTTTTTGTAAATATTTGTTTAATTACTAGAGTTATCAATTTTTAAATCATATTTTTTTTCTATATCTTCTTTAAGCATGATATTTGATTAATAGTACTAATTTCTAGCAGTATTAGCTTAAGTAGAAAGTTCGTAATTGCTAAATCTATGTGATGGACAAGATTAATTAATAATCACCTACTTATCAAGTAAAGTGTTAGATGGGGAAATTGAATTACAAAGCTCTATTTATTCTTATTAATTATGTAATTTACATTCATTTGTGTAAGAGTTATTTAATTATTTGATGAAGCAGCAGTTTCTGCATTAAAAATTATAAAACTAATAAAATGAATGATAATTTTGTTCTTTAAAGCATGTAGAAATGAAAAGTAATGAGTTAAAGTAAGAAATATATTTATCATAGACACCTTTATTATATCTCTCTAAAAGCTCATTGCTATAGTTACAATTTGATACGATTATTAAATTATTTCTAAATTGCTAATTTATAGCAATTAATAACAATTCTTCTTATTTCAGAATTTAATTGTCATAGAATACCCAATCTCCCTTATATTTAATACTAGGACCATCGAAGTGTATATTAATTTCACTGAAATTTTTATACTTGCTAATATTCTCTATTAAAAACGATATTACTTGGCTTTTTTTAATAAATTTGTTTTTAGACAATAGGCTTTCAAACGAAACGGCATCGCAATTGAGTTTTAAGCTTTTTGCATGGTTGTATAAAGCTTCTTTATCTTGGCGAATGAGCTATTGCTCATCTGTTCCTTTAAAAGCATGCTAAAAAGAAACTCCTTAATCAATCAGATTTTATCTATCATAATAATTTTAAAAGTTTTAAGCAGATCCAATAAAAATAAAAGCCACTTTGCTTGAGCCATCAATGTTAGAGAATTAATTTTTATTCAGATTCATAGCTATTTCTTTTAAGTACTGTACAATTTTAGATAATACCAATATAATTTCTTTAGGGTTATTATTTATTTAATTTACTTAGTTACTTAAAAACTTCCTTTTGAAAGTTTATATTTGAGCTTGTATTTTTTACAATTGATTTTATCAAATCTTAATTTTTTTTCTTTTTAAAGCAATCTCCAAATTATCTGAAGAATAAATAAAGTTTACTAAAAGCCTTAGATAAATATTATTTATTTTACACTTTTTATTTCTGTTGAATGGTAGAATTAATTAATAAATTATTTGATTAAATAATAAATAAATATGTTAAAAATATAATAAAATTTAAAATAAATGATAATATGCAATTAGGAAAGTCAAATTAATTAAAGTTAAATACAATTATTATAGATAATTAAATTAACATATTGATTGTCAAATTTAATTTAAATAAAAATTAATTTAAAAAATATATTTAGCCTGATTCTTTATTCAAGGATTGAAATGATTTAAAATTTACAAAAACATTCAATTTCCTTTTAATTCTGTTTTCTAAAAATTCTAAAAAGATAATAAATATCAAACAATAAGAGCAAAATGAATAATTTTACAAATTTTATTTTTTTATTTTAAATTAACTTAAATATTTTTATTTTTAAATGATTAATTTTTTTTAATTTCAAATTACATGAAAATAAAACTAAAATTAATTGATTTATTTATGTTTTTAAGTCATATTATTTCATTGGATTAAATTTTTCTTAAAACCAAAAATTATAATTTACAAGTAAAACCAAAATAGAAAGCTAATACTTAAAGGTAAAATTCCTTACATTATAATTCTAGCTATTATTTTTTTTGAGAATAAATTACTAAATTAAATAATTTAAAGAGATAAAATAAATTATATATAAATTATAAACTAAAAATAATAATTATTTTTAAATTAAAAAAAAATACTTAAACCTTAATTAAAAATAATTATATGTTTTAACTTTAGAGTATAATACAAACAACTCAAGCTATGAAATAATTAAGAATTACACTCTCTATAAATAATAAATATACTATTTATAATATTTCAAGGGACCCATGTTATTACATCAATAGTACCTTTGATATATGGAGCCAAGAATTCATTTAATGGATCATTCATTAAAGTTTATAGCTTTTCTAAACAAATTTTTGCCTTCTTACGCCCTATAGGATGCTCTGCAACAGAAGCTATAAGTTAAATTATATTGAGTTGAGTTTACTTTGATGGATCGTCAAGCAATTCCATAATTCTTGCAAAGTATGAATAGTCAAGAATCTATTTTTTATTAATATATAGATTTTTAATTTAAATTCTAAAATAATTTACTTAATGCTTTGCTTCGTTTCTTTGGGCTAATGAAGCTAAACATATAGAAGCAGCTTCTCTTACAAAGCTAACTTCATCATCGAGTCTTTTGCATAAAGGTAGTACACATTTTAAATCAATCTCTTTTATTTTACCTAAGTCTAAAAAGCTGATAGAAGCTAGATTCTTAGCAGATAACTCTCTAATCTTTTTAATATATAAAAATTAGTCATATTAAAATATGTATTTCTATTTTATTTTTACCTTAGGATTTTAATGCTCTAATAAGCCAGTTAATCTAGTTATAGCTTAAGTTTTTAGAATTTAGTTAGTAGCATCTTCACCTTCTAAGATTTTTTTTATTAGCTGTAGGACCTTTATTAATATACTTTCTACCTTTTCTTCAATTAATTTATCAACAAAGAAGGGAAGCTTTTCAGCTAAAAGGATATGTTCAGCTCCATCTCTAAACTCTGCAAGATTATTCATAGCATCATAAGAATTAGTTCTTATTTCAGATTGATAATCATCAATCAATTCAGCTATATGATGAATGTATGCGTTTTATATTACTTTATCTCTTCCATATTTTAATGAACAAACTTAGACCTTTAAATATTATTTTTATTGTTAACAGATAGATAGATTTTATTTTTTATTTAATTTTCATTAAAAATTTATTGTTATTGATTAAACCATAATGCTTGCTTCGCTAAATTGGTTTTTGATAATATTTATTAATAATTTATTAAAAAATATGATTGATTACGATTGATCTTGATGCAAGTTCTCTTATAGGATCAGATTTATCTCTTAAATGTTATATTAATACTGCCAAAATATCGCTACTCATTAGAGCAAGATTTATGAAATCAGCTCTTCTAAAATCTTCATTTATTTCTTCTAAAGTCTTAAGCTTTAAAATATCTGATTCTGTAACTAAATCTTTAGTCATCTTTTCATATCTACGATCTCCGTAGGCAAATCTAAGAGTATTTTCAGGTGCATCTACATAGTCTTATCTACTCCTATGATATGCAATAATCCTATCGTTGCTAAGTTGAAATTCCATTTGTTATTTTACTTATAATTAGAAATCTAAAATATAGTATTTGTCAATTTGATGATTAAATATGATAACTGAACTAAATTAATATTTAATTATTTAACAATGATCAATAAATCTTTAAAAAAAACAAATAATAAATAATTGATTGAAACTCTATCGTTTCAAAATTAATTGGCAGGTAAACTAATAATAGTAATTAATTCAATAAAATGCAAAATTTAAAAAACAAAATTAAATTATTTTTTTCAAAATAAACAAACCAATTTTTAATGAAAAATATAAAAAATACAATAAAACAATTCATTTTTTTTATGGTTATATATATTTTTCATTCACCTTTAAATATTATGATGTCTCATTTTTTAGCTTTTCCTTTTAATTTTATTCAAAATCAAAAAAATAAATAAATAAAGTAAAAATATAATTCAAAATAAAACAAAAATATTTTAATTAATTAATTTCAAAAAATTAATAGATAAATTTTACAGTTCTTTTTTAAAAGTTGTCAAGGTAATTTAAGAATTCCTGAGTTTCTTGCTCATTCTTTAATGTAATCGGCATGGGATCTGCATATTTATTGTGTTGTTAATTTGGAGATTTCTCATATCTGGTCGATATTTAAGGAGGCTGTCCTTGCTATGAAGTTGTATTTATGGTAATTCCATGGTTTTAGAATTATGATATAGGCTGAGCTTAAATATTTTGATTTTATTAAATTTAATCTTATTAAACTTATTATTGATTAGGATATATTTATGCAGGTGTATCATTTTGGATGTCTTATTAATTGTTTAAATTGCTCCTCTAATTGTTCATACTTGGAAAATATCTATTTGCTGGATTAAATGAGTTTTTATTGCTGGGTAGTGCATTTGGTCTGCTACTAGTTCTTGAAGATAATATGTTATAGGATGAGCCCTTATCATTACTTAAATTACTGCCTAGCTAATTTTAAACTTAATTTTAATGATTTTAGTTGCTTGTCTTGCTCCTATTTGTCAAATTACCTTCATATTAAATAGCACTATTCTGTTAATTATTAGTTGGTGTTTGCTATTTAGTAGGACCTAGAATGTTATTTGATATTGAATTTTGCATCAAAGAATTCTCCATGTTAGAGCTTTAATGTTTACTTCTAACATTAGGTGACATTTGTTATTTGCTTACTATTGAATTGTTAATTGGCTGTGCTAGGTGATGAGAAGTTCCATCATTATAAATATTAGACTAAGGAGAGGCATAATTTTCATTAGTATCATTCAAATAACTAAAAGGTACATTTAAATCACTCTATTCTTTTCCATTTAAATTGCTATTGTCTGAGTTCAAGCCACTTAGTTATTTTACTATTTCATCTAACTGTATCAATTTAAAACAATATTAAAAATATAAATGACTTTAAAAGAAAAAAAATAAAGCCTTTTTTTAAATTTTATTTTAAAATAGATTTTTTTTTACTAAAAATTTCAATTAAATCAACTTTTATGATATAATTTTGTTTATCGCTTTTATTTTTTATTATAAAAAACATTTAATACTTGTTGTGATTATTGCTATGGTAGAGTGTCTTTTATGTGTATGATTTAGATTCCTATGTTGGATAGAATATTTCTGAGTTTTTTGACTTATTATTGAAGCTAATTATTCTCATCTATTTTTTAATTCAGAGTTTAGTTTTGCTAGTTAAATATTTACTAAATTTCCTATTTTATTAATATGAAAAATTAGACAAACTAAATATTTTTAAATACTATTTTATTTATTTAAAAAACACAAATAATTTTAACATTTTTACATTAATTTAATTTTTGTATTGCTACTCTAAATTTTTAATATCTTCTTAGTAGCTTTATACATGATTAGTATATTTAGACTCTGTAATTTGCAGTTATACTTGTAGTTGCTTTATTTATTCTGCTTACTATTAAATAATTAAATTATCATCGTAGACCTTCTTACTAAGAGAGTTACTGCGAGAAGCTCTCTTTACACTTTCTTTATTCAATTAATTATTTCCAGCATAAGCTTCATTATTTTAGTTTTGGATATACATATTTTATTCATTTTAGTTTTATTATGCCAAGCTCTATTGTATATTATTGTGTTCGTTTTAATTAAAGCTTGCAGTTCCATAATATTAAAACTATTACTATTAATTTTGAGGGTTTTACTAGGGAGTATTTACTTGCTACTGTTGATAATTTGAATGTAAATTTGAATGAGATCTATGCTAGGAGTTGTTGAGAGGGAGGTTCTAATGATTATAATTTACATGGTGAGAATTTATTGATCTTTATCTTTAGTCTAAGATTCCTAAATTCATATCTTCTCTAATAAGAAAAGGATCTGATTTCTTTGGCTTTTCCTTTAAATTAATTTTATTAAATATTATTTTGCTAATCACATTTTTAAATTTCAAGAGAATAAATTACAATATCATATTTGTTAAATTTTGGTAGAGGACCATCTGGAGGCATACGAGTAAAAGGTTCTCTCAACTTAGAGGCTATAACCATGCTAAGCAGTTCTTTCGCATATAAATTACGATTCTTCTTCCAAATCTTATTCGTAGTTACAGTGCATAACTTTTTTGTCCACTATTCTATTCTAATTCTTTCATGTTTACTTAAGATTGTGTATTTTTATTCTACTTCCAACATAACATTGACAAATTCATCATCTAATTACTAATTTTCTTGTATATCTTTAGGCTTTATAGGGGATGGTGTAATATCTTTACTACCACCTCCTTAAATACTCCTATGCTATCCAAAAGGAGAATTGCTTCTGTTGTTTCTATTCATTTATGACACAGCTAAATTCTAATGACTTTTATCTTAATCTTCTGAAATACTTTATAAAGAAGGCAATTAATTTTAATTTGCTTGAAATTTTCTTTGTTTTTAATTGAAATTTTTTACTTCATAAAATACGGATTTACAAATTTTTAAATGTTAACAGAAACATTATGATATAAATCAAAATCAAATCAAATAATCAATTATCTCACTCAATTGATTTCTTGTTAATCTTGTTTAAAAATAAAGCATTATTAAAATATTATCTAAAAAGATATAATAAATTTATTTTTAAAATAAGTTACTAATTAATAACAAAATTAAGTTAGGTAGTTATTGATAAATAATCAAAAATAAAATAATACAAACGTAAAAAAACAATTTTTTTTCATATTTTGAGCTAGTCACATTAAAAGTTTAAATCTTTTAAGCTACCATCCCAAATATTTTTTATTATCTCGATTCTATCATTTTAGAGAAATAATATAATTTATGAATTAGCATTTTCTTAATTAGAGTTTTAGAGAAAAGCAAGATTAACCACTTGCTAACAGCTATATACTATATTAGGTTCTATTAAATCATTAATTATGAATTGATCTTCCTTTTCAACAGTTTGGGTTATAAGTAATTAGTTCTCAACACATTTTATTTTGATAAAATTGTGAAATTCTTTGATAGTTTTATGGATCTTGAAAGTTATTGGATTTATTAAATGGATTAAAGTGTCCGTAACAACAACTAAGAAGTTATTATACATGAAAATTTATTTTATAGGAATATAAATATTTTATTTAAAGAGATAAGTTTCGTTCAGCTCATTGTTTGTTTTGTTAGCAAGAGAAGATAAGTATAGTTTCATTGAATTTTCTTTATAGCAAACAAGTATTTTATAGCTGTCTGATGTGAAAACTTTAATTTTATGTCTTGAGAATCCCTAGCATATTTTGTAAGAGGTTGATTGTAGAGAAAGATAAGATATTTCAAAAAGATTATTATTAGAATCTATGTAATAAAATAATTTATTATCTACATCAATGTATATTTCTTCTTGCTAGTTTTAGGTTATTTCTATAACTCTAATTGGACGCTAGAGATTACATAAGCTATAAATCTGCACTAATCCTTAAAAATCATCTAAGGCTCTATAAATAATTAAAATTCTCATTTTGCTATCAAATTTAAAGCTTTTGATCTCTGACCTAAATTATGTGAATAATTGCTCTGTATTGTAATTGCTCAGTGAATTTCTATAAAAAAGTATAGATTTAATTATGAAGATTTTCTTGTTATTCTTTTCATATATTTAGATTACTGAAGCATTACCTTTATAGTTACCTATATAAATGATATCCTTCAATTCAAAATCGTGGTTTATTCTGTTTCTAGAATGAACAATTTACAGCAATTCAATCTAAGGTAATTAAACGAAATAAAGATTCTTTTATTGCCTCTTTCCTTTCAATAAATTTTCATTTTTATACTCTAAATCATTGTAATATATGTAATCTTTTCTCTTCTCTAAATGATCTAAATAAATAGAATGAAAATATGAATAAATAGAGATTATTATAAACATAATGCATTCAATAGGTCCTCTATATTCTATTGAAGTGTAGTAGAATAAATAAAAAGCGAGGGAATAGCAGCAAATGTAAATTTTTAAGTATTTTTTGTAGTAGAGTCCTCCTAGGTGAAGCGAAAAGTGCATATAAACTGGCATAACCATTACAGTAAATCCTTCAAACATGAAATATCTAATAAACCAATTACAATTCACTATTATTTAGTCGACGTATATTACTATGAATTGCGTTGTAAAGATAAATATCAAGCTAAATATTCTATTGCTATTAGCGTTTAAAGATATCTAATATGGAATAGCTATAGCTGTTTTTATTACATATTCCAGCAAAGATACCTCTAAATTACTATTCTGTGTGTAAATAAATGTTTAAACCTATTTCCCAAAGCTTGAGACAAGAGCTAGTAATGTAAACTGCAATAAAAATATCATATATTTTAGTTTTTTTAATTTTGAATGTGAAAAATTGTATTCACTAATTAAGTTCTATTTAAACATTAATATGAATTAATTATCACCAAAATTGTTTATTTCATTAAATATCTAATTATCTATTTCATATTAATGATTGGTCAATAAGAGTAAAAGACTTAAACAAGATTTCTCTAAGAGTAAAGTAAATATTTCAACAAAAAATTTTTTTAAAATAAAATTGAATTCAAAACAAAGTTATGCAAATAGCTTAACACGTGATTGTTTTTGTTGATAATAAATATTATTTATGTTTTTAATATTTTGCCAAAATCTATTTATAGAAAAATTTTAATTATGAGCTTTATTAGGTTTTAAGAAATACATAATAATTAATGTGGATGGAGTAAGTAGCTCTGTACTAATTTATTTTATAAACATTAAATTATAGATTATAGAAAAAATTTAATGTTTAATTAATTTTAAAACATCAATTTCAATTAACTTTAATTAAATTATCTATTTTATTTTTTCCTTTCAAATACTTCCAAAAAAAGCTTGTAGAGGAACATAAATTATTTTGTAGATATTTGATTTCTAAATATATATTATTTAATTAGTATATTTTAGTCAAATATTTTTTTTAAATTAAGAAAAATATAAATTTTATAAAGTTAAATTTGTTTTAATTTTTGATCTTTACTTTTATTTTTAAAATTTTTCTAATTTTTTTTAAATTTAAAATTAGTATTTTATGTAGATATTCTAGTTTCAATAATTCTTTTTATCCAATTATTAAAAAATTAAAAATTTAAATACTAAAATTACAGAGAAAATAATAAATATATCCTTGGAAAGATTTACTTATAAATATTAATAATAAATTAATGATAATTTTAGAAATAAAAAGGAATTTGAGATATTTTATTCCATTTTTTAAAATTAATAAATAGTAAATTTGTTTTTAGATAATTATTTAAGAAAATTCAAAAAAACATATTATTCTATTTTTACAAATATTTTTTGTTAATATTTTGAAATTGAATATAAATTTAATTGCTTTAAAAAAGAAAAAAAAATGAAGATTTTTTGCACTCAATAATCTAAAATATTTCAACATATTTTGAATTTAATTTTTTTTTTCAGAGCAAATTTTTTTCATTTTTATTTTTAAGTACAAAATATAAAGAATGAGAAAAAAAAAAATTATTTTAATTTTAATTCGAAATTTAAATATTTTAAAATAGCTCTTATTATTTATTTTAATTTAGAAACAATAATATGATCAAATAAGATTTATTTTAGTAGAATTATCTTTCAAAATTATTGCGGTAAATTATTTGAAAAATAATAATTTAATTATTAGCGCATAATTAAATATAGCAAACCAAATAATTAAAAAGATACTTATTTAATTAAAACATTAAATATAGTCATTAAAATAAAAAATAGAATATCAGTAGGAATTACAAAAATTTAGCTTTTTATCTAAAAAATATATAAAATATGGGAATTTAAGGACTTTAAAACTTAATTAAACCTGCTTTAGAGTTCACCTCTCTACATTAATTCAAAGGATAAAAAGCTGCAATCGATGCAATGTCTTTTTTATATAAGGGATGCTATGGCTATTCATATTAATTAAACAAGGGAGAATAAACAAGAGAATATATGTTATTTTTATTGCGCATAGTAAGAGTAGTTAAGCTTAACGGAATTGAACCTATAGTAGTATTTGACGGGAGGAATTTAAAAGCAAAAGATTTCACTATCAAAAAAAGAGAAGAAACAAAAGAAAAAAATTTATAAAAAGCAAATGAATTGATGGAATAAGGTAAAAATAATTATATCAATTTTAAAATAATGATAACTTCTTTTTGTAGGAAATAAAAATGAGGCTATTAAATACTATCAAAGATGTTTAAGAGTGAATAAAGAAATGATTTATGACACAATAGATATGTTAAGGGCTAACAATATTGAATATTTAATTTCTCCTTATGAGGCAGATTCTTAAGTAGCTTATTTAGTCAAATCTTAATAAGCAGATTTTGCAATTACAGAAGACTCTGATTTAATATGTTATTCTTGTCCTAAAATAGTGTTTAAACTATCACTTGATTCTTCTTGTTAGTACTTAGATCTACTAAAATACTGTGTAAAATATAATTTTGATTTATATTTAAGCAAGTTCTTTAATTATTTGAATTTTAAGAATTCTTTGTAGGAAAGAAGTAATTTGCAAAGTGAAGCTCTAAGGTGCTTCTTGAGTTAGAATGAATTAAACAGAATCTACATATGCATAATGGCAGGATCTGATTACTTTCCAAGTATTTAAGGAATTGGTATTAAAAAGGCTATTGACTTGTTTTATAGATGTGGAACTTTCAAGTATATTTTATATTTTAAAAGATGCACTAGTGTAAAATAATTTTTTTATAAGAAATGTTATGTAAAAGCTAAGATTAGAACCTAAGATTAGGCCTCTTATTCCTGAGAATTATGATATGTTTGTCGAAAAAGTAGCTTTGATATTTAGGTATTAGAGGGTATTTGACATGAATACTAAGTAACTGATAACATTAAATCCTGTTCCTGAAGATTTTTCTTAAGAAGATGAAAGGCTTATTGGCGAGCAAATCCCTCATTTTGATGAAGTTAGTTAAGGATTGCGACACATTTATAGTTTAGAAAAAAGAGAGCTAGTTGAAATAGATATGAAAACATACTTTACTTCTAAATCAGAAAAGAAGAAATTCATAATTTAAGCTTAAAATAATTCGACTAATAATGATTTCAGCAATTTATAACAAACAAATGAAAATGAAAAATTGCATTATAATTAATACTAGGTAAATTCTGATCAAATAAAGAAGTTACTAAAACCTCAAGAAGTTTAATAGCTATAGGAGTTAAAAAAGAAGTAAGAGGAAGAGTTATATGAATTAATAGATACATATAATGAAGAATTGGGAGATTTTAATTTTGATAACGCAAATAATTAAGATGAAAACCCTAATGGAGAAGATGAAAACTTTGCTAAATTTGGATAAAGTTATTTATATAGTGATGATTTTTAAATTTAAAAAAAGAACAATTCTGATTATACTTCTTATTTAGAAAACCTATGTAATTCTTTTTTACAAGATTACTAGTAATTTTTAAAGAATGAAGATTCTCAAGTGAGAGTTTAAACTTAAATTGTTAGGAGAGCTAGTTCTAACTTAAATGAATAATAAGAAAACTAAGATATAAATAATTAAGAAAATTAAAATAAAAAAACAATATTACACAATCCCTTTGCTAAAAAATCCAATAAATTAAACTCTTATTAACCTGACTCTCTTGATGATTTAAATTTATAAAGAAAATTAAGTCCTTCCAAAACACCATCAAAAAAAGTTATCTCAGACAACAAATTTATGTATAAAGATGAAGCAAATATGTAAAATTCTAATGAAAAATATTCAAATCAAAAAAGTAATTCATAAAAAAAAGTGACAATGAAAGACTTCTTTTCTAAGAAAAAGTGAATTAATTTTAATATTAACAAAATAAAATGGAAGTTGTTAAATTTATTATATAAAATGTAATGATTGAGTTAGTATTTGATATTTGTTAAATTGATAATTTAAAGTAATAAAATTTAGATATACTTTAGATTAATTAGTAAAGTATTACTTGCTAACTAAAGTTTGTAAAGAAATTAATTTTTAAAATACAAAAATACAATAACTTAACAATTATGTTTGAGTATTTAAGTAGGTTTCAATTATAAAATAATTCTAAATATTAATTTCTAAAATTTCCATTGATTCTTACTAATTTGTTTTTCTTTAATTAATCAAAAATTTTTAAAAATTTAAAAATAATTCACTAATTATTTTGGAATATTAAAGTAGGTCTTAATCCTAAATAATCAAAGCTCACAATTAATTTCTAAAAGTAATCAATAATTATGAATATAGTCATTATTTTTTTCCTTTTAATTATTTATTTTATTTATTGTGATTCAAAATTTGTAAAGAACAAGTTTAATAAAATTAAAAATAAAATTCTTTTCCTTAATTTACTTTATTATTTTTAATATTTATGAAACTTTAATTATAAATTATAACCCATTTTTCATTAAAAGAAGCTTCTCAAATAGTGAATATACTTATATTTTTGTATTTCTTTCAAGTTTTAATTAATAATAAATAAATTGAAAAGTAAAAGTAAAATTTTAAAAATAGCTCAATAATGTATCATATTTTTATTTCTTATTAAATTTGAAATTTAATAATTTAGTTTTTTTTAAAGGTTATTTATTCAAATATTAATTACTATTTTATCAACAAAAATTAGAAAAAGAATAGTTAGTATAAATTAATTTATAACAAATTAAAATACTTAGAATAAATATAAATTTTAAAATATAATCTACACTTACTTACTATTTATAAAATTAATTTTTTTGTTTAAATTTTTAGAAGTATTATTTATTTATTTATTTATTTATTAATATTTAATTATAATCAAAATAATTTTGTTCTTTATGAAAATAATTTATTTTTGCATAAAATTTTTTAATTATTTTTTGAAAAGGTTTATATCAAAATATTTTACAAAGTTGTCATATTTATTTTTTTATTTTGTCAAAAAATATTACAAGCCTTTGATTTTTCTTAAGCCACTGACCGTTAAGAATTATGTCCTACAATTGTGTCATTTTCTATTTTATTTAAATTTTTTGATTAAATTTTTTTTCAAAAATCAACTTACACTCATTTTAAACAGTTTTCTTATTTGAATCTATCATAGTTACACTTATTTTATCAATATCTAAGCTTTGGTGATTTCTATTTTTTTAATTTGTTCGTTTGTCTTCATATTTATTAGCTCTAGAAAGAGATGTGCTACTTATATTATTTTCTGTCAAGCTTAACTTTTCATTTTTATTAGCTTTTGAAGGGAGAGTTTTATTTGATTAAGAAATCTGAGTTTATCCTTCTCTCAAGTTATTTGTTTTCTCAGTATTCGTTGATCCTATTGTGCTATTTTTAGATCTTTTTCTAATCCCTATTGGCAGAGAGAAAGCAAGTATTTTTTCTATTAAATAATTTTATTTAATTATAATCAAATATATAAATTTCCATTTACCTGGATATAAATCAAGATAGACTGATTTATCTACAGGTTAAGAGGCATCATATTTTAAGAATCTAATTATTTCGTAGTCAACTCCATACCACATTTTAATATAACAAAAGATCGATTTAGGTACTGCTTCATAGTCATAGTGTTCTAAGAGATTCTCTTTTAACTCGATATTTTTTGTATTTTTAAAATTGTATAATTACTCTCCCTTTAACAAACATTTGTTTTTCAGCTTTTTAGGACGCTCTTTGCGAATCTAAATATCGCTCTCTTAAAAGCATTAGGCACTTTCATTAAACCCAACGTATTCCATCCACTCTCTCCACCACTGTGCACTAATAATGTATTTTGCTTCATTAATAACACCTACTCTTTCTAGTAATTAAAAATAAATAATAATATATTATTTAAACAATAAATTACCAAAATGAAAGCCACTATTGTTAAAGTTTGAACCATATTCACTTTTCATTAAACTTTTAATGATAATTTTTTCTTGTATAGGTGTAGTTGTGTGATATTTAGAATTATTCATGATGGTTGACTGAGAAAGATTATTATCATTTATAATAGTTTTATTTAAATATGACATATTCACAGAATTATTTAAACTCTTTAGTCCTCCCATGATGCTATTATCATTACTTGAATTAAAACCAAATTTGTAAAATTTATATTTTTTATCCATAGTACAATCTTCATCATCTTTTAGGATTTGTTAATCTTGTGTTACATTCTCCTAATTAAAAAGGATATTATTTGTCACATTCTAATTACTTGTTGTTTTTCTATATTTTAAAGTTTTAGGAATATTATTGGACAATTCTGGTTTCTTATCTTTTCCTAAAGCTTAATTTTAATTTTCATTTTTATAGAAGTCTTTATATTAGCTGATATTTATTTCAGACTAATTTGTAGGAGTTTGAGGCGAACCTTCACAAGCTAAATTTATAAATCCTTAAATACTGCTGACATCTTATATATTATTTGCTTGCATTTCATTTTAAACAGTAGTAACGTTCATTGATGAAGAAGCTCTTTCAGTTAGCTAAACATTTTCTAGAGCACTTCCATCAGAAGATTTAGATTTATTTGATATGTAGTTTGTAGAATTAACACAATTCTAAGATGAATTTTAAGATACTGGAAGTTATGAGCTACTATTCTTTAAATCGTTTTTAATTTTTTTATTTTAAGAATTACAATTTATTAACACTTAGTTAGTATTTTCATTCATGAATTACTCATTCTGAATATTGTTGCTTGAGTAAAATTAGAAATGGTTCAATTCAATTTTTTTTTTATCCATTGGTTTTGAATCATTTAAAATAAGAGATGATCTTTTTATGATATTTGCCTTTTATAATTAACTAGTTTATATTTAATCTGAGCTGTGATTATTTAATTTTTATAAATTATTCTTTTTATTTAAATAATTTGAGGATTAATTTATTTATTTTTGTAAGCTTTATTTGATATCCAGAAGCTTTTTGCTTGCTGGACCTTCTCCAAATAAAATTTACTGAGCTGAATTTTTAGAAGAGTGAAATTCTTAAAAAAGTTTATTATTATTGTTAGTTATACTTTGATTTTGACTAGATTAAGTTCCCATCATATGTATCACTGATGGACTCTAGGTAAAAAAGCTATTATTTCCAAAATCAATATTACTTTATATAGATATGTTAAGTGTATTATTTGCATTTGTCGATTTTAATTTTTACATTTATTCAGAATTGCCTACTGACTTATGAGTACCTTAATACCTTTTAGATGGTAATTATGGAATATTAGGTTTTGTACTATTTTATTTAGGTTTTTTAGATAGCAAGTTCAATTCAATCTGTTCAACAGATTTATTTACTTTCTAATTAATTTCTTAATCTCTCTATTACAAGAAATCTTGAGAGGCACTAAATAAGCAAAATCTATCTGATTCATTTGCTTATTGTTTTCTGTTGTTTGCAGTATATTTTAAAGAATCTAACTGTGTGTCCTGAATATCCACTGATTACTGCTTGAACTTTCTTTTTGGGGCTTTAGTAAATGGTGAATCCATATAAAAATTATTAATAAATTTCTTATCTTATCCTTCTTTATCAGCTTCTAAGCACTCATCTTGAGCTATTTAATTAATTTACATACAATCCTTATCTAAAAAAGAATCCTTTTTAGATTCGTTTTACACTGAATATTTTTAATGTTCACAGATAAACTTTTGCAATTTACTGTTATAAATGAGGTTTTTTTCTTATTATAGGCTATTTTATAAAATTGGATTATAAAGAAAAGATGAGTAAACTATTTATGCTATGCCAGTAATCTCATTGAACATATGCATTATAAGTCTAATTAAATCTTTTATTTTAAGCTTTTTTTAATCTTTAACTTATGCCTAATTGTTATTACATTCTTAGCTACTTTAATATCTACTATCTTCAAAGAAACCAATAAGTTTCCTAAAAATATCTAGTTGATTTTCTTAAGTATTAAACTTTTATTCGCAATCTTAACAGAAAATATTAATGTAATGCTATTTAGCATTATCAGTTTTATAAATATTGTTAGCTTAAATCCTATCATATATTTATTCTTAATATTATCCTTAAGATGGCTTTTAAAAATCTACAAGTTATCTATTACTCGCCTCTTAATTGCATATAAGGCAATAAAATGTATTCATTTAAGTTTTTTCTTCGCCTGAAGCATATTATTACAATTTAATTCCTTTCATAGAAAATGCTTTGTTTTCAGTCTAAAGGTTTAGTGTAATCAAAAATTCTATTTAAATACCTATAATTCACTCAAAAAGCAAATATAAATCTGAAATTATTTGTTTTGATTTTAAATGAATAAATAGATTATTAATTAACGAAAATGTTTATGTTAACAATATTTTTAAAATAGCATTTCATTCTACTAGAGCAACACAATACAAAATAATTACTTTTCATAGAATTAACTCAAATCATAATATTTATTTTTTAAATAGATTTTTTTGTTAATATTATACAATTAAATTACAATTTTATTTTTAATGTTTATTTACTGATCACAAAAATACATTTTTTTTAAGACTTTATATTTATTTAAATACCAATTTTTTTTAACTGATCTTTCTATAAGTTTAAGAATAATTGTTTAACTTCACCATATTCAAAAAGAAAAAAAAGAAAACTTTGTAAAATATTATTATAATTTTGTTTTAAAATAATTTTTTTTAATCAAACAAATTTTATAAATAAAAATAATAAAAGGAGGGCTTCAATTTTAATAAGAAAACTAAGCTCAACATAAAAATGAAAACGAATAAATAATTAAATTAAAATTTATTAATTTTTTTTGTTTTTAATTTTAATTTTCTTTAAAAAATTTTAAAATTTTTTAAAAAAAATAATTTACATTTAATCAATTTTTTTAAAATAAATAAAAATATTACCTTAGATAAAGCATCTAAATAATTAAATCTTAAAATATGAATAAAAACAATATTTTTAGAGATTAAAAATGAAAAATTATAAAGTTTATTTAAGATAATTGAAATAAAAATCTTAAATAAAATACAATCAATAACTTAAAAGACATTTTGAGAAAATTATTTTTTGATTAAATTGATTGAATAATATTCTGCTTTTATTAAAATGTTTACTACATACTAACCATTTAAATTATTTTAAACTTTAAATATTAGAATAAATGAAATTTTAATTATGTGTTTATCATTATTTATTTAGAGATTAAAAAGGGGTTTTATAGTTATTTATTTATTTATAATATAAATTATATAAAATGATTTTATTGCTTTTAAATTAAATTAATTATTATTAAAAGTATATTTTAGAATTAACTAACTTATTAGAAATGATATGCTTTTTTTTTGATATTCAAAATCCTATTTCTTCATTAACTTAATTTAAGCTTTCATCTTCATATGTTGAATATAAAGAATATTAGTAAACCAAATTAGGAATTAAAGGACGTGCTACTCTCTTTTTAAGGCCAAGCAATTCATCTAACATTTTATCGTTTTCATCGATTGAAGATGCCAATACATTGGCTACAAATTTATTATTTTCATCTTTTTTACCAATTATTTTTGCTGCATTGGCATACTATTTTTATTTTAAGCTCATTTTTTAAATACATTAATTTTAAATATTACCTTTTCCCAAACATCGCGAGTTATAAAAGGAGGATCAATTACAATGAAGTCAAAAAAATTGTGAAATTATGCAGGAATGTCTTCAGGTTTATGAAAATCAAAGAAAACAAAATTAGGATTATTTTTCTCGAATTTTTTATCAAACTGTTTATTTAGGTTTTAATAAATTTTGAATTTTATTTAATATTTGTTGTTTAAGAAATTGTTACCTCGAAAACATAGCATTGTTTCAAAAACTGAGCATCATTAATTGAATAAAATATACTAGGAGTTGATAAGAAAGCACAGTTTTTACCATGCTTCAAGACCTGATTGACTAAGATTTCGATAGTCTTTGGAGAATACCAATACTAATTAAAGTCAGCATTTTCTGGATTTTTCATTATGAATTTGTTTACTTTTTTAGCTGCGTCCATTTTTGTTTTTAAATATTGTTGATAAATAATAAGATAATTAATTGAAAGATATTTATAAAAATTTCAAAATTTTTAAATTTTATAATTAATTACAAATTCACGTATTTATTCATAATAAATGCATCATCAATTTTTTTGTTTTAAGGAAAATTTTATAAATAAATAAATAATTAATTAATTAAAAAAATAATAATTAATTAAGAATAAAAGTACTTTTTCCTCTGGGCAAGAGAAAATGATTGAAATAATATATAAAACAGCTTAAAATAAAATATCTAAAGATATTAGAATACTATTTAATCTAGTTTTCATAGTTTTTAAAGATTCCCCCATTTTTAGTTTTTATAGTTCATGCTAAACAAGTTTTTAATTACGCATTTAAAATATTTCCTACAGATCGAATAGCATGAAAAAATTCAATATCACCAAATAAATAAATGAAAACTAGATTTTAATATTCACTATTTTAAGCTGAAAAGAAATATTTCAAGACCAAGTATCTTGTCCTTTCTTTCCTGTTTAATATATTAACATATATAAATAGTATTTTTTTTAGGAAAGCAGACATAAAAGCCAATTTGATGGAATAAGATGAGGATTGCAAGATGAGGAAAATTAAAAAAGAAAATTATATAAAAGAAATCAAAGAAAGAAAGAAAAAAATAATAATAAATTAATATGAATAAATAAAAAATATAAAATAATAGAAAATAAAATAAAAAAAATAAGAAAAAGAAAGATAAATAAAATTAACAACAAACATAAAATGTATTTATGAAATTTGTGATGAGAGCAAAACTAAAAATAAATCATACCATTTTAAAGAATAAATTTAATAAAAATTCAGATAAATAAAAAAGGAATTATGAATTCATAAAATGAGACAATCTATATCTAAATGTTCTTTAACTTTATTAATATTATATAAAAAAGTCAATAAAAAATTTCAAATTTAATAAAAAAGTATATAATCTTTTAAAAGATTAATTTATTTAAAATTCCATTTAAATTATGTAAAATATTCATAAAGTGATCCTGTAATTGTTAATTTCTTTTATTTAGCCTATAACACATAAAATCTAAATAATAGCGATTAAAAAAAAATTAACATTCAATTAATAAAATTATATTCATATAAATAATAAAATTAAATAAATAAATTTATTTGAATTTTAAATGAACTTATCAAAAAACTCAAAAATATTTAATCTATCATAAACTTGTTAATTAATTTAATGAAGCTATTAAAAATAATTAAAGTAATTTCATGTTAAATGTAAATAATCAAATAAAAATTGATTTATTTTTTGAATTTTCATTTCTGTATTTTAAAAATATAAGCTAGATAAAAAAAGTAAAAGATTTTCTTTCTTTCTACTTATCAATTTTATTGATACAATGAATTTAAAATCAATAAAAATTTAAGTATAAATAGAAAAATAAATGAAGTCTGTTTGTTAAGTTTTTTTGAAAATTTGTTGGTATTTTCTGAAAATATTAACTAAAAATACAATAAATAGTAAATACATAGAATGGATATGGTTAATATAAAGAAATAGTATAATTTATTAATCTCACCAAATATAATTTTGTTTAGTTAGCATTTTAATATTTATATTCAATACTTTTCTAAAATATAAATTTTTAGGTAAATAAGATGGATGGATGAATGGATGAATTGTAGGATATAATTATCAGTTTTAATATATATTTATATTTATTTATTTATTTATTTATAGAGAATATGTTTGTTTCTCAAGGAAATTTATTTTACTTAATGATAAATATTATTTCACCATGAAAGCTAAAGCAACCTGCTATTTAATTTAACATTATTATTACTCTTACTTTTTATTATACATTTAATTTGATAAATAGTTTGTTTTATTTGAATATATTTAATTAAACTATCATTGATCAGCTATTTAATCTATTTGATTTTATGTTTAAGTAACTCTTTATGGAAAAATTTAGTTTGAAGTAAAATCAATTTATGAAATTTTTGTTAGATTAGATATATTTTTGTTTTCTTTTTAAGCTAATTATTTCAAGCATACTAAATTGGAGTTTTTCTTTATGATTGAGCTGTTGGAGAAGCATGATGAGCAAGTGCTGATTATGATCTATCAGAGGGAATATTTGTATTATTTGTACTATGAGTACTTCCAGTTTATTGAAGTGTTTAATTTTAGCCTTGGCTTTATTACTATTATAACTGTTATTATTATCTTTAATTTTCGTTAATATCATAGTTGTAGCCTGCAAATAAATCTATTTTGTTAAAATATTAATTAATATTCTTTACTTTTAAAACTGTATGAAATTGTATTTTAATTTTTATGAACAAATTATTTTCAAACATTTTAAAATTTAAAATCTAGAAATTTAACTCATTTTTTTTGTTTAAAGTGTTAAATATTTATTTTTAACTTTAATTCATTTTATTGAGAAATTTAAGAATATCCCTATTCAATCCATTTAATTGGAATTTCTAATTAAACTTATTATATCAATTTTCAAAATTAAAAAATATTTCTTACTCTACACAGAATTTTTTCTTAAGAGGATAGCATTTTATTAGATTAACTCTTCGTTTGTGTCTTCACCATCTGCTGATATTTATTATCTGTATTCGTAGTTTTCTTCTATAGCCTAATTAAAAATATTTATAAATCTAAAACGCTTTTTTTTAATTTTTTATCTACCTAAGGTACAAATGGAGCATCAATCTATCTATTTAAAAGTTTTTCCCAAGGGAAATTTTTGAGCCATGGATGCTATTTAACTTCTTCAGGTCCATTAACTCCTAAACGATTCATTGGCTTTCTTTGTATCATCTGCATTTTAATATTATTTTAAGTTTTTGTAAATATAATAATTATAAATCAACTTACTCTGTTAATAAAATCAGCTGCTTCAATTGACCATCCATCTGGTATTTCGTGTTTTTTTATTTAGACTTGTTTGGCTAAAATTTAATCTCTTATCTCTTTTCTATTTCTTCCTAAATATGGTCTCTTTTTAAAAAAATAATAAATGAATAAAACTTATTTTAAAAGTAAGAAAAATTAGTTATCATACACGACCCATCATAAACTCATATGCAATAACTCCTACTGCAAAATAATCAACAGCTATACCGTGATTCTATCTACACATAACTTCAGGAGCCATATATCCAGGTGTCCCTGATGTATCTTAAGAGTTCTCAGGTTTCCATACACGAGCTACTCCCAAGTCAGTGACCTTAACATATCCATCTGTATCTAAAACAAGATTTTCAGGCTTGATGTCCCTATGAATGACATTTCTTGTATGTAAATACTCTAATGCTACCATTATACATGCTACAAAAAACCCTTTTAAAAGCATAATAAATTATTAAAAGTGAAAATTTTATTATTAAATTACTAGTTTAATTCTCTCTAAATCTTCTATGACGCCCTATATGGAATCTCAAATCACCACCACTAACTAAATCCATCACTAAATATAAGTTGTCTCTATCTTAAAAAGCATAGTTCATGTTAACTAAAAACCTTTTTTATGTTTTATAATAATAATAATTTATATTCATATTAACTCATTAATCTTATTATTAAAAAAGGATTTTATTTTTTCAAAGAAAGAATTTTATTTACGGGTTTTTGAGCTAACTTAAAAGATGTCTTTCACTCATTACTGAATTTACACTTCTCTTTGTAATTATTCTATTTTATTTTTGTTTTATGTTTTAATGTTTAATATTAAAAATACAATTAATTTATCATACTTTGATTTTGACATTTCTTTCATAGCGTATGGTTTTTGATTTTTTTTGTGCTCTACTCTCCAAACCTATTTTTAAGTAAATTAACAAGTTCAAAATGAAAAAAGGATAATGAATAAATAATTACTTTTCCAAACCCTCCTTTTCCAATTACATATTGATAAGTAAATTGATTCTTGTTCATGTTTTAATCTAAAATTTTAAAATTAAATAAATGAAATTAGAATTTCAACTAGCATTTCCTAATTAATTTGTAAAAAATAAGTAGATAATTTGTGAATTTCTTAATTATTTTTACTTAAAATTTTAAAACAATTTTTGCAAATTCCAATAAAATATTAAGAAATTCTAACAAAAAATTAATGAGTAAGTTTTTAATTAATTAATTACGTGACCACCTAGTTATTGTACTGTCTAATTTAAAATTGTCGTAATTTGTTTAATTTGTGTTAGAATTTTGTATCTAACTCTAATTAGTTGGACTCATTATTGAACTTTTATTTTCAAGTCTCGAACTTTGCTTTCTTTCGTATTGAGGAGTTTATTAGAGTTAGTTTTAAGATGGATTTCTACTATGTCCTAATGATTATTAATAGTTTTATTGTATTTCTTTCATCATCATAAAATTCTAAGATTGAGACAAATGGGGCGAGTTCGCTTAGCTCAATTACATGTAATTCAAAAAGGGTGTATTCTTATACTTCTATAGCAGCTAGTATTACTCATATTTTTTCTATTCTACATTTTATGAGTTTTCATTTGAGTTATTAAATGTGCCCACGAAGCTACCAACAGAACCTTTACTACGGGTAGCAGAAAATGCAGCTTAGTGTTGGAGCTAAGAGGAATTCAAATTAGATTAGGAAGATTGCTTTGAAAGAAATCCTTATAATTAAACATTTTGAGGTGAAGGTGCTGCTTGCTAGAATGATTAATGACGTGAAATATTTACTGAATTTCCGAATTACTATATAGAAGAATTTTAAATTGATTAGTTGTGATGCAAATTTTATTAGCTAGAGTGCGAAATATTAGTGCTATCTACATTCCTAGCTGATTAATGTACTTATGTCTAATTCTAAGTTGTGTTTTATAAGTTCAATTATATCATTTTTGCCTTTATTTAAATAAAAATAATTTCTTTAATTACAACGAGCGCTCTTCAAAAAATTTATTAGACTTGATAAGCCAACCAACGTAGATAAGAAGACATAAAAAAATTAAAATAAAGATTCTAATAGTTTAATTTGAAAATGATAACAGAATTGCAAAAATATCAAACAAATCTTATTTACCTTGGATTAAACTTTCTTTGGGATAACGTTTGTGTTACTTAAAAAGAGTTTTTGTTTTTGCGAAGTTGAAAATGATGGGAATTTTACTGCTGTAGGACTTGCTTTGTTCATAATTTAGCTTGAATGGAGCAGAGAATCCTTAGACATCTAATTCATAGAAGAGGTAGGAGACTGTTTTCAATAAATAAAAATATGTATTAGCCATTGAAATATAGAATGTTAGATGAAATATTTTAATAGAAAATCAAGTAGATTATTACAATAATTTGGCTGCTTTGCAAATTTTAATATCCTTATTAACTAGTAGGTGATTATAACTGCTTTTCTTAATATTTAAAGTGATAAAGTTCTTTGAAATTGCGTAAATTAGGAGATATTTAATTCTAAAAACCAGGAGAATTCATTTCAGTCTATCAAGATTTTTATTTAAAATATTTTATTCTTTCGTTCAAGTGCTAAATTTTTAATCAATCTTAGAAAAAAATTCTTATCAGAAGCGCAATGAATAAATAATCTTATCCTTTTTTATAATAATTAACCACAAGTAATTCCCTCTTTATTATTATTTTGCAATCAATCAAAGCGAAAATAAAATGAGTATCAATGTTAAAAAGCTCCTAATATTCTAAATAATATTTTTTTCTAATGTTTTTCTTTATTTAATTAATGGTGCTATGTTTAATCTCTGTAAAAAGAACTGAAAATTTTTTTGTTCTTATTTTTTCTTATATAATTAGTTCTAAGTTGCCTTTATGCAATTATTAATGTAAAATTAAAAGCCTATACTATTATATTTTTTTTGAAAGAATTTCAGACAAGTTGAGATTTCTTTATTTTTTCTTCTTATAATGTTATTTCAGGGTTTTGGTCAATCCTTGATTGATGACTCTTTTTTATTTTGTTTTTCTGTTTATTGTTATTCAACTGCTCTGTTAAATTTGTTTTGTTATGTAAAGCTTTAATTTAAAAGTTCCTAATTTTTTTTTTTGCAAACTATCCTTATTATTACAAGTTATCCATACTATTTTCCTTCTCTAATATCTTTCTTTCATTTATAAATGTTTATATACTTAGTTTTTTATCATTCTTTGAATTCTAAATAAACTGATATAATTTTATGGCATAAATTAGAAATATCAAAGTAGACTCTTTGAGATAATAATACATATAGTATAGTACTATATAAAATATATTGTGAGATTAATTTTTCTCTTTTAGTTGATAGAGCCAATTCTATAATTAGCTATTTAAATTTTTTTCAGTAAATTATATTTTATAAAAAATTTACCTTAGGTTATCAGTCTGCTATTACTATTAATATTTTATCTTACTAAATTGAAAATTAAAATTTTTAAGATAATAATTATCAAAATTATGATACAACTAAAAAATTATAGAAAAATTAAACACAAATTACTATAGAACTGTATAACAAGTGCAATAAAAGAAATTTGGAATAGGATAAACCTACTTTAAAAAGGTTTTAAAATATAATTATAAAAATTTATAAATTAGAAAGAGTATTATTTGAATTTATGTTTAAAGTAATTTGAATCTTTCTTTTACTTTAAGTTTTAAATAAAAAATTTATTAAAAAAAAATTGAAATTCCAGATAAAAATAGACGAAATAATGGAATATTTTTTGATGAAATTTTTAATAATAAGCATAACTAAACCTAGAGCTTTTTACTCAATTAAGTTTAAATTATTTTAAAATTTCAATTTACTCTAAAATATTTGAAAAATGAAGATATTTTCTTCATACTTGAAAATATTTTTTTAATTTAGTTCAAATAGATATTTTGATCTAATTTCAATTTTAGAAATCGAATAGATTTTATAACAACACAAATTTTTTTGAATAGAAAATAGATATCAACAATTATTTCGAAAAATTAAAAAATTCTTTTTTGCATAGGCTTTTGTCTATCATAAAAATTGCTTTTTTACAATTGATTTAAAAAACATAAAAAATTAATAATTTTTTAGAATTTTCAAAATAAAATATTATTTTTTAAATAGAAGCAAATAATTTTTAAATAAAATATTATAAATTTTTTTTAAAAAAATGATGTTCTTTGAGATAAAAATAAATGAAATACTATCAGATTTTAAATAAGTATTTTTTTGTAAAATTTAAATTATTTTTAAAATATGAAGATTAAATAAAGAAATTAAAATATTTTCTTTTTATTGATAAATAATATTTATTTGAATTTAATTTTGAAGTAATTAGAATTTATTTAAAAAGATATAATTGAGATCTTTATTTAAATTCATAAGAAATAATTATTTATTTTTGAAACAAATTATGAATTAAAATTTATGTTTCTAATTATTTTATAGTCATTCATTTTATTCCTAATAAAAATAAATCATAAAACAAAAGAAATAAATAAATTATCATTTATTAGTGTTATTTACTTTTTAAGGGACTGTTAAAAATAGCTAAAATTACTGGAAAAAAATGAATATATTTGGCACACTCAAATAAACTAACGGTTAAATATATTAGCTTTCAAAGAAAATAAATATTATTGGAAGAGCTAATTCTTGTCATATTATTGTTAAAGTAAGTTAAATTAGCTTAAATAAGACCTTTTTAGGCTACATATCATTTTTTAAATTAGCATGCTAGCGCTTCAAAAGAACACTGCTTAATTGAATTTGATGAGAAAAACAGTGCTTTTTTAAAAGATTTAGAATCTCTTAATGGCACCTATTTGAATGACCAAAGATTAAAAAATGGATAATCTGTTTAAATATTTGATTAAGATGTTATTTAAGTTGGTTAAGGTATACAAATTTATCATAAAATATTTAATTAATATTTCAATTTATTCGAGCATATGATAATATTTTAAATACAGATTAGAATAAGTTCATTTTCTTTCAGTCAAAGGCTAATTAAGCAGCACTATAATAAAAGAGTTAAAATATAGGAGAATAAGTATTACGTGACGAAATTCCGAGAAAAGATAAAGATTTTAAGATTTCTGTAGTTGATTATTCCTTTAGAGATAATTCATTTTCTAAATAGCCATAGCAATAGCGTAATTTAGATTACACAAAACTTGCATCAACTAACTAATTTCTAAATAAAAAAAAGAAAAGAAAAGCTATTCTGTAAACTAGGTAGGTTCTTCTTATAATAATAATAATAATAGTAATAATTTAGGATCTACATAATTTGCAAATTAATCATATCAACATATTCATTAAGAATCACAATAATTAGGAAATTTTACTCCGAATTCTTATAACATCAAGCAACAAAAATTGGATAAATTAGAAGGAGTGAAATAAGAATTATATAATTAAAATATTGATCTTAATGATAAGCTACTGTAAAGAGAGGAGTAAATAATACGCTTAGAAAACGAAATCAAATTATTGAGAAACGAAAACGATGCAGTTGTTGAAGAAAACGATAAATTAAAGGCGAAATAAAAAGCACTTTAGTTGTATTCTTCTGAATTATAGAAATAAATAGATCTTTTAAATGAAGAAGTAAAGCAAAAAAATATCTAATTTGCTGATTTATCTGAATAAGATTGGACTAGAAAATTACAAGAAAACAATGTAGATTAAATTGTTATCAATCTTATCAAAGCATATATTTTAATTTTTGAAAATTACTATAGGTTGAAATTAAAAATTTGAGACAGCTTCTAACATAAAAAGATGCAGAAGTACAACAATTAAAGAAGAATATAAGCACTTATTTCTAGAATACAAGAGATATATAGTAAATTATTTTATATGATTGGCTATTCCATAAAAATATTATTTTAATGCAAATAATTAGATAAAATAATACTACGCTATTTTTGGAACACTAAGCTAAGGAATTAGCTGCCTGTAAGAAATAAGTAGCCAATTTAATAAATATTACTATTTAATAGCTTTTTATGAAAAATTTATAAAGGTATTAGAATATGAGAATAGAAATAACGAATGCTCAAGAAGGTGGACTTCACTGCTTTAGGAAAATTCTGATAAAGATGATAAAATTAAAGGTTTAAAATTGCAATTAAGTAGATAAATAGAGACGATGTAAACCCTTTACTCTGATTTTGACAGAAAAATTAATGAATATAATACTAAATTACAAAGAGTAAAGTGTTATTTATATGTTTTGTAATCTAAAGTATATGCTTTAATTAGGTATTTGATGAACATGAAGATATTGGAGATAAGTAAAGAGATGCAGCCGAGTTTTTGGTTTAATAAGTTGCATTCATGTAAGAAGAAAGAAAAAATTTAGCTGTTGAGAACGAAAACTTGCATACTTAAATTTAAGAATTGATTTCAGAAGTTGAAAAAATGAAGTAGGAACTAGAGAATTATGCAGTACTTTTTGACGTTAGTGTTATGGATTTGTCATCTAACAAAGCAAATCAAGGTAACATCATTTCTAAATTAAAAAACAGAATAGATGAATTTGAAGATCTTATAAATGAGACTAAGTAAAAAGGTAAAATTTAATTTGATTTTTTAAAATTAGCTTAATTTTATGTGTTAAAAAAGAGAGTGTAGGTAAATTGATAGAATTATAGGACTTATTTGAAGAAATAGAGAAGAAATTAGATAGAGAAAGAATAATTAATGACGAACTGAATAAACAGTTGAAAACATTGTAATTAACTAATAAATCAGAATCAATAAACGAATAAAATTGCATTGATTTCTTTTCTAATCTTCTAGATGAAAAGGATAAAAAAATATAAATTCTAGCAAATTAAGTAGAGTAATTTTAGGTAAAAATAAAGATAATTTATTAATTTTCATTAAATTTAAAAATTATTTTTAAATTTATAAGATGAAAGAAAAGCAGTACAACGAAAGAATTGAAGATTTAAATAACAATCTTATGCTCACAAACAAAAATTTTAATGGTAATTAGTTATTAATGAATTAATATATATTTAATTTATTTTACATTTATTTTAAGAATATAAAAATAAAAATGAGAGAATGGCTGAGATAATGCAGCAAAATAGATAAGCTGGCAGCTCTATCACAGCTTAATTTGGTGTATAAAACTATCCATAAAATATAATTTCAAATGAAAGAGTTCAAGGTAACTAATTTTTACATTCTTTTAACCAAATTAAAAAATTAATAATTAATTAATTAATTAATTTAATAAATTAATTAGAGAAACTTTAATCTGATGCTAGAATATATAAAGCTTCTTATAATGATTACGAATGAGTTGATGAATGATTCAATGAAATATATTATTAAATAAATAGTATTTTATTTCTAAATAATAAAAAAAGGTTAAATTTTGATACTGTAAAAAAATAAATATATTAAATTATAAGAGTTTTGTTTATTTTTTAAATAATCTAAATTATATGCAATATGAACTTAATATTTAAAATTCTTTTATATATTCAGTTAACTAACTATAAAATAATTTATTTATTTATTTATTTTATTGGTTTTTTTCATTACTTTCTAAAAAGTAAATCTGAAGCCAAAAATTACTTTTTCAAAGAAGGATAAACATTTATTATTGAAACAGGAATGAGATTGAGCATACCTCTTGTTTTCCAAATTTGATTGTTCAGCATTAACAAAAAGGGTTTTATCATGAAAATAATTATTAATAAGATAGTTAAAATGCAGGCCACAAATAGTATTATTGCATATTATGTATAAGCTTTTAGATAATCTTAGAAAGCATTATATAAGATTTTGTTATTTTAAGTAAGGCACTTAATTATATACTTTGAAGAATCTTCAAGGGATAGATAATAGTTATCAGCAACCACATTTATAGCTGCCTACGTTGATGCATCTGAATCTTCAAAAGTTTGTAATGTATCTCTCAAAGCTATAAATTTATAAAATATTGAATTGAAAACAAAAAATATAAAGAAAATTTACTTTCTAAATATGAAACTATTCCTGACCTTAAACCTCTTTTGTTAACACCTTAATTTCATCAAAATATAATATTTAAAAGTTATTAATGGCTATATACTATAAAAGCACGGTAAATATATACTCAAATTATTTTTATTCTATTAATAACTATTTATGGAATAAAAAATTAAGTAAATTTTACCATTAAAGTCATTTTCGCAGTTAGTTTTCTCTTCATCAGTTATGTCTGTCATGTAATAACAAAAGTTATAAGAATCTCTCTTAATGTATTCAGTTCTATAAGTATCTAGTTATGAAGGATAGGTCCAATAAAAGCTTGAAAGCATATTTTTTTCATTTAAATAACTTGTAAAAGTAACATTAAAAGTTAAATAAGTCCTACTTTTATCAATACTATATTTAAAATACATTGCCTCAATAAATAACGTTCCATATTCCCTTTTTTAATAGATATTAAAATTTTTAAATCAATATTTATTTATTTATGTAAATAATTTACGAAAGATTAATCGGTCTATACGAAGAATACATGTAATGAGTTAAAATGTTATTGCTATATTGTTGATAAAGTAATTGGAGATAGTATGAAATAAAGTATAATGAAATAAAGAAAGAAGCAATAAATAATTGCTTCAGAAGCATAAAAGAGTCTCTTTCTCCTTTTTGATTTAAAAATTTTGATACTCTATTTATTTCTAATTCTTGATTTTCTTCATTCATGCTTTTATCAATCTGTTACTAAATTTAATTTAAATTTTTATCATCTTGGTTGAATTATTAATTTTTTTAATTTAAAAAAATCATTTCATTTAGTGTCATATCATCATTTCTTCTTGATACTGTAGGAATTAACTAAGAGTTAAATGTTAGATTTGGACTTTCACCATATACTACACCAGCTAACTTGGGTGTGTTGGCATTGAGTTTTGAATTTGCGTGCATTAAATTCTGATTAGATTCTTAAAATATACTGATCTCTTTATTTCTTTACTTTTCTAGCCAGTTATTATTCTATCCATCAACTTATTTAGAGTTAGGCTCATCTAATAACAGCTCTCTAAAATAAATTTCTCCATCTATGTTTTATTTATTAAATTTTATGATAAATACATCACACTGATTCGCTAAATTGTAAATTTCATTCATGGGAATATAGCTAAATAAAGAGACAACAGTGATATTTCCTTTTATTATTTGATTGCCTACATAAGTAATGAAGCAAAAAGTTATGAATATTATAACCAATTATGTCACAAATACAAAAAGATTAAATGAACCTTAATTTGAGTTTAAATTTATATAATAGTAATAGAATGTGAAAGCCTTGTTTTTCGCCTACTCGAATAGCTCATAAACTCCATTTTATTTAACATAATAAAAGCTTATTTGAGTTGGATTAGTGTAACTACTTGTAGAACTGTTTGTCTATTTCAGAAAATAAAAATTTTTACTAAATTCAATTTAAAAATTGATAAAAGAAAGAAGTTTATTTGATGATTACGCAAAAAGAATCCAAAGTTGCATTCACTAAATTAGAGCTAGAAGTAATAAATTTAAATATTGAATCAGTATATTACTCGTACTGTTAAACCATAGTTCCATTTGAAAGCATATTAGCCATACTAAAATTTTGATTTGCATTATAAAGGTCATAACCTGCTAGGCTATTCATTTGCAAAGATGATGATATTACTTGAAATTAATTTAGCTAAAGAGAGTTGATACTTTGACTAAGCTATTTTAATTGGATTAATATTACAATAAAATCAAAACTACTTTATTAATAAATAATACATTTTATCTATACCACGTTTCTTGCTAAAAGTGGGAATTTCCAGGTATCGGAGATCTTAGTTAACTGTTAAATAAATAAAAAAATGAGTAAATTAATAAAAATGATGTTTTAAAAAAATTTATTTACTTAGCAACAAGCCAAATTTATCTAGCCCAATAAGTAGCTTAAGTTATATATAAAGGTGTTAAATAAGAGTACTTAATTCCATCTACTGCATATCCATTATACTAAATATATTATAAATTCAGATACAATTTATAAGAAGAAAGAGCAATGAGCAATAATGTAGACAAGACTAAAATTCTAATTAGTAAGATTAAGATTTTTGGCATTCTTTTCTCTTATATGAGTTATTTGAAATCTTAATTTTCATCTTCTTACTATTCTTCATCTTCTCTATAAGACATACTTTATTTTTTATATTACTAATTTTCCTCATAATCTTCATTTTTCAATGTTTCTTCATTTTTATTTTATATTTTTCGATTTTTTACCTTTTTTAAGAATTTTTTTTCTAAAAAAATATTTAAATAAAAAGTTTTTTTTACTGATTGAAACTTCTATGTACTATTCATTTACTTAGCATTCTCAATAATTTTTGTGTTCTCATTAGATTATTAATTTTAATTTTAAAGGTCTTATTCAGTTTCGTGAAATTTGATAAATCTTAATGTACATCCTTTTTCAATAAAATAATCTTCAATAAAGTAGCATCTTATTTAACATTTTCTATATTTTGAAATATTATTTTAAGTTTGCATGGTATCTTCTTGCTCATCAAATGTTTCTTCAAGTATAACCTTAGTATTACTGTTATTTTTATTCCCACTTATTTAATGGAAGCTAGCTATTTCTTCAGTTGTTATTGCATTGTTAGAGTCTTAAATATTAGCATTCGAGTCTTCATAATCTATTTAATCAATAGACATATTTTTAATTTAAGTTGAATCTATTTGAATATCAACTCCCTCAATAGGCTATTCTATCAGCTATGTAATAGTAAATGGATCATTAATTTAAGGCATTATTAAATCTATTTCAATATCCTTTGCACCCATTTACTTTTAATTTCTTGAAAAAATACCAAAGTCTTAGAAACAATTTTTGCAAGATTAGATGATTTCTAGAGTATCAATTCTATTTTTAAAAAAATGTTTAGACTTTGAAAAAAAAAAGATTATTTACCTATAAATCAAATAATAAAATTTTTTATTACTAGAATAAGTTTATGGACTTAAACTAGTTTCTTCATACATAATTCCAGATATTTAAATTCCATTATTAAATTCAGGAATTACTTTCAGTAAAAGGTTGGTAGGAACTAGATTACCTTTTTTATTTACTGCTGGGACAATACGAAAGTTTTAAGTAAATGCTGACTATGATGTTTAAATGAATCTATTCATTAAGTTGCTATGCTTTTTAGAAATCAAAGGAGGCATTAGCATTGAAACATTCTTTTGTAGCAAATCTTACTTTGAAAAGCCTAAAAAGCTTTAAATTAATTTTAGATTGTTAATATTATTTTGAATTTTTTTAATAATTACTTTTGCAAATATTGGTTACTGTAAATGATTTCTCCCATTCTTTCTGAATCAGCAAATGCTATAACAATTGAATTTTTACTGTTTTCATTTTGGAAAAATTTTTGGTTATTCAGTTAAATTTTGGAGCTATTCTATTGCTTAAAAAGTTACTCTGCTTTTTAAAGCACTTTGCTGCTATTTTCAGTGTCATGAGTTATTTCATTTAAATATTAACCATAAAAGTAGAGTAAGTTGATATTATTTTGGTTTTAAAGAGTTAAATCATTGAACATTTAGCATAAAGAATAATTTTGGTCATCTAAAACTTTACTTATCTTTTAGAGTTTGCTAATATTTGGTGTAATTTCTTCTAACTCTTTCCAAAATAATTTATGTTCTTTGGCAGCCTTAATAACCTAATCCTAAAAGAAGTCAAAATCTCGATTGAAGTTTACATATTAATTAATAATGAGATCTTCATTGTCATTATGTATTTGTAAAGATTGCATATTTTCACTCATTGACTCTTCTAAAATTTTCTCTTATCTAAAAATACAAAACAGTTCAATTATTGAAATATTATTACTTACTTTAGCAATCTTTGATTTATAAATAGAAAATGTTTTATTGTTTAATTTTTCAGCTAGCAAATAGCTATAGCAAATTTAAAGTCCTGGAGATTTGGGGTATGCAACGATAGCTTCATTAAGTAAATTTGACAAAAACGAAAACCATCTATTTTGGTAATTCAAATTCAAGATTTAAATGTCGTTTACTGTTTGAGGCTTTTCTGTCTAATTAGTTGCTTCAATAATTTGTTATTCAGAGTTTCTGTAGTTGTTGTTATTCTTGGGTAGAAGGTTATTAGATTTCTAACTTGATCTTTTTCTTTTATCATTTATTAGCTTCTCTTTTCTTCTTTGTAATGGTAATGCTTCTTCTCCTTCTTCACCATCTTGAATAATAGAATATTCTTCAACTATTCTACAACAGCAATCTTAAATACCCTTTTTACAAACCCTCAAATGATGTTTTAATATTCCTTCCAATTAAAGTTATGACTATTCGTTTTTTTCATCTTTTATTAAAGTAACTAATAAGTTTAAAAAGATAAAATACTCTTTCACAGTTTTTTAGTACGTTAAGCAAGATGATAAAGTATATTAATTTCTCAGCTTATCTAAGGAAAACATTGCTAATACAAAAAACGGTGAAGCAAGAAATACATATAAAAGTGAAATTGAATCACTGCCTATAATTTAGCAAAGAAAGCAACTAAACATAATCCATAAAGCAAAATATTAGCTAGATTTATTAAATAAATTGACTAATGAATTATAATAACCAGGATCGAAAAAGCTGTAGCCCACTTTAAGAATCATTGTTAACAATAGAGCTATTACAACAATATTACCACTAGTTTGAGTTTTATCTAAAGCGACAATAACTGGAGGTATCATTTTAAATCCTTTTATTAATTTAAAAGTAAAATAAATTTTATAAATTTGAAAAAAAAGATCTCTACCTATATTAATCAAATTAAAGAGACAAAAAGGACGTGCAAAGCATAACTTAGAAAATAAATTTAAATCAACTTAAAAGAAAGCAAATAATGCTGTTGTGGAGATTAATATAACAGCACCTAATACAGAAAAGACCAAATGAAGAAAGTAAATTCCTTAAAAGCAGGTCATATTAGGATTAGCGCAAATAACCATACCGACAAAGCTGTTATATAAAGGCAAAAATAATATTGTATTCAGTAAAATTCCATACATACTTATAATTTTGAGCAGGTTTATATAAATTGGAGACTTTGTTTTTGATTTCTTCTAACTTAAGTAGCAGGCTGTTATAATTAAGCACACCATAAATATACAGATACCTAAGCTTATGTAGCTAACTCCAAGAAATAGCTATATAATTAATTATTTTGAATACATTAAATCAATAGATGAAAAAGGATATGAATTACAATTTAGCTAGAATTTTAGACAACATAGTTTGTTGATGTGAATTCTAAAGCAGTTTATATTAGCTAGACGCCTGTATTACTCCATAGCTAAGTATAGCTTTTATGAAAAGAAAACTAAAGTATTTGCACATATTCTAATGCCTTTAAAATTCCAAACACAAATGGCTAAATAGGTAAAACTTAATATGAGTCATGAATCATCTCAAACAAACAACTTTATATTTTTTTGAAATGCTATATTTTACCTTTGCTCTCTTATTCAACATAAACCTATAAATTGCTGGATTAAGACAACATTTCCCTGTTCTTATTATGTATCTTTATCTTTTTTTATCAAGCTATTAATTAATTATCTTTTGAATTTTGTTGATTTTATTTTATTTTTTTGAAAGTATTAAATTTTTAAGCAAAAAAAAAATATATGTTTTTTATTTGAATGATTTTAAAAGTAGAAGTAGAACAAACAATATAAAATATAAGAATAAAAATTCATCAATTTTTTTAAATTGTATTTATCATAAAAATTCAAATGATTACTAATTATTTAAACATAATTAATATATTTAAATTTTTTCATTCAAATTAATTACTACTTAATATACAAAAAGTATGCATTACCATTTAATAAAAATAAATCATCTAAGTTAATTTTATTTAAATTAGAAATACTCGGTCTTCGTAAATCAAAAAAAGTATATTTTTAATTAATTTCACTTTACTGCCCTTAGAATGTCACCAGAAATAAATGCATTCTTAAGGGAATCATGCTTGGTTATTACATCTATCGGGATCATATTTAACATTCCTTTTGTCCTCCAAATTTTATTACTTAAACTTCTCAAATAAGGTAACCATATTAAGAAGAAAATAATTATAGTCACAGTAATAAAAATTGATAATATTATTATTTCAATATTTTGTGTCTATGTAAGCAAGCTGGAAAAGTTATTCACCATTAAGGCATTGGTAGAAAGCATGCTTGGCTGCATATACTATAAAGACTTTTAAAATGAAACAAGTTTATCACTGTTTAAGTATGCTATTTATGTTTTTAAATTTTTATCACTGTCAGATCCTAGCTTTGAAGAAAAATCAACAATGTAATCTCTAATACCTTTTTGTAATAATAAAAGTTATAAGCATAAAAGACAATTTGATTAATTACCTTCTATTAAAGAAACTATAGAGGTTTGTAGACCCTTTGACAAAATACCTATTTTTAAAAAATTTTTATATAAATTTAAATTAAATAAATTATTTTATTTACCATTTTAAATTGTTTCGCAATCTTAAGAATTAAATGAACTGTTAGTTGAACATATATCTCCATATTCTGTAGCGTTATACTAATTTAAATATGAGCTAAAAGCAGATGGAAAGCTTTATTATCCTGAGCTTGATATTTACTTTGAAATATCATATACTAAAGAAGTGTAGTATGCTCTAAGATCAGTTTCATTTTTATAGCTAATTGGTTTCATCATAACAATTTATTCTATAGCAAACAAAAGCACATATCTAATAAAATTAATATAATTTTTATTCATTAAAAAGTAATATTAAATTTCTTTAAAAAAACTTTAATGTAATTTTGAATTTTAAACAAACAGCCAATATGATAAATAGAATTCATAAAAGTGTATAAATAAATAATAAATAAATAGGTAAATAAATACTCTGTATATGTGGGACGTAAAGAAATAATCATCTGATGATTATAAAGATGGTTGATTGATGAAAGATAATTTTGCTCTAGAACAAATCTTACTATGAAATAGATTATAAAAATGACTGCTAAGAGAGAGAATTTTATGATGACATATTTTTTGTTGTTATCTGTCTAGTTAAGTAATTTTGCGCTTCTCATACTCTCGAATTCTTCTAATTCTTATGCTTCCTTTTCATGTTGTTCCTACTGTTTTTTATGAGATGAGGGCTAAGGATTTTTGTTTCTGTCTGTTTTCGATTTGTCAATAAACTAATTAACTACACTGCTATTTTAATCAACTTATGAAGCATTTTGATTTTTTTTAGCATACATATTATTTTGGGCTTAATTTTCTATTTAAGAGTTATCCAAGTTATCTTCACCATTCAATTCATAAATTCCTGCACCTTCACCTTAGTTCCTTAATTTTGAAGTTGGAGATCCTTCATCGTTTCTATTATCGTTATTAGTTTCATTTTCATCATCTTGATTTCCTAAATTATTAGCACGTTTATTTTAATGATTTGACTCATCTTCATCATTATGTCCATCATTGGCTTCTAAAGACAGAAAATCTTTAATAAATTATTCGCACCTATTTGCCAATTCCTTAATTTCTTCTAGAGGTATATATCCAAATAAAGAAAGAACTTTATTATTTGTCTTAATCACAGAAAAGACGATTGGAATTAGAATTACTTGAGTAATAACTAAAATCAATAAAGCCACTATCATTATTATTAAAAATGTTGTACTATATTTTTGTATGAGATCTTAGTAAAAGTTGTAATAAGTTGTAACTTAGCCAAATGCAGAATCTCTAAAAATAGCAATTCCATTCTCTCTAACGAAATAGAAATATATTTAGGTAGATTTTACATAAGATCCACTTGATAGGGGTTATGGCTAGTATTTATAAGATAAATATTAAAAAAAAATATTTAATCTAGTTTTATTAAATAACTCAGAATAAATTCAATAAGTAAGTTATTATTTGATTGTTAGATTATCTTTGTAAACTACCAAAAATAAATTTCAATATAAATTACTATAAAATCTTCCAAAGTTGAATTTTTGAGAGCAGAACCACCTGTAATAAACTAAAAGATTGCTGTTGAAAATGTTTTTTATTCAATCTCAGTTTAACCTGTTTGCTGCAAAACAGTGAAATCTAAAACGGGATCTGGGGAAGGACTGCTTTGCCTGTTTTACATCTTTATTTCATCTCTAACAACACTGAAGACAGTATCTTACAAACTTTAGACATTTTGATCTATCTGTATAATATAAATTTTTATTTTTTAATTTAGATTGAAGTAATATTAAATTAAAAAATAATTAATTAGTTACATCATCTCTCAGCTGTGATTCTGAATTGAATTATTAGTTTTAAGATAGCATAGAACTTTTTAATAAATTTTTTTTTAGTCATAAATAAAATAAAAAAATAAAAAGTTACTTTCCTACAAGCCAAAGAAGACGTGTATAGTAATTTACTTGTTCTATAAAACTAATTTGAATTGTAGAATCATTTATAGCATTCACTCCTTCTTAAATATCTGATTGTTATTGAATTTTAAGGACAAGGGTAACAATAGCCAAAGTCATTAAAATGATCAATAACAATAAAACTGTTCTTTTGAGTATTAAGATAGATTTAGGTTCTGTTTTTTCACTTATCATTTATTTGAAATCCTTTAAATGTCTAAGATCTTCTGCAACAGAAGCACCTGATATATTAGATCCTTCATCATCTCCTGCATCTTAATTCTAACTTTCTTCATGCTTTATTAAATAATTTTGTTAATTGTTTATAAATAAAAATAAACAAATATCTTACAAATCCTTAATAATTATTTTGAGTCCTTTTTGATTACTCAATATTTTTTTTTGAATAATTATTATCTTCAACTTATTATTTGCTTTACAACTGCTAATCTAATTGGTCTGTATTTAGCTCTTATTCAGTAAATTTAATTATTTTTATTCTTAAATTTTCCCCTAAATCAAGTTCATCCAGTAAATGAACCTTAATGTTTGCTTATCTATATTTAATTTTTCTTCTTGTAATTTATTAAATTTTTTATTCTTATTCTTGCTACTCTTAATTATAATCTTAATTATCATTTTGATTCTGTTAAGGATTTGTTGTTATGGCGTTGTCATCTGAATTTTTTTAATTAAATTTTTATTGAACTTAATCTTAAAATTCATCATCCATCAAGCTATCTTATTCATCTTCTATCAAGAAATTTTGTTAAACGTAAGTAGTGTCAATAGTCAAAGTGACTCCATGAACAGATTTTAATTCATCTGCATTTTTAGGATCCACTATGCCAGGTATTATAGAATCAATTGTAAATTCTGGAGCATTTGAAGTATTTCCATACATTAATGAAGCTGGTATACCAAAGTTAGTATAGCATGATTCAGATATACCTTGGATTTAATAAGAATCCTCTCTATTGATAAAAAATGGATATTTATTATATATATAAATCAATTAATTTAAATCTTACCTAAATATTAAATAATGAATATCTTCATCATGCTCGTATTACCCTTTTTGTGAATGACTTTCTACTTCTTTTAAAAAGCCAACAATCTAAATACCACTATCAAGATTAGGTAAAACTTTTATCATAATTGTGCATGGTATCAAATATCCTTTTTTATGAAGGCAAAAAATGAATCTCTCATGACCAATCAGATTTGACTAAGAAGTGTCAAAAAATCTTCTCATGAATTTGTCATGCATATCACCCACTACTTTAGGCATAATCCTACTGACATTCTAATCTATAATTTCGTTCTTTTTAAATCCTAAAAGTCTTTTTTTTCATATAATAATAAGTGAATAAGAATAAGCAATAGCTTAAATATTTTTAATTCAACTTAAAAAACTTTAATTAATTTAATAAAATAAACAAAAAATCAAATGTTTTTAGAAATAAAAAATCAATATCTAATTTAAATCTGAAAACCATTTAAAATTAAATATTTTAATTGTTAAAGTTTACCTCATTGTTTCGTTGTTAGTATTTGATATTGTTCCTACTGAATTGAGGTTGCCAGAAACAGTAATTATGCAAGTGTTAGAATTTTCTCCATACTTGATCTTATCTGAATCTACAAATTGCTTATTTGCTTAATTGCTTTTGCTAACATACTCAGCTTTCTCAATCACTTTCGTGCCTTCTTAGTCATCATGAACTATTTCTTTTAAAAAATTTCCATAAATTTCTAAGCATTTGATGTGATTTTGATTGATTTCCTAGAGCTAGTTATACAAATCAGTGACTTAATCAACTGTATTTGTAATTTTAGAACCAAGAGATAGTATTTTTTGAATGTCAGGGGTATCTTCTAATAGTTTACTCCAAAATTCTAAATGAAGCATAACAGATTTTTCAATAGAGTTTAAGAAAATTACAAACTTATTTTGAAAATTCACAATAGAGTTTACTTCAATGCCTTTACTTTCTTATGTCCTAACATCATTTTCAACCATTTCCTCTTCTATAATATGCTTATATCTATATATTGAGAATTCCTCTTAGAAATTCGGTTTGCACTCACCTATGTTTAGGCATATAAAATTAAACAAAAATATTTCAATTCAAATTTTACAAGCAAACATGAGAGCAAACAAAGATTTGAATTTATTTTAAAGCTTCCCTTGCAAAATATATGCATGCAATAAATGCAATTTAGCGCTCTTAGGGAATCTATCTATAGCATCTGCTATTATGCTTCTCAAAAATAGATACCAGTTTTTAGTTTTTTGATTAGATTCACCATAATTAAGTGTTTAGGCATTTAAGTTACCCTCTTCGTCATCATCTTCTTTCATTGAGCTAAAGGTTCTGCAAAAACATTAGTCTGAAGCCTTATTACAATATTTTATATGATATTTTAAAACACCTTCCAATTAAATGCTTGGGTATGCTTAATCTCTAGACTCAATTAAATTCAATAGAATATTTATGTAGTTTTCAATTTCTAAGTCCTTTTTAAAATTTTTTATCTATTTAGTCATGTATGAATTATTTCTTTTAACCAATATCATCTAGTAAACAACACATATGAAAGGTAGTGTAATAAACATATAAAACATACCCACTATTGCATTACTCAAAACACCACTAATTAGACTTCCAACGCATATCCAAAATATGCTTACTTCTAATATTCCTATCAAAGACTCTACGCTTCTATTATACATAGGACAAGACAAATACCTTTAAACAAGTAAAATTAGTATAAATATCATTAACCCTATAACAAAAGGTTCTCCAAGTGACCCGTTTTTGTCAAGTGATGTGTAAAGTGGTAGGATAGCTTTTATTACTATAATTATAAAATAAAGTTTATGTAAAATAATAATTATTATTTTATGAAATTGCATAGAAATAATTTTATAAAAACAGAAACTTTGTATTCTCGATAAAATGATTAGCTGTTTCCTTAAGCAAAAAAAATTAAATTGGTATGTTAAATTTTTTAATAATAAGAAATAAAAAATTCATCCTTATTTTATGATTTTAGAAAATTAATAATACTATTTGCTTGCTTGTTTTTGTTTCATATTTTTTAAAATTGTATAAATAATATTAAAAATTTTATTGAAAAAATAAATAATTTGATAGCATTTTAGCATACATGAGTTTAATTAATAATAATTGTGATATTTTAAAAATATTAGTAGAATAAGTAGAAGTATTGGAAATGAATTAATTTACCTAATTTTATGAAATTAATCTTATTTTATGGAGCTGCAAAAGGGAGATGAGAGCATGGATTTAAGTCTATAAAAAGCTGAATGTACAATATAGTTTAAGCTAGCAAAAGAATCAATGATAATATTGCTATTGAAAAGTGAACAAAAAATAGACCTGAATAACAGTTCATATTAGTGTCAGTACAGTATATCACGGAGATAGAAGCATTAAAGAAAGGTAAAAATCCTACTGTCGTTAGCAATATAGCATAAAGAGAAAGTAATTTGATACAATACAATGAGAAAGTAGTAGATTTTTGCTACTTCTTATTAAGTTTTAAGAGGAGATATAATAGGACTACAGTAGTGATTAACTAAATTGCAAATGTGATATAGAGCAAAGGGATCAAAAGCTTAATAATAAAATAGTTTAAATTAATAAACAATTTTTTGAAAATATTTTAATTTTTATCAAATTAGTTTCTGAAGAGCTTGGCAGTTTTGATATATATAATAAATTTTAATACAAATAAAATAATAAAATGCATTATGTATTTAATGAACGATTCCCAAATTGATTAATAAAGTATTTAATTACTGATGAAGAACCTTCTACAATTAATCCATTAAATTGAAAATATTCCAAAGCCTTTTAGAAATTTGTAGTAGCTGAAGAGTTCCACAGAAAACTATAAGAAGGGTAAATAGCGTAGTATGCTATTTAAATGGCTTCAACAAATAGAAATATCTTATAAACGAAAACAGATATGGAGCATGATTAAAGAAGTTCATTCATCAAACAAAAAAAGTTCTATTTAATCTTGTTCTCAAATTCTGACCATTTTGATTCCTCAAAGCTACCTTTATTATCTAACATCACCTATCTTGCTATCTATTTTTTATTAACTCACAACACTTTTTACTTTTATATTTATAATTGTTGATATTTATTGTTGTTTTTTTAATTGTATTAATTCAGTTAAAATCAACTCTATTATTAACAACTCTCTATCCAACTCTGTAAATTTATTTATTTATTTAATTTATTAGTTAAGTTAGTTAATTATTTGAACGAGTAGAGTAAAAAAGCTTAATTAATTAATTTGAAATATGCTAAACAACCAAAAATTAATAGTTGTTAATTCATTTAAAAAAACCTCTTCTTAAATTAGAATTTTAAATGCTTTATTTTTTTTGTAAGATAAACAAAATAAATGCAAAAGGAAAAAAATTATATAAGGAAATAGAAGTTAAAGCTGAACAAACAAAGAAACAAAAAAGAAAATATAATTAATATACAACATTAAATTTAACATTCATTAAATTTACCTGTAATTTATTGATTTATAACTTATGCTTTAGGCATAAATAACCAAATTAAAGTGAATTTATGAATATTGCTTTATAAGATTTGTTTATTGATTGATTTTATTCTATTTTGAAAATTTTTTTCAAGATAATATATTTATATAAGGAAAACTACCTATTTATTTATTACCAATTATAGAGAATCTCTAAAAAAACGTAGAATATGTATGCTAATTTTTTAAGTTGATCATTTTACAGCTTGAAGTATCTCTCCGTTAGTAAATGCGTTTTTAAGTTAATCGTTTTTGTTTATGACGTCCATTGGTATCATATTGAGCATACCTTTAGTTCTCCAAATTTTTATATTCAAACCGTTTAGATAAGGAATCCAAATAAATATAAAAACTATCAAGATTATCACGATGTAAATACTGAATATAATAATTTCTGTGTTGCTCCTATAGTTAAGATAACTAAAAGTTCCATTCAATAGAGAATTATTTAGCTAATCAAAAGCCGGCCTTAAGAAAGCTATTTATTATTGTAAATTCGCGAAAATAACTGCAGCTGTTGATGTTGCTGAAGAAGTAGAAAAAAATGTTCTTAATGTGTTTCTCCAAATAGTTTATTTAGCTGTACCAGTTAATTATAAAGTGGCAGTTTAATAAGCAGGATACGGGGTTTTACCAAATGCACTAATCAAATCTCCCATCTCTGTTTTAAATATAATTTTTAAATTTTTATAATTTAAGAAAATGTAAGTTACTCAAATCATAAGCAACTATGGCTGTCTAAAGTCCGCTCTTAAGAATTTAGTTAGAATTAGCACCGCATGTATCTTAATCTGTAATTGAGCTCATAGCTGTACATACATTTTGAGTCTATGCATTGGTAAATAGAGATACATAGCTGCTAAGCTATGAAGGAAAAGAATAACCAATAGATTTAAGAATCAAATTTTCATTGTTGTAAATATTATTGGAGAATATTGTGCGCAAGGATTTATTAGTTGATGTATCAATAGCTCCTCCTGTCTAAATTTCTACTATATCTTCTATTGTATACATGAAGAGGTATCTAATTTAAGAATTATAAAAAAATCATTTAAATTGTATTTTTAATAAATGATTAAATGTACTTTATATAAGAGGGACGTAGGCAGACACATTAAAGATGCACAAATATATTTTCTATGTTGCTTATGAATTAAGTTGAAAGAACATAAAGCACAACGTAGTATGTAATAAAGACTGCAGCCATAATACCAAATTTGAATATGACTAGCTTTTTATTATTATCTTTTTAGTTTAGCAATTATTAGGCACGCTAGTCGACATATTCTTAATCTTCTTGATTCTATTTTTTATCCTTATCATTATCATTATCTTTATCTTTTTTATCTTAATTTTAATCCTTTTTATGATCCTTTCCTCCCTTCTAGAGCTGATTGTTGCTTAAAGGATTAACTTAAACACTTTCTTCATTCTTATTTTCGGATCCTTCTTCATTATTTAATTCGTAGCCATTTTCGTCATCACGATTGTTTTTTTAATTGTTGTCATTATTTTTGGCTTAATCATCGTCTTTTAATTCATCTATTTCTTTTTAAGCCAAGAAATCTTAGATAAAACGTTCGCATTTCATTGCCAACTCTTTTATTTCAGAGTTAGGGATATAACCAAATAGAGAAAGTACTCTGTTATTCGTTTTAATAACATTGAAAACAATAGGTATTAATATAAGTTATGAAATCACTAAAAAGATAATTGCAATAATCATTACTACCCTATAATTTGTCACATAACCATCAACCATATTATAATAGAAATTGTAAAAATTTTAAGCTATCGTATAAGCAGCATCTTTTAATACAAACAAACCATTTTATCTAAGATAATAAATATTCTTAGAAGTAGATTCTTGATATCCTGGATTTGGAGTTGTTAAACCATAGTATGCACCTGAGTCCTAATTTTTTTAAAAAATAAAATTAATTAAATATTTATAAACTTTTTTAATATTTTAAAAATAATCTTATTAAAAAATAATTTAAAAACCTATTAAAAAATAAAAATAAATATTTTACCACAAAATTGTAAACTGCAACACTTTTAAGAGTAGATGATGCTGTAATAAAAGCAAAAATTGCATCTGTAAATAGCTTTTAATCAGTTGTTATAGTTCCTGTCTATGTTTAAGAATAAATAGTGTATTAAGGGTCAGCAGGCACACTAGATTTTCTCGAGTTCATTTATATTTAGTATCTAATAACTGTAAATACATTTGTTTGTAGCTAGGTCACATAATTATCAAGCTTTTAATTTATGTATTAGAAAAAATTATTATTAATTTTTTATTTCCCTATTGCATTGAAAGAAGCAAAATAGTAACTAAATTAAAGAAAATTGCTCATTTTAAAATTAAAATTAGCTAAAATGATTTTTTTTTTAAGTTCTTTTCTTAATTTAATTTAATTCATTTATAAAATTATAAATAGATCTTTTTGAAAAGTAAAAACATTAATTTCAAAAAATAAAAAAAGAATTATGAGTAAGAATAAAACCTTTAAATAATAATAAATAATTTTACTTAAGCTTAGAATTCTAAAACATTATTTGTTCCATCGTTTATATTAGATGCAGTGGATGTGCCTGGTGTTAATCCATAAAAATAACTTTTTAGATTTAAAAAAATGTTTAAATTATGAAAACTTGAAAAATATAAAAATTTACTTTCCAAGCATCTAAAGCATTCTTGTATAGTAATTAACTTCTTCCATGAGAGTGGGATTTAAGTAACCGTAGTAAATAGCATTTATAGCCTCGTTAACATCGCTCTTATTTGTCAATTTAAAACCTAAATCATAACCTGATAAAGCAATCAAAATGAGAATTAAAATGAAGACTGTTCTTGTTAGAATTTTAATAGATTTAGGAACTGTTTTTTCTGATATCATAGCTTTAAAATCTTTTAGCTATCTCATTTCATCATTTGCAGAAGTTCCTGATACATTTGATCCCTCTTCTTCATAATCCTAATTATCCTATTTTATGCAAAAAGTTAGTATTTAAAGATCTAAATCAAAAAACTTTGTTTAACTTACCATATTTGAGTGTTTGTCTTCTTCTTATTGCATGGTTTGCTTTTAAGTGGTCTTAAGATTTTCCATATTTTGAATGTCTGCAGACTTTTACTAGTAAAGGTTTTCATCGTTTTTATCAACTTCAATAAATTTTATAACATTGACTTTTACTCCATCTCCAAATTCCTATTCTTCAATCAAATTGACTCTAATATTGGCAACTCTGAATCTTGATTTTTTTTATGGACTTCCTCCAGTTGTACCATAATTACCATTTTATTGTCCATCGTTATAGTCAGCTTCTTATTCATATTACTCATCGTTTTCAAACTCTTCTTCATCTATTAAAAAGTTTTATTGAATATAAGTTGTATCTATTTAGACAACCATTCCTTAAGGAGATTTGAGATCTGTCAAATTTTAAACGTCTACTATGGCTGGAGCAATAGAATCTATAGTAAAATCAGGTGAATTAGCTGTGTTACCTTAAATAAGTTGGGCAGGAATGCCAAAGTATTCATGACAAGTTTCAGAAATACCTTGAATCTATTAATTGTCATCTCTATTATTTGAATATGAAAGTTCATCAATAAAAAAAGTAAATAGTAAGTAAATCATACCTATAAATCAAGTAATGAACTACTTCTTCTCTGTCTAACTAGCTTTTAATGTCCTAGTTTTCAATTTCTTTCAAGAAACCAACTATTTGAATACCATCATCAAGATTTGGTAATACCTTAATCATAAGAGTACAAGGAACTATGTATCCTTACTTATTTAAGCACATAACTGATCTTTCTACACCAATGACTCTGCTTTCTGAAGTCTCTAAATATCTGTGAATGAATGAGTCATGAAGATTTCCATAAACTCTAGGCATAATCTTGCTAATATTCTAATCTATAATTTCATTTTTTTAGAAACCTAGCATTCTTTATTTATAAGAAATATTTTTAAAAATAAAACTTCATTGATGATAATCAATAGATTGATCAATTAATAAATAAATAAAGATATTTTAATAATTTGTAATGAATGGCCAATTATTACCTAAAAACTTCATTATTAGAATTTGTTACAATACCAACTGAATTCAAGTTACCAGAAACAGTGATAATACAAGTGTTAGAATTTTCTCCATATTTTATTTTTTCAGTATCAACAAATTACTTATTTGCCTAATTACTCTTGCTAACATATTCAGCCTTTTCAATAACTCTAACACCTTCTTGTTCATCGTTAACTATTTCTTTGAGGAAATTACCATAAATTTCAAGACATTTGATATGATTCGGATTCATTTCCTAAAGCTACTCAAACAAATCTGAAGTATTTTCAACAGTATTTGTGATTTTAGAACCTAATTACAAAAGTTTCTAAATATCAGGTTGCTCTTCTAATAGTTTATTCCAAAATTCAAGATGGAAGCTGACAGATTTTTCGATAGCATTCAAAAAGACAACAAGCTTGTTTTAGAAAGTTACAATATTGTTAACCTCAATTCCCTTATTTTCCTAACCACGTAGGTCACCTTCTATAAGTTCTTCTTCTATTAAATGCTTGTATCTGTAAATGGAGAATTCTTCTTAGAGATTAGGTTTTTATTCTTCTGTAATCATCAGTTCGAAAAGAGCCTTAAATTTATTTTAAAGCTTTCCCTGCTGAATATATGCATGAAGTAAATGTAAACGCGAGCTTTTTTGAAACTTTTCAAAACCATCTTATAAGATATTCCTAAGAAAGAGATACCATTTTTTATGGCCTTGAGATGAATTGCCACCTCCACCATTATTATCGTCTTCCTTGTCAAGAATTAATTGTTAGCAATTGCACGAATCTGCAGTTTTTGAGCAATTCTTTGCATGATATTTAATGACACCTTCTAATTAAATACGCTCATTAGGTTTATCCCTATTTTCTATTAAATTGATAAGCACATTTATGTATAATTCAAGATCGTTTTCTTTTTTAAAATTTTTGACTTAATATGACATTAGTTGGTTATATCTGTAGTTTATAATCATCAAGTAAGTGACAGATATAAAAGGTGCTCCTATTATCATATATAGAATACCAACTGATCCAGCATCTATCAAAGCACAAATAAAAGATGCACAACTTATCCAAAAGCAACATACATCTATGATGCATGATAATTGCTATACGCTTCTGTTATATAAAGGAGCTGATATATATCTATATCCTAAAACCAAAAGCTAATACAAAGCCATGCAAACAATAAAAGGTTTTGCAATATTTGCATTAGGATCGAATGTAGTATACATTGGCAAAAGAATCTTTAAAACTTAAAAAAAAAATGTAAAGTTTAAACTTTTTATTGTAAATGATAAATAAAATAATATTTTATGAATTCAATTCAAAAAATATTTTATTCAGTAATATGGAATTTTTTTATTTTAATCTTCTTCGAATGAATAAATAAATAATTAAATACTGCGAGCTTGTTTTACTCAATAAAGGGTAGTTAAGATTTCTTGTATTTTTATTAATATTAACAAATTGAAAGGCAAAGCTAAAAAATTACCTGTTCTTACTAAACTAGTTTAAGATTATGGCTGAGCAAAAGGAAGAGTAGAACAAGGGTTCAAATCAATATACAATCTTAAAAAGAGAACTGTAAAAAGTAAGAGTAAAATCATTCCTAATACTGCCAAACTGAAGTGTACAAAATAAATTCCATTATAACAATTTAGATTCTATCCAGTTTGAATGCTTGTGCTGCAGTATAACGTTTAGATAAATATGTTAAAGAAAGGTATAAAAGCTATTGTGTTGATTAAAATGCCGTAAATAGAAAGGAGTTTCGTTACGTATGAAGAGAAAGTTGAAGATTTCTTGTTTTTTTAAGAAGCCCTTAACAATTGATAAATGAACAAAACTATGCCAATAACTTGAATGATGAAGACTATGTATAGTATCGTTAAAAATATCTATTTTAAGAAATTAAAAAAATTACTGAGTAGAAAAAACTTTAATTGTTTTAAAATGTAATTTGTTTTATAATTCTTTTGTGATAGACGTAATAATAATCATGCTTTTTATATATTTTATGATAGATTTTTTGTATATTTTTCATTTTTTTGTTACATTTTAGTAAATTTCGTTTTATTACTATTTTATATTACTTAAGCTCTACTATTTCTATATACTTTTGTTTAGTTAGAATCAAAGGAAGAATTAAATTTAATGAAGAAGTTAAAATTCAATTTATATTCAGTTTGTATAATAATAATTTTACGCTTTAATCGATATTTTATATGCTACCATTGAATTAAAAGTATTTGAGTGCCTACTACAATACATTAGTGATTCCGCTGCTCCATAAGTATCCAAATGTTGGATTAATTGAATAATAGGCAATTTGTATACCTTCTATCAATAAAAGCAACTTATAGATGAGTGGCGAGACAGAGTTAGCTTGCAGTAAATCATGCATCAAAGCATATATTGATGTTCTTATTTTCCTATCTAACTATTCCCATTTGGATTCATCTAAGGCAACCTTACCACGGTTGCCAAGCATGATAAACATTTTTTATTTGCTTTATTATTTTTTATTAAGTACTCCTTTTTTCTGTTTTTCTTTTTTTTTTTTTGATTTCACTATTACCTTTCCTATTAAAATATATGTTCTATTTATTGTATTTATTAATAATTTTTTTGATTTACAGATTAATATGTATTTATTATAAAGTCTTCTTTGTATCACCAGATTAATAAAAAAGCTTTTCTTTTTTTCTTTTATTTTTGTTTAAATGAATTTTAGTAATCTAACTATCTAAATAATCGTTTATTTTTTATTTCTTTTCAAAATTTTTCATTCATATCAAAACAAACAGCATCATTTAAAAGGAGAACTAGATTGAATAAATCAGTCACTGAAGAAGTTAAAAATAACTATCCCCTCCTAAATTCCAGGCCTCTATAAAAATGAATGATAGTTATCTTAAAAGCTGAAATTAGATTTTACATTTTAAAGCATTGATGAGAGACAAATACATTTTTAAAATATTAAATATCTAATAAAATTATGAAGTAAAACTTTGTAAATTCTATGCTAATTATACTAAAAGTTGCTTAATTATATAATAATAAATATTAATTTGCTTTAACTGCAAAATTTATATACTATGATTATTTTTTTCTTTGCTTACATTTAAATTTTTAATCAATAAGAATTGTTATATAGATTTATTAAATAACAAATAAATATCAAATTTCATTGTAATTTGAATATATAAGGGTTCAAAATGTTATTATTTCAGATTACTAATTTAACAAAATATTTAATTGATTTATTATTTACCTGAATTTTTATAAAACAAATATTTATTTTTAAATCATAAACACAAACATAGAAATATAAATTGTAGTCTTCTTATTTTACTCTCTTTATTTTTTATATCATATTTTTCTTATTTAATAAATAAAAAAATAGAAAATGTTTCCATTATGTAACAAATTTCATAAATCTAAAAAAAATATAAATAAAATTTAACTATTTCAATTTTAATTTGATTTTCTCTTAAAATTAATTTTATAGATACAGTATTTAAATGTGCAGTTAGTTATTTATTGATGGTGTTTTTAATTTTTATTTATAAATTATATAATGATTTATAAATAAAAAAAATAGATTCATTTAGATAAAGATTAATTAATTCAGGTTTTAACCAAATAAAAAATCTATTTTATTTATGAAGAATATTTGTCTAAATACTTTCGTTTTTAGCTTTTATCAGAATTAATACAGATTTAGGTATTTTTCTAATATAAAATAAAAATAATTAGATATTACATCAATATATTTATTCAGAAATAATATTAATTGCATGTTTAGACTTTTTTATTAAAAGATAATTGTTATTATAAATATATATATATATATCGTTAAAGCTACGATCAAATAATCAAAGATAAAATAAATAGGAGCTGTTAAAAAAATATGAATGAAAGACCTATTTTAAGTGCAGATTAAATAAATGATTCTGATATCTTATATTCTTATGATATATCAGAATAAATAGAAATTGAGCTCTCTTCTTACCAAAAAGGAAAATGGTGGATGTAGCTTATAAACGGTTTTCACTTAATGTTTATGATTTTCATATTTGTTGAAGCTTGGATAACTTTTTAAATGAATTGCAGTAAATCATTCATAGTTTTAATAATATTAGTCATGGTATCTATTGTACTTTCTATATACAATTTTTTTTAAGACAAATCCAAACAAAGAAGATAAATATATAAATTAATTGGAATATGTTGCTTTGCTCAAATAGTTTTCATGATCTTTTTTATAATTTCTTTACAACAAAATGTATATTGTAGTAATGCTATCTGTCATCCATATTTTAATGGAAAATGGCTTTTGAGTACTTCAGATTTTTCGTCTGAAGCTTAGTAACACGAATGCAACTCTGTGTAATAATAGTTTGATAGCAAGCTTGAAATTTCTTAAGCAATTCAAACTTTTGTTAAAACAGCTGCATATTAGTATTGCTAAAATTAACTTAGCCAGAATCCTGAAAATTCTGATGATAAAAATAATTGTGATACTCTGAATTAATATCAAATAGAAGTTGAATATAGTAAAGTATTCTTTTTAGGAACAATAGTTATGACAATTTTTGAAATGAGTTACTTAATAGTAGTTGTTTATATTATAAAAAAACTTAAATATTTATAAGTCAAGAGGGGTATTTCTCAAATAAATGAGTAAAATGATTCTAATGATTCTTTACATCATAGTAATTATTATTGATATCAATCGATTTTTGTAACTATCAAAACATTTTTAAGATATTTAAAAATATTAAACTGATAATAACTATAATAAAAATTTTTATCAATTAAAATCTGCAAATCCATATTAATAAAAAAAACCATTAAATATTTTTGTTTATTCTATGTTGGTCTAAATATTAATTCAAATAAAAATATAAATTTTATTTATTTATTATAAAAATATTCAATTCTATTTAATGTATTCAATATTTTTATATACTTTTAGATAGAAAATAAAAAATTGCAACAAAAATATAAAAAAGGTTTTAATATTTTTTTTAATTTATTCCAAAATAAGTTTTAAAATAAGTTAATTTATAGTAAATGAGACAAAAGTAATTAAGTATTTACAAATTAATGCTATTTATTTATATATTTATTCATAAAGTATTAACAAATTAAGTTATTTATATGTTTTAATTCCTTTTTTAAAATTTAATTTTAAAAAAACGATAAACACAATTTAATTTTATTAATCTCTATAAAATCATACTTTTCAATAATATTTATTTTAGTTTTATTAATTTTGCTATTCACCTTTATATTTGATGCTATAAAATTCATTCTTTAAATCTACTTTAGTTTTGTAGTCATCTCTTAGATGATTAGGTACTAAATATTCAACTCCAATTCTTTATTCACCTATTAATTTTAATGTATAAATTGTAAATAAAAATATTTTTTGTTTTGAATAATACCTGTTAAAATATTGTAGCCACAATTACTTCTAGTATCTAAATTTTCTGCCCTAACATATCCTCTAACTTTAGCCATTTCATCTCTCTTTTTTAATGAATCACCAGCACTACTTTTTTCATATTCTAGAGTTATAGGATTAAATGGCATACTATATTTAAAAAATTAATTTATTCTTTAACTATTAAAAAATAGATATTTATTTTTTACCCATTAGTATTTCTTTTTCCAGCTTTTAACACTTCTGCTTAAAATTGTCTTTTAACTTATTCTTTATTTACTTAGTTTTCCATTTACTCCCATCTTTTTGACTCTCTTTCTAAAGCCTCAATTCTATGTTTTTCTAAAGCGACTTCTTTAGTTGCGAATCTTTAATCTCTCTACTGTTTATCAAAAACGCTAAAATCTTTATCAAATCTCTAGTTTTCTTTATTAAAATAAATTTTATTATTTGTTTAACTTGAAAATCTTCATACCTGGAATAAACAAAGTGGATTTTGGATCAGGATTATGAAGAAGTTGTTTTACATCAGTATTTCTAGTTTCATATCCAACTAAATTTTTTGTTAGTTAAACATTATTGAATGTTAGGCATATTAATTTTAATATATTTTACCTCTCTAATTGATTCTAGTTTTTTCTATAGATTCTTTATCTTTCATAGCTTCCTTTAATAATAAAATTAAATTAGGTTAGTGAGTGATTAATGTATAAATATTTTATTTATTATATCTAAAAGAATTACTCTTTCTAAACGAGTTCTAGGCTAAACACTATTGAAATTATCTTAATATTACTGCAAACTATCATAATCTTCTTGATAGTATTGCTAATTCTATGCAGGGTATCCTTATTATTATGCATAGCCTTATTATTACTATTAGTATGCTTATTATTAAGCTCCATATCCTTATGGATAGTTTTATTATTGTTAGTAAGGACTTCCTTATTACTATTAGTAAGGTTATTGCTAGTATGCTTAACTGTATTATTATCCTTACTATCCTTAATTATAGCCATACTATTATTGAGGTTGCTAATATTAATTCTAGTACATTTTATTTAAATAAGTTAGGTTACTTGGTGAATTCCTCTGTTAATTATTTTAAGAATAATATTGACTTAAAGTTCAAAACTTAATTAATTATAATAAAATAAAAGAAAATTAATTGACTTAATTTAATAAGTTTTTAGAATCTGAAAAATTTGTTCATATATTGATTGACTTTATTAACTTAATATATTTCTGTTATACAATTTTATTAAAGACCAATTTTCAAAATTTAATAGAATTTAGGAAATACATTCAATTAGAAAAAGAATAATTATCTCATTATAAAATTAATATATATATATATACATTTTTAGATTTTATAAAATGTCAAATTTTCTATCTATTTCTAAACATTTTTATAATCAATAACTCAATCAATAAACTTCAACATCTAAAATTTTCAATCTAATACTAAATGATAAATTTATTTTAATTTATTAATATATTTAGATAAAATATAAATTATCAAATAATATAAAAGATTTTTGTTAACAAATAAATGATAGTATTTGAATCTTTTAAAAAGTAAGTAAACCAATCATTTAAATATTTCACTTTAGTAAGAAGTCATATAATATTTAGTTTTTTATAAAGTAAATACTATATAAGTAATTGTAAAAATAGATAGACATAGAAAATTATTTTAATAAAATACAACTAAAACGATTTTCATAAACTAAATGTAAAATTAAGGAAAACTTTACTATTACTTATTAGATTTGATAAATTCCATTTTTCACAAAGGATAACCAATAAAAATTTAGTGAAAGCCAATATAAAATTTCTTCATTAATAAAATAATATATATATTATCATTTATTTATCATAATTTTATGTAATAATAAAAACCATTATTTAATTAAAAATTTATTATTTGAATTAGGCTGACTATCATTTTAGTTTTTTATTATTTTAATGTAAATCAATAATTTTCATTAAATGTTTCATTTTTTTATAAATAGATATATCAATTTTCTTTTACGACTCTCCATTCCAATTATTTTTTATTCCTAATCAATTTACTTTATAGTTCATTTTTATCATCTAAAAAATAAATACAAAATTAAAATAATAAGGATTTCTCCAATTGCAAGTTTTCTTTAAACCCAACACTTTTTATAAAAAAAACTTTCTTTAATTCTTCTATATATTAATAACAACCAAAATTGTAAAGAAGGTGATTAAGTCTTAATTACTGAGAGGCTACGGTATTCAGACGAATAAAGCAATAGGATTATCAATAAAATTTTTATAAAATTAAGCATAATTTTAATTAAAAAAAAAAAAATAAATAAAATTGATTAAATTTATTTTATTTAGAAAAGAACTCTGATTATACAAAAAAATATTTTATTAGTCAAGAAAAAAATAATATATTTGTATTAATTTAAATATTTCAAATAGCTTATTTTGAATGCTTTTTGCAAAAAATTATTAATATTACTTACTATCTATCACTAAGATTTTATGTATTATTTGATATTTTATAAAATAATTTAGGAAAATATCTATTCAGTAAACAAATATTATTATTTAATAAAACAAAGTTAGATGATGAAATATTTAAATATTTCTTCAACTTTAACAATATTATAAATTAAGATTAGTTTATATTTTTTAAATTAACAAAAAATTTAAAATAATTTAATTGAATAAATTTTAGTAATGCAAAAATTAACTATAACAAGAGTGAGTTTGTATTTCAAATTAGTAGAGTTAAAAGGTTTATGTGATTGTAAGCTCATATCAATATTTTCTGAAGTATTTAATTTTTTTAGTACAATTTTATTATTTGAGACCATCGCAAATAGTTAGATTCGCAAATAATAATTTACGCAATAATAAGAGTAAATTAAATTTTATAGAATGTAACCAAAATTTTGTTGTAAATTTAATTATCATTTAAATACCTTAAATAAATAGGTTACAGATTAGAGAGCTAGATCATTGTCTTTTGTAAGCTAAGAAATTTCTTGAAGTCAGATTACATCCATTAAAATAAAATAAAAAAATACATTTTTAAAAATTTAATTATTTTAATAATAATTTATTTAGTAAAGTGTTGAATTTTAACAAAAATATATTACTTATAAATAAATAAATAAATATCCTAGTTTTCAAATAGAAATTAATATAATCGCAAATATTTTTTGCTTCTCTTTATTATGGATATTGCAAACAATTCATATTTAAATAAACCATTAATGGATATTTCACAAAAGAATTATGTGACTTTAAAATGGAACAACTTAAATGTAGAAATTCTTGAATAAACTAGATAAAAAAATAAAACATACAAAACTATTTTAAATAACTGCTCTGGCTATGTTACTCAAGGCCAAACACTTGCAATAATGGGCCCATCAGGTATTTAAAACTACATTCATAATTATATTTATCTATTTTAATCATATCTAATATTTAAAGTCTAATCAAATAGATCTATTTTAAAATATTTTTCGTTTTAATACAAGGCGCTGGAAAGACAACACTTCTAAGCTTATTAACATAAAGAATAAAGTCTAACAGGAGTTAAAAAATTTAAGGAGAAGTAAATTTAATCGTTCCTCATAACATATTTTGATTGTAATTACAATTAAAAAAACACATGTAGATACTAATGAATGAAAGCAAATATACTGCAGAAGATTTTAGTAGCGTAGCAGCATATATATTATAAAATGATATATTAATGGAATCACTAACTGTAAGAGGTAAATATTTAATTTGTTAATTAGTAAACTTTAAAAGGAAGACATTTACTAAATTTAATTAAATATTTATAAAGAAACTATTGAATTTGCTGCAAGGTTAAAACTTAAAGATAGTGAGTCTGAAAAAATGAACAAAGTTAACTCTATAATTAAAAAATTGAAACTTGAAAAGTGCTAAAATAGCTATGTAAATAATTTTGTACATATTAAAAATTCAAAAATTATAATAAGGTTGGAGGAACATACATAAAAGGTATAAGTGGAGGAGAGAGAAAAAGGACTAATATAGGAGTAGAACTAGTTACAGACCCTCAATTAATTGTCCTTGATGGTAAATAAATAAAAATATATCTACTTTTAATTTATTAAATATATAAAAGAACCCACTTCCGGTCTAGATAGTTTTACTGCATTGCTTACAGTCAATTTATTAAAGCAATTAGCAAAAAATGAAAATAAAACTATATTGTTCACTATTCATCAACCTAGTAGTGATATATATAATTCTTTAGATAGAATATTATTACTTAGAAATGGTATGACTGTATATCAAGGAGATTCTAGAGAAATAGTACCTTATATGCAAAAATGCGGTTTGGTTTTACCTGAATACTGCAATCCAGCTGACTTCTTCATGGAAATTATTGCAAACAACAAAATAAAATTTGAAAGCAAAGAAGAACCCTTCACATTGTAGTCATACTAAGAGTATGTGTAACCACAATTAGATGAAGAAATGAGTAAAACCACAATTTTAGTTAATAAATTGAAATAGTTTTTATATTTTAACTTTAAAAGAAAGTTATTTTATTTTTAATATTAATATTAATGATTTTTACTAATCTAAAATATATTATTTTATGAGCCTAACTACTAATCTATTTAATAAAATCAAATATATTAATTTATTCTGAATTTAAAAGGAAGCTATTTCAATGATTTATACTCTTTAATATTTTATAAAAAAGGGAATTTAAAGTCTAGTAAGCTCATTATCCCAGAATCAGCATATGCAAATGACTTTTTTTATGAAACTAAGTTAATTGCTTAAAGATCATTAAAAAACTTTTACAGATCACCTGTTCTATTGAAAGGAAAATTATTCCAGTTAGGTAATTTTAAAATAGCTAATTAATAAGGTGGTATTAATAATATTTAAATATTTAGTTGTTATGTGGTTTGCTACTTCTTCATTGTGGTGGAGATTGGGAAATAATAAACCTAGTAATAATAATATCGATGATATATAATAATGGGTTATGAATGTCACTGGGCTGTTATTTTTCATTGGTATTAGCTGCTTTATGAATATTATGATGACTCTCACAATAACATGTAAATTTACTTTTAATTGTTTGATTATAAATAGGAGTTTATTAAATTTTAATAGTTCCTATTGAAAGGAGTGTGTTTTTAAAGGAAGAAAACTCCCATTCTTATCGAGTTTCTTCATATTTTATGGGAAAATTATTGATTGAATTGCCATACATAATACTTTATCCTTTATTACTTGTTGTTGTCTGTTACTGGCTAGTTGGTTTAAGGACAGAAGGGTTTTTACTTTGTGGTAAATTTGAAATAAATTTTATTAATTCAAACTTTAATTTAATTTAAATAAACTTAGCCTTTGTATTAATTCTAATGTCATTAACTGGTAATGGGTTAGGTTTAATGACTGGAGCTATGTTTGCTAGTCCATAAGCTTCAGCTGCAATGTCTCCAGTAAAATTCAATTTTAAAAATCTATAAAATTTCTAACTAAATTTTTTTAGATGTTATTACTGCCATTTTTGATGTTCTCTGGATACTATAGTAATTTAGATTACTTGCCTGGCTGGATAACTTGGATTTAATATTTATCTGTAACTTTTAAATTATTCATAAACATGAACCTATTTTTATTTCAATAAAATAGCCATTTAGATATATGTAAAATGCTTTTTTAAGAAATGAGTTTGATGGAGCTGACTACAATGGCTACAATCCAGTGTAAGTTTTAGGTAAAAAATAATTAATATAGTTCTTTTATTTATATAAAAATATATATTTAAATTTAAAGGATATAGCTTATCTCTTTGGGAATCTATAGGCGTTTTAATAGGTTTAGCTACTGGTTTTCATATACTGGCTTTTATTTTTTTAAAGGCAAGAGCAAAAAAGTTAAGCTGAAATTATAAAGCTAATAATAAATTTAAAAAATGAGTTTGTGTAAAAAAAATAATGTTTCAATTGTTAGTTATAAGTTCGCATTAATGCATATTCAATTGAGTTAATGTATTATGCATAAGTTGTTTTTTAATAAATAAAAAATTAGTAATTAATTAATTTTGGAAAAAAAGAACAATTCCAATTAAAATAATGTTTTAGAGTACTTTAAATTATTAATAACAAATTATGTAAAAAGAATCTTAAAATTTATAAAATTTGTCTAAATGCTTATTTATATTTTTATGATTTCTCAAACAGACCTTCTTTGCAAATCGATGAAGACTGTTTGTTTGTTTGTTTATTTATTTGTTATTAATTATATAAATAATAAAAGCCAAATTCATAGAATTTTTCTTAAATTAATTATTTCTATTAAAAATTAAAAAAAATTAAAATTATTTAAAATGAGATCAATCATCAATTATATAAATATATTAATTTATCAAACATTAAAAAAAATCAAATAAATATTCTTTAGATTTAGTTAACCTAGATATAAAAAAATGAGTACTTCTGAAGAAGAAATTAAGTAAGAACCTCCAAAAACCAAGAAGGAACATTCATACACTTACTGGGTCGATAAGGAAAAGCAGAATAACCCAAATATTGTCTAAAAAGAACCCAAAAAAATTGATCCTACTCAAATCCAATAAAATTAGTAATAAATTAAAATTTATATTAAATTTTGAAAATCAAAAAGTTTAACTCCGATTAATCAATCGGCATAGCTTCTTTTCAATTTATTTCATGAAAATAGTTTATGTTTTATATTCAACAAACTTAATTCTAAGAAGAAAAATGTTATTCCTATTACATTCAAATTAAAATTTTATTTTTACAATTAAATAGATCAAAGCACGTGTCTTAATGGAACTAGATAGGTACTTGGTAAAATATTAGTTTTAATAAATGTTAACCTTATAATCATATTGATTCAACATATAGATATGTTTGATATTTATCATACATTTAAAAATTAGGGAAGAGAAAAAGATAGAGCTATCTTAAGTAAAAGAAATATTAGAAAAGGGATTCAAAGAAAGCCCAGTTCAAAGTGTTGACTAGCGTATTGAATTCTACAATATTTCTAAACTTGAAGGAGATGTATGCTTTTTATTGTTAATCTTAGCTATAAGTCATATTTTTTATAATAATAATTATTTAGGTTTCTATTGTAACTGTAAGAGGCAAGAAGAAACCAGGATACCACCTTAAGTTAAATGTTAAATATAGAGGTATAAAAAATATTATTAGTTTGTAGAAGATTTTATTAATTTTGTACATAAATTATTAGCATAATGAATTAATTTTGATTGCAATTATATTTTTTTTTAATAATAGGTATTGGTGATTACAAGGGTGCAAAAGGTGTATTTAAATATACTAGCTTTAGCGATGATGGAGATAGAGATGTAATTAATTTATAAAAATAATTTTATGTATCCATAAAAATGTTAAATAAATAAATAAATAAATAAAAAGTTTGAAGTTGAAGGTGCTGGAGAGAACCACAAAGAAATTTGTAAGAAATCTGCATAAGACTCTTCCGATTTACTTGAATAGCACATTTTAAAGCTCTTTTAGCTCATTCATGAATGAAACAAATAAAACTTAAATAAAGAAAATGAATTAATTATTCTTTGAAATATAAAAATGTATTAGTTAGTTAGTTAGTTAAATATTTATAAGTAATTGTAGTTAATTTTAAATTAAAAATAGTTAATTCTTTCAGAAATAAATACTTGCTTTATAAAATCAAATAAACAAATTTAATTCTAAAAATTTAAATAATTAATAAATTAAAATATAATTTCATTAAAAAATATTAAAATAATTTGGGGATAAAGGTAAGAGAAGAGGTAATTAGGAGTATAGGTTAGGTAAGGACGGGCTGCGTGGGGTGGGATGGATTGGGTTGGTATTCGGGAAAGGAAGAAGTATAAATGAATTGTTTAAAAAACTAGTTAAATTTTACAAAAACACACTGGAAGGAGGACAAGTAGAAGGATAGATAATTAATACTTGAATAAATAAATAATTCCTCTATTTCTCCATTCAAATAATTTAAAAATTTTATAATATTATTTTATTTATGACTCTAAATTTATATATAATTGTATTTTCTTTTCTTTAGAATTTTTGCCTTGACTGCTTGTATATTTAACTATTTGCTTACTCCCTAGCCTGCTTGCTAGTTAGCTGTTTGGTATAAAATTTACAATCAAGGAAGAATGGGTTTAAATCTCTTTTTTCGATTTCTATCAATTCTTTTTAAATTTTTTGCCTGGTTAGGGTCCACCACCTTTTTTATTATTAAATCTTTTGTTTCCTTTTTGCTATTTGTTGCTTGCTTATTGAGTATATTTAATTAAGTTTTGAATCTGGTTATTCAAGTCTTGAATTTCTTTATTTTTAGTCTTGAAAGCAACACCTTTTATTTTATTTTTAAATTTTATTAGTTTTTTAATTAATTACTTGTAAAATTGTTTTACCTGCATTTGATACAAGTTGTTGTTGATTTTAATCATAAACAAAGTTATTAAAGTTAAATTCTGAAAGGAATTTAATCATGCCTGCTGAAGGATAAATAATAGGTTCACCATTTTAGTTGTTAGCTAGAGGTAAACTAATCTTAATATTTTCTTTACATAAAACAGCAAGTGCGTCATAAATATTTTCAAATCTAATACATGCTACTCTACCTATATCAATCATATTCTAATCTAAATTCTTTGATGTGATAAATATTGACTGAGTAAAAACATCAGCTTTTATTTTTATTAAAAATAAATAAATAAGAAAAATTTTTAATTTATTTCAGAAGGGTTTACTTAAAATAGTTTCATTATCAATTACAAGTATGCTTTAGTCTGTTATCTTTCCAACCTACATACTTAATTTTTATTAAATTTCTTAAATTAGATCTTTGACTGAGAAATTTTTTCTATCTAATCCTATGAATAAAAGATGGTATCCAAAGCTCATAAAACTAGCTAAAGAAGGTGAAGTCATATGCTACTAGTATTCTTCAGCACTATACGTTCTGTATTTATTGATTCCGTTTTTGATGTAAGTACTACTTTTTGTGTTGCAAGATTCTGGAGTATATGCATACTCAACATAAGGGAGTCCCTTTTTATTTATATCTTCTGCAACTTTTAAGTCAGGATTGACCCATATTTCAACCTTTTAATTTATATTTTAAGTAATAATTAGTAAACAAAAATAATTTAAATTCAAATTACTGGTTCATTAGCTTAATATGTGAATATTTTTCCATCTTTTTTATTTTTATTTGTGTTTAAACCTCTTATAATAGATCCACTATCTTTAACTTCTTACAAATCTCTGTTTGCCTTAATCATCCCTTACATGACATGAGTGTTGTAAATTGGTCTATTATCATTATTTATTTTATAAAACCTGATATAATAATTAAAAAAAATACCTAAACCAATCATAATCACCATTCACCATAGCATTTCTAACTTAAATTTAAGCTTCACTTACAAATGTTAACATTTTACGAGAAAACTGTAGTGGGTTATCTTTCTTAGAGCTTAAAATCTTTCTACTATAATTAGAAATATCATGAAGTGGACAATTTGTTTTAACTGCCTAAACTCTACAGCACTAAAGGCAAAGTCCATTAGAACACTCTGCGTCTTTTGCACTTAAACATTTATCACAAATATTTTCTTTGATAATTGTTTTATCCTTTTAGTAAAGTTCTTCTTTTTTTGCTTCTATTTCTGAGATAGCACTGTAACTACAAGGACATCTAAGCATACCATATTACTATCTAGAGCAGCAATTCTTGCACAAGTCATGTAAACAATTATGTTCCTTTCGATTATGAATTAAATTAAATTTAAAATAATGAATAATTAATTTAAAAAAAAATTATTTTTACTCTTTTAGATGTGCACATCAAACAAATGTTATGTTAATAACGTTTAAAAGGTAAAAGCTAGATATGTGAGATTTTATGGGCAATTAAGCATCCCATAAATGGTTATGCATTATATACTCTATCAACATATTCTTTGTTGGGAAGGATAACAAATATGTGCTAGTGGTCTTTTGTTTCAGAAATTGGATTAATATCTTCTTCTATTTGATAATCACCGAGAGGAAGTTAAGTGATAGTTTAGATTAATTGATGAATAAGAGAAATATATTCTTAGCCTGTAGGAAGATCAGTCACTAGATCAAGAGTGCTAAGTGGCTTAATTATAGCTATAACTGCGTCTGGGTCACTGTATTTTTCAACTTTCTTCCATAAACTACTACTTAAAGCTTGAATTTGACAATCGTACTTTTCTATTAAATAAAAAATATATAAGGAAAAATGTATTTTAAAAATAATTTTACCTAATTTAAGTTCATAGACGTGACGCTCTGCATATACTCTTTAAGCATGTTCAGCAGAGTTAAAAACAAGATAAACATATTAGATTTTTTGAGCACAATAATGATAGTATAGCTTCATTTCACCCCAATTAACATTTTCGTGTTAGAAAGTTTGTTCAACATCATGCTTTCTAGGAGATTTTCTAAAATAAATTCTGAGAGTCTTATTCTTTTCAAAATCAAGTCTTTCTTCAAAATTGTAAAGCTATTTCATCTTTAGTAAAATTAAAATTAATTTAATCTAATAAATAATTCAATGTATGTATTTATTACTTTGTATCTTAAAAATTGATCAAATGTATCATGAATTATGCAAGGGTTTTTATTTTGCAATTCTTGACAACAAAGTTTGCAGCAACTATTGGCACAGTACATAGAAGCAATCTTACTGCATTCTCTAATTGACTAGCAAGGAGTAATACCATGTAACCTATTTATATCATCTACTGAGTAGTATATATCTAATAATTTTTGCTTGGCAACATCAACAAAATTCTTAATTCCTTCATATCTATTTAATTTAAAAATTGCTTTATTATTTATAATTTATAAGCTAATTTAATTACTGAGTTCTCATATTTAAAGCTCTGCACAAAGCTACTATTTAAGCAGGATTTAAAATCTCAAGAACTTAAGGAGTATAGGGAATAGCAACAATTGCTGTCAAGGCTTCATCATCTTTAAAGTGATCATAAAATACCATACAGGAACGCATCATTAAAGCCATTCCTTTAAATACATCTGGGTAAATAGCTTTTTTATTTATACGAGCCAACTCTGGAACAACTTGCCAAGGATACTAATGCTAAAATATCTTTTCTTCAATATTAATATCGCCAATTACTAGATCTTTATTTGTGATATTATCATATTGATTTGAAGAACACTTTAGGTTTCTGACTATAATTTCGATATCTGTTTCTCTGACTTCCTATAATGATTTTGATTCAGGTTTTTTGTGGAGATAATTTTAAAAAAGCAAATTTTAAATTCTTTTTGTTATTTATTCTTTAGTTCCAAAAATATTTAAGCTCAAAGCATAGGCTGTGCCTCTTATTTTCCAGTAAGGATCTGAGCGAACGATGCTAAATTCTATATTAAGGTTTTATAAAAAGATGTGATTAATTTATTTTTTAAAGAAATTAATTGCTTTTGAATAGGGATAAACATAATTAAGATTAAAATTATACCTTTAAATTCTTGCTCATTGAAGAGATAATCATCTTCATAGAGCTCTTTACGGACCATAGACTAGTGCATTTCCTATTATTTTTAAAAATATGCCTATTTTTAAGTGATCTAAAAGACTGTTTGTTTGTTGTTATTGCTTTTTTCTTATTTGATTTTATAAATAATAAATTCGATTATTATTACTAATTTAATTAAAATTGAAATAGCGCCTAAATTAAAGTTAATATTTTTTAGATATTTAATTAATAAATCTATAAATAAATTAACATATTCATTGAGATCATTTTTTCAAAAAATAAATTTTTGATCAATAAATTCTATTAAAATCAAGCAGCAAGCAGTATTTAGAAATTTAAAAACAAATTTAAAAGTTTGAAATTTTCAAATTTGCTTCAAAGGCTCTAAAATTCATAATCATTCGCAACTACTTTAAATGATTAAAAAGATTAATTTTCTTTGAAAGATATAATTTTTTTGAGAAATTTAACAAATATCATTCATTCTAATTTGAAAAAAAAAATATAATTTTTTTTTAATTATAATTTAGAAAATTAAATACATTTTATTTATTTATTTATGTAATTTTAAAATTAATTAGAATTATTTTTAATATTCTTTTTAAATAAATAAATTTATTTATAAATTAGACAGATCATTTCTTATTTTTTTATTTTTTTATTTCTCATTTTTTCTAAATAAAATATTTTTTTATTTTAAATTTTCACACAATTTCTAATTTCTCCAATAATATTATTCAAATTAAATATTTTTTTGATAATTTTTCTCGATATTAAATATTAAAAAGCTACAAAGAAATTTAAGTAAGAATAATTAAGATTTTTAAAGAAAGTTTATATTTTTTTAATTATGTCACTTTTTAATAACATTTTATCTGGTTTTTTAAGAGTTTATTTTTTTACATTTTTTTATATATATTATATATGAATAAAACGGTTTATCTCATTAAACATTTTTTAAAGGTAATAAAATTTGGAAAACTAAAATGACTAAAAAAACATCAAGGTTAAATAAATTTAAATGAGTTTGTCAGACTTCTTATATGCTTTATAAAAATCACAAAAGTAATATAAATAATAAAGTAACAATTAAGTTTTTTTAGATATTTATTTTTACTTAATGAATTAGATGAGCAAATACTTAGTTTCTTTAATTATAAACTAAATTTATTGAAAAGCTGTTTAAAGATTGAAATTATTGATATTTATTATATAGAGTATAAAGAAATAATTTAGATATGTAATTAATTACTTCATATTTTTATTTTGAATTTATCTTTTTTGTTAGATTTAAATATTTTCTTAAAAGATAATGTGAGATGTAAGTAATTAAGTAAATAAGACAGACTGACAGACAGACATAATGATTGAAGCTTGACAAATTATTTAAATCTATCAAAAGTTTAGTGTCGTAAACACATTAGATGAAAAATTTTGTTAATTAGTATAAAGTTAGTTATTATTTATATTATTATTACTATTGGAATTACTATTTATATTCTATGTAACTCCTTATAAATTTTATGAATTCTGATTGGAAGCTACGTTTATGTTAGCTATTCTATCTTGTTGATTAAGATCTAGAGTTTATGTATCCTACTATTAATTAAGAGATAGTCCATCCTACTAATTACGTAATTAGTTATTTATTACTCTCTATTGCTATCTAATTTGCCTTTGTTAGTTGCTATTTTACCGATTTTATACTCCTGTTTAATTATTTGCTTCCACTTGGTTTTCATTATTCATAAGCATTCTTCTCATTAAAATTTCTTATTAGTCTAATTGTTAATCAAATAAAATTCTTTTAATTTGCATACATTTTTAATCAAAATCTTTTTTATTTATAAGATCTTGAAGCTCTTTTTGAGTATTATTGCAAATTTATACTTGATTTTTCCAATCATTGTTAATATTAGGAGGTCTTCCTATTTAGTCTTTATAGAGTAAGAGCTATCTTTAAATAAACATCTCGCTATCTCTTACAATAACTACTTAAGAGGAACTATAATTTAAGTACATGCTCATACCTGAGTGATGTTACTGTGTATGCTCTATTAGGGTATTACTGTATTGCTTTTTTAACTCTGTTGTTATTTATTGATTATTCTGCTAATTTGTAGATTTTTTGTTGGTAATATTGACAAAATGCTTTGCACATAGATTTGAATTGCAAATCAAACACATATAATAACCTTCCTGATTACTTTGAGGATATCTGTGGCAGATAGAGCATTTTCCAAAGAAATGACATTAAATAAAATCACTGTATGATACTTGCAAATTAAGAGTCAATTAAAGCTAAAATTATTTGTAATTGTTAAATTGAGAAATCTTTTTATTTATAGATATATAAAACAAATCATCTAATATTTATTAGTTTAGTAAATTTTTAGCTACATCAGCAATGCTAGCAAAATTTTTGATTACAGGTACTTTAAATATACTTTAAGAATTATTGATTATTGTATTTTCAGGAAGTAAAATGTTAGATTTTTAATTTTGATTAAATGCAAGAATATTAAAAGTATTCTCATTTAAATAAGAATCTTATGAAATATCATTAGCAAAATCTGAGGAGATCATAGAATTCAAAAATATTTCTATGTTTTTCTGGTTTTTCTTGCCATAATATATCATCCAAACACAGTACGTTATTTATAAAAACCTGTAATCGATTAATTCTTTAAAGTTTTTTAAAAGGTTTTCACTTATTTCTTAAGAAAAGTTTAATGGATCAGGAATAATATCAAGTTCTTTTAAATATTTTGATTTCTCAATAATAATATCAAAAATTAAATATTTATAGATAAATTTAGCTGAAAGAGAGAGAAATGCTTCTTCTTTATTGAGAAAGAGAATCATCAAGTTAACTAAGATAGAAGCAAAGTTAGATTTTTTTCCAAGTGAAACTTAGTAGATGTGATAGTCATTAAATTAAATATTTTCTATTAATTCTTTCTAACTCAAGTAATATGCTTCATGTATTGAATCTCTATCTTCAATAAAGCTCCATACTTTCAAGTAAAGAAACAAGTTTCTTGAGACGTTAAACTATTTAGACTTAATAAAGCTTTCTTTTAACATGTTATAGTCCTGAATTTGATTCGTGTTAGTCATACTTTCTTCAATTTAGTTGATCAGCAAACTTTGAAAGCAAAGCAAAATATTATTATACCTTATATCAATATGTTGAAGACGAAGATTCATATCTTCTAAATAGCTTATATCAACCTCAGGTTCAAAGTAATCTGTTAAAACACGGTCTTCTTCTTAAATCGAAGATTCCTTTTTCTCCTCAACAATTATTTCTTGCTAGTTATTCTTATATTAAGGTTATTAAACTGAATCAGTTTTCATTTTTATGTTATGAGTTTCATTTTGTTTATTTTAAGAATGATATTTTAATGATTTAATACCTTATTTGTTTTGTCCTTACTTATTCATTGTTAATGATTACTTTTTTTTTATAAGATATGCATTTCCTTGCAAAATTTCATCTTAAGCAACATCCTGATTGTTATTGTTTTCTGTTTTTCTTTTACCATCTTCAATTTATTTTTATAAAAAAATAAATTTGATTTTTTCCATTTCCAACTCTTATCTGCTTTATTTTTCACATTTTTGAAAATCACTGTTTTTATCTAATAATTTTTAAGGGCTATTTTCATTTACAAATCCATTTTTATCATTTACAGATTCTATTTGCTAAATAATCTACATAAAGCTCGAGTCCTCATAGTTCTATATCATAAAAAAATTATAAACAGAATGATCCAAAAATTTTTTATTAAAAATTACATTTTAAAAATTGAAGAAACCAACAGCATGAGACTTCTTTTTCCCTTGCTATGTTATTTATTTATATTTCATATTTTTTTGATCGATCTAATCTAAAGGAAATGGAAGTTATGGATTTTTAGGTAATTGAGATGTGATTATTCCTTATTCCATATTATCTATTTATTATGCATCTCCTTCTGAGCTTGTTTCTTCTTAATTTTACTGATAAGAAAGCTCATCAACAAATAAAACTTATTTTAATGGATTATATTAAAAGCGAACTACTCGCTCATACTGTTCTAGATAGGGTACGAAAATATTATTCAACCTAAAACAGCACTAGCAAAAATATTCGTTTTCCTATAGAAGAGATTCATATTAATTAGATGTTCTTATATGTTAAATAATGCAATCTTTGTGCATTAAATGATTACAAGTAGTTAAGTAAAAATTATGTTATTGCTTAATATCTGTTTTTAAACCTTTATATGATTTATAATAATTATCTAATTAGATATAGCAATTTATGTAAAAAATTCTTCTCTTTATATAAGATTCACTGCAAATATTGCAAACTAAACTGTCAATTTCCTCTTGTGGTTATTTGTTATTTATTTAGTCTACCTTTTTCATTTCTTTTATTTAATTTTATTAAGAGAATTATTATTGTCTTCTCTTGAATTCTTCTAAAATTTATCTTTAAGCTTGTCTAGCCTTTTCTTACTGGGTATTTTATGTGTTATTTATGCTGCTTGTTTTGCTTTAATTTATTTGATTTTGATTTTATTAATTATTTTATAATGTTTTCGTGCCTTGCTGATGTTTCATAGCTTAAGGAAGCAAAGAAGGATTATAATCAGAGAATTGCTGATCATCTTAGACATTTTATTGGTAGTTATCCTAATTCTAACTATTTGGATTTTGCATTTCTTCTTTTCTAGTCCTTTTAATTTTTTAAAGTTTACATTAAATTTATTTTTTTAACTGTTGATTAAATGCATTTGATGTATCTAATAAGTTTATCAATCTATCAACAGATTCATGAAACAATATCTGGTTAGCTTTTTTTAAAATAAAATATTAAATTTTGAAAATAAATTAAATTAAATGATTTACTAATAGGCGAATATTACAAAATAAGAGACACGGTTCTCATAATTGGAATAATAAATTGTTTCTATATGAGCTGCTTATTTAACAATATTTAAACAAAATCTATTGAAAAAATATTTTCAAGCACTTTCGATACTGTAGAAAGAGCTTTCATATTTCCTAAAAGAAAATCAAGCTGCTATGTTTAATCAAGAGAATTTTAGCTGTTACTATTTTAAGAATTTATTTAAAAATATATATTTTCTATGATATTAACTATTTTATTTTTAGAGTGATCTTTGTAAAATATTCCTGGGTCATATTAGGGAAATTCTCCTGAGGGTTTCACTGTGTTACTCCTCCAATCATATGATAAATAATTAACAAAAAATGATTCTGATAATTTAGATATGTCAACAGATAATATTTATTTAAATGATTTATTGATTTTTTTAATATTTTATCTCATCCTATGCATTGAGAATGACGCTATTGAAGAAGTTGGAGTATTCTGCTTTGGAGAAGAAGACTAATTTATAGCTTAGAGTGTTTCTAAAGAATGCACTTAATCTTAACAATTAATTTTATTTTAATTTTCGAATAAGAACGACAGTATTACTTTTTTTAAAAGCTCTTTATAATTATTATTAAATATTTTAAATTTGCTTAAAAAGAGAAATTCATGAACTTCTTGCACGAGCATATGTAAGTTCTTTTAAATCCACAAGAAAAGTTAAGGATTTAAATTTTTATTTAAAGAAACTTACTTTTTAAGTAAGTCATCACTTGAACACAGCTATGGCATCCAAAATTAAACAAGAAACCATTCAGAACTAAACATCCAATCATAGTGATTTTATTTTTATCTATCACATTTTAGCAATATACTCTTCTAAAAAAAATTTTCTATTATTTTTTTATCCTTGATTTTTACAGGTTCATTTTTATTAAGCTAAATTAATTTATTGCTAGCTTTTCCATTCTCATTCAATTAGTTTCCATAATTATTTGTCCCACCATAAGTATTTTAATGTTTTATTGCAGTTTATTAAGGACTTTAGTTTTGATTGACGTTGAATACAAAACTTTGATTATTAAGTAGGCTATGGCAACTTAGATTATCAGTCTATTTACCATTATTGTTCAAAACAATCCAATTCGTATTATTGTTGTTGTTGTTATTATTATTACTTTTTATATTATTATTATTAGGAGTTAAACTGCCTTAGTTTTACTACTATTAAGGATTATTACTATCTTATTAATTTTAATTTTAAAGGTTAGTAATTTGTTGCTGATTTTAGTTCAAGAGATAATTTTATGTTAAGGATGATTGGTGATTAAATATCGATTAAGAATGCTAACTGAAAAGTTACTATGATAAATTCATTGCTGATGGAATTTATTATTAGTTTTACTAAACAAAAGTAGAAAATTTAAGCATTGGAAAATGCCTAGCTTTGGGTGTAGAAGTAACGTTACCATGGATTGTTTAGTAAAGTAAACTAACTAATAGCACTAAACGTAGATGAGCTACTGTTGTAAAATAATCTTCTGAATATGCATAGGAATTAACTTCATCTACTTCTTATTTTTTTAATTCGAAATTAGAATAAATCTTTTGCATTAATATTTTGTTTTTTGATACTCTTCTAAATATTTTCATGAGGAGCATCCAATTTAATCTTTCATTATATTCTACTTCTTGGTAACTCCTATTTCTTTTTGAGTCAGGATAAGTAGATACTTTAAGGATATGAAGTATAAGTTCATGGTGAGCAGGAAGTGTTAAGTCAAATTTTTTAACAAATAAAATAACTACTTAGAGCCAGTTTTTACGAGAACGTTTGCTTACAGCGGGATTGTATATGAGCTCGAATACAGAACATATGTTATTTTTGAAATTGTAAAGTAAACAATCAAGTTCATGCTTATTGATGTTGCTCAGAATCTTGTAGATTAATGTAGGAGATTCGTAAATCAAGCATCTCCTGAGCATGATTTCAATTAATTTTGATTAAATTTCTCCGAAGCGGAAAAGGGGATCGATTAGTTATTTTAGAGATTCTTATTCAATCATTCAGTAGAATTTCAAGAGTGACTCTAACAAAACTTCAGAATTAGAATTATTTTAGTTGATATTAATAGATAAAGTGTTAGAGCAAGATAGAAGCATGTTTGAATTTATCTCAGTTTTTTTATTATCTTGCTTGAAGTTATTTTTATTGCTCCCATCATTATTTGATTGATTACCTTAACAGTTTATTATTATGCCATTTACAGAAAGAACACAGTTTTTGCAATTTGCACTACAAATTTTACCTTCTATATTATTAGCTGTTCCAATATTATCTACTCCTTTTTCACATACTATAATAGTTGCCTCTTATTATTATTTTAGATTACTATTAGAAGGAACTTACGAAATACCATTCAGATCCCTATTTTTATGTGAATAATTAGTGGTATTCGTATTTTAATTTTGCTTTTTTATTATGGATGAAAAATTATTTGAAACGTGAATTGACTCTTCGAGTAGAGCTGATTTTATAATCGAAAGTATTGGTGTGCAAACAATCGCTTATCCATTCTGAAGATTCCTACTTGCAATATAACTTATTAAACTTTACATAAAAAGATTCATTTGTTATACATTTTTTTCTTTTATGTACTTCTATATACGAGTTTTCATTACTTTTATGATTTTTTCTCTCACAGATTTATTCAATTTATCATTCTATTTAAATTAATCATTAGAGCTATTGTTAATAGACTGATTTTACACTAGTATTTGAATATTTTTTTGTTATTCATTTGTATTGTATTTATTTTATTGTAATTTAAATTTTTGTGGTTATTCTAGTTTTTAATCTACATTTTATTACAAAGAATTATTAGGGTTCTAAGCAGAGGCAGCAGCCTTTAAATGTGAGCGACAAAATATTCCAAAGAACCCACAATCGCATATTAATTAATTCTTTTGCTCATTTAAATTTAACTTACTTGCTTTGTTAATTTATATAAGCACATCATGCCCATGATGATCATTCATTTGATTGAAGCAATAACTACAAATTATATATTTTTGACTGTGACAATCTAAACATTGGTAATATACTTAATTCCTACTGATTCTACGAAGACAAAAATTAGATTCTTCATTTTAATTACAGTCATATTCATAAAAAAGATCTCTTTTTAAAGAATCACTTCCATAAATTGCACGACTCAGCTCCTCCCCGTATTTATCCAAAGTTTTTTTCTCTGAAAAGCAGGGGAATAAAGTTTCGCAAATATTTTTCATTAAAAATTAGTAGGAAAGCTAAAAAATAATTAAATTTTATGAAAGAATTAGGTCTAAAAATATCAAAAAGTGCTAAGTAAACTCCTTTTTTATATGTTGTATCTTAGCAAATATTTTTATAATTAAGAAAAGCTGTATTATTTATATAAAGAAAGGATAAGGACTAATAAACTAGGAGTAAAAATGTGGCTGACTATTTAGAACTAACTATTTAATTATAATGGATAAACTATCAAGTTCTTTCTTTAAGGAAACGATCTAATCTAAAATTTAAATTAACTAAATAAATAAATAAAATAAGAAGAGCTATTATCCAAATATGAAAGTTATGCAAAATATTTAGATTATAAAAAGCAAAATTTGAATTGCTTACAAAAATCCTCTAGGGCTAATTATAGCTGACTTTTCTTAAAATTTCAATTAACTTACTCTCTTAATATATAGGATTAAAATTTGTGTTTTTTATTAAATGATTTCTTAATATTATTAATATTGCTCACAATTCAATTATACTTTTTTATCTTTCTCTTATTTTTTCCTTTAGTTCTTATAATTATTATTATTAATGAATGATATTGATTGCTAATCTTCTTCTTCGTCCTTATATTTCTTTATTTGTTTGTTATGTAAATTTACACAATTAATTTCTTCTATCAATGATAAATTCCCCTATATTTGATATCTTAAATTAAAAATTTTGTTATTTTATTGAATAAATGAATATGTTTTCATAATTTTTATTTTTTAGATTTAAATTTGTAAATTGCCTTCATTTTTTGGTAAGTATTTCAAATACAAAACACACAAATAGTATTTTTGCTTTATAGATTCTTATTTTTCCAAATTTTTATATTTATAGATTAAATTTGTTAGTGGTATCGATTCATTTAATCCTTTCCTATTTTCAGCCACACTTTTGTTATTTTTAGTATCTTTTACTCATCTAATTCTTAATTCTATTTAAATACATAAATAAATAATTATATTTTTATTGAATTATGATCTCAAATAATTATATAAAGTTCCATTATTTTTCATTTTATTTCTTCATTAAATTTTGCTAAATTCAATATTAAGATTGACTTATGATCTCTAAACAAATTATTTTTTTTATTGTTTAGATAAAAATATCTACAAATAATTGATTAACAAAATAAAATAAATCTTTACTATCAAACAGTCTAACTTTTTGCATATTTCATATAATTTACAAATTTTTGGCTCCTAATAATTTTTTTATGATTTTTTTCATTTTATAAATTGATATGAGACACACTTTATCATTTTTTAAAAATAAGCCATCTTACTTAAGTATATAAAAATTATTTATGTTAAAATTCATTTAAAAAAATAAGTAAAACATAATCTTGATAAAAAAATTATCCAACAGTTTTATAAAAAAAACATTTTCCCTCAATATTCATCATATAATATGAAGTAATAACGAAAAGCAAACTTTTTGAATAGAAGCTTATTAAATAAGTATTTTCTTTCTCTGTTCAAGAAAATATATGAGTAAATAGATTATTTTATGTAATAATTTAAAAAAATAATAGCTAACTCAACATTTTAGCTTCTATAAGTGATTTTTAAGGAAAAAAATATGTAATTAATTTTATCTTATTTTGAATTAAAAAATAATATTTTTTAAGGCTTTTTAACATTTTAATACAGAAAAAACACAGTGACAGCAGATTCACTTTCTGAATTTTTAAGAAAACAAAAGAAATAAAGTTAGTAAGCTATTGTAGAGTCTAAGAAATAAGTAAAAAAGAGATAGTTCTCATATGATTACAGATTTAAATAATAATAAAATTATTTAAATGAAATAGATATGTAAACCCTTTTAAATTAAAAAATTGAATAAAAGTATATCACTGAATAGTAATAACTTGGATAGAATTAGCTTAAGGTGCTTAGCGAAAGAATAAATCATAAAAGGACTTAATCTTTATTTACTAAAATATGACTTAATTTACAATTTATTAATAATCTTCATTACTTATAAAATAAAATTAAAATATATTTTATATGCTGTAATCAAGCAAAATTAAAATTTTTCTTCTTTTAATTTTAAAAAATATAAATATTTTATTCAAAGATATGGTTTTAATTAATAAAGTATAAAGGTTTTTTAATCTTTAAAAAGAATATTATTTTGATTACTAGTTTCTGCATTTATTTTAGCTTAAATTAATTTTGATTTATTTTTAATCAAAAAGTTGTTTTTTGTTAATTTACAATAAATCAAAATTAAATTTAAAGCTACGAAGAGAAAAAATTAAAAATGAATGACAAATTGTTTTATTTGAAAGCGATTAATTTGAATACGTGAATATAAAATAAATGAGGAAAATCAATAAAAATGGCAGTGAGTAATGTTAGTTTTAATAGGATTTAAATAACAAACAATAACATTAATCAAATGAATGATTTATATTTTACAGGAATTCAAAAATATGATGATATTGTATTTTAAATTATATATTTTGAAATTAGTATTAAGAATCAAAATCAGAGCTTAGCCTTCTTGATTTGTTCTTCTTAGACAGCCTTAGCAAGAGCTTCGACCTTGTGTTGAGATTTTTGTCCCAAGATACCACCACCCCAGGTCTTTCTGAGTTCGTCGTTAGCGTTGTAGTTGGTCTTGAAGAGTTCGGAGAATTATTAGAGCTTAGCCTTATCCTATTAAATTAAAAATAATTTATTTAATAAACTAATTTTTTATGCAAAAGTAGCTTACTTCGTTTCTAACTTCAGTGAGAGCAACAGCGGTAGCAGTCTTCTTGTTAACTAACTTACCGAGAGCAGCCTTACCTAATTGATTATTATGAATAATTTTAAATGGAATATAATTTTAATTTCAAGAAAATTAAATTTTCAGAGAAATTATCAAAAGAATCAAACATATAAATGAATGAATCCTTTTTATGTTTTGAATTTCCATTTAGGGTCATTGGTAGGGCTTTTTCGGTTCCGCACTGTTATGGTTAGTAAGAAGAGTGAGCATATTTTATGAAATTTAGATGAATAACGTTTGTTTGTTTGTTATTAAAAAGTAGATGATTAGTTTGTTTGAGATGGATAAGATGATAGCTGCATATTTACTAGATTGAAGTAAGAGTTAGTAGTGAAATACTAGTTTACTTTTTCAATCTGATTGAGCTCTTATCCAACTCTCAAGCTTTCTTTTATTGCTAAAAAGATATTTAATGAATGAATGCTGATGGACTGAAGCCTCATCATCATCATATATCTTTGAATAAAGCTGCTCTCACTTAAGCACAGCTTTTTTACTGACTAATATGTGAAACGTTTTTAACATACTTAAAATTAATTCTATCTAAATAATTGTGAAAATTAATTTTCTTAGATATCTAACTGAGTTAGATAAATGAAATTAATTTTCACTTTGATTGGGAGAGTAAAGTTTTTAGGATTTTTTTAAGAGTAAAGTTTTGATTTTAAATTATTTTAGAAAGAATTAATTTATTTTCTGATGAAGATAGTTTCACTGTTTATCAGTTTATCTTATAGCAAATAATCTTCATAATTGAAGATCAAGAAAGGTATAGAGGAATGCAATGCATAAAAGAAGTTAAGTTGGCTTTTCATCATATGTTTCGCTCGTTTCCGATCTGATTGATGATGAATGTTGGTATAATTTTAAAGATTATTTAAAATTCCAAACTGCAATCTTACTCATGAATAACTTTATTTGAATTACAAATATGTTTGCTTTTTTGTTTGTAATTCATTATTGATTAATTAATTAATTTATTTATTTATTACATAATCAGTTAATTAATGATTTATTTAATAACTTTAAGTTTTAATTAAACTCATCAATTAATTAATTCTCTTGCATTCATTTTATAATTCCTCTTTTTAACTTTCATCTATTTATTTCTATATTCAAATATTCATTTAATATGGTTGCTTCTTCTATTGTTTGTTTTATTTAACTTAGTGCAGATAAAAGCTCAACTCTAAAATTATTAGCTTTCAATTTTCTAACTAACTCCTAATTCATCTTTTTTCTAAACTGACTTTATACTTAATTAATTTTAGCTATTGGTTAATTTATTTATCTATTTATTTTAGTTACTAATGTTTAGCTATTTCATTAATAAATATTATTGCAAAATCAGATTAAAAATAATTAAGAGAAGTTAATTGAGCTAATATATTGAGTTTTCAAGCATCTTCCCTAAACTCCATTGACATTTTATATGTTCAATATATTTATTTATTTATTTATCCTTATGATAATTTCAGTAATTGAATGAATAATAGCTTCAAGTAGCTATATTTGAAGATTGTGTTAATTATCTATTACCTTTAACAAAAGCGAAAGGAACGTCGTTCTTTCTGCAGAGTTGAGGAAGGAAGATAACCAATTCAATGGGATCAACGTCGTGAGCGATAACAACCAACTTAGCTTGCTTGTTTTCGATCAAAGTAGTGATGTGGTTAAGACCGTACTTGAGGACGATGGGCTTCTTGGTTTCAACTTACTTACCGTCCTTCTTGGCTTCAGCTTAAGCAACTAATCTTTGCTTCTTTTCAGCAGGCTTTTCAGGAGCGTAGGAAGCTAAGAGCTTGAATAAGTTAGAAGCTTTTCATTAAAAATAGATTTAATAAAATTCCACAATTACTAAAAATAATAGGTTTAAACAATTAATAATTAATTACATTGGTTCTTATCGAGGGTCTTGGTGAATTAGTGGATTTGGGGGGGAACTTTAAGTCTTTGGAGGAGGACTCTCTTTTGTCTTTAGAGAGTGATGTATCTGGGCCATCTGACGAATCTGGTGAGGTCTCTCTTGGGTTAGATATCACCACCGACTCTGAAGCTTCTGGGCTTAGCTTGGAAGAGGGGGTTCTTCTTCTTTTCAGCCTTCTTGGGCTTAGTAATCTTCTTGGGAGCTTTAGGCTATTTTATTAAGAGAACAAATATTTAGTATGGTGGAAGGAAAGCTGAATGTTAATTGGGCAATCAATCAATCATGTTGCTTGCTTGCTTTGAATAAATCTTAAAAATAAATTAAAATTTACCATTTGTATTTATGTATGTATTAGTTTTTCCTTTAATTAATTTTTCCTTATTTATTTTCTTATTAAGTTTTTGCTGTCTAATATATCCTTTTGAAATATTTGTCCCACCTTTTTATTCCTTCTTCTTTTAAGCTTTTTCACCTTTAATCAAATTTTTTATAACACTATCTATCCCCACTTCATCTAATAAATTTTATACTTTCCATTCATTTTACATAACCCAAAAAATTAATCTAAGATGCTATTGATTGTTCATTCTTTCATTCTATCTTAGATTGATAGGCATTTAGATCATAAATTAAATTTCTCTTAGTTAAATTCCATTTTCGATTATAAGTAGATATCACAATAAACTATTTTTATTTATTAATTTATATAATGTAATTAAAAAAATTTATTATTATTTTTATATTGATTATTTAATGAGTATCTTTTAAAAATGAAGAGCATAGCATTAATACTGAATAGGTTAATTTTATATTAATAATGATGATACCCATTTTATTTTATTACTTTATTAAATTAAGTTATCAAATTTATTTTAACATAATTTCATATTATAAATTAAACTAAATATAAATAAATAAAGGTTTTATTTAATTTTAGTAATTAATGATTTAAAAAGTTTAAAATTAAGATGTTTGTTTGTTTTATATATTTTTAATGTTGATTTTAAAATTAATTTATTTTAGAAAAATGCAAATTTAACAATAGGTTGAAATTAAATTCATATATCTTTTTTTTAATTAATTATATCTTTTTACTTTTTCCTCTACATTCAATAAATAATTAAGTAATTAATTAAGTATATTGTTTATGTATTTATTTTTATTTATTTGCAGTAGAATTATTTTTTTATTATTTATTTATTTATTATTTACTTATTTACTTTTTGCTTCCTATACCAATTAACTTCCAAAATTTACTCCTAAAAAATTAGATAAAATAAACATAGTATGCGAATAATGAATGCACTAATCAAGAAATTTTGATTTTAAAATTTATCTGATATATATTTATATACATTTAAAGAAGTGGAAGCACTAAAAATATGTACAAAAGAGGAGTGAAGTTTCTGAATAAATTTATAGTTTTTGATATAGTTTAAATAAAATTATATGAAATACAGTAGAAAGATGAATGGTTTTCAATAGTTTAGATATATTTCCTTTAACTATATTAATACACATACAAATTTAAATATAGTTTTTATTAAGGAAGTCAGATCATTGAACTAAAGCAGAAGCAGTTTGAGCGTTGCTATTTTTTATAAAAGTTGTTGTTAATATTTAATTTTTTATGAATTAAGTTAAAGTAGAATTAATTAATTAAATTAAATTTTTACTATTTCCATTTAGGGGGGAGCTTTTGGTTGAGCTTGTAGTATCTAGAGAGTCTGTGGATTCTAGATTCAACAAGAATAAGTCTGTACTTAGAGTCCTTGTCCTTTCTGTTCTTTTCCAAGTGCTTTCTGATGGAGAGAGCCTTCTTGATCAAGAAGTAAAGATCTTCGGGGAGTTGAGGAGCACAACCGTTCTTCTTGAGGATTCTGAGGATCTTTTAACCAGTCAAGAATCTAACTTGGGGAATACCGTGTTGATCTCTGAGGATAACACCAATTTGAGAGGGGGTAAGACCTATTTGATATTAAGAGAAGATAAATATTTTATTTATTTATTAAATCATTCTAATCAATCAGCTCATTTTGTTTGGGTAGCAAGCTATCAAACAATAAATAACATGATCTGCTTTCTTATTATTTTACAACTAACTATTTATCAAATTTATCAAAAAATATTCTCAACTATTTTTCATTCATTTATTCATTTTTATTTCAAAATTTGTTGATAAGCTATTCTTAACTGTTAAGGATGGATTATATATAGCTTTATGCTCTTTAACATTCAAATCCAATAAAAATTTCAATAAGAATTCATAAATCTTTTGGAAGTATTGCACAAATTTAGTATTATAAATCTTTAATTCGCAATTCATATACTATTGGCGATTTATTTAGTTAATTATATCTTGCCTACCATTTAACGGCATTTAAAATATTTAGTGAATTTAATATTTATTTAAAACATATCTTTCGCTAAATCTGTATTTTGTTTGGTTGTTTATTTATTTATTTAGTTATTATTTAGCTTTTGGAACTAAATTTATACTTCAAATACTATTTCTTAAGATATAAATAGTAAATGTATTCAGATGGATAGCTATGATCTTCCTTATTTCAACTTATTCTCTAATCGCTAAAGGAAACCAGCTTTAATAAATTTTAATTGCTTGCAATTCCTAAATTTAATTTTTAGTGCAACTATTATCATCAGGTTAACGTCTAATCCTATCTAAAATTAGAGAGAGAGAATGCTAATTATTTATTTGATTAATTCTTGGAGGTATTTGAAGAACCTGGAAGAAGTAGATAAGGTAAATGAAACGCTCGTGATCGCTGATGATACGACCTTTAGCGAAAATACTTTTTTTGAATTTATTCAAAAATTGTTTAGATTATTTACCTCATTATTCACATTTTGATTAAATACCATTTTGAGCTAATGTAAAGGCTCAATCTATTTTTGAAGGTGTTAATTTTTTATTTAATATTTAAAGCATTTTATGTTTATAATTACTATAGTGTTTATTCTTTTCTTAAAATAGATTTTAGTTAATAATTTTTATACTTTTAACTTTAATGTAATTTATTAACGTAGCAGTCGTTTAGTTTTGATGTTTGAATAGCTTTCGAAATATAAAATGAGCGAATTTATGTTAATATTGATTGATTGATGATTTATAATAAAAATATTTGAAAAAATGTGTACCCTTCTTGGCTAACTTGACGGAGAGGTCAACGACAGTAGAAGGAGTCATGTGGAGCCACTTAGGAGATCTTCTCTTGAAGGGGAGGGCACTTCCGGAGATACCCTTACCTTTACCTTTCATTTGCATACGACCCATTTTTAGTTATCTATGTAATATATATGATTAATTGTATTTTTATTTATCTTTCTTTTTTTTGATCTTTTATTTTTAATTCTTCTCCCCAAAAAGTCACACCTTCTTAAAAAATATATTTATCAATTTTACCCCAAAGCATTCTTTTTTGACTTTTCCTTTTTTTACTTCTTCTTCTTTCTTTAATTTCATTTGCAATCATATCGATATTATTTGATTCTTGTTTTCCTTCCTTCATTCCTTCATGTCAATGCTCTCTCTCTCTCACCATGATTATGCTCTTCCATTTTATGTTTGTTAAATTTTTCACTTCCTTATTATTTTATGAAAAAAGTGAATAAATATTTTAAGCATGACTTTTAAGCATTTAATTGAAATAAAATTATTTATAAAAAATGATTTATGCTTTTTAAATTAAATATTTGATTTTAAAACTTGTTCAAGTCTGTGTTGATTTTATCAAAAAATTAATTAAAAAAAAATATATTAATTTACAAACTATAAAATTAATTTTGCTTAATTTTAAAATATTTTATTTGAAGGTAAACAAACATAAAAAATAATAAATAAAACAAATATTGAAACAATACTGATGTAATTGATATTATTTGCAATTAATTGTATTTATACTGTGATACTCGCTTGCTATGTTTGTGATAAAATTTAATTAATTTTTATCAAAATTAATTCAATAACTTTTTTTTAGTATCCGAAATCATTTCTCAATCAATCAATCAAAAATTAGAAATAATAATAATCCATTAAGCAAGCAACTTTCAAAAGAAAAATAGACTAAAACAAGCAAATTTTATTTCAGATTTCATTTAATTTAGTATGTCAGATAATTTTTTAGCTATTCACAGTGCCCCTAAAATAATGTCTTTGCAGTAAATTTAGATCAACAATTCTAAAAAAACCTAAACACCCAGTATAAATAATTTTATTTTGTAAAAATAATTAGAAAAGCAAAAACTTTTGTTAAGTAGATTTTTCAACTATTTTTTATAAAAAGAAAAAAAGGATTTTTTTCGCAACAGAGGCAAAGGAAATTTATCACCTTTAAGAGCATTTTCTGTTAATTAAACGCAATAGACAAGTCAAAAAAAAGAAATTGTACATGAGTAGAACTATTTCATCAAATCAAAAGACTTAGATAATAGCTTTGAGATAAAAGGCCAATCTGAAAGAGATTAATCTGTTTCAAGTGTAAATGAAATTTAATCCTCTCTTTAACAAAAAAAAACTCGTTCTTTGCTTTACATAAAATCTTCTAATACCTAACGACTCTAATAAAATCTTAAAAAATTCAATTTTAATACAGAATAAAATATAACATCTTTTCCTTCATTTAATGCATTCCCTAAGTTAGATTAAGTTAGCAATCAAAAGATTAAAAGCAGCATAAATTTAGAAAGCAGTAATAATAAAAAGATTGAAAGTACTACTAGCTACTTTATGAATTTTCCTTCATAAAAGTCTGTCTAGAGGGATTAAAGTCCAATTTTGAAATCAAAATAAAAGGTTAAGAGTTATACTTTTATGTAAGATGAAAAAAATTAAATGCTTATGACCTAAATATTATTTAGAAAGCCTAAATTAACAAATAAATACTACCAAATAAAGCCACCTAATACTCCTCAAATTAAAGCCTTTGATTTATCTATAGATAAAAGAAATAAAACCTCAATAGGATTTCAATCTAATCAAAAACAAAATTAAATTTTTAAGCCTCAAATTTAGATATTAGATGAAAATTCGAAGGATGAATGTAAATTAAATTATTTTTTTTAAACTAAAAACATTTTATTTAAAAAAGGCGAAAACATGTCACCTGTAAGAGATTATTTTACAAAATTACCTTAGTCAGTAAGTGCAGAATCTTGGGCTGTTCTAAATGCAAATAATGGCTAAATCTTATTTGGTAATAATCACTTCATCATTCGGCAGATGGCATCTCTGACTAAAATTATGACTCTATATGTTTCTTTAAAAGTTATTTAAGCTCTAGATATTTCGCCTTTTAGAACCTATGTTGAAGTCTCTAAAAAAGCTGCTTCTATGAATGGCACTTCTGCAAGATTAATGTAAGAATATATTATTCATTTAGGAGTAATTTTAAAAAAATTTAATTATGTAAAAATAGAGAAGGTGATAGATTAAGCTTATGGGATCTAATGCACGGAATGATGCTGCCTAGTGGTAATGATGCAGCTACTGCTTTAGCTGAAAATTTAGGAGTTTTTTTATATTATCAATCTGAAGAATATAAATTATAATATTAGTAAAATCCATAACAATTTTAAAATGAAAAGTTTAGAGTAAAAAATTCTTAGGGTTACTTTATTAATTAAATGAATAAGTATGCACATAATTTATAATTAAATAATACTCATTTTGCTAATCCTACTGGGTTAGTAAATAATTTTAATAGAAGCACAGCTGCTGATTTAGCTAAACTTTCTTATCATTTGATAAAAGAAGAATAAGTAAAAAAAATTGTAGAGTGTAAATATCATTTCGCATAAATCTATATGAATAACAATAAAAAGAGAAGTGTTATATTTGAAAATACAAACAAGTTATTATCACATGGCTATTCTGGATTAAAAACTGGTATAACTACTGCTGCAGGTCCTTGTTTATCTGCATGGTATAAAGATGACTAAGTCAATCTAATTATTATTTTGTTAAATTCTTCTTCAATGGAATAGAGATGGGTTGATACTCAAAATCTAGTTTCTTGTGTTATAAATTAATAATAAAATTCTAATGTTCATTCTTCATAACTACCTTGAAGCAATATCATTACTAAAATAAATAAATAAATTATAAAATAAAATAAGAATTTTTGAGGGTTATCTTTAAAAAAAAAATGTTTCTAAAATGAAAAATAAATATTAAATAATTAATGAAAATCAAAAATAATTACATTAATTTATATATTTAACCCTCTAATTCAATAAAAATTAAAATTTAATTCTTTAATATTGAAAAATTTAATAATACTGCAGAATTAGATTGGATAAAAAATACAATGCTGGACTTTACATTATTACAAATAAACTAAATAATTTAAATAATTAGATATTTTATAAAGCCTAATCATTTTAAGGATCTACATTTATAATTATCAGCTTTTTTAATACAAGAAATAATTGATATTTTTATATTTTAAAACATCAAAATAACTGCTATACTTATCTTATAGTTTGCTATTAAATTGCTAAATATTATCTATGTAAAGAAATAAAATTATTTAGAATATAAAAACTACGATATTCTTTACTAAATTTGCATTTATAGATTTATATTTAGTATCAATCTTTTATATCAATATTTATGTTAAATTAAGTGTTTTGATATCATTTAAATGTATAAATTTGTATTAATATTTTTAATTATTCATTTAATTTTTAAGTATACAGCCTAATTAATGTAAATGTGGATTAATAGTTAAAAATAAATATATTTTTATACTTAAATTTCATTCAAATTAAAAAATTAATAATTAACAAACAATAGCTTAGGTTATATAAATAAATAAATTAGTTTTAATATTAAAGTTTTATTTTTTTAAATAAATTATCTTCAAAAGATAAATTCTAAAATATTCAAAGATAGATAGATAGATAGATAGATAGATAGATAGATAGATAGATAGATAGATAGATGGATGGATGGATGGATATTCAAGGAAAAATGGTGAAAAATAAATATAAAATAGTATTTAAATTTATTTTTATGTTAAATTTTATTGAGTAGATTACTATATATTTAACTAAATTTTCAGTCAGTCAATATATTCGATTTTGTTAAATTCTTCTTTTTTTAAATTTTTTTAAGGAATATCTACAAAACCACATCTTTTTAACCATTTACTTCCTTTATTAAGTAGATCAAATATCTAATTTTAGTAATGTTTTTAAATAAATTCTATATTTTCTACTTTGTGCCTCAAGCGATAATAGTCATTCTCTTTATTATGCAAAATTTATTAATATTTAGTGTCGAACCTTGCATTTTAAAGATCTTAAATTATAGATTCATCTAATAGTTAAAATTCATAAAGACCTAAAATATTGTGAGTATTAAAATTTAATCCGTTTTCTTTGTCATATTTATGGTTTAAATAAATTCTTTTGGTTTTTAATAAAACAGGTACTTTAAAATTATCCAAAGTATAAAGATAGGTTTAAACTTATGGAAGAATTTCTTCTTCTATACGTTACTAATAAAATAATAGGTACTAGTCTGCAAGAGTGAAGCATTTTGTGAATCTATATTATTAACATAGAGGATCAATGAATCCTTGCTAAGATAAATATTCTTTAAAAGCATATGAATTGCCTCCTAAGATCTCTTACAATATAGGACTATAACCTGCTTAGCAGCTATCCAGTTAACATTTTTCATAGTTTACTTTATAATAATTAAAATAAAAAATTTTTTTTGGATCTAGTTCAGATATAATTTTGTTGTATAATAATTCTCCAGCTGTTGTTCTTTCAAATATATGACTCTTAAAAAGCTTATCCTCTGTTTCTTGCTTAATTGTTTTTCTGTATGTTTAAAGATTTTACCAGAAGCATTAAATGTTTTAAGAGAATTTAAAAAGTGTTTAATCATTCAAAGACTATAACATTTGAGTGATATGATCTACATTATCCATATATTTCTCAATAAGTTCATTTTATATTACAATAAATTTATTATCAATTCTATGGATTATGTTTTGAATATGCTTCATGCTCTTATAAATGCATATTTTTTATTATTCCTTTAAATAATCTTCTTCCTCATTTTTAATTATGCTTCTCATATAATTTAAATCAACTATTTAATCTGCAAACAAGTAAAATTTTGATTTTGAAGAAAAGTAATTTCTACTTATTTAACTAGATGAACAATTTTAGTGATTTATTTTGAAGTCTATATTTAAATCTTGTTGTTTCATAAGGATATTACAATTTTTTTAGTTTTTTTCTTCTTCTTTTACTGATAGCAGTAATATCTAATCACATTCGTTACTTATCTTCTCGCTATCTTTATCAGATCCCTAATTTTGAGTAATATCTGAAGGTTTTATTTATCTAGTTTATTACTAGCTCTGATCAGATATGTCGTTTTCAGTCTCTATGTACTCTTACTTCACTTAAAAGAAAAATTTTTTTTCTAAATCTTATTAATTATTCTTCTAAACTGTTTCTAAAGGTTCTTCATATTCAGTCTTTTATTGAATGTCTTCTTATTTTTGATTTATTTCTTCATCATTTTTGTTAAAATAAGCAGAAAAGTGCTTTCTCTTAGACATTCTTAATTACTTAATTAAAAGTTTTTTGATTTATTTTATTAATTATTAAATAAACAATAATGAAGTGATTTAAGCGATAAATAATCAATGCTATTTTCGCTAATTTAACTTAGATTATAATCTGACTTTTTAAAAATTTATCTATGTAAGTAAATATTGTTTTTCATAAACAAGGAGAAAAATTAAAGTCAAACCACCTTTGCTTTTGTTGGATTACATTATTTTTTTAATTATTTATAGGTTGCAAAGTGTTGAAAGATATTTATAAAATGAAGTTTTTACATTTTTTTTTATCAATTAAATAAAAAAACAAGTAATTAGAAAATAAAAAATATTCTTGATGTAAGTAAATTCGAAAATAAAATACTCAAAATGATTTCATACAATTTTTAAAGTATAAACATATGTATTAATTTTACAATAAATTATTCAAATCTATTATCCTTAAAAGTTTTTTAGTGCGTATTAGTTGGCTATTTAAAAAACCTCCAAATCTTATCCAAAAAACCAAAAAAATTGTGGAGAGCAAAATCAATTAATAAATTAAAATAATAGTTTGAAATCTAATAAAATTATCATAATTTTATTGACTCAGATCATTTAAAAAAAGTCCAATTGAACTTATTGTTTCTACTATAAATTCTTCAAAATCATTAAATTACTTAAGATCGTAATCCTAATTAAACTAGTTTAAAGCTTTATCAATGTTGATTTAATTATTTTGCTGGAGCAAGTTATGCAATTCAGGAAGAATAGAAATTAAATTTTTAAATGAAGTGTTTAGACCTTACGAAAGCAAACCTTGGTGAATACTGTAACAAGATTATGATTAACTAGCTATATAATCAGTTTAATATTTCTTATATTTATTCAGAGTATCACAAATGTCTCCTTCCAATATTTTGAAAAAGAAGTCATCAAAATCCTAAGAATTATAGCTTTAATATATTTAAAAAAGTTAATATCTAAAATATAAAAAAATCTTATTTACCTCTTTATTGTATATTAATTTTGAATTAGGTAATATAAATTACTTTGTATTTATTAGCTTCTTTATAGCAAATCTTATAAATAATCTTAATATTAACTAAGTTGCATGGGTTTTAAGTTAGGTCTTAGCTTTAATATTAAACTTAAATAATTTATAGACAAACTTTCAAGTATGTACGCTTAGACTTCATAGATCAATTCTTTTAAATAATTATGATATAAAAATTTATTTATTTTAAAAAAATCTATTTAATATTAATAGATTCATTTCATATTTTGTTTTTTCTAATAACTTTAAATAGTAAAAATATTAAAAACAAATCAAAAATTATTAATCTATTTTCGAATTTATTCTTTTTGATTCAAGTTTTAAATAAAATTATTTAGTGAATGAAGTTGCTTGAGTTATTTAAATAATTTTTTTGTATTCTAAAAACAACTTCTGAATTAAACTATAAGATTTGATTTTAACGTATTTTTATCTTTTTAAAAAGAAAGGAAATGACTAAATTTAAATAAGAGTTTTGTAAATGAAAATTTACATCCAGTGTAAGAGATATTTTCAACAGAATTGAGGTAGCTTGTAGTATTAATTTTATTCAAAATAGGATTGATTAAGATTAAAAAATAGATAAATAGCATCACTATCATGAGTGCCCAGCTTAATTTTTATAAATTTGAAATTCTACCTATTGTCTACTTTTTAATCTCACTGCGGTTTTCTATTTTTTTTGGTGGCTATTTTAATGTTTGAGAAATTTTATTTCTATGATGTTCTTGAGCTTGATTAACTTGTAAAATCATAGTATCTAACTATTCAACAGGGAAGGTTGTAAATAGCCCAAGAATAATTTGCCTTTAGTTTTGAATGTACCAATATAAAGGCTATATAGTGGCTATACATAAAAAAGAAATGACGATGACTGTAGTCATGTAAATTATCAATTATTGATCAATTGTGTCATCCTTACTTTTCTGTTATTAAAGCATTTTGTTTTGAATACTTGTCAAAGTTGTTACTAAAGTCTAAATATTTTTAGAAGAATAAAATTCAGGCCTTCCGTTTCCTAATCCAGCGATATAACGGAAAACTGTAGAAGAAATCAGCGTATCACTGTAAACAACAGAAATATTTAGGGCAACATAAGGAAAGGTGTTAGGTATAGAATTTGAGCCAACGAGATTTTTTGGATCATAGTATTTTCCAAGCCAAAAGATTAATTTATTATCATTCATTAAGCTAAAAACCGTTTACTTTGCACCTATATGTTCTACACTGCTGATGTACTGCATAAAACTTTATAACAGGGTAGAATTAAGCTAATATTTTAAATTTTAGATGTAGGCATTTTTTTAGTTTTAATTTTGAAAAGAGGGAGTTTATATTTCTTTAAATGAAAGGAGCAAAGCTAAGTTTTAAGTTTTGAAAATTTAAGATAAATTAGAAGAGTATTTCATGGGCCAAACAAAATAACTGCTATTGCTAAATGAGTTTTGTGCTACGGTAATGACTTAGATGAATAAAAATATAGTTAATCCTATCATAACAAAGTAGCTAAGTAAACCAATAATTTTGGTCATAGAAATAACGTTAGATGATTAATTATTGTTCAGATACCTCTGCAATCTTCCTTTGGAGTGTGCAAGTTAAGATTCTTTTGATTTTTAAGATTCAATTTCTATTTATTCTTCTAACTTTCTTTTCAGTTTTTTATGATTCTCTTCTTCATCTAATCCTATTGATTATTTCGTTTCATCTTCTTCTTAAATGCTTGAACCTTTCGATTATTAATTAAATTTATAATCTTCGTGTTTTTAAAAATATGCCTGTTTATTACAGTTTAGAGCGAATAATTTTTCATGACTCTTTGGGCTAAGTTATAAGCTACTTTCCTATGATTTTAATCTGCTTGAAAATTATAATTAGCATCTTTAAGTTTGGTCAAACTGTTTGTCTAGTGATTGAAAACTAGATATGTTCTTTGTTATTTAAGTTTACTATTAATTATCAATCGTGTTTTTCTATCTCTAGGAATTTAGATTTATTTAAGAGTTTACTTTTGTGTTTTTTCCGAATTGCTTTCTATTACCTAATGAGTCAATTTGGAATTATTATTATTATTTATGCTGATTAAGTAGAGATGGACTATCGATTGAGTAAAGATATCCTCTGGTAGAAATCTCTTCATTTAAATAAATTTAATTAGAAGATTTGATGTCAATATTATTTTTTGCATAAACATCTTTTCTTTCTAAATTTTATTTAGATTACTTTTAATAAGATTCGCTCATTGTTCTTTCATCCAAATTTAGAATTTACTGAATCGGCTCACCATTATCTCTATTTTAGACATTCAAATCAATTTGCTATTTTGAAATGTGACTTTTTTATTGATTAATTTCATTTTATTTTTATATATCTAATAAACAAGATAAATCTATTTCTCTTTCTAAAACTTTTTCTAAATTTTAATTTGTGCTGTTTTATAAGATGAAAATCAAAAATTCAATAAATTCGAAAGAGTAAACACCCAAGTAATTATTGAGATTATTTAAAAGATGCTCTATAATCTCATTATTTTTATTTAAAGGGTTAAGAATTATCAACTTTGATACTTCTAGGTATTACAAATTTTTAAAGTATTAATATTTTGGGTTAACTAGTTGGATCTCCATAGAGACAAAAGTAATTTATTCTAAAATAATTTCCGATAATTAATTTATATTTAGCATTTTATAAGCAAGTTACTTTAAATTTTATTATAAATTTTAGTAATTTATAATTAAGCAGACATGTTAAAATTTTTTTTATATCATTGGAAATTCAATTTTTTGAATTTCATATTTTTATTTTAATCGTAGCGAATCAGTTATAATTTAACTTTGTAATAGTTTAAAATAGGCATTCAAATTATTTAAGTTTTAGCTAGCATATGAAGAAAATCCAAACTATTCACTCAAAAAAGGAAATAATTCAGAGATATTTATGTAATTAGCTTAACTAAATATTTAAGGATTAATATTGAAAAGAAAGTAGTACAGATTTTTTGTTATTCCTTAAACTAAAAGAGTATCTGTAAAGTAGAGAATGTAATCTAATTAGTTTTTTTCGTTTATATCTTTAATTTCAGCAGTAAATCCAAAGTTTTGTATTAATCCTTTTGATGATTCACTTCTTTCTAAAAATTAGTTTAGCTGCAAAGATATTTTGACAGGAGTAACAATAAGATTTGTTTTAAAATGATTTACTTGAGCAAATATTAAATTCTATTCCATTAAATTATACTGTTAATCATTTTTCTTCTTATTTTCTTCAAAGTAATTGCTTTGTTACTTAGCAATATTAAAATATTGAAATATAATATCGTCATGAATTGCACCTATTGAATTAGGCATCAAAATAGATATAGATTTATTGTAAGCATATTTTTAACTTATCCCAAATATTCTTTAAATTTATTAAGATGCTTTCTTTATTAGAACACTCTATTTATCGTTAATTGTGCAAAACAAAACGCACTGGCCTTTTTACAGAATATTTTATTCTTCTTTGATTTCTATATATTTCATATGATGAATCCTTTGATTTTATGATGCAAAACTAACTTCATCTTCACAAAATGCTATTGTGTTCAAGTAAAATATTTTCAAATCATAAAGTTACGAATTAGAGTAATTCAGTTCTGAAATTGCTTTTAAATTTATTCTAACTCTCCTCACTTGTAAGTCTAACTCAGTCGCCAAACATAAGAGTTCTTTAACATTGACATCTTTATTCTTCATAATACTTAGTACCTCTAGCTTCAAATTGGAAGCATTTTAAATTTAATTGTATGTTTCTTACACTATCTCTTCATATGTCAATATTTTTAAAAATCCATTGTAAAAAAGATTTTGATTTTCTGATATTTGCTATTCTTAATGGTTTAAATCACCATAGACAATTTTTTCTTTTTGCTAATATGCAATAGACTATTCACACTATTTTTTAAATTTAACAAATTTTTGATGGATAGAATTAGCAATTTATTTATCCTTGATCCCTATTTCCTTTAATTAAAAGAAGCGCATATAAGTAATCCAATAAACCTTGTAATTTTTAAAAAATTCTACTAATGATAGTAAAAAAAGATATTTTTCATTTTTCTCCCCTTATTAATTATAAACTCTTTAATATTCAGAGCACAAAGTACTTTTGATTTTATTTATTTCCATATTTACTTCAAAGGAAGCAGAAATATTTAGTTCATAATTTTATATTTTTAAGCATTCATTTTTAAGGGAATCATATTCTTAATTCTGTGCGTTTAAACTAAGTAGGTTAATAAGCTAGCTCTCTATTTATTTAATATTTTGCTTTTCGTTAAATAACTCTAATCTAATAATCTAGTCAAGTTAATTTAAGTTTTTTATTTTTTTATTTTGATTAAAGAGCTACCACATATATTAAGTAGGTTTAATTCTTTGTATCATAAAGAACTATTATCCAATCTTAATCGATATTGGTAATAATACAATAATCCAAAATGTTAATGACGTATTTTAATTACTATTAGAACTATTTAAACCTAATACTAATAAACTAACCAAAATAAAATAAACCATCAGAAAATTGTTAATTTATTCAGTTTATTAATTATTATACCTCAAGTATAAATTATTAACAAGTAACTTCAATATATAGTAAAAAGGGAGAATAAATAAAAACTCACTTCCTCCCATTTGCACAACAAAAATGACAAGAAGATCGAATAGAATAATTAAATTTGAGCTTTTCGAGTAGGGTCTTGACAAGAAATCTGCAGATTTAAGTGTAAATTCATAATCTGAGTCATTAATTGCAATTTCTTTATTTTTAAAATATATCTGTAAGTTGTAAGAAAAAAAAAATACAATATTACCTATAAATAAAGTTATCAAAAAATTTACAAAATTGAGTAAACTAAATATCTAGCATGCACTAATGTAGAGTAGAGGTAAAAAAATGATCTGTCTGTAAATGAGAGCAAATAAAGAAAAGTATTTCTTAAGTAGATTGAAATAATTAAAATGATACTTATGTACTTTTATTCGAGACTTTTAAAACAATAATTTTTAAGATGAATCATATTATTTTTTTTATTTTTAGAAAAAGACAATAATCAATAATAGTAAAACTAAGAGTAAAGTGAAATTTATAATTAAGAAAATAATCCTTAAGAACTCATAGCAAATAATTCTTTTAAATAAGCAAACCAACTTGTCTAGATTTTTATCAATTGTATCAGTATTAATTTTAGAGATGCATGCTAAAAATATAAATAAATTTTCTAAAGCTAGGAGTATAATTCCTAATACTATTCCTCTATTCCTTTTTCTCACAAGCTTAAAGGACTTAGTTGAATAGAATTCTAAAAATAATTAACTAATAGATTGGTAATTTTTTACTTTGTTATTTAAAACAAATTTTTTATTGCTATTTCCTTTTTCTTACATTTTCTCTGTATATTTTTTTGATTTTAATTTATTATAGAAGCTATTAAAGCAAGCAACTTAATTTGCTATTTGCAATTATAAAAAGATATATAAATCAATCTAAATTTGATTATAACTGCAGCTAGTACTTTTATTAATTTTAGTTCACATAAATAATTGTAATAATTTATTTTCAGTATTTATTTCTGATGGAATGTTATTAATTAATTGTATTTTTCAAATATTTTTAATTTAAATAAATACCTTACATTTTTATGAAGTAAACTAAAATAAATTGTTTTTTATTTCAAGAAACATGCATTAATAGATTGCTAAGTAAGTAATTAAAGAATAGCTTTTAATAATAGATAAAATATTTTTTTAATAGCTATAATAATCAAATATTTCATTTAATACCCAATCTATTTTATAACAAAATAAGTAATTAACACATACAAATATTGCTAATATTTATATCAATACTTTAATATTTATAATCAAAATAATAAATAATAAACCTACTTTTCAAATTACTTTTTTTTTTATATAAGTAAGTTAGTAAATAAATAAGAATTTAGATCAAGCTTTTTTTATCAATTATTTTTATAAAGTAAAGTAAAATAAATTGTTTTTTATTTCAAGAAACACGCATTAATAGATTGTTAAGTCAGTGAGTAAAGAATAGCTTTTAATAATAGATAAAATATATTTTTAATAGCTATAATAATCAAATATTTCATTTAATACACAATCTTTTTTGCAACAAAATAAGTAATTAACTTTTAGAAATATTGCTAATATTTATATGAATGATTTAATATTTTTTATCAAAATAATAAACCTACTTTTCAAATTACTTTATTTTTTTTAATATAAGTAAGTATATAAGAATTTAGATCAAGCTTTTTTTATCAATTATTTTTATGTAAGTTTTAGATTTGTCTAAATAGTAAGTAATTTAAATGAAGTAAGTAAAAATTAGCTTTTCATAATAGATAATATTTTATAAATAAATAACTATCAAAATCAAATATTTCATTTAATACAAAATGAATAAATGAATGATATTTGAAACAAAATAAGCAATTAATATATAAATATAAAGATATTACATATTAATAATTAATACTTTAATATTTGTAATCGAAATAATATTAAATCCTCTTTTTCAAATTACTGAATTTTTCTTAATATAAGTAAGTATATAAGTATTTTAGATTAAGCTGTTTATATCAATTATTTGTAGGTAGGTTTTAGATTTGTGTAAAGAGCTATTTAATTAACTGCTAAATGTTATCCATCCAAAAGTGAAGACTATTAGCATAATAACTGTTTAAAATATTATAAGCACAATCTAAAACAAAATGATATAATTATAATATTAACTGTTTATAGTTAGGATAAAATTATTTAGACTTACTATCGTCTGGTCTATAAATTCTGAAAACTTTATAAAATCAGGTAAGTTGAATGAAGACAAGAAGGAATTTATTTGCTATAAAGACTAAGTACTATTAGGTAATAAATACATATTGTAAAGCTAAGGAAATATAGTGAGTACTTACTTATAAGATACAGAAATACCTTATAACAAAAGCCCCTGATAAGTAGATTAACATATTGAAGTATCTATAACTGTAGAGTTATAATTATACTCAGGATATTTTTGGAATACATCACATAAATTATTTTAAAAAGAGGAGAAAAAAAAAGAGTTATAAAGCGATTGAGAATATCTATTTTAAAAAAAGAATTAATAAATTAATTAATCTATCAATATAACTTAAATTCAATTAAATCTAATTAATTGTTTACCTTGTGTCTTAATATTGAGAATTTATTATCCACTGAATCGTATCTGTAATATTTTGCTATTCTTATATTAGTTAGTTTATGTAATCATAATACAAGGAAGGAGACATAGGCTTAAGAGTTGGATTAATTTTCATAACTAATATATTGAAGTGCATCGCGATATTTTCTAATAGATATGACCTCAAAGAGTAAACATTCACTATTTATTTTATATTTTAAAATAATTTTATAGAGTTGTTTAAATATTTTAATTAATTAATTTTGTACTCATAGTTATGAGATCTAAGGTAGTTTTATTAAGATAATATTGAGTTACTATCTTATTTACTATTGGATAGAAAATTAAAAGCAAGTAAATAAGAAATACAGTCAAATTTATTTTTGCGTTAAAGCGAGGTAGTTTTGTAATTGTGCTTATATTTTACTTTCTGACATCTTTTTCTCTTTAACTTTAATTGATTTGTAAAAGTGTTTATTTCATCTATTAACTATTTTTATTTGAGTAAATTGAAAATTATTTTTTGCTGATGTATGAGTCTTAAATAGTTTTTATTAGCTAGTCAATTTTTTGGGTTGAAAATGTAGCAAACAATTAAATGATTGAATCTCTCTCTTTTTGAACATGATAATAAAGAGGTATAATGATTCCAATGCAAAAACCATTAATTAGAATGATTAATATCATCAACGTTGTTAATTAATTTTAAATTTATTATTATTAATTTTGTTAATCTGCAAGAATTTCATTTTGTATCTGCTTTAAGCTTGTTATCTCGCTTAGTTGGTTGCCTATCAAATAATATTCAGGTCTACCATTTCCTAAGCTGTAAGCGTATCTAAATACTAATTAAAACCCAGAAATAATTCCATATTAAACTGAAACATTATAGGGAGTAAAAACCATTTAAGTTGGAGTTGAAGGAGTTTTGTTTAAAATGCTAGAGTTGTAATATTTTCCAAACATGAAAATAAAATAATGGTTTCTGAGCAAGCTAAATAACTTTCTATCTGTACTAGCTCTTTCCATTTCTACTATTTATTGATTCAACTTATCTTTGTAGTATTTTACATTTAGCTATGTATAGTTTCTAAAATTGTAAAATTATGTAGTATTAGCAAATTTTAGGTTTTTTGAGTACTATGTAAGCTAGAATGCATTTTAGTATTTCAAGACTTCACTTAAACGCGATATATATTAAGTAGGCCAGCTAAATACTTGATAATCTTGATATGTAGAAGAAATAGAAGTAGTCATTTAATAGAACTATATCCAGGTCATGCATATCATGGTAATGAAGCAAACTACACCTACAACATTTATTGCTTTTATCACTTTTAAAATTGACTTATCAGCCATAAGTTATTGCAGCAATCTTTTTACTGAAGAAATTGAATTTTTTGAATTAGTTGAAGCTATGTCATATTAAATCTCTTGGACTTTTCTCTTTTGATGTTCTTTATCTTCTTGGATATTGTCATTTTAGTAGTACCCAAAAGGTGATCCCGTGCTACAAAACTCTTCTTCTTTTTTTTAGTAATTCATTTGAATAGAATTGCTAAAGCGTTTAGCTTTTAGGTTATCCTATTTGGAGTTTAAAATTTATGTACTCTCCATATTATTTTTTTCTAAACTAACTTATTCTTAATTTACAGGCTATTTTGCAGATAGTTTAGGATTGATTTCATGATTGCTTAAATTTATATCACTTACATTTGGAGAGCGTCCTTAAATTAAGGTATCATTCTTATTATTTTTTTGACCATTAATATCTTGATTTTACTTCTACTTAATTTTATTTGCAGTATAATTTTCCATTAAATTAGAACCGCTGTAGAGTGAAACTTATTTTGGCGAAAAAAGTTTGGTATCTTAATAAGAAAGACAGAGTGAAGGTGAATATTGCTATTATTAAGTTTAATTTGGAGCATTTAAGTAGTTAATTTAAGGAGAAAATTAAATTAATTTATCACTATAAACTGGAGAAAGTAATAACTATTCACTGGCAATTTAATGTAGTTACTATTATAATTAATTTTTTTCATTATTTGATAATAAATCCTTATCAGGCGAAGACCTTTCACCAATCTATTCGACTTTGCTCATTATAGGATTCTAAACACCTTATTTACAAAATAAATGAAATATGTTAAAATTCAAATAAGTTAAAATATATAATTAATTAATATTACTTGCATCAATAAAAGTAGGATCTTCAAGTATAAACTTAGTATCCTAAAAAGAATTAAATATATTTTGATTATCTTAATTCAAGTATTGATAGTTTAGATCTTCATAGACCTAGTTTTCATTTAAATTTAAACCTATATTAGTGCTATCTGCATCTTTTAATAATCTATTTGCCTTACCTAACTTGTTCAATTCTCTATTATTTTACAATTCACTATTTTCTTTTTTTCCATTTAAGCTATATTCATATTCTTCCTATTCATTTATCACATCTTATTCAAATCTATTAAGATTTGATTTAAGCCTTTATTATTCTACAATCTGATCAAGAAGTTAAACTTAGCTATATTTAACGAAATTTTTATTGGATGAGAATTAGTTGTTCTGTATGGAATCAGAATTAGAGATTTAGTTGAGACTTATATTCTGTGGGCTTAGCGCATTATTCAAAGCACTAAATGCTTAGAATGACGATGATGCTTAAATTGGAAAATCCAAATGCTACAAAATTAATTATTTTTCTAATTCTTAAACTACCTTTTCAAATTCATTTTGATTTGCAAATAATTACTCATATATTTGTTACTTTTTAGGATGTTTTATCTGAGAAAGAATATATTGAGCTTAATCATTTGGATTGAGCTCTCTATGTTTTTGAATCTAAATATAGCTCACATTTTGAATACCTCTATAATTTATTTTTTTTATAGTCAGCTGCAAAAATACAAATTAATAAGAACTTAATTCGTTTTTTTTGTTATCTATTCTTTAAAATGCAATAGATTTTTATTTTAAACTTTTCTGATTCATGAAGCTTTTGGCAACATTAGTTTATTTATTATCTTGAACTTTAATAACTATAAAATTTATTTTTTTGCCTTTACTTTAACTTTTTTTTACATTTTAATCTTTTAATATTTACTGCATATCTAATGTCAGATTAATATGATAAGGCTAAATACTTTCTTAATTATTCTGATTTGATATTATTGTTGGTACATTTTAGTTATCTAAGGATCCTATTAAGAATGGAAAAATCTATTTCATACTCATTTTCTGTAACGATTCATAGCTAGAAAAGAGAGAGAAGTGTATTTTTTCTGTCAAGCCCAATATATTTAAGTTTGTTTCATCATATAAAATGTATTAATATTATTAATTAATTAATTTAATTTTAGCTGTAAGTCCAAATGAGTTATTAAAATCTAATAGTCTATTAGTTCTTATGTCAATAGCTACTGGCTAAATATAAATGGAATTTAATTGAGCAAATATTACTTAGTTATTCATTCTACAACCCATAGATCTATTTTTTTCTGACTAGCTATTTAAATTTTAATCAATAATTTAGTTTTTATCAAATACTTAACTATTTATTGCTTCTCCTTCTAAACTGAATGGTATGTTTTCTTCTAAGAAGCTCTCTAGATATTTGTGATGTAGATTTTAAAATATTTATGGTATTATTAAGTCTATACTATTTCCGATAATATTTTTACTGCCTTAGTAAGAAAAAATTTCTTAAAAGTTTGATGAAACTTAGCTTATAGTAAGATTCTTTGAATCTTTATAAGATGCAAATAGAATGCAAGTTTTCTAATCAAACCTATCATTATTAGCTCTACTGCTTAAAATTTCATCATTTTTCTATTTTTTAAATTGCTCTTTATTTTGTATATTTTTTCTAAACTTGTTGATTTACATAAGGATAATATCCTTTTCGTTGAAAGCTATATTTTCTAAATATAAAGCTTACAAATTTAAAAGGTCAAGGCTGTCGTCATTCATTAAGCAAAGAGAATTTAAATTATCTTTTAAAATTTTTGTTTAGTCTTGCATATCCTCTACTTTCTATATTAACTATGTTGCTATGATTTCTTTTTATTTCATTATAGATAAAATTTCCAGCTTTAACAAAATGACAGAATCAAAAAGCTCGTATGATTATTCAAGTCTCTTTTCAAAAACAATCACTTCCAAATACGAGCAATCAAATGGATTATTTTTACCCATAGTATTTCTTAGGATTGATCTTTTTTTTAAAAATAAAGAATTTATAGAATGGAACAATTATTTCTGTTTGAGTGATAAAGTTTGATTAAGTATGAGCTGTAAATATAATAACCAATATATTCTATATGATTCAGAAATCTCAATTAAGAAAACGAAATAATTTAAAAGTTAATCAAAAGCTATTTCTTTATTTCTTTGTTTATTTTTAAGACTTTTTTTGTACAAATCCTTCAAAATTTATTTGACGCGATATTTAATTATATTAATGTCTGATTGTTCATCAAAATTATTTTATTATTCATCAGCTTGATCTTATTTGTTTTTTTATGAAAAATTATTTTAATAGCTCAAAAATTGACTTTTCTGAAGCTTATTTAGCAAAGTATCGTTAGCAGAATAGAATTAGTTAGATGAAAAATCTAAATATGAATTAACTATTGAATTAAGTATTTAAATATCTCTTTTATCATTATTTCTTGAATTGATTATCTCACCAAAAAAGTTGAGTCTTATTATCTTGTCTAGATTATATATCTCACTTTTCTTTTCCCCAACTATACTTTAAAATTCTTCAGTTATATCTTATTGTTGCTTTACCAAAATAGCTTTCGTTATTTGATAAAAAACAGGTAGAAATGATATGAAAAAAAGGCTTATTAATTGATTAGGAAATTTAAAAGAAATTGCGATCTAAATTATTAGACTAGCAAAAATAAGATAAAGATGAGAGAATAGGCAAATAAACTTTGATGCATATCTATAAAACTAGCATGTAAAAAATTAAATTGTTAAACTTAGAAAAAAGTATATGGTTAAAATCAAGCATTAGCATGAAGGAGTAAATACAATAGCACAGAAGAAGCTAACCTCAGCCGCAGTATTGAATATAAAGAAACCATATGAAAATGGTTTTCCCAAATAGTCTATTTGCTAAATTTGGTAGTTGTAATCAGTGTCTGATGTAATTAAATCTAATTTAAATATAATTGAAATTTGTATTAAAGTTTATTCATCTAAATATTGGGATAAATAATTTCAAAAGAAAAAGAGTTAAACTCATGTTTATTTACTTATTGTTATAGCTAGTGCTAGTATAGGAATAGAAACAGGATTACTAATTTAACGGAGACTAAAGAATATTGAAGGCACGTAAAAGCAATACTAGTAAATGATTATAATAAATGAAAATATTTTGCATTTTAATTCTGTTTTATCGTTTTAATTCTCTTCTATTTGATAATCTAAGTCTAACTTGTGCTTCACTTTCTCCTCTAAATTTCTAAAGAGGAAAAACTTTTTTGCATACAAATATAGATGCCATAATAAAAGAATTATAATTAATCCGTTTATTGATAATAAGAAAAAGCACATATTGTTCATAAAAGAGGTGTTCTATGTTTAATTGACTACTCCATAAATCTATAGAAATTCAAAGTTAAAATCTATCTCAATTAATTAACTCAATATGGTAGAGGTAAAGAGTAAAAAGACTAAAAAGTATTTAAATCCTATTAGCACAGAAAAAAATACATTATTTCTCTCTATAGAATGCATTAATCTATGTATCTCTTCAGTGTAAAAGCTCTAAAATACTTATAGTACCTTAGATTGCTTCTTTTTATGTTGTTTCATAATTAAACTGAATACTTACTTACTTTATTGATTTATGTTTATTCTTTTAAGTTTTTAACACTAATTAATTATTAATTAATTAATTACAGGTTCTACTTCAAAACAATTTTCCTATTTAATAAATCTTGAAAAAGAAATAGAAATTACATTCATATTCATGAAAAAATAAAGCAATCACATAAAAAACAACCCACCCACTTGATTGTGATTAAGATTAATAATTTGGATAAAAACTTTCGATATTTATTTCTGCAAGTTAAAAAAATAATAAAAATTTTTAAAAAGCAATAATTTATTGTAACATAAATTTAATATTAAAATAAGCATTTTAGCATATTTAGATATTCATTTAATTTAACTTTGTTTAAAGTTTAAAAATAATTTACTTTATTTTAAATAAATACATAAAATAAATATATAAGATATGTTAAATAAATAAATAACAAATTTGTATCTATCTGGTATATAACTTAGTAAATTCTTTTGTAAAAGGTCATTAGAAAAATCAGACAGTGTATGCAAATTTAGATAATTCCAAGAAAAACAAATTGAGAAGTGAATTTTTATCAGCAACTATTTTGATCAAGATTTAATCAAATTTGTATTTTCTGATGGATTAGAAGTAACATTTTCAAAAACTTTACAAAAGCTTGAAATCAATGAAATTTTATCATTTAGCTTATTTGTTTCTACATAAAATGTGTAACATAATAAATATATTCTTGTTTAATAAGATAAATACTCGCTTACGCTCAAAAATAATTATCATGTTTTTAACTCAAAAGTGATTAAGTTACTTTTATTAAATAAGAAGGTCTCTGAGTAGCTAATATATTGAAAATTAGAGTTAAAGTTTGCTTTACAATCTTTTATAAAAATATTAATTAAAATTTATTTTTTTAAATTTTTCTTCAAAAAAAATTGAAAATATTTCAATATAATTTTATTAGTTTTAAGATAAAATAGCTAAAATATTAGTAAAAAACTTTCATTAACATTTTATAAATCAACACAAAAATGTAATTCTTTCATAAAATTTGTAAATTCTTTTCAAAGCTTATAGTATCAAAACCAATCTAATGGACTAATTTTAATCTTCATAAGCAAATAATTAATAAAATTAAATCATAAATTTTTACTTATTTATTATCTGCACAAATCAAAAAAAAAAATACATTTATTTGACTTTTAACAAAAAAAACAAACAAAATCCTTATTACCACAACTTTTTTTTATGAAATCAGCATTTTTAATTACACTTCGAAATTTAATTCACTTTTTCATTCAAGCTTTCACTCGTAAAATAATAGTAAGATAAAAATATCCTTTTTAAACGAAATATCACTTAACATAAACAATCATAGTACAATTTATTAGATTATTTTAAATTCAATTTAAAAATTAGGTATTTATTAACTTAAGTGCTTACTTTTAAAACAAAAGTAGAATTTATCAATATAATTTAAAAAATAATAGCATTATTTAAAAGAAATAACAATATAAATAAGAAGATAACATAAAATTGATATTTGTAATATATAATTTTCAACAGTTTAGTTATTATATCAAAGTAAATTCCTTTATTAAATATTCTGTATAATATCATTTAAACTATAAAATATTATTTTAAAAAGATAAGTCTGCTTTAAAATTAATGAGGAAAAAAATAAGAAATATCTTTATAAAATTAGTATTTTACTCAATAAAATTTAGTATTATTCTTATATCAAACAACTTTAAATTATTAATCTTAGATAATTTACCAGTATTATCTGCTAAATATAGTTTTTAAATGAAATTTAATATTTTTATCAAATTCGCTGATACCAATTTTTAGTTTATATTTATAAGAAAAGTATTAGTTTTTAATTAAAATAATTAATTAGTTAACATATTTTTAGAATATATAAATAATATTTTAGTTTTTCATTTATTTAAACAGTGTTTTGCTGAAAAATCAATTAATTAATTTTTTGGAAATGTTAGAATAAATTACATTTGATAAATTCAAAATATTCAAATATATATTCGATTTTATTGAACTTTTAAATTTAAATTAATTAATATTAAAACATTTAACTTTTTCTAATAATTTAGTTTTTCCTTGATATATAAATAAATTTATTTCTCTTAAAATTTGTTAATTTTTATATATTTGAAACGGAATATAAATTAAGTATTTTTAGCCTTTAGGCATTTATGATTTCTTTATAAATTAAATTTATAACTAAAATAAAATTTTATAATCGTTCTAGATTTGGTTTTTGATAATTTTTTTTGCATTTCTAACAAAATCGTTTAAAAATTTAAAAATAAAATTTAATATTTTTTTGTTTGCGAACAAACTCATTTTTAATAAAACAATCAATATAAATGGAATGAATTTTGTTTATATGTAAAATTAATGAAATTAAATTCATGCTACTTATGTCTTCTAAGATGTGTTAGCTGCTATTTAATGGAAAGAAGGTGATACTATCAATTACACTAACACAGCTTACCAAGCCAGATTAACACTTAGCAAAATTGTAAAATTTTAATTCTATTGAGGTTGTTTAAGGATAAAACACAAATATACACTTTTTTTAACTTATTGTACAACAATTAAATTTAAACTTGAAAGCATCACATTTTTATATTTTTTTTTACAAAAGCAATTACGTATTGATTTTCTACTAGAATGTTGATATTGATTACCTGCAAATACTTTTAAGTGTTTATTATTTATTTTGAGAAAAAATAACTTAACTTGAACCAGCCAAAAACCATTAAAAAAGTCAGTAAAGTTATTTAAGAGATCAAGAATATAATTTACTAAATTTTAATTTGATTATATTTATTCTTATACTAAACCTTAATAAATGCATGAATCATATCAGATGCACCCATTAAACATCTTTCGCTAATAGTTACTTAGTAAATGTCAAAATCTTTAGAAATCTAATTCAACTACTGCTAAGCATTTGATTTATCAGTTTAGGTTAAAAAAGTATACAATAAATTAAATTCAGAAAGATATTAATTATAATCTAAATAAATTCCTCTTAAAAGATTACTTTGTGAGATTTCTCTACATTCTTCTAAAACTCCTTCCTCTAAGTCGTATTAATATTAAGGAAAATCATCCATATTCTTAAATGTATTTGTTTTTAATAGGGGAGCAACAAATTTATCATACATTGAGCTATCATATCTTTAAAGATATTAAAAAAAGAAAAATAATTAATATTAAAAGTCAGTAAAAAAAATAAATACTCTTCTCTTAATTAAGAATCATTTGATAATGTTTGTAAATCAGTTAATCCATTTTAAGAACTTTGATATGCAAAGGTAAGATAATCAAAGAATAAACTTTCATCAATATTGGATTCGTTAGGAAAGAGCTTTAAGGTTAAGCAAAAGTAAGATATAGCGATTAATTAAGTTCCTTAAAATTAAAATTTATGAAGCAAATCTAATATTTTATTTAAAGAAAAAAAATAATTGAACTATTCAATTTTAAATTTAGTTTTTTATAAAAATATTACACACTGCGTTGATTGTCGCTATTTACTCATTAAAGAACTACAGAGTATTCATCAAAGCTAATATTGGAATAATAGCAGCTAATATAAAAATTACAACTAACATCAGATTGATTTTGATATTACATTTTGGTAGCTTTGAAATCTAGCTTATACACATTCTATTAGAAGAATTAGACTAAATACTCTTATTATAATTTTATTTATTTTGATCTTTTATGAAATTCTACGTTTTCATCATGTCAAAATTACTTTTTATTGATTTTTTTGATGTAAGATTTTAACTCAAATAAGTATTAAGCTTGTCAGTTATTTATTACAATTAAATAGAACTAAAAGTTCCAAATAAAAATAAAGTATCATCTCTCTTAGTTTATATTAGAGCATAGATAGGATTAATAATAAAAATGCATATACTCATAATTGATATTACAATAGATATTATTGTGGTAAGATAATTTTTAACATTGTTTGTATCGTTCACCCCACTGTCATTAATCTATTGGTAAAATCCTTGTAATTTCTTTGAAATTTATATTGAATTTATTAAGTGATAATATTCTGGAATATGAGCTGGCAAGTTATTAATATATCTAAAAGCATTATTTTAAGAAAAGATCATGGCTTGTTGAATCGTCATTAGTCTTTAGAAATCTTAAATTGATGTTGATTTTGAAGAAGTTCCTGATAGTTTTTATGGAGGATATAAATATTCAATAGTAAAGTTAATATAATTTGATCTAAGGAGTTAAAAAAGGTCAAGCTATGAATCTGCTCCAGTCATGTCTGAAAGCATACCATACATTGATGTAAAGTAAGACTGGCTTAAAACTGTACTTTCGTTTACTAGCTTTTGCCTTCTATCAGGTGTCATTTAGAATAAATCTGGTGGGTTGGTCCTATTGTAGATGTAAAGGATGTTCATATATTTTATGATATCAAAAATGTAATTTTGGTAATCAACTAAAAATGGAAAGTTATCTTAGTCCGTTTTATTTAAATTTATTTTCTATATCGATAAAACATATTAAAGGATCAACAATAAGATAATAATTAAATAGCAAATTACACCAATATAATTCACTATTTTAATTATTTAAGGGAATTTATTTTTTGTTAAAATCTATTACAGCCCTTTCTTCTGACTTGATGATGTGCTAGTTTTAGAATTCGTTGATTAAACTTCTTTCAAATTTTTTCTTAAATCGTTATCAATTGAATTTAACTTCTTTTGAGAGTTTTATTCTTACTTCAATTATTTGCTCATGTTTAAATTAAACTTTTTCTTTTAATATACCTTGTTATAATGAATATTATTCTAACTCAATTAGTGAGAGAGTAGCTTGTTTGAAGTGGACATTGGTAATTAATTTTTTAAATTTGTAATGCTTTCTATCAGCTATTACTCCTTAACATAAATATTGGATTATCTGGGACTTTAAACCTCTTGCTCAATTTAGTTGTTATATTCATCAGTTTCTTTTATGACTGAAGAATATATTTTAAAATTTGATGGCCTTTATTTTGTAAAAGCAAATTCTTAGCTAAATAAACTTTTAGATTTTTCTCTATTCCCACTCATAATCATTAGATTATCCTCTTCTTGAACATCAACTAAAGTAGAATTTAAATTTGTGTTTTTGGGTGAAAGGATTAACCCTCTTCCATCGCTATGGTTATTATTTTATAATGTATTAATATCAATTTTAATACTTCTATCTGAAGATATTAAGAATCTGTTATTGTTGTCATTTTCAGCCTCCTATTTACAATTTTTTCCAAACGATTCCTAAATTAAATGTTTTGAATAATAATTTTGTGTGTCTTAATCAGTGTTTTTAGAAATTAAAAAACTGTTATTTTTCTAAGAGCCTTCCTTATTTTTGATTATATTTTCAAATTTTAATGTACTCTCTATAGAAGACTTCATTAAATTGCTCATTTTGCGTTCTAAGCTATGTTTTGTATTTTCATCAGGAGAGTTTTGACTACCAAATTTTAAATAATTACTTGTATCTTCAAATGGTAATACTCCATAGGAAATTTTGCTGTCAAGAGAATATTAGTCTATGTCTTAAAATCCACAGATATAAGTTAACTCAGATATAATTTCTTTTAACACAGTTGCTCCTAATAAATTTTCATAAAATAAAAAATTCTAAACTATATACGGGACAATTTGATAAGCATCTTTAAATATGTTAAGCTAATTTAAATTAGATATCTTAAAGATGCTTACATCTTAATGATACTTGTGGTTTAGGTTTTTTATTTCAAAATTGACTAAATAAAAGTAGTAATCTTTAGATAAAATTTAGCTTTGAATAACTTCTTCTTTCAACTTTTGCTTGCTTAAATGAGCTTTTTTGTATTTTTATTTCCTCAAAATAGCTAAAAATGAGCTGCTTTTTAAATTCTATTTTTCCATCTCATCAAAATTATATTTAAAATTAGTTTCTTCATTAATACTTTCTTCTTTGGTATGTTGTTACTCATTTTGTTACGCAATCTATATTTTATTAGAGACTTCTTACTTTGAATTTTAAAGCTCATTTTTCTTCATAAAAGGAAAGATTTAGCTTAATTTTAAAGACTGTATCAGTTTTACTTTTTTAAAGAGAGTGTAACTGAGATTTTTAGTGATTCCGTAGAGTTACAAACTCTGCTAATTAAATAGGATAAATTCTTAATTCAGTTAAAGTTAGCTTATCTAAGCTACCAATCCAAAAATAGATTACTCTTCTTAAATCTAATAATTTACTCTAACTTCTAAAGTAATTGGAAATATATACCCATGCATATTTTATCCAAATAATAATAATGAAGAGTGGTCATCAATATTTGTTTTATAGCTATCTTTATTCATAAAATCATTTAGATATTGATAGTGTTAATTTCTAAAAACATGTGGCATCAATATAGTTATATCCTAATTTAATAATTCGTGATCAGGAATTTAAAATATTGATTAAATTCCAGAAGAAGCTTTTTTGATAGTCCATACATTATTTTTTTCTGGATTAGCAAATATGATGCAATTGCTAATTGAAGTGCTTTTAGCTATATGTCTTTGGTCTATTTCTATTGGTTTTGTTATTGGTATGTCATTAGCTGAGAAAGAAAGATATTCTTAATACAACTATTATAATTATATCAATTCTTTACTACATCTATTTTCATAATAAAGAAGCTTAAAACTCTGCCTAATTTCAATGATATTATTTTATAAAGGCTCCAGAATTTTTAAAAGTTGTTAAGAATCGATTTCTTTTTCATGAAGATAAGCTACCAAATGTAGCTTTTAAATAATTGTTTAGTTCATCTTTTCTTTAAGAGCGAAAGCTTAATTAGAAAATTAAATTTATTCAAGCAAATATTTTGAAAAAGGACTTGAATTTCCTTAAGTTCTTTCTAAAATCATTTTTTCTTTTGTAAATAATTTATTAATTTATGAAAATATTTATTTTTGCTTGAATGATAAATGGTGATGCTTTTCCATTTTTTAGCTTTCAATCAAATATAAAATATAGTTTCTGTTTCTTTAGATTAAAAATACAAAATAGGTTAAAAAGAAATCTACTGGTTGATTTTTTTTTTTAGTTTGAAATTTTTTTAATATTTGTTAATTTAATTAGTCTAAAAGCCATTCATCGCTTTTAAATAAGTTCTAGTCTTCTATTTCAAGCTTTTCTTCTTAATTTGGATTTGCCTAGTTAAAACCTAAATTAGATATTAACGAAATAATCAATATCTGCCTCTATTAGATTGAATTCAAGTCTTTTTTATCTAATATATTTGCTTTAATAATTTAATCGAGCTACCTCCATTCTAATTCATCATCATTTGTTAAAGAAAAATAACTTTCCATAAGATCATTATTTCTTTTTTAAAATATTTTTTCTATTACTTTGTAAACAAAACAAAATTAGGCAAGTAAAACTATAAATTAGCTGCTGTTTAAGTCTATCATGTCATTTTTAAACATACAATTAATATTAATTAATAAGCATGTTAATTAAGAAAATAAGTAGAATTTACTAGCAATTACTTAATTATATTACCTATATAAGTAAAATATTAACAAATCAGCTGCTTAATAAGTTATTACAAAGTAGAAGCTATAATTTTAGATAATGCATGAAAGCAGTAAACAAATGCATTGACTTAATTGCAATATTATTTGGCTAAAATGGTATGGCCTAGCTAGTATATCCTATTAAACATCAGTTGAGTAATTGTAATCACAATCACAAAGAATAATACCTAATATTAAAAATAATAAGTTTATATTCAATAATTCAAGCTTTTTAATAAAATCAATAATTACTAATGTAAAAGGTTGAGAAAGTATTTATATATCCTAAGATGCTTATACTATTGTGAAATAAAGAAAAGTAGATAATAGGAATATTTAAAGAAGGTAGGTAAGCATATATTATAAACTATGCGATAGCTTCATACACTTAATATATAAAGCTGATATAAGGCTTGCTTAAAGTAGAATTAGGCTTTTTTATTTTTTGAAAAGATTCAAAAATAAATATGGAAAATTTTAAAATAAGGTAGCTGATAATAATAATATTGATAGACAAGCAGATAAACGATACCACGCTATTAAATATTTAATCATTTCCTAAAACTAACTAGAAAAATCTATATTATTCAAAGGTGCTTGCGTTAGAGGGATTTTCGTTTTTTTATGATATCTTTTTATTAAGTATAGCAACTGCTAATAACTAGATTGGTTATAAAACTAAAAGGAGTAAAGGTAAGTAGAGTCCTTGCTTTTTTATATAAAATATTTTCTATAGCTTTAAAACGTAGAATTTTTAGAAAACGAATCTAATTTCTTTCATTTTTATTTTTCTTTTTTTATGATAAATTAATTAATTAATTTTGAGTTATTATTTATAAATCTAATGAGTTATTATAAATCTTATGAGTTATAATTTATAAATCTTATGATTTTTATTAGTAGAGTTTTTGCTTGAAAAATTGAGTAATTAAATTTTTAATAAGGTTCACGAGGCTGGAATTTAGCGGATTCATCTGATAAAAAATAAGAAATCTCATTTTTCTCGCTTAAAATGTAATAAAATGGAGCAATTAGCTTTTTAAACTTGTAGAATATTTTTTACATACAGCATATCATAATTATTTGAGTTATTTAGAAAACAAAGTAAAATATTTTATTTACAAAATTCATTGTTAAAATGTTAACATATTTCTTTTTACAGGTAAAAATTTTTCTACAAATTTTGATTAACACTTGTTTGTTATGCTTGCTTACTCATACTTTAGAAGTTAACAAATTATTTACAGTCAAATAAAGTTTTGATTTTCAGAAATAATCGATTTATATTTGATTATAAATTAAAATTTTTATGTTTAATTAGCGAAATCTAAAGAAAATTTAAAAAATAGCATTTTGTATTCAGTGAAATTATTACCAACATGCAGAAATAATACATTGTTACACTGTTTTTAATATCATTTATAAAGGTTACAACAAGTAGTAATTTTATCGATTACTACAAAATAATTAATTAATTAATTAATTAATTAATTTATTAATTCATAGATAATCAAAGTCTCCCTTTGTATTTTTTCAAAAAAGATAAAATGTAAGAATTTTTGATTAATGTATCAATATCAAATATTTAAAAATAACTCATAGTTTTTTTCATTTCAGATGTTATATCCTAAATTAAGTAAAATTAAGTAAATATTATTGACGAAATCAAAAAAATTATTTGAAGGACTATAAGAATTTTTTGCAACTAAATAATCAGTTCAAAATTATTTTAATAGTTCATTAAAATAAACTAGTCCAAGGCGTTTGTAGAAATGGTAAGACACTCAGAAAGAAAGAATGAGTTTTTAAGATTTAAGTCTCTTTAAAGGTTAAGTAAAAGTAACTCGCTTTTTGATTGATCATTTTAAAAAAGGAAATTATTAATTTATTCTTACAGCGAGAAAAATATTTAAAAGCCTGAAACTAGTCCTTTTGATAAATATGTATCTTAAATTTCTAAACATAAATCTTCAATTTCTGTCGAATTATTTTAATTGTTATATTGAGGGTTTTAAATCAGTGCCCTATAAATATCATCCTATAAAATAGACTAGAAAAATTGAGAGTTTTGATCTTATTTTAAACTATTTTTTAAATAATATTTTAAATTTAAAAAATAAAAAAATAAATAAATAAATTATTATACAAAGTATTCGATTGTGAAGAGCTTATCAGATATTAAATTTATTATTTTGTTTAAGATCCTTAGCTATAAATTAATTGAATTTAATCTTCAAATTAACTTATATCATAAATTTTTTGACTTTTAAAAATAAAATGAGTCAAACCTAAAGTATTCAGAGCTTGGAGTTGAAGGATACTTTTTTTTATCACATGAATTCGGTCTATTATTAAATATAAAATAAATTTAATTGTTTGTTTTAAAGATAAGATAAAATTTTTTACATCTTATTTCATATTTTTAGCTTTAATATTCAAAGAAGCTTGAACTATTGTAAAAGCTAATAATAGGAATTAATGTAATCCAAATTAACAAAGCTATTAGCTTTAATAATAGCTAATAATTCCATCTTGGTAATTGAGAGTATATTCTAACTGAGTTCCTTGCCTTTTCATTTACCTTGCTTGGGTTTGTATGCTATATTGTGTAAATTTCTTTTTAGTCACTATCAATTGAAACTCTTTTATTTCTTTGTGAAACAAATAGAATTTTATTATTATATATTCCATTAATTAGATTTTATTTAAAACTTTCTAATTAATTAACAGGGAAAGTTCCAAAAAGCTATAATAATTACTATTTAAAATTTTGGACATATATATTCATAGGCAGTAAGCACAAAATACCTATAAATGAGCATATTAGTATCAATATTAATATTGTTAGTAACTGTGTATTGTAATTTTAGGATTATTATTACTAATTTTAATTATTATTCTCCTCTATTTAAGAAATATTACTATCAATTTGAAGTTAATTTTGGATAAATTAGTATTCAGTTTCATAATTTAAATTTTATATGCCAAATTAAAAAACTCCAAGCTAGGAGTAAATTAATGCATAATATAAAGAAGTTGAAAACTATTTTTGGATAATATCATATTTGTCAAGTGTTTATGAATATATTAAAAACGCATTTGTATACAGCATGTTTATTGATTAATCTTCAAAAGTTTTAAATTATTGAATCTTATTTCCTTAATTAGCTAATAATTATAACATTTTATCAACTGAGGATGTTAGTTTAGATTTTTTAGTATTTATGAAATCTTGTGCATGTTTGCTATCTTTTAAATCCCAATTTGAAGGTTAGCTATTATTTACTTCATTGATGAAATCATTAACTTCAACATAATCAACAATTTGAAAGCTGTTTTCTGAATATTCAAATGCGAAACTCATATATTACCAATCAATTTGGTTTTAATTTAAATAATATATCGTGTTTAAATATTAGAAAAGAGATATTGAAAAAATGATTAAAAATAGAATAGATCCAAAAAATCTGATAAAAATTGTAAATTTTGAATTTTGTTGCATCTAATTTAAATAGTTAATTACTTATTTTTACTCTGATTTCAATATTTATTTGCTATACTCTTCTTCTTTCTTTTATAAAGTTAATTACTTTTTGCTCAATTTCATAAAGATTTTGTGGGTGGAATTTTTATTTAAATCTTAGTTTTCAGTTGCTGCTTCTAAATTTAAGTGCTCTATTTCGTTGATTTAAAAAAACTTTTGTTGATTTTAAGATTTTTGAAATAAGTTATTTTAACTTTTAGTAATATATTTCATATCTTTCGATTCTGATTATCTCCTTTTTGTAATATCTTGAAATAAACCATGAGAAGAATTTCCTTAGTTGTATTTTATTTCAAGACTACTTTACATCATCATCATCTGCATTTATTTTTCTATGGCAGGGATGGCATTTTTAGAAGAAGATATGGCTTCTGCTGAAAAAATGCTTTTTGGATAAAGCTCACATTATTTTTCATCATTTGCGTTAGTTATTTAGGTAGTTGCAGTAAGCCTATGAGTATTATAAAACTCAGTTTATCCCCTCTAAGTAATGTTTTTTATTAGCCTTTCTTGGCTAAAGTAGGAGTTTAAGTCTTCGTCACCAAGTTTTATCAAGCTTTCTTTTTTTTAGTAATCCTAAGCGTTATCTAGTTATAATGAATTTATAAATTTTATTTTAGAGTTTTCAATTGATGAAATAAAAGGAGAGTCTCTACGTGCATTTTATTTAGGAGTATCAAAGGGAATAATAGTCCTTGACGAACAAGAATCTAACCAAAGACTCTAATCCAATTAAAGTGCTTGACAGTTTTGATATAATTGGCTTACAATCTCATCTAATTTTGATTTACCAAATGTATTTTCATAAAAACTGTGATTCTCAACAATAAAAGTAAGTATTTAATTTGAATTCTTCTTTACAGAAAGCTTAGTGATTTAATTAATTTAAATGATATCAACATTTTTATTGTATTTATGCTTAGTTTTAAATACTAACAAGTTAATTAAAAAATATTAATATTTTATTTTATTAGTTTAATCTTGTTGTCTTTAAGAATCAAAATCTGAATACTGTGCTTTTTTAAAGATGGCCAAATATTATCTTTAATTATTATAAAATTCAGTATGGCTATCAAAGTTGTAATGAATTTTATTTAACACGCTAGTTTATATTTAATTTTAATTATCATTTTTTGTTTCATTATCTTCAATGCAAGTTTTAAATTTATTTTCTTACTTTATAAAGGGAAAAAATTAATTTATTTTATATTATTCAATTCCTTTTATATTTTTAAATAGCTAACTAGATAGTTTTTCTGTTATTCCAATTATGTTCAAGGTTATTGAATTGAATAAAATATATTGAATGCTAGCATCTGCTAAGAAAATGTTCGCTGCTAGCCCAAAAGAAGTAAATCCTTATTCGACATACTAATTGACTCTGACTTCAAGCATTATTGGGAATACAAAACCAGATTATTTAATCCCAAATAATACCTAGTTTTGATGTTTCATTATATCTACATCCTCAGTATTCATATCTAAAAAATCCTCAATATATTTATTGTGAGAAGTTCTAAATACAGAAGGCATTAATATAGTTACATTCTATCCAATAAGATCGTATTCTTTATATTAAAATATATTTTGTAAAATCGATGAAGTCTTTTTTATAACCCATTCATTTTTTATCTAATGAGCAAAGATAATACATCCATTTTACTCTTAATTCTTTGAGTGAAGATACCTATTTAAATCATTGACCTTGGTTTGGTGTATATCTTTAGGAGAAAATGATAAGTAAGTTAGATAAATCTTTTGCAATTCAATTAATTGTTTATTTGTATTGTTAATTTTGTACAGGCTTTAGAGTTACTTTCGAATAGAATAAATATTATCCAAGTAATTCTCAAACGAAATAATTAAATTTTTCACTTCAATTTTCTTTTTTTACAGGATTTCAATCAACATTATCTTCTATTTCATCACTTTAGTAATTAAATCTTTCAGACTATCAACCTGTTCTTCATAAATAATTATGTCAATAAAAGTTTCTGAAAAAGGACTATTTGATGCTAATTTTCTTTCAACAATATATTTTTCTTTTTAAAAGAATTTGTTAATGCTATTGAAAATTTAATTTTCTTTAAGAGAGTATTTATTATTCTTTAGAATATTCTCATTCTAAATCATATAAAGAATTAGATTTTTATTCTTTTAGATCAAAAAAGTAAAATAAGAAAAGTAGAATTAGGATTGTGAGTCTTTTTAACTTCTTAAGTAGTATAGGAGGATTATTTGGTAGAACTACTGCTTTAAGAAAGCATCTGATTTTAAAATATCTTATGAATCCTCTAAGCTCTATTTTGACATGCAATCTTATTATAACCTAGCTTAATCATTTGAAAAGATATTTTCTTTTTCACCCTCCTCTTAAAATAACTCCTATTATTTCTTTTAGTTCAAGAGAGATAAAACTTAAATTTATTAAAAGTTCAATAATTTGCTGTCATAATTTTCAAATAGATCGAATCTCATGATGCTATCTATTTCCTTCCAATTAATTTTTTAATTACCCACAATTTTACCAATATTTGATTGCAATTACTTCTCTAAATAATCAAAATAACATTTACAAATTTAAAAATTGATTGGAATCATCAATAAAATAGCAAGAATAAACATATTTTAATAGTTTTAAAAATTAGGATATAATGCACTAACAAATTGCATGCAAATGCTATTGATCAAAATTAAAGAATAAAATTTATCCACCTGCTTATTAAAGTATTTTCTCTTTTTGACATAAAAAAACCCATCAGCCAATAAATAGATCAATCCTAAGATGAAGCTCATACTCTAAAATTAGCATTGCAAAACTATATTAACTATAAAAACTAAGCTGAATATTGGCTAACTAATATGATAAGGTTTTCCATAAAAATCATGCTAATAGTATGTTGTGTAATTGTAATCGCAATCGCTAATAAGCAAATCTTTAAATATAAAAAGAATATATTTTAATATAGTTATTATTAATAATTAATTAATTACTTATGAAGGTTATTAGAACCAGGTTTATATATTTGAAAACTCTAGTATCATCTTGATTACAGGAAATATAATACTGCAAGAAGGGGATATATATAATTATTTCATATACCAAAATTATCTTTTTGCATAATTCTAAGTAAAAGTTGATTAAAAAGTTTATTGATTTCTATCTATCAGATCTTTTTAATAAGTATCTTCCATTTTTTGTTTAATTCAACTAATTTATAGATTTGCAGAACCCATAAAGCAGTTATATAAGGAGAAGAAAACTTGTAGTGAACACGAATAAATCTATAGGAACTTCATTAAGTGATTGAAATAATTCTTAAAACCTTTTTTTGAAATCTTTATCTCCTTAAAGAGGGATAATTTAGAAACTAGAGTTCAAAAATGTGATGAATAATATCTCTATATACTTAATAGATATAAGTATTGAGGGAACTAAGCCTCTTTTTTCAACGTAAAACAACTTTTACAGCTAGTAAATGTAAAATCCTTTTATTTAACTTTTAAATTTCTGCATAAGTTTTTTAATTATCTTTTTTTCTCTTTGTTATCAACTAATTATTTTCAATTATTTTTTTTAAATATTTAGTATTATAATTTAAGAAAGCAAGCTTCAGTAATAAAAATCATAGGAAATAATTAGAAAGATATAGACTAAAATATTATAGATAGTGCTTTCACATAAATAGCTTTAAATCTTACTTTTTTGGATGAATGTCAACCACCTCTATTAGTCTTGGTAAAAAGCTATTTCTTATCATGATTCACTTGTAAGTTAAATATTTAAATTTTATGGTTATCATATCTTCAGCTTCATTCTTAATTCAAAGGATAAGAGTGAGTAATAGCACTTATTTACCTTTCAAAATTAAACTTTGATAAAATGATCTTTAAATTTAAAAAAATAAACATAGAAATCATCAAGTTATAAACTATTAGAATCTGAAAGCATACACTAGATTATTATATTTGAGTATTTTACTATCATTTATAAAATCAAATTTTAAATATCACAAATATCCTAAAGTATTTTTGAAAATCTGTATCTAATTTAGTATTCATAACATTTATGAATTTATAAATTTTTTAATTCTGAAATTAATTAATTAACAAATATTGTGCTTTTTTAGCTTATATCCTCCCAATGTTTTGTAAACTAAAAAATTATAAATTTGATAATAAAATTTCTTTTTGCAAATTAAATCTTTAATTTTTTTATGTTATATTAGAGAAACATAAACATAACATAAATTCTAAACAAGATTTGTTGATATTTATTTTTTTTAAAATAATGTAAGAGATATTTTACATCAGAAGATAAATTAAATAAATAGTAGTTTTTGTTAATTATAATAAATATTTAGCTTTTATTTTAAAGTAAATTATGAATAAAAAGCGAAAATTAAAACATTTTTGAGATAATATTTATTAAAAATTGTTAAATAATAAATAAGTTAAAATTCCAAATTTATAATTTCAATAATTTTATCTAAAATCAAATTATGTTTAGTTAAATAACTAATTTATTTTAGTGATTTCATCATTGTACTTTTGTTAGGAAAAATCATTGTTATTATTCTATGATAAGTTTCGTTTTTTAGCATATTTTAAAGTACTTTTAGCATTATCTAAATTTCTTACTAATAATTTATTTAAAATGTTAAAATGTTTTTACACATTTGCTTAGGATTAGTTTTAAACAATTATTCCTAATTTATCATTTATATTTTAGGATTTAGCAAACCCATTTGAATTCGTTTTGCTTTGAATGTTAAAGTCATTGTTTCTTTAATTTTTAATTATCTATTTTTATTAGTTTTCTTACTGACTATTTGAAATTTATTTTTTATTGTGGTCAATATATGAACTATTTAAATAAACTGTGTGCATCTATTTTTTCTATCTTGTATCTAAGCAGTCTGAAGAAAAAATTCTTTCTTCATTTATTTATTATTCACTAAATTGAAATGAATTACTATTTTAGATAGGTGATAACTCCTATTGATTTTAATAAACAAATTATAAAACATTTAATTCAAATTATTTCTATTCATTTTTTGTATTCGAATTGACCCCTTAATTTGTATTATCTTAATCATCTAATTATTTTTAGTTAATTATTTCTTTTATATATTTAGATTTTAGATGATCCCATTATATTTATTAATGAATTTCATGGTACTAGTTTATTTTCATTTTAGATTTCAGCTATCTTTGATCAAATATTTTACATTAATTATTTTACTTTATATTATTTTCGTATTGGCTCTTGAAATTTTCCAAATCATATTTTTGCTTGAGGGTTATGTCATCTGTTTCACTCTAGCAATCAATGTATTCTGTACAATAAGTATCATATAAGCTATCTGATTTTCTTTTAGTGTCCTTAGTTGAATCAAATAAGCTTTTATATTGAAACTCTTAGTCCACAAAATAAGTATCCTTTGCTTTATTATTATCTAGTTTTTATTTTTTAAATTATCTTTACATAGTCGTCTAGCTTCTTTTTTGTTCATTTAAAATAAAATTATAGGAATCATTATCATTATTTCTATTTATAAAAACATCTTCTAATTTTTTATTTTCCTTTTTCTATGAAGAGTATTTTGATCTATTTTTTGATTTAAAAGAAGCAACTGTTACTATTTTTTGTTATTACTATTTTTAATAATTATCTGTATCTAATATTCCTCTTTCAGTTTGAGATCCGAGTTTTGTAGGTTCTAAATTTGAAGAATAATCATAAAAGCTAAAGTTTCCTTAATTATTTTTAAAAATTAAGTCATGTTAAGGAGCTTCCTTACAAAGGCTTTAATTTTATTCGAAAATAGATTGTTTTAAATAGTTTTATGTTGAGTTTTCATTAATAGAGTTATCTATAATTAGTTAATCGTTGTTTCTAGGAGTTTTGCTAAGCTTTTCCTGCACAAACGTATCCTTTACACAATAATTCTACTTCTTATTATTATTGATAAAGTTATAGCATTTTGTAATATTAGCATTAAGTAATTTTTTAAAATTGGTCAATTTAGGCTCTGCAAATCGATAATTAGTATTTTATTAAATAATACTCAAATTCTAATTATGCTACCTTTCGTCATTAATAAGTTAATTGATAATATTTTTGTCCTTTGGGTTTATATTATCATCACTTAAGTCACCTAAGCTTGATCTTATTTTAGAGTTACTTAAATTATATCTTTTTTTACTATTACTATTTATTTTTTTTTTATGAATAATGAAGCTATTATTTTCTTACATTGTTGGATATAAGTAACTCGAAGAAGATTCTAATATCAGAGAATTTCTCTTCATTTAAATTTTTTAATTTTTGTTATTTTATATTTAGTCACTCTATTAGACATTTTTTTAGTTAAATTAGCATGTAGTTGAATATTTAAGGTTGAAAGGACTATTTATTTATTAAGTTTATTTGGAATCTTAAATTATCATGCTATTGCTTAACGAGGAGCTACATTTCTTTTCATATTTATTTGGGCTTTAAGAAATATTAAGTTTGTTGTAATATTCAAAATATTTTTTGTTTAATGAATAAACAACAAGAGGGCTAGATATAGAGTATGAATCATAATCTTTCTTATGCTATTAAATATATAAATTGATAATTTACTATTCAGAATAAGTTTTTACAATTAACCCTTCATTATATAGCACTAGTTATCCATGCTTAATTATTAGAATATAATTCTCTAAATCAATATTCTATTTATTATAGTAAATTTATTATTTAAACTTAGGTGCTAAAGTAGAGCTAAGTTGATTACTTATTTTTATTTTCCTCATTAGATTTGTTATTATTACTATTTGTGATAAAAACTACTCAAATAAAGCTAAAAACTCTAACAATTCAATTTACAAAAGAAAACTAACTTTTGAAGCAATTATAGGGTTATCTTCTTTAACTTAATCACTTAATTTATCATTATAAATGAACGGTTTATCTAAACTAAATATAAATGGTTTATTTTATTAGCATTTCATAAAGTTATTTTTGAATTGTTGTTTTTTAAAATTTTGAATGAAAGGAATCATATCAGATATCTCATTATCGCATTAAAGACTACTTTCTGTAGATTATATTAATTGATAGACAGATGAAAAATTCATTTGCTAATTTTGTTTATTTGTAAGTACAGATTAAACATTAGCATTTTCGTTATTTCTTTATGTTTTTATATTTTTATTTTCAAGACAGCCAGCTATTATCAAAGTAACCATATTTTAACATGCGTTAGTGCTTGCATTTAGAAATGTCTAACCTTAATCAAGTTTTATGTATTTACCTTTTGAAATTAGAAACTTAATAATATCATGCTTGCTTGGTATATCCTTAATGAGAGGACTATTAGAGAGAAACTAAATAAGATATTTATTCTCATTAATATTTAGGTACCTAATTTACTTTTATTCAAGAATAGATATAAATTTTTAGGCTTAAAGCTTCTCTAATTTTTACTCCTGAGGTGTTGATGAAGCTGATTTGATAAAATTCATAATCGAATATTTAGAAAAAAAGCTTATTTGTTCTTTATTTCTTTATTTCTTAATTTAGAGAGATTTTAATTAAGATTTATAATTTTGATGCTTAACCATTCAGAAATTTTTTTTTCATATCAAATTTACCTTAGTAATATAAGCTAAGTATAACTTTTGGCTTTACTTACTTGCTATCATAAGTAAAATACGTCTATTTCCATTTTTAAGTAGCTTACTCTTTTATACATTAAATATAATCAAGTAAATATTTTTTATTCTGTATTTTATTACACTAAAAATAAAAGCTAAAACTATATTAGCATTTTCTGTAATCTTATTATTTTTATAGATATTAATTAATATATCTTTTTTTACAAAAGTAACCTGCTAAAATAAATAAATAAATAAATAAATAAATAAATTATAATAAACAAACAAAAAATAAATCAATAAATTAATTTAAATATTTTTTTTATCAAATAAATAAAACAGTTTTCTTTTAAAAATTATTAATTAATTAATTATGCTTGATCAAAATTATCCTTTGTCAATTCTTTAAGGATAGAACTGACTATTTAAAATTAGGAGGCTTGTCAGATTACTTATCTGAACTATCTATTTATGCTCCGCTTTATGAAAATATTATATTTGCTGATTTGCTGATTTCATTCTTTTTTAAATAATCATTAAATGAAATGCCTTAATTTAGATTATTTTAATTTTTAGCAGATGAATCTATTCCTATAGCATCTGTTCCTCCTCCTCCCACTCTAAATAATTAAAGTGTTTTTCCAGACTTTACTGAAAAATTGCAAGTCGGTGACTCAATGTTTTATGTATAATATGTACCATCTATAAATAATAATTTTTAAAATTAATGAATTTTTTATAATTAATTATTTTCTAAAAAGTAAAATAAATTTCATTGTTTATTTATTTACGCTTTCCATTCTAAGACCGTTTTTGTATTATTTTATTTTTTAAAATATTCATTGACCTTTCTGACTTAGTTAATTTTCTTTTCGTTACCATTCTTTTTAAGTGGTTCCTCTTTTTAGCAATAAGATCATTTTCTTCTTTCTTGAGGTGTATATAATAATTATTATAGTGTTCGAGAACTTTATTTATGTTTCCTTCTACAAAATATATTTCAAATATCATGTATCGATCAAAATCTATAATATCGCAAAAGGAATTCTTTTTAATGGCTTCATCATCTACTCCTCCTATAATGTTATTTCTTCTTTTTATCATTTTTGTAGATTTAAGTAAATTTGTTTAAGCCTAATTATGATTTGATATTAAATCTGAGTTGTTTCCGACAAGCGAATCTTCTTAAGGTCTACTTGAAGTTGTTTTAAATTACATATAGCTTTTTTATTTTAAAAACCCTCCTATAGTTATAGGCTTTTCTACATTAGGGTTAAAATTACTAGTAACTTAAGTAATCTCTTTTGCTTCGTTACTAGTTTACTAAGGTAAGTTATTATTTTATAATGAAAAGTTGTTAAGATTTTCAGAACTGCTTCCATTATCTTTACTTTCTTTAAATCTCTTTCTTTTAAAAGGTGAATTAAGTCCATTTAGTTATTAATTTGATTAGTTTGAATCTGAATTTAAATCATCTGGTACTATGAAAGATAATGTCTTTTTCTTTTTACGACTGAAAGGTGCCTATTACAAATTGCTCTCTTACTATTACGAAGATTACTATAGAGAGATTTATCTAACTATATTCTCACTATTTAAAATCGCACTATTTGCATCATATACCACCCCAGGACTTTAGCCCTAATCGTTAAAATACTCATTTATATCTTCACAAATTATTTTCTCAGACAAAACTTAAGTTTTCCATTTCATGTCTTCCTTAGCATAATATTTTTTTAAGTTTTCGATAACTTCTAAAACTGTCTCTTCACCTGTTTCATCTGGATTAAAATCTAATAAAAAGTTGATTGCTGTATCTTTTAAATATTCATGAGCTATCCTTGCACTAGAAGTAGGATTTCTCCTATCATTTCTGACATAATTAGGATCTCTACCTTGCTCCATTCTATTATACCTTAATATCACCTTCTCTTTCATTGGTGTATATCTAATTTTTTATAATTTAGTTAATAAATTAAACATATTATATAATTTCATTATTTTGATTTAATCTATTTAATTATTACCTAACAAGATGACATGACTAAAACGAGTGATTAAAAGAACCACATAAATGACATTTTGTTCCTAACCCTCTTGAAATATGATTTACTTAAATATTATCTCTTAACATGCAAAATTTTTCGTAATCCTTTGAGTGTTTCCTTATGACATCTATGAAATCATCTCTTGTTATAAATATTAAAGATGTGACATTTACGCATCTAGCACCAGTGCTACATGGCAATTAAGTAAAGAAGGCGGCCTAACCTAAAAGACGACCTTTACTTAAAATATTGACAGAAGTTGTCAAATTGTTATTTGAATCCCTAACATTTACAAATAACTCAACTTAACCTTTTATGAGAAAATAAAGTCTATCTAAATAATCTCTCTCTTAAAAGATTAACTCCTCAGGACCTAATCTTTTTTCTTTCATTTTTAATGACAAATCTGCAATAAAACCTTAAGAGAAGTTAAGTCTGAACACTTTTTAATCATTTAGAATTTTAATGTACATCTCACTGGCAAGCTCATTTTTCAAAGAACCTAAATCAAATAAATATAATAGTTTTGTTACAAATAAATAACTATTTCATTTATAGAAATTTTAAAAAAATTTAATTTTGAAATAAATTTTTTTAGCTAATTTATTTTTTTAAAAAAAAAGAAACTTATTTACATATAAGAGGAAAAGTGAGGTCTGGCGATTGATTTTTTAGACTAGCTTTTTAAAACAAATTTTTATGTTATTGTTAAAACTTTTTAATTCATTTTATAAAGTTAAGCTCAAAAAGCTTACCTGTTTGAGATATGAGGTTATAAGGGATATGTTGTCTCTAAAGATAGCATCTTTCTTAGAAAGCTCTTCTAAAATTCGACCTATCTGATTGATGCCATAACCAAAAACACCACAAGAAATTAGCATAACAATAATACAGAAAAGCCTCTCCCACGTATTTTAAGGTACCACATCACCATAGCCGACTGTAATCATCGTAACTACTGCCCAATATAATGAAAGTATGTATTAGTCATACCATTCTTTGTCCCAACTGCCTTTAGAATCAATCCAGTTGGTTGTATTTGTAAAGTACTATTCTTCTAAGCGCGCTAACAAAAAGAAGCTACAGCCAAGGATATGGGTTACCATTAGAATAAAAATAATTAGCTTTAAGAGAGAGAGGATAGCTTATCCTCTTTATCTTAGATTGAGAATTTCTTCGAAATTCTCCATTATTGGTGCAAGCTTAAGAATCTTGATCAGAATGCCTGCTTCAAAATAAATGTATGAAAATTAAGAAAAAGAGAATGCAAGAAGAGTGAATAAATCAATAAAAAAATTTTTTTTCATATAGTTTTTAATAATTTTTTTTCTATCTGTAATTATAAGGCCTTTTGAGAAGTAAGCTGAATTAAAGTTCATTATTGTATCAAGTGAAAAAGTAGTTCCTGTAACAAATGTCAAGTATTTAAATATGTTATTGTTTGTCATAAAAGATGCAAAGCACAGCTTGAGAGGTATAATAAAGAAGTTTATAATCAAAAGGATAAAAATAACTATATTCCATATTATCTTGAACCTAGAATTAGGTTAAATTACTTTCACGTTTTTAAGTAAAGAAAGGAGAATCAAAAACAAGCAATTTCCCTTTATTTATTCATTTTATATTGTATTATTGGATATTTGTCTAAAGTATTGAAGGTTTTTCTTGCCTTTTGATTAAAGACCTTGCCTCATATTTAACATAGTTCCCTAGGTTTTCATCTTTTTTAAATAAAGCTGATCTTATTCCTACTTATATTTAGTGTAATACAAATAATTTACTGATTTATCTCCTATTACTAAAAAGTGTTTTTTGTCTAGTGCTCTAAATTTATTTTAATTACTATGGGACATAAGCATACTTTGAAATTTCTTAACTAATGTTATAATAAGTAAAGATGACTTTTTCCAAACTCCCATCAAACCTGAGTCTTCTTTAATAATATCATGCTACATGCCAGAATTATATTATATATGTTAATTTTTATCATCTATTTGTATTGTTTTACAATTTATTGTTTATTGTTTGTTGTTATACTAAAGATTATTAAATTTAACTTCCTTATCAGTATCGTTAACATCTTAAATAGGCTAACTTACACTTATAAGCTTTGCTAATTCGCTTTTGGTAGTATTGTAAATGTTAATATTCTAAGAGTTCGAATTCAATAAATTTCCTTTATCTTAACCTTATTATAAATTGTTTAAATTTATTACAATTTCATTGTTAATTTAGCTTTGATTCATATTTTTACTATTATTGTTTCTACTTCCATTTAATGTATTTTTTGCATCAAAACTCTACTATTAATTTATCCGTTTAGAGTTTACAAGCCGATTGCTCGCATATTCGCTATATGAACATACAGAATCATCCTCAACAGACTTGATTTTAATTAATGGGTTATTAAAATATTATCTTCTCTGTTTTGCTCCATCATCTGCATCTATTTATTCTTCATAATAGCTTTCTTCATCATATTTATCAGCTTAAGAAACTTGAGATGCTTCCTCTTCAGTAAATTTACTATCTTAAATTAGCTAAAATATTTGTTTAGAATTATTTTATTTTTCATTTGAAAAAGTATCTGTTTCAGATATTATAGTTTATTTATTTATTTTAGTATCTTTCATGCATTCTTCAGTATCATTCATTTTTAACTTTAAATTACTTCTTAATAACAATTAAATTTTTTTAATACTGATATGAATAGATTTTAATTGCAATATTCCGATGAGAAACTAACTCTATGATTGATTAATTCATTTGAGGATTTTTTAATCGTAATAAGTACACATTTTCAAAAATTCATGATTTTTAAGATTTTGATAATATAGTAAATGAATAGTATAAGTGTAATATAATTTTTTTATCAAATATCTTGATTTAGAAATTACAAATTCTCATTGTATAAAATAATACATAACATAAACTAAAAATATTTAAGATTACATAATAACAAGTTAAGAAAAATAGAAAAACACTTATTTAAAATGAGAATTTTAAACTTTAAATATTAAAAAGAATTGTAAAAAGTACAACCTAGAAATTATTAGTAGATACTTTTAACCTTTTAACAAATATATTTCAAATTTAACCTTAACTATTTATTTTAGCAAAATTTTAATTTAATTGCTACTCATGATATTAAAGTTAAAATGAATCTTGAATTTAAAAAAAATAATTATCAAATATTAATATTTTAAAATCAAAAAATAATTTAAAAAAAAAATATGCATTTTTTATCATATTTAAAAAGGTCAAAATAATTAATACTAAAAGATAAAGAGATAATAATTCAAAAGTTAGAATATTAACTACAAAGTAAATTGATTTAATCAAGTCAAAACTGATTTATTCTAAAATTAATCTTATTCAATTTTTTATATTTGATAAGATTGAAAAAAAATTAGACCACAAATAGAATCTTTTTAAAATAAATAAAAGCTTTTTATGTTTTTATTTTAATAGTCATTTATATTTAAAATCTACATAGAAAATCTAAATAGAATAAATAAATTATTAAAACTTTTAAAAGAATTTAATAGATTTCATTAAAATTTAAATCATTTTTTAATAAATACTATTATAATATTTAAAAGCAACCAAACAAGTAAATGAATTTAATTTTCTTAAATTTATTTTATTATTTAAAAAGTTTAAATTTATGTAAAATCAATCTAAAATATCTCTGATTTTTTTAATTAAATTTAAATAAAATTAATAATATTTATAATTTTATCAATTGCTTTTGGGTATTTAGACTAAATTTTAAGTGTTATTTTCATTAAGCATATTTAATAACTTTTAATTTTTCATAATATGAATAAATAAATGATTTGGAGGAATATTATTTGTTTAGATGAAACACAAACGAAATATCATTAATAAATGTTTATATTATTATTATGGAATATCAAAAATCTCTAAATAGATTTGTTTATTGATTTTGAAAATATTTTTATTTGGTTCTTAATAAAAAGTCTTTATAGTTTAAAAGTAAAAGTAGAGTATAAAAAATTTGTTTTAGTAATTGATTATTACTACTTATTTAGTAATCTTGTAGCTAAGCTAGCTTTTTATATACCTCTTATTTTGTAATTGAATTAATAATATTTAATAATTATTAACATATTAATATTATAAATAGTGAAAAAAAATTAAAAATGTCAAACGATTAGTTATTTTGTTTTAAAAAAGACTGCTTCTGGAGTAAGAGTAAAGTAGATGAGAGACTTAATTATATAAAGGCATAAAGAGAATTAGGAATTATTGTTGTAGATGAAAAACCTTTGTGTTTATTTTACAAATCTAAAACCAAATTATAAAGAGATTAAAAAATTAAATGCAGTGAAGAAACTCTTTGCTAAGTTCATTATTTTTAAAAGAAAATAAGTGGAGAATAATGCAAAGAGTGCTAAAAAGAGCATGATTATGATAAATTTTAACCTGAGATGGTAAAAACATACTTAGATAAAAAAAGAGAGATATAAAGTTTGGATAATAAAAATGAGCGTTCCTATGATTATTTGAGTTCATATTTGAGATACGAACTCTAAGATAGCTAGTAACATAAAATTTTGTAATAAATAATTTAAAATGAGAAGAATAAAACAATAGATAATAAAAAGAAAGTAATCGAAAATAAGACTAATTAAGATGCATTCACATTAAATAAATGCTATGCAGATAATCTTCCTAATGTTCAGATTGTGTCTTAAGATGATAAAAAAGATTAATCTTATGCTTAAGTGAGCGGCTTTGATAATAAAATGAGTTATGACAAAGGAATAATACAATTACTTAAAAGATACTCAAATAATAAGTGATTTAAAGCTCTTATTACTTATACATTATTTTAAAATATTTTAGATTATTAGATAATTTTTATTCATTTGATAGATAGACACTACTATATCTCTACACTCTAAAATTTGATCAAAGTAGTACTAATTAACTTAACTAAAATACTAATAACATATAAAAATAATTATACTATAATTGTATTCATTTATGATTAAATTATTCAAAATTGTATAAAACTCACTAATTTAACCAATTTTGTATCTATCTATCTATCCACCTATAATCAATACCTCTATTTATCTATATTTACATGTCTAACTTTTTTATTCCTTAAATAAAATATTTAAAACTTAATATACTATCTTTAAAATAATATGAACTGTTTTAAAATCAGTATAATTTATAAATGTTACCCACTTTCCATACAATAGTTTTTGACCAATATCTATTGATTTACTTTGTTTATTATTATCGATTTTTGAAAATAAATTATTTATTGAGTTCAAAAATATTTTAAAAATGAAATGAAAAATTAACTTTCAAGTTTTAACTATAATTATAATTTGATTTGAAGAAAAGAAACCATCCAATTACTATTTGATATAATCAAACAACTAACCTTAATTAAAACTATTACTTGTAAAAATTTTAAATAATTAATAGATTGATTGCATAATAAATAAGATGAAAAATAGCCAAAAATAAAAAGGTCCCAGCAATTTTGAAACAGTATCTCCTGCTACTAAACTTCTTGAAAAAAGAAGAAAAATGTACGAGATACATGAAGCATTCGAAGCTTAAAAAGAAGAATTCAAAAAGTATGTAGTTTATTAATACTTTTTATAAATATGAATTGTGTATTAATATTCTGTTACACCATTTTAAGGTAAGAAGAGGAATTCAAAAGGAAAGAAGATGATCTGAGAGATTAAGATTAAAATATTTAAGCCTAACTGATCAATTATTGTAAGTTTTTGCAAGATAATGAAGCTAAAAAGAATAGAGCTGAGAAGCGTCTTTAAGAAGAAACTAAATAGAGAGATTAAAAAGATAAAGATATTAAAGAAGTTTAAGGATAATATGAAGAATTATAAAATCAATAATAAAAGCTTGAAGCTAAAGTCTAGGCCTTGAAAAAATATGAAGAATATTTAGATAGTGTGATAAAGGCTCATAGTGATCAGTATTAAGATTTAGCAGAAATTTCAAATAGATATAAAACTTTAAGTACAAGCAACTAAAATCTATAAAATGAGCACAAATAACTTGAAAAGGAGCAGGAAGAAACTAAGCACCAAATTTAAGTATTTTAAAAATATAAAAATTAAGAAATCCTTCAGTTAAATAACGACATTAAGGAGCTCACAAAAAAATTAGAGGTAAAAGGATTATGTATTTTGATCATTATATTTTAATATTATAAAATTACATGTAAAATGATGAAAATAAATGATATTTATTTAATAATTTATTATTATATTCAAGGAAAAAAATAATGAGAAAATGCAACTGTAAAGTCTTGTTGAAGATTCAAATAAAAAATCTAGTGATAAAAACCTAAATTTAGGAAGAATACTTATGGCTGTAGATAATTTATATAATAGATGTATGGAAGGAATGAATAAAATAAAGACTGATTTTGAAGAAAACCAAAGGAATATAGGTGAAAAAGCAAACATAAAAGAAAAGAAAACTGAAAAGAAAGTGGAACGTGATAAAAAGAAAACTGGAAAGGATAAATATGATGGTAATGAAGATATAGAGGATAACTACGAAGAAAAGAGTATTTCTATTTATTTTTCTTTTTTTCAATATAAATTTTATTTTTTAAATATTTCAAGGTAAAAAGGCTATTTCAAAATTAAAAATCATTAAGAGCTACATGAGCGATTTTAAAACTATTATTGCTGAATGTAAAAAAGAAAGTGAAGCTGCTAAGTACGAAAAATAAGATTAATTTCAAAAAAAATGAAATAATCAAATTATTTATATTAATATAATATAATTTTATTATTTTTATTATTCATTCATATATATTTTATCAATAATATAAAATTTTTATAATATCAATTTAATTTGATTTTTAACTACTTGTTTTTTATTATTAAAATATTTTAAGGTAAAAGTTACTATTTCAAAATTAAAAATCATATGAGCTAATTGAGCGATTTTAAAACTATAATTAGTGAAAGTATAAAAGAAAGTAAAGATGAAAATATTGAAAAATAAGATTAATTTTAAAAAAATAAAATAATAATATTATTAAAATAAAATGTTTGTGTTTTTTAATTTTTAATGCATATTTATTAAACAATTTGAAATTTTATAATAGCAATTTAATTTTTATAATTTAAAGTTTTCTTAAGTGCTATTGAATTATCTGCCTGAAAGCTTTAGAAATATTTAGAAAAAAATATCTTTAAAATATTGTATATTTATTTTAGATATATATAATTGATTTTAAAATTTGCAAATTATTTAAGAATTTGTAATTAAAATATCTGATAAAAATTAGTCTAAGCTAATAATTTATCTAATGCTTTACTTTTTAATTATAAATATCTTCTGTTCGCTTAATTAATATATGTTAAATTTCACAAATAATTAATTTTAAAATTTTACTAAATTTCTAAAAAAAATATCTAAATTAATAAGTTAATCAATGAGTTTCTTTAGCTAATTAAACAAAAAGTTAGATGAAGGGTGGAAGTTAACTGATTCAAATTGCCCCATTTGTAATTTTTCCATCATTTATAATCCTAAAGATAAGTCCCTTTTCTGCATCAAATGCGATAAACCATGCAAGATTGAAGCTGATATTATCTTTAATTAAGAAGAATAATCTAATTCAAAAAAATAAGAGTAAGTCGGAAACACCAAAAAACAACAAGATGACTCCGAATCAGATTTTGATGAATATGAATTTAAGTGGAATATGAATAAAAACGCTCCTACTTCACGTACTGATGAAATTTCTAAGCTTCTTTCTTAAAAGTTGTTATAAGGATACGCTATGTTGTAAGAATGCTGTGCAGGTAATATTATTTAAAAATTTTAAACAGATAAAAATAATTAAATAATAGAAATTGAAGCATTTTTTAATCATTAATTCATATATTATTACAAAAGTTTGCTTGGCTCCAATTATGAAAAGCAAAAAAGGTGAATATACTTGTGTTGGATGTAAATGGGTTAAAACAAAAAAAGAATTTGATGATATAGTTTCAACTCAATTAGATGGAGTTTAATAGCAAGAAAAACCAAAATAATAAGTTAGCTAGTAATAATAAAGTAAGCCTTAAGAAGTAAAATAATAGGTACCTATAGTTGAAAAAGAAAAGGTTGAATTAAAACCTTAAGTATAATCTTAACAACCAATTTAAGTAATTTAATTATTTTTCACTTTACATCAAGTATGTATTAACAAATATTACCACATTATAACTAGGATTCAGGTGAAAAGTAGAAATTCTATAGCACATTGCAAAGAATTTTAAATAAAACTGCAGATTTCTATGAAAAATAAATAGATTTGTATACTCAATAAGGTTAAATAGCTGTAGTAGATAACATAATAAAGACTTCTCTTAAAGAACTAATAGAAGCTCAAAAGAAGCTTGAATAATAGTGAATTAGTTATAAATAATAAAAATGGCTATAAAACTAAATTATAAGTGTTATAAAAAAAACAAAAAATTTAATATTTTGTAATATAAATGTTTTATTTTTAAGTATTTCAATATAAAAATATTTTTTCTATGACAATTAAAAAGAAAAATACAAGTTTATAGTTTATGGGAGAGTACTATGCCAAGCTTTATTTTGAAAAAAAAAGCACAATAAAGTAAATTATAAGTGTTATAAAAAAAACAAAAAATTTAATATTTTGTAATATAAATGTTTTATTTTTAAGTATTTCAATATAAAAATATTTTTTCTCTGACAATTAAAAAGAAAAATACTAGTTTATAGCTTATGGGAGGGTACTATGCCAAGCTTTATTTTGAAAAAAAGCACAATAAAGTAAATTTTAAATTGTAATATCTTTACTATATATTTAAATATATAGTAATATTATGCCAACCATTGATGTACAACCTTTTCTTCTTTCATCTTCAAATATAATTACATTAGTTATAAATAAATTAAAAAATAAATAAAAATAGTTAGTTTATTTTATATGTAATTATTAAAAAATTGTTTTTTGTTAATTTAAAAACATACTAAAAAACAAATTGAAATATTTTGTTTTCAAATTAAAACACAGCATCTTGAATTAAATTTTTTACTTTATTTATAAACATTAACGCTAACCTAACTTAAATCTTTACTTTTTTCCATAAGTACTTTTAAATCCTCACCTTTTTTAACTAACTTAATATTTTAAAAATAATTTAACATAAGTAGAAGTATTTTTTTTATTAAATTCTATTTTTCAGAAAAATTAAAAAAAATAACAAATAATATATTACATCTGTCATTACTTTAAAAGTGATTTCCTAAAGTTCTTATAAGTTACTCTATAACTGAGCTAACTTATCAGCTTTCTTATAATCTTAATATTCTTTGACCATTACTTAGAGTCTTTCAAAATTGATATTTGTATCTTCTAAAAATTCATAAAAAAATAGTTATTATATTACAATTTTCAAGATAGAATCAATTTAAAAATACCTTTAAGTTCTCCCACTTATTCATTAGTAATAATTTTATCTAATTCAGAAAATATTTCTCTAATTATAATAAAAGGAACATTCTAAGGGTATTCTTCATCACAAACTATAACTACTGCTCTATTATTTTATACAACTACATATGCAATAGCTTTTGCTTCATCTAATTTAATAGCAGTCCTGGTGCCTTATTGAACACGTCTTTATTAAAAAATTTAAATTATATTGTAAGCAGAATAAAATATTTTTATTTTTACCCTGTGATTGTTCTCACTCCAAAAATTAATCCTTCTTTAAAAAATGATCTCTAGTACCAACTTATAAATAAATATAAAATGTTTATTTTGACTTCAGATTTTAATAGATTCATAATCTTACCTAATAAATCCTAATTCATATGCTGAAGACAAAAAAATAGGATTCTCAGCATTCCATTTCAGGACATGCATAGAAATAAGTCTCATGTAAATATTACTTTCAATTTTATAATTTTATTTTATTATTTATTCTTTACAAAAATTTTTTGAAACAATAACATTTCAAGTATATTTAAGTGCAATAAATCCTGTTTAATTATTTCTTTAAATATTTAAGTAAAAATAAAACCAAAATGATTAGATTTTATATTTGATCTACTTCAAAAACTAAATAGATGTAGTTGTTAAAAAAATATGAATTTTTTTTAATAAAATAATATATAAACTTCTATAAATTCTTTTTTAGTTAATAGCTTTTATTTACGTGTAAATAAGTAAAAAAATTAATTAATTAATTTATGATCAGCCAAGTTTTATAATTTAAGAGATTACATATTTTTAACTTAAAAATGTAAATACAAGTAGCTTAATAAGATAGTGTATACAAGATAAAGTTATCACATAGAATATATTTTATATATTGAATTATTAATTTTTAAAATTATTTTTTATTTATTAATTTTATTTATAACATTATTAAATAGCATTAAATACCATTATGATTAACAAACCAATTTTCTTAATCATATCAAAGAACAACAACGTGAATTTAATTTTTTAGATTTTTTATAAAAATCAACACTAACACTACCCATATCTTTACTTTTTGCCATTAATTCTTCTAGCTTTTCACCCTTTCTCAGTAACTTAATTTTAAAAACAACAATTTATAACAAAATTATATTTTCGCAAGTAAATTTTTCATAAATGTATAAAAAAAGGCTAAGATAATATTTTACATCTCCCATTATTTTATGAGTTATTTCATGGACTTCTTTTAAGTTGCTTTCAAGTTGAGCTAACTTATCTGCTTTCTTATAATCTTAATATTCTTTGACCATTACTTCAAGTCTCTCAAACTTAAGATTTGTATCAGCTATTAATTAATATTATATATTTTTGTTTTCTTTGAATATCAAAAATAAACCAATGAAAAAAATTACATTTTATATCTCCAATTTACTAGGCAGTGAATAATTTGAAAAATTCAGAAAAAACTTCTCTAATTATTACAAATGGAGTCTTCTATGGGTATTCTTCATCACATACTATAACTACTGCTATATCATTTGATACTACAACATATGCCATAGCTTTAGCTTCATCTAATTATACAACTGTTCTATCACCTTTTTAAACACGACTTTTATTATAAATATTGTTTTAAACCTCTTATAAAAACGTATGACTATTTAATATTACGCTGTCATAGTTCTAACACCGAAATTTAAAGTTTCTTTGAAAAATGGACGCTAATACCAACTAATAAATTTTACATTATAATAAATTCAATATATTAATATCATTTAAGCGAATTTACCTAATAAATCCTAATTCATAAGCAGAGGATAAAAAAATTGGATTTTCGGGATCCCATTTCAAAACATGCATAGAAATTAATCTCATTTCACCTACTTTGTCTTTTATATTAAGCTTTATTTATATTATTTTGTATTATCTATTTTTTACAATATTGTAATATTTCTTTTATCTATTTTTTTTAAAGAAAAAAACTTCAAAGAATCATCAATTAAATATAGACAACAAACAAACAAGTAATTCTGTTTGACAATATTTTAAAAATAATACCCAAATAATCATATAATTTTTTCCATTAATTATATGTATAAATAAACCTCATTCTAATTATAAAGTAATTTTTTTTTCAGAAAAGTATTTAGAATTAATTATAAATATAATTTTGTATTTATAAATAATAAACACTTCTACAAATATTCTTTAAAAATATTCAAAAATCATTAGCTATCACATATCTTAAATAAATAGTATAGTTTGAAATAAATTTGAAGGTATTAGTTAATTAATTTATTAAAAATATGTTTCTTAAAAAAAATATATTAAATTAAATTTACATTTATAAATTTTTTATATTCAGTTATTTTAGAAAAATTAATATTTGAAAATGTAAAATTTTAAATATTTTAGTGATTTATAAAAATTATGTTAATTATTTAATCTATTAATATTTGAATATGACAAAAGTCATCTTATTTTTTAAATTAAGAGCATTTTATAAAATATAAAATTTAATTTTAAATAAATTAATATAATGTATTTTATGATATTATTTTATTATGTTATTGATAATAAATTTTATTAAAAATAAATTTAAAATGTAAAATCTGCATTTTTTTAAGAAAATTTCTTTCTCAATTTTTATATAAATGTTGGTAAATAAAAGAAACAAAATATAAAGAAATATGAAATTATTCATTTTTCTGTATTCTATCAGAACATAAAGATTGTTTTAACTATTATTTGGTTTTGAAGAAATTCAAAGAATTTGGGTTCTTTCTTGCTGCATAATTGTAGGTCTGACCACTAATTTAAATTAATTTTTTAACAATACTTGTATTGTTTTGAGTTTTAAATTTCTATTAAAACATTGTATTGAATATAATAATAATTTGCAACTTATACTTAATCACTTTACATATAATAAAAAATTAAAGTTTGTATAATTTGCATGCAGTTTACTTCTTTATATTTATAATATCATAAATAAAAATGAAATTTTTTGATATAATTGATATTTTTGTTAATATTTAGATAAAAGGCAAACAAAAAGAAAAACCATTTTGATGATCCATTATTTTAAAGTCTAATTTTAAACCATTAGTACTTTCATGCATAAAATTTCGAATAACTTTAAAAATTGTAGAAATGTGTAAACTCTTTTTATTTGCTGAATTAATTTTTATGTTCATGAATAGTTAAAATAGGCATGCAGAATTAAATATTTTTATCATTATGTAATAAGAATTAAATTTCGTAGAAATGTACATACAAAATTATAAATCACAAACCAGCCTTATTATTAGCGACTATTTTAATTAAATTATGATAAATCAGTGCAAAACAGTATAAAGTAAAAAATAGTAACACCTATTAGCTAATTAATTAAATTTAAAAGATAGAAAATAAATGAACCTTATTAAGTTTTACTTTTAATATGAGTAATATAAAAGACACCTTTAAACATGTAAAAATAATTTATCAAAATTTTAGTGTAATAAGCAATTTGTCATTAAATTTATATATTATTTAATATTTTTTCTTCCTATGCTTATTTATCAACAAGCATTTCATGATTTTATATCTTTGGACATTCAATTTTCGGAGATTCTTAAGAATTATATACTTAAGGAGATGATTATGTTTCCAGTAAAATTAAATTTTTATTGGTAAATTTTTCAACTAATTTTTTGATAAGAAAAACTAATTTTTGTAGTATTATTAATAATAACTGAATCATACATATCAATTGACCTGCATATATAAATGTTATTTTTATCACACTTTCTAAGATATCAGAAGAGTTTTTTAATTCGTACACCAAAAACTAGGTAAACAAGCCAAAACCTAGAAGCAAAATGAGATTATTATTTAAATTTTGGTCATGGTTTAAAAATAAATTAATATTTTAAAGAGTTTCTTTATTATTTGTATTTGTTTCATAGCTTTTTTTAGTTATAGGTAAATCTCCATCCATGCTTTTCAGAAAAATATCAAGCTTATTTATTTATTAGACCAAGAATAAGCTATAAACTGAAAAATATAGGATGTTAAGAGTAATATTTAACAAATAAATATTCCTATCCTAGCCTATAAAGACATTGCTGAAAAAAATACCATAGAAATTATATCCGAGACTCAGGGCATAAATTAGTATTTATAGAGATGTCTCTTTTATTCTATTTTTGAGCTTTAGAGATAACAGACATGGGTCGTTTTCGTCTTTTGCAAACAAAAAGTAAATCATATTTTTAATCTATTTTTTTAAAATGGTTGCTTTCAATTTTATTTGTTAATATTGAATTATAAAATTGATTGAATATTTTTACTTCAATTTGAATATGTTTGCTGTATTTATAAATTTTTATCACTGAATTCCTAGTTTATTTATTTCTTTCATCTATAAATTGCTACTTAAAAATTATTAATTTTGTTAGTATCAAGTGATTACCCATAAAATGTAGGTTTACAGTGTAATAAATAATTAATTAGGTTTAATTTGGATGCTTGAACCTGATTGATATTAATAAAAAATTTCTCTAACATTTATCTAAGATATAAAAGGATACTAAATCAAATTTTATACGTTTTCAATAACTACTTTATTAAATTTTAAAATTTTTTATTATATTTATACCTTAAATAACTTAAGTAAGATTTAAGGTCTTATAATTCCAAATTAATTATTTATTTTATCTAATATATATCAATTGAAGTAAGTACAAATATCATTCACAATTTTTAGATTTTTGGACGAAAATTATAATTAACTTTATTTAAATTTAGAAATCAAAATTTAAGGTGGGTGAATTAGATTCACATTTTAATTTTAATAAAAAAACTACTTGTGTATTTACAGGTAAAGAGATAATTATTAATTAAATTAAAATTAGTACTTAATATAAAAATAAACAGTAATTAATATATTTGTATTATTATTATGCATTAAATAAAATTAGTGTTTTTGTGAGTAAATATTTTGAGTAAGTTAATTAATTAGTGGTATGGTTAGTTGTTTATTTAATTAATTTTTTTTTTTGCGAGGTTTTAATTTATTTTCATCTTTGATTTAAGTTATTTTGAAGAGCTTACTCTTTTTGAAATAATAAATTACAATAGCAATGAAATGAATACTATTATTTAAATACAAGTTCTTTTTTTCATATCTATTCAATTTAATTGTGTTTAGTATTCATGATAATATTTCGGAAAAATTTACAATAGATCCTAAATTTATTATAATTTAGGAAGATTTTTAGTAGAATATTTTATGATTGAAATATTAGTGCATTACTGGATAATATAGTTTTTAATCATTTTGAATGATTTCATAAGATAAATATTTGTGTTCTGCATAAAGGACAAGTTTTATTGCATTAAAACCAATTTTCAATACACTCTTAATGGTAGTAATGCTAGCATTCAGTTATTATAGAAACTGTTTATCCTGTTTATAACTTATCAAGACAAATGCTACAGTCCTAATTAATTATTTAGCTCGTGCTTAGCTATTTGATAACAGTTGATTGAAGGCTATCGCTGTCTTCAGCTTATTAAATACTAATGTCTCTAAAGAAAAGGCTAGATAACTTAAATTTAAATCCACATAATAACTTTTTATCAGAAAACCTATTAAAAGCAGATCTAAATAAATAATAAATAGCTTATAGAATATTTTTGAGTAAGACTAAAAGGTGACCAAAGAATGAAAATATTACTATAAGTTAGTGTTACGATTCAAGGTAGTTGTTTTTAAAGAAAAATATTCCAAAGACAAATAGTATTGTATACCCTACAATGTAAAAATAAAGATTTTTTTTATTGAGATCTTCTTAGATTTAATTTAGAATACTTGTTTCTATTGCTTTACTAGAAGATTTTTCCAAAGTTAGAATAAGTATAGGCTTAGTATCAATTAGTTCTTTCTAAGAATTTTGGATAAAAGAGTATTCAATAACGCAATACCCTATGTAAACTATAAAAAAAATAATGTTTACCAATATTATGTTAATTTAACTTTGATTTTCGTCTCTTCCTTATATCTTTTGAAGAATTATTAAAGTGAAATTGCTTATCAAAGATATGTAAGATGAACTAATTTTTATTATTATTTTAGTCAAAATGCTATCAACTTTTTCCATCCTTTTAGCCCTTTATAAGTAAGAATCAAACATAACTTTTTATTGTCTCTTAACTAAGTTTTATTTATTTAAAGTAAAAAAATTATTTTTTATTAAACTCTGTTAAGTATTTTTTTATTAAGTATTTCTGAAATTTTTATGAAATAAAGTTTTTTTTGTGTTATAATTAAATTATATTATTTCACATATTTATGGTGCGATATAACTAATAATTTTGATTAGATCTAAAAACTGAGTAAGATCCTTTTAATATTACGGAAAAGTAATTCTTTTTTATTTTCAATAGCAATCTTGAATTTAGATTTTGCTTTCTAATTATTAATTATACAAAAAATATGTAAAATCATAGAATATACAAACCTTACTGCATTTTTTTTAAAGATTCTATGAATTTTTGCAATGATAATTTAAAAATTATAAATTATATTCTAATTTTAAAATATTAGCATTTATTTGAAATTGCGCATCAACTTTATTTCACTAGTAAATCAGAAGAGGACATTTATAATACAAATAACTTTACAAAATGAAAAAAATAATCATAACTTTAATTCCAGATAGTGGTAAAAAATAAATTAGTGCAATTTAAGTTAATTACAAAGTATTAAAATCAATGCAATAATTAATAAGAAACTAACCTTTCAATAAAAGTAATGTGAGTGATATCATATATTTAAATCACTAATTAAAATTTGTTTGAGTAACAAAAAATGAAACCAAACAAATTATTATGCTATAAAAATTATATTTTTCCCTATTCAAACATACCTTACATGAAATTTTAAATTACTTGATATTAAAATAGTTAAGTTGTATTAAAATAAAATTTCCAGTAATTCTTTCTAGCATTTAGGATTAAAGAACTTTTGTATTCGTAATAGTAATATTTTTAGGCAAAATTAATTTGAGAGTGAAAAGACTAAAAATAGAATTATAAATTAATTTACATAAACAGTAAAAATAAATTCTTCAGTAATTATAGCGCATTATTCTCAATATACATACTTCCATGTTAAAAGCAATAGTATTTTGTAATCTAAAATTTATTAACAAATTTAAAAAGAATAACAAATATATTTACTTTTAAAATTCATAACTTTACATTTATTTTAATCACAAAAGTATCAATTTTAAAATATAATAAATAAATTTATAATATTACCAATTTACTAATCAAAGCATTTTGAAATAATTGTTACATTTGTGCCAATGTAATATTATAGAAACTATTTTGATTTATGTGGAAATAAATATGTAAAAGTTATAACTTTAATAAAATTCGCTTGTTCTATTAAGAATTTTTTTATTGTAATTTTCTTATTACTTGTGTCAATAAAAAATATGTTAAAAAAATAAATACTCTCATATGATATTAAAATCAGTGTAATCTCTTTCAAATTGCTTCTAAATTTAAATTGAAAAAAAATTTAAGTTTTTTTTGATAAATTAAGCATGTAATCTAATTTATGCATTTTAAGTGCAATATATTTAGCACTAAGTTTTTTTGGCTATGAAAAAAAGAATAGTGTTACTGTAAAATTAATTTTTTTTTTTAAAAGTAATTCATAATATTTATATCTTTTCTAGCTTATTTATCAAATAATTCTCAATAATTAATATGATTAAACTATTAAATATACAAAATTTAAAATTATTTGCACATATCTTTAAACACTTACATAATATTTAATTATTTATTTATATTCAAATACAGACCAGCCTCTTATTTTCCCTATTGAAAAATTTTTAACTTTTTCTTATTAATTTACATTTAGTATCAATTAAAAAATGTTATGTTATAAAATTTTAAATCTAAATAAAGGATTGACTCTATTCAATTTTGTTCATTAATTTAAATGAACTTTTGTTTGCAAATATGATTTGAATTTGCTTTTGTTAACTAAATGAAACCAGTAACTTTTATTATAATATCTATTTAATATAAATATATTTAATGTAATTTATTAGAAAATTAAAAATATATGAGAGATAATTTATATTATGAGATAATTTGTTTAAAATAAAATTGTGTTTTTAAAACAATTTATGTTTTATATTTGTAAAAAAAATAACAATACAATATGATTTAATTTATGTTACATAAAAATATTTTCATTAATAAATTTCATTTGGTTGCTAAATCAAATCTTTTAACCAAGCATGGAGGATTACCAAAGAGTTTGCCATCAATATCAGTGATGATTCTCTTTCTATTATTTTTAAGTGATGGAGCTTCATTTAAGTCACATAGAGCTTCTGTACGAATATAATGATGGAATAAACCATCTTCTTTTGGTATATCTTCCCATAAAACTTCACCTGAAAGAGCTTTAATTCTAATGCTTTCAGTTGTTCTTAACATAAAATCTTCAACAAGAATATATTCTTCACTTTTATGTAAAGATTCAAATGCCTTCTTTTTGTATGAAGATATTTTATTAAAATATTCTGCACCATCAATTTTATTGTCCTTGAAATCATATCCGAATTTTTTAGCTACATCCAAGATTGTTCCTTTAAGAGTTTTAGGTGCATTTTAATCTAACTCTTTTGTCTCTTTTGACATTATATCTTCAATTTATTTTTTCATCTTAGTTGTCTTTCCTTATAATTCTTCAGGCAAAATATCTTTAATATCTAATTAATCTAATTTTTCTTATGAGGTTATACGACGAGTAAATCTTAGTTCAGCTTAATTTTTTTAATATGTGTATTTGTGAATGAATTCATTTTAAGAGCGATCCATTCTAACTCCAAAGACTTGCAGATGTCCTCTATGGAGGAAGTGAAATTGTTGTTAAGAAGCATTTCCTTACTAAGCTAGTGACATTCTTTCAATTTTTAAGAAATTTTCGATTTAGTTTTTAAATAGATTTTGTTACAAGTAGCTAACTAATTGAGCATTTACTTCTTAATCAAATGTTTTACGTGCCTTCTTAGTAGTGATGAAATCTAATAAACCTAAATATTGCTCTTTCAGAGTGTTTTCTTCATTTTTTTATAATTATAAAACTATTGGGTAAACTCTAAAAGCTTCATCTATTTAATCATTATACTCCTTCTCATTCTTTTTTTCACTGTCAAATATGCAATTCAATCTAACTTTTTCTTTTAAAGCTTTGACCTATTCCTCTTATGAAGGGTTAGAACAAAAATGATTTTTTAATTTAAAATAAAGGGAGTTTTTGTGAGTGCTTTTCAAAATCAATTAAAGCTTAGAATGAATAATCATTTTATTTTAAATAGAAGTAAGTAGAAAGTATTTATTTTTATATTGCTAAATTAAGATGCAAACAAAACTTATTTTAATTATTTAAACCTTCTGGAATGTAGGTAGGAAAGAAATTAAAAATATATTTATTTTTTGTATTTGTTTATTATTGATTGACTGTATCTTTCTTTCTTTGTTTTTTTAATGATTAAAAGTATTTGTTATCTATCATAAATTAAATTTTATTAGAAATTTCTACTTACTTACTTTTCATTTTATATTTTTGATAATTAAAACATGTAAAATTTTATTTGTTTTATTTTATTTAAGTTGATAGAAATAGATAATACTAAACATATAATTATTCAGAATAAAAAAAACAAGCAATTCTACTTTATTTATTTAATGTTTTGTTTGCAAATAAATATTTTATTTTATTTTTCACAATTTTGAAGTAATAAGCTCACCATTATTAGGCTTTGAGTTATATGTTTCATAGTTTTAAGCAATAGGAGCACAAAGTAAATGTTCAGGAATACCGAATGCATTAACAGAGTATAAAGCTATAGGATGAATTTAGACAATACATTCTTTTCTTAATTCTTCAAGGGAACGTGCAGCATCACTAGTAACGACATTGTTCATTAAATACCATCCTAAATTAGAAAGCACAACAGAAACTAAATGTAACTTGAAGTATAAATCCAAAGGTCTCTTCACGTCCTATCTAACATTTGCTAAGTTCTATTAGGCAAAATCTGCAATAATTCTTTCACCGAATTGTCTAGCTAAATTTTAGATGGCAGCATTTTCCTTTTCCATCCATATTTCATAGATATCCTTTCCTTGGCTCATTTAGGTTTGGGTCATAACACTAACTTCTTTAATTAAGTCAATCTAATAGATTTTAAATTTTTATTAATTATCAATTTGTTTGTAAATGTTATTTGTTTACTTCTCTAATTCTAATGAGATCAATTAAAACTTAAATGTCGGTTATCTTGGTCATCTTTGCTATATCTTATCTGCTATTTGTTGGCTTTGAGAAGGGGAACTAGTTTTTAGAAACTAAAGTGAGAAGCTCTTTTGCAACTTTTTACATTAACACTGAGTTATCACCTTCAGCAGTAATACCTGAATGAGCAAAAGGTAATAATTCGCTTAATCTGTTAACGCTAAGATATCCTTGACCACCAACTCTTTCAACTTTTGGATTATGATAATAATTATGAGCTTATTTATTTGGAAATAATATAAAAATATTTCACCTAAAGTAGTTCCAACATCTCTAGAATTCCAGGTGATAAGAGGTTTAACAGCACAGCATAAACAAACTAAGAAAGCACTAGCTTCTTCTTTCTTAAGGAGAGATTCAGCATAAACTTCTTTTACTTTATTAAATCCAACATTCAATGTGATAGTACGTGCAAGCAAAGGATAAACTTAGTTCTAGAATAAGTTAAAGTTCATGATTGGGGTATCAGATTTTCCTGTTTTACCAACTGCAAGTCTTTATGATCCATATCTATTTTATGTAAATTTTAAAATAAATAAGCTAGAAAAATTTTTTAAAGAGTTTTACCTGATAGCAGTAGCAAGACAATATTTAGTACCTCCAATAAGCATAGAAGCAATACAAATTCTACCTGAAAGAAGTCTGTCAGCAACTTTCAAGAATCTTTATCTCTTGTCTTTAATAGTAGAAGTAAATTATCCACTAGGAGACATTTCTGAGAATTTATTTAAAATAGCTTCTCTGGGAATCCTTACGTTATCAAATCTTAATCTTCCATTGTCAACTCCATTCAAACCGAACTTGCTTCCCATATCTTCAATAAAAACACCTTTGCAAACTGATCCATCTTCATTTCTTACTCTGACTAAGAATGCATGGACACCTTCCTTTTAGTTGCCTTTTTATATATCATTAAATAAATATTTAATCTAATGTACTGATTTTCTTATTAAAATTAGAAAAAAATAGTTGATTGGATGGAAGCTTTTGTCAAAGATAATATTATTTTATCATGTTTATCTTTTGGTTTGACAATTCTCATATAATTTTAATGATAATTTGAATTGCTTTTAAAATGTAATAGATTTTCGTTTTAGATAATAAAAAGTGTTATTCTACTATTTGTTATGATAAATTACCTGGCAATATGAGTTGAGCAAAGACAATAGCATAATTGCAGTGGAGAGCACCATTTGTAATCCAATATTTCTGACTCAAAACTGTTGGAGAATTGATAATAAATTCTTTAGTTTAAGGATCCCAAATACTGGTTGTTTCCATTTGAACAGCATTGTTACCAAAACCAAGTTCTGTTAAGGCAAAACATCCGATAGTAGAAAGAGTATCAACACCTTCAGCTACAGGTAAATGTCTTTCAGTACCGAGTGTGTAAACTGTACCACCAAAAAGATTTAACTAAACAGTAAGCTTAGTAGCAAGTGAACCATCAACCCAAGCAGCCATTTCGTGATTGGCAAAAACATTTAATGGGTTTTTAGCAAAGTCGTGAACTGAAAAGACTCTATTCTTAGCTACTACTTTTAATCTTTCAAGGGCTAAGTCCTTTTATTCTCTTAAGCTAATGTTATAGCGAGGAATGAAAAGAGGGTCTTGTGAAAATTCTTTCCATTTTTTACGAGTTTCGTGGCAGCTACCGTCTAATACTTTAGCGAATTCGTGAGGACAGAAGTTTGTTTGAGAGGTCATGATGAAAACTTACTATTAAATCTTTAATTATGTTCTACCTTATTTGCGAGTTATTGTTTATAACTATTTAATTTATTTACAAAGTATGTATTATTTAAATTTTTTTTGTTTGTATAACAGCAAAGAATCTTCTCTTGATCTAAAACGATATAAATCAGAGGAGAAAAGATAAGAAAGTGCTTATAAGTAAAGCATTTAATAATAATTATTATTTGAAATTTATTTAATAGATTTAGATGACGTATTAAGTCTCTTATGTAATTAAACATGTTCGTCATCGCCAGCACATTACAATTGGTCTCTCCTTTCTCTGTTCTAAGTATCCTAAAAGATGCTATCCCAATTATTTTTATGGCTAAATTTAGATATCATGCTAGTATACTAACAATATTTAAAACTCTTATTTAAATTTTAATAACTTCCAAAACTCTATCATTTTATTGTAAAAATATATTTGCAGTAACCAAAAAAGACAATAAATCTAACATTTAAAAAGTAATTACCATTTTTTTATTAACTCAATTAATGTTAAATTATTTTAAAAAGCAATATAAAAGCAAAAGAATTATGATGAAGTATCTTATTTCTTCAAAAGTTTTATGAAAAAACTTATTGTTCATTCATTCATTATTAACATTTTTTATTGTTTGTAAATAATTCACAAAAATTTCTACTAATAGTTAAGCAAAGAATTTTTGAAAAAAAAAAGTTGATTAACTAAAAAATATATGACTTACTCACTGAAAATTCTAAAATACATAAAAATGATTCAATTAAATGAAATAAAATTTAATCTAACAAAAAAAACAGAGGTTATTTAAATATTTTATGGAATTTTTAAGTTATTTTTTCAAAATATGATTTAAAATTTTATATAGACTCAAGTATTTTGCTTTATTAATTTATTTAATGATTTTGGATTGAATCTTTTGTCAAATATTAATTAGATCATTACCAAAATTATTAGTTCTATTTATAAAAAATAGGTGAGTAATGGTTTATTAAGCAAAATCTAAAATATCTAATTTTATTGTCAAATGCACACAAATTTAGGAATTGAAATTTTTTTTATTAATTAATTAAATCAAAATTATTATTATTTAAGTGAGCACTAATATCTTTTCATCAATTAAAAAATCTATTCAATAATTAATCAATCATCTTTTTCCTTTTTATAGTTTGGAATTGTCTTTTTGCCAGATTAGATATCTTTAATCAAATTATCAATATTAGCCATTGATGCTTCATCAAGAGTTGTTTTCTTTTTCTTTCTGCAATAAGAAACAAAAAAGAAGACTATAAGAATGATAGCTATGACAGGCATTTTAAAGTTTTCAGTAAAATTCCATGATGGACTTGGAGTATAAATTGTAAAAAGAGTTATTTCAGAAGAATTTGAAGGGGTGTTTAAATGCTCAAAATAAGCTATCAACCCATTATTGCTGCTATGCTTATGAGATTGATATTAGAAATAGCTCGTTTCGTCTATGTAATCAAACTAATATTACGATGGTCCTAAACCTGATAAATAGAATCCTACGTCTAGCATCATATCAGCATTCTTAGATTTATAATTTGTGATATTTAATACTTTTGCAATAGGCGAATCATGAGATTAAAATATTATAAAGTTATGAATTTGTTGAATCGAGACTTTTTTGGGATCTTTTTTATCTATTTCATCTATATCACCAGAGTTTATTTTCATTAAAACTTATTTATTTTTAAATTATTTTTATTATCATTTTTTACTTTTTAAGTTATTTAAATTACCTGAGCATGAGCTCTTTTGAGATTTCATGTCATAAATAAGAATGTCCATATTTTTTTACAAAGCAAGTATATTTTAACTGTGCTGTCCATCAATAGCAACATAAAGAATGTCATCATAGGCCTTTATTTCAAAAATATTTTAAATTTTAATCATAATTATTTCTAATTACTAAGTCACATTGAGGGTAAGCAGTTAATAGGTTTCCATAGTTGAAGAATCCAATTTAATTTTTTGCTATTAATAAAAGTTTAATAAATTTTTAAAAATATATTTTAAAATTTTTCTAACTTGTTATTATACTTAAATTATTTCTAAAAATATTTAATTAATAAATAGTAATTACTTGCATAAAGGGGATATGGGTAATGTTTTAGTATCTATAGTATTGGGTGTCTGCTAAGTGCACTTTTTCCAAATTTAGTGCCATTTTTAAAGTAAACACTTTTTTAGTTTAAATGAATAAGAATAAAACAGTTTTTTATTTTTAAATAAGCTTTACTGAATATGGCCAGTCTAATCTCCTAATAAAATATATTTATTCTGCTTAGATGTAAATACTTCAAATGCGGTATATAAATCAATCTACATATTATTTAAAAAAATAGTAAGTGCTTCACTTTTACTAATTCAACTTACATTTTAAGTTTAATTTTTTTATTGTATGCTAAATTCGCTTTCATACTCAATTAGAAGATTCAAATTTTTTTTCTTATCATTTGGCTTAGTAGAATTCGAAGATTTCTCTATTATTTTGATTTCCTTTGAAGATTTAATTCTTATTATTGAACTTTAAGTAGTATTATCAGGTTTTTAAATCCATTCTATATCTTGCTTCTTTAATGGTCTTATTAAATGAGATTTGATGCTAAAATCATCTCCTAAAGTGTAAATAACATTTTCTTCATTTGAAGTAAGTATAGCATATTTAAATACCTAATAAAAATAACAAAGTAAATAACTTCTAATTATTAAAAATAAGCAAAATACATTGTGACCTGCATAATATTCATGCATAATTCTACCAGTACTATCTAAAAGAAGTATATAATTGTTTTGAGTAATAACTATCATAATATATTGTTCTGAAAAATCATAAACCGTGCTTCCTTGGTTTAAGTTATTTACTCTATTTTATTTAAACTGAATGAATTCAATATTTCTAACTTTGTGATCTATCTTTTATGTTTATTAAAATATATCTTAAGGTTTAACTAATCTTGTGTTATGAACTGAATTTACCTTTAAAGTAAATTTTTTTTTAGCTCCATTCCTAAATATTTTATAATTTTCTACATATTCTAATGGTAATTTATTTCGCAATGAATACTCTTCTTCTACCTAGAAAATACAATAATTTTTATAATTCCAGTTAAAGAAAAACTATAAATATTAAATTTAATTGATAAAAGTTTTAAAATATTTACTTAACTCTTCTTTCCTTGCTAAAAGAAGCCCATTTTATCTAACCTTTCGATTTCTACTAGCTTTATTTCTTTTTCTACTTGCTATATTTATGAATCAAAACTATTTATTTACATCAACAAATCGCTAAGCTAAGCATCTTCACTAAAACAACTAGATCTTGAATATAAAGATGCTAAAGTTACTAATATCTATAGAAGTTTAAAACTTTTTCTCATGAACTAATTCTATTTCTATTATAAAGTTTTGATAATACTTAAAAGTCTATCAAAAAGAACCTTAAAAAAATTTAAATTAATCTTTTATTTAATATTAAAATATTAAAAAGTTGCATATGGATAGAACACATTAAATATCCTTTAGAATTATTTAAAGATAAATCCATAATATGCAAAATATAAATAAAATTAAGCTAATTATTTTTAAAATCATTAAAGACTACTATAATAATATTCGCTCATGTGTTAAAAGATAAGTTTTTTTGGATATTTAAGTTTTTCATAAATTTTAAAGAAGAAATACAAAACTCTTATAGATTATATAAAAATAAATACCATTTAAAAATAGAAATTTACTTAATTTTGGAATCTTAAAAAATGAATTTTCAAATTTCAGATGCAAAATTTCTAAATGAGAATAATTTATTTGTTAAAAACCCACAATTAATTTGTGAATTTTAAAGATTAACATAATGAAAAAGATGGTTCATTTATATTATAAAAAAATAAATTTAAATTTCAAAAATATAAATTGAATTTTTTAATATTAAAAAAGGCATTATTTAAAAATTATTTTTTTAGAATACAAAATTTATCATTTTTAATATATTTATTTTTACAATATTCTTTTAATTAGTTTTATTTCTAAATATTTTTATAGAAAATACAAATATATTTTATTTCTCTTAAAAAACTCAAATAAACTATATGTAAGCTTTTCAAAAAATATAAACAAATGCAAAGGAAAAATATTTTATTTAATTTATATAAATTTTTAGGTTCAAATATCATTATATGGGATTTATATTTTTGATATCTGATCGTAAGGATTTAATACTATATCTTCATCTAATAATATTCCTTCGTTTTCTAAATTAACCTGATAAGCAAAATCAGGTCCAAAATTAAACTTAACTCTGGCATTCATGTAAAGAGATGCTCCTACATAATAGAATCCTTCTTTAATGTTTTTAAAAGCTTTTCCCTGGTTCACGCCGTTTTTAAAAAAGTAAACAAAACTTTCTTAGTTTAAATCTTAATCTTAAATTAAAATAGAGTTTTATTGGTTCATTAAAACTTCTTAAAGATTATTGCTAATCGAACAGCGGTTATTATTATTCTAATCTACCTAGCCTTAGTTTGCATTAAATATTTTTTGATATGACTAAATTGATTAATTACTAATCATTTATTGCGAATTAAAATTTAAATTATATTCTATCTACATTTCATTTTCTTTTTCTTAGTTTTCTTTTTTTAGCTTTAATTTGGGTTTAGGTGGTTGAAGATAAACTAAAATACCAATTACATCACCTACTCCATATTTTTCGCCATATTATTCTGCTTTTCCTTACGTAAGTTTATTTCCATCTCTATCCCTATAGCAGTAAGATATTTCTTCTGCACCAATGGGTAATTCTACATTACTTTCCTTTGTACCTATTCCTATTCTAACATGAGGAACAACATTTTCAAATGGGAGAGGCAATTTAGGCTCAAGTACTGTTATTTCACTATAATATAATCCTTCATATACTGGAAGTTCAGCAAAAATGCTGCACCAGCCTCTTTGACCTAGAGCCTCAAACTAGTTTGTTTATTCTATCCATTTACTTTTAAGTGTTTCTGACAATTTCATTCCTAAAATTTGAGAAATAATTATTAATAATAAAAACTTTCTATTAGTTATATCCAATTGTGCTTAGCTTAAAGCAAAAAAAAAAAAAATTAATAAAGTTTATTGAATTTGAGATTAAAATTTTTATTAGACATTATATTATATAAATTTATTATTATTTTTTCAAATTTAAAATAAATTTAATTTTCGATTCATTTCTGTTTTTTTTAGGTAAAATTTTTTAATCATATTAGAAGTCTTTCTTATATCAAAAAATTTCAACAATAATTAATTTCTTTTATTATAAATTCAGAGAAAGTTATATATAGAAATATTAAAAAGTTAAAAAATTTTTAATTGTTTTAAGATTACTCAAAAAAGAATTCTTAACGATTAAATTTATTAGCCATAGAAAATAATGGCCTAAATGAAAGTAGATTTTACTAATCAAGGATAAGCGAATTTGAAATGGAAAAAAAAAAAAATAAACCAATAAATAATGCAAAAATTAATTTGAAATAAGCTATGTTTAAAATTTCAACAATAATTAATTTCTTTTATTAAAAGTTGAGAAAGTTAATAAATAGAAATATTAAATAATAAAAAAATATTTAATTGTATTAAGATTACACAAAAAAGAATTATTAACGATAAAATTAATTAGTCATGGAAAATAATGGATAAAATGAAAGTAGATTTTACTAATCAAGGTTGAACGAATTTGAAATGGAAAAAAATAATAATTAACCAATAGATATAGTAAAAATTAATTTGAAATAAGCAAATAAATTGATATTTATTGTCATTCCAATCTTTTCTAATATTAAAATTAAAAAAAGCTTTATTTACAAAAAACTAAAAACTAATCATAAAAAATGGAAGAATAATCTAACTATTCGGATGACGCATAGCTCTTAGATAAAAATAAAAATTAAAAATCTTAAACATAGAAAAGTACTCACAGATTAAAGATGTTTATAGCTTTTTTAAGTGGAGCAACCATTGTTGGGGTTTATTATTGTTTTGATCAACCAGTTCGTAAATATTACATAAAAATTATTAATTTAATTTGATAATAAATGTAAAGACATAATTTAAAAACATTATATATTAATAGCTATCCACGATAATGTTAGAGATCGCTTTAAAGAAAAGCTAAATATAGACGATGATTAATTTGAAGTTTACTACAATATTTTATATGGTTGTTTTTCTTGGCCAAATATAGTACTTCCTTTTTTTTCTGGTATTTAATAATATTTAGCTTTCTTGATATATTATAAATAATTATTATTCATCTATATTTAGAATTTAATTAAAAATATTATTAATATTAGGTTTTGTTGCTGATAAAATTGGAAGCAGAAAGGTTCTAGTATTTTTAACTTCTTGTGCTCTTATTGGGTCTTTTATTTTTTACATAGGATATTAATAGATTATATTTGGATTAATGATTGCAGGTAGAGCAACAATTGGTATTTGTTTAGGTAACTTTTATTTTTTATTAAAATTTTTATTAAATTTACTTTTTTATCTGATTAAATAGGATCTATATTTTCATTATTAAGCTATTTTATAAGTTTTTATTTTTTTGGTGGATATTTATCAGTAATTATGTCTGTTTTATTGGGTCTGGCTAACTTTTTTGATAGTTTGAATGTTTCAATTACTCCAACTATAATAGATTATGCTAGTGGTAGTGTTGCTATTTGGATTGCAATTATCACTTGCTCATTTTCTTTTATTAGTTCTATATTACTTGCACTTTTAGATTATTATATTGAATAAGACATAAAAAAAAATTAGTAAGGAGATTTTAAAGAAATTGAGAGCTAGCAAACAAAGAAAGATACATCTTTAACTTAGCTTTTTATAAATATAAAATAGTTACCTACGCTTTATTGGCTAGTACTTTCATATACTGTTCTTAGTCTTTGGAGTATACTCCCATTTTTTGGTAATTCAACAACCATTTTTAGTGAAAATTAATATAATGGAGACAGTGACAGTAATTAAAAGAGTTCATTAGCAGCTTCTATGCTTTGGTATTTAGTTTTACCATTAGGTCCAACGATAGGATATATGTTAGATAAGTTTGGGCACAGAAGCAAGGCTTCTATAGTTGCTGGACTTCTATCAGGCTCAGCAAATTTAATGGTAATAATGAATTTTTAATTTTTAGAATACAAATCTATATATAAATATTTAAATAAATTCAGGTTTTCAACCTTAATCCTTACATTCCAATTATAATGATGAGTTTAAGCTTTTCTACTTTTATGAGTTCATATTGGAGCTAAGTTTCCTATATTGTCAAAAAAGAAATTGCTGCTAGTGCATATGGATTGGTAATGACTGGTAAATTTGGAGGGCTTGCAGCTTTAACTGCTATATTTGGGTATATGAGGAGTCAATTAGGTACATATTGGTATTCATAAATAATATTGAGTATTTTTGGATTTACTACTAGTATAATAGCATTTGTCATATTCCTTGTTGATAAAAAAGCTAACTTTGGTAAACTCGAAAAACCAAAAGTTAAAGAAGAGAATTAACAACAAAATGAAGTTGAATAATAATGAAATTATTTCAACAATCTAATAATAAATAATTTATTTATAAAATTTTATTAATAAGCATATTTAAAATAGATTTAATTATTTTCATTTATTCAATTTTATAATTTTATTGTATATTTATTTATATCTATCTATCTATCTATCTATCAAATATATGAAATAGTTTCAATTATTAATAAAAAGTTTATTTAGTTAGTATTCTTTATCAATCAATAATATTAATTTAAATATAAAATTTGACTGGAAAACAACTTTAATAAATATTTATCAATCAAAAATATATCTATTGAAATTCAATATTTAAATACGATTAATTAATTAAATTCTGATTTTATTACTTTATAAAATTCAAAAAAAATATATTAATTAAGAATATCTTCATAATTTGATTTTTATAAATGAGTTCAGATGTTTCAATAAATGATAATTAGCTAAGTTAGCTATCAAATATGATCTAAGAGAATAGTAACCTAATTAGCTTATATATTTTAAATTTTAAATTCATGCATTAAATCAATATAGAAATCAGAAAAGCTACTCTAACATAATAAGGAGACAAAGACAAGTCCTTTTAGAAATGTAAATATATTTAATTAATTGATTGATGGATGAGGTTTGATGTTTATAATAATTTTAATAGTGGAAAGTAATGAAAGAATCTCAATAAGAAACGAAGAAAAGAGTTAATAGGAAACTAAAAAAGATCTCTATAACATTAAGGAGGATCTATCAGATTCAGAAGATGAAAATAAGCAAAGCAAATAAAATATTTCAAAAAAGGCAAATAGGAACGCGCATAGCAATAGTAGATTTGACAAATCATAAAGTTAAAAAGATGCTGAGAGAGCGAAGAATTCAAATAAAAGAGCTTATGAGTTTTATAGATCTAATTAAACTAGAAAAGAAGATATATTTTTAGGGTAAAAAGATTAGAGTAAAAAGTTGATTGATAAGCAAGCCACAATAGCAAAAAAAGTAGATGAGATTTAATCAAAATTAAAGAGCATAGATATTGAAATGAAGAATAAAAAAGTTTCTGACTCTAATGTTAATTATTAAGACGCTTATTTTACAATGCAAAGGGAAAATAGCGAACTTAAAAAAGAATTATAAGCAATATAATTGGCTAAATCTGTAATTTAAATTATTATAAATACTATAATTACAAATATTTTATTACATTTTTCAGCTTAAAAATATTTATTTTGTTCATTGAATATAGGTTGTTGCTTCAAAAAACAAAGATAAAAAATTATAGAAGTCTATTGGTAATGAAACTGTTGCAACTAGAGATAGGAAAAAAGTAACAAAATTTAATTATTATTTTAATGTAGATGAGAGTTTTAATATTTTTAAAGGTATCTGACTTGCTTAAACTTGTTGATATGCTGAAAAAATAGCTTTAAGAAAGTGAAGATAGAATGAAGACTTATTAAAACCTTCATAAATCAGTATTAGCTTAATCTCAATTTCAAGCATCTATGGCTAATCCAGAAAAAAGCACTGCTTATTTTAATGGGTAAAGAGAAATAAATGCAAAAATGTAAGGAATGGCAGCTAAAAACGACGAATTGGTTTCGAATATGTCAGCTTTAAAGTAGTAATTAAAGGCCTGTAAATAAGAGAACGCTCAATTATTAATAGAATTAAAATAAGCAAACGATAAGATTGTTAGCTTAGGAAAAGAAAATAGATCTTTGCAACTTTGTGCAGAAAGTGCAGACGAATATTAAAAGTAGATTATTGATTTAAAAAAGTAGAGAGATAACACAGAGCTTAGACTTAAAGAGCTGCTTTCTTCACCATTTTTTAAAGATCATGGTGAAAAAGCTCAAAAATATGCAAGAATGCATGAATTGGAAGAAGAAAGTGTCAGATTAAATACAGTTAATGAGTAACTGACTAGGAATGTTGACAATTAAAAGAGAGAGATTCAGCTATTGAAAGATGAGTTAAATAATACAAAAAAATATTTAGAAGATCTCAAAGAAGAAAATGAATCATTAAAAATAGATTTGACTACTTAGGCAAGCAAATTTGGTCCTCTTTAACAACTGTAACAGCTTGATCATCCAACTTATCTTAAGGTTAGATATATATATTTTTTTAATATGCTAGTAAGAAATTTGTTATTATTAAAAAATTAAAAAGACTTTAGGAACTTTGACGATGAATTCATATAAAAGCAAACTAAAAACACCAAAAGATCTTGAAAGGGAGTTGAGAGATAAAAATGAGTATGGCGATGAAGAAGAAGATGAGGAAGAAGAATTGAATAAAACAGAATAAATTAGAAGTTTAAACAAAGAAATAGAATAGCTAAAAATAGAAAAAGGTGAAATAGCTGTGCATTTAGAAAAGGTTTAAGCTATGCTTCGTATTTAAATTGAAACTGCTTAACAACGTGAAAAGATTTACTTGGTAGAAAAAGAAGCTTAGGAACTTAAATATAAGGCTTTACTGGAAAAGGCTTAAGAGCTTGCAGAAATAACCGATATGAAAGGTAATTAATTTGATTAATTATTATTTAATTTTCAGTATTTAAATTAAAGATCAATTTTAAAAAAGGATTCTTATAAGGAGAGTAGAAATAAGAGTTAGATCTTTAAAATGTTCAATTACATAGAAAGGGTAACGTGGATTATACTGATAATGTATCTGAGTTTTCAGATGATGAAGATACATAAATAGATGAAAGTAATTTATTCTTTAAGGAAAGCGCATTTTATTTAATGTTTTTATTTTTTTATTTAGGTAAAGGTTAAAATTTCTTCGATATGTGGGTAGGCACATGCTCTATATATGGATAAAATCTTTCTAAAGCTACACAAGGAAGGATATCAGAAGATGATAATATTTTAGTGTTTTCTACTATTGATTTCTATGATCATGAAACTTAGACAACTCCTGTTTGCGAAGGTAAAAATAAGTAGGAATTACTAAAATAATTTAATTTTAATTAAAATCAGGTAAAAGCTGCTACTTCAACTTCTAATGTTCTTACAAAGTGAATACTAAAGGAGCATTTTTACATTATTTAGAAACTGGTTCTATTAGAATAGAAGTATATTCAGTTTACCACTAGGATGCTATATTAATTGGATAAGCTGATGTTAATTTAGATTTCTTATTTAAGAACAATAAGAAAGACAAAATTTCAGCAGTGCTCAATCAAAGCATTTCTTTAACACACCATGGTATTGTTACTGGTGAAATTAGTATTAAAGCAAGAGTTAGAAGACCAATTTCAAACCAAATTCGCTTTTATATAGAAAGTAAAAACAATGAACTAGAAAAGTTAGAAGTAACATAAATTGTTTTTAATTAAAAGTAATTATTTTTTTTTATTTTTAAATCTAGGAACTTGAGCACAAGTAAAAAATAGCTTATGAATAAAACAAACCTTTTGATGAGCTTGAAGGATATTAGGACAATACTACAAAGAGAATATTAGTTATTGCCATAGAAAAAGGTCAAGGATTTGACCCTAAATCTACTACATTTGTTTATTACAGCATCTAAGGCAAGGATTACTATACTAGGTCTATATAAGGCTCATAACCTATATACGATCACCATTAGAAAATCGAGATTACAAACGTTTCTTAATTCTTAAATTAAATTTCTAAAATACCACTTTAGTTCTACGTATTCGATGATCTATAGCCTTTTTCAAATGAATAACAAGATAACAATGATTGTTTAGGTAAATATAAATTAAAATTGATAGGGATTTATATATATATGTTTAAAATTTAAAATTAGGTGTTGCTACTGTGTAACTAGATGGTTTGAATAAAAACCAAATTGTTGATGCAGTTATTCCTATCAAAGACGAAAAGAAAGAGAAGAGAGGAACAATTTATGCAAAAATATTCTGGTATGAATACTAAGATAATTTAGAAATTTAGTCTCGTATTGGTGAAAATCTTATGGCTAAACAGTGGGAAAAAGAATTTGTGCTAAAATTAGCAAAGGCATTAAAATAAAGACATTTAAATACAAGTAATGGTTTCATGATTTTTGATCGTAACAATGATTCAATTATAGATTAAAATGAATTTGTTAGCAGTTGCTTGGGTACTTTAAATATGACTGAATTTTCTAGGTAATTTTATTTTTTTATAAATTAATTTTTATCAATTAAAAAAAAAACTAGGGATGAAGTTATCTATTTCTATGAAAAATAGAGATAACCTTTCAATAGAGATGCATTTGAGGCTTTATTGAGACCCTATTTAATAGAAGATAAACAGAGAATTTAGTATTTAGAGGAAATTAATCTGCTTTAAAAGAACGTAAACAGAAAGGATGAAGAAGATTAATAATAAGCCTAATTGTTTAATTTACAATAGATGCAGAAAGAGTAGTTTATCAAAAATAATATTTAAATGTATGATAATAGCAATTAATCTCTTAAAGAATTCTTGTAAAAGAATACAGAAACCCTCCTTGATTAATCTAGAATAGAAGCAATCAGAGAAATGGTATCTGATATTATAATCAATGAAATGAGAACAAGAAGTGCTATTGATGTTTTCTCTGAAATAGATTCAGATAACAATGATGAAATTGATGCAAATGAAATGTAGTAATGGTTATTAAGATATGGTTTAAGAGCAACACCAGATGAGATTAGAAAATTCTTAAAAACATTTGATGTCAATAATAACAATACATTAGACCTTATTGAGTTTATGAAGTATGTACAAAAGGAGTCTAACGCAAGCAGAATTTTATACTATGAGAAATACCCAAAACTTGAAAGAGCAAACGTAGATGACAAATTTGGAAGCTATAATTAGAGTACCGTTGTTTCGGATGATCAAATTATTCACGATATAGAAGAAAAAATATTCAAATACATGATTGATAAAAAGCTTAAGATATTCGATTTACACCACCAGATTGATAAAGATAAAAATAATTCATTGGGAAGATAGGAGCTAAGCACTTTCTTCAAAAATAAATTTGGAATTTAGTTAACAAGAAGAGATATGGATGTTGTTTTCTAGACGTTTGACAAAGATAAAGACGGATAAATTTCATTAAAAGAATTTGTTGAGCATCTTAAAAATGCAATAAATATAAGAAAATCTCTTAAGTAACTAGCTAATTTCTAATTAATATAAAGCAAAAATTTTATAAATATTTTATTTCTTTTAATTAAAGGTAATTAAGAAGTTCATAACACTAGAGTAACATATCTCCTTAAAAGTAATTTATTATTGTTTTAGAAAATTAATAAAGTTATTAAATTAAATCCATAAAGGAGTGCTATAAGACTTGGAGGTGATGATGATGAATTTAATAGAACTACTCAATCTAGATTCTAAAAATCTATTAAATTTAAATAATGATTAAATTATGTTTTAAATAAATTATTTCATTCATTATTTGTATGTATAATATTGTTTTAGGTTTAGATATTAATTAACATTCATTTATTATTTTCTTTACAATTAAATATTTTTACTGAAAAATTAATTATTTCTTTCTTTCTCATAGATAAATAGATCTTTAAATAAAATTTTATTATTCATAATTATAGCAATTAATTTTTTATTGGTTTTTATTAGAATAACTGTCTTAAATTATTAATCAGTACAAGAATTTTGTATTCTTTAATTAAAAAATAATATCTATTACTCATAATCATTTAAAAAAGCAGGATAATTACAATTTTTAAATTAGAAATATGTATCATAGTAGTCTAGTAAATCAAGTAAAAACCTTATATTAAAATAATCACCAATACTTATTTAGTATATTTCTTTATTCTCTATAAAGCTTCCAAGTAAATCCGTAAAATGGGATACTAAGTCTTCTACATCAAAATGTTCAAATTAATCAAAATTTTCATCTAGCTTTTTGTATGATAGAAGTGTAAGTGATGTAAAGAGTGTTCAGAGCTCAGGTATTAAAAACAAAATTTATTATATTTTGGTTTTAATAAATAGTCAAATATGTAATAAATTATAGTTACCTAATCAGTAAAATCTAAGCCATATAAACCATTAAAATCCAAAAGAGTAATTAGCATTATTTAGATATGCTGGTTAAAAGAAATTAACTTCTCTTTAAAATAGGTTCACAATTAAGCAATATAAGAAGAGTTGAGAAACGTTTATGAAAAGTATAACACAAAGGAAATAGATGAAGTCTAACTAAAAAATGAATTGAAGCATAAATTATATATTAAATTGAATGATGATGATCTTGATAGAATGATAAGAAACAATGAGTTTAATTATAAATCACTAATTAAAGTAATCAAAGATTTTCATTTTAGCAATTTAAAAATGTTTTATAATTCTTGAATATAGATCTGTGAAAAAGATTATACTAAATCTAACTAGCCTATTACAACCAATTAAGAATATTTCTAAAAGTAAAATGAAGCACAGGTACTTTAAAAATTTAAATGCTTAATTATTTATTTATTTAATTTTAAATAAAAATTTTATAATACAAGGTATAACATTCTTAAAATCTTTGGTAATATAGAAGATCTTAGGAAAAGCAGAAAGGTGAATTAAGAGTAGATGATTACGAGCAGAAAAAAATAGATGATTATAAAGAATATCTAAAGAAATATTAGTCTCCTGTAAGGTTTGATGCTTTAAATAAAGTAGATTAATTCTCTAAGGGACTATAAAATAAAGAAGAACTATTGAAAGATTTGTAAAGATATGAATTAGACTTAAAAGAAGTAAGTGTTTATTTATTTTTTAAAAAATGTAAGTTTTATTTAATTTGATAAATATAAATAGATTAAAGATTCTAAAGTAAGAGCTGAATAAAATATAGAATCAACTTATATTAAGAATAAAATATTGCATTAGTTTTAGTAATTTTTTGAGTTTTAAATTCAGTCAAATTAAAAATATTAATTTGTCTAGATAATAAGACTTATCTAGCATTAAATATTCACCAGCAAAGAATCCTAAATAATTTGTAGAGAACACTTCATCACTTTTTAAGCCTTTTAATGAAGCAGATAGTATTTATATAATAATTTAAAATATATTTATAATAATCTTTAAAATAAGATATCAAGCCAAAGATCAAAAACACTTAAGATGATGAGAATAAAGCTATATTTAGTAGCAATGGTATAGTAAAATTAAGAACTTTAGGAAATGGATAGTTTTGTGAAAATGCAAGAGACAATGGAAATATAATTACTTGGCATACTTCTTAAGAAGATTATGTCAGAATTAATAAATAAAAATAATAGGAAGTAGAAAAAAATAGGTTAAGGTAAAATAGCATCATATATAATAAAATTCGATTAAATACAATATTTTTATTTGAAATATATTCAAACTATTTTAAATAGTTTATAAAATTTATTGAAAAAATTTAATTTAAAATGATAAGAAAAATGAAGAGTTGTGAATTTTTCCATTCAGGATTAGAAAGTGTTAATAATTAGCTTGTACCTTCTGTGAAAAAAAATCCTTATTAAAACGAAAACTAAAAATACGATTAATTATAAGAAAAAGTTGTATAATAATTTAAATAGACAGGTTAAATTGATAAATCAGTAATAGGAGATATTAAAAAGTAGTAAGAGAGGTGTTTTGTTTATGATGATTATGTCACTCCAGTCAAAATAAATTACTCTCATAGATATAAAAATAAGTAATAAATTTCATTAACTTCAAAAACATTTATTTAAATTGAATATAAAATAGTTATTAAGGGGTGAATATTATAACTTGGCAGTGATTATTTCAAATAAATATTTTTAATCATCTTACTAGCTTATAAAAGCAATGAATATTAATTAATTATTTAAAACATGTGTTTATTTATTTATTAATTTATTTTTATTTTTAAAAGATTTAAAAGTTTGTATGAATTGTTCATTCAATATAAAAATATTAAAATATTTAATGATAGTATTATTTATTTAACAAAATAAATTCAAAATTAATTTACAAATATTTTTTTTTACCTATTTTAGCTGATATAAATAATTATTCAATTATTTAAAATATAAATAGCATTCAAATATTTTGAACATAAAACTCAGTATTTTAACTGAGTACTTTCTGAATCAAAAATCAAAAAGGCTAATCGTATTTACATTTTATTTTATATTTTTTAGTACCAAATTAAGTGGAAAGGTAAATTTTAAATATTTTCAAGAGAAATATATATTTCAAGTAAAATGGTAATCAATCCTTAATTTTCTTATCTTTAATTAAGTTACATATTGTGTAATTTGATTATTAGATTAAGAATGTAAGCTAAAAAATATAAATTATAGTTCAAAGAATATAAATAAACAATAATAGTTAATATATAATATACTTTTAATAAATAAATAAAATTGAAAAAATGGTTGGTTAGTTTGTTGATTGGTTGGTTGGTTGGTTAGTTTATTTTTTAAATTATTTAAAACTTATTTAGGCTAGTTTAGTTTTAATTGATATAATTATTGTTAAAACAATTTTGTGAAGATTTTGAATTAAATTTGTTAAAAGGCTAAATTTTTCAATAATTGATTGATCAGTTTAATTTTATTTGCATTCCCTTGAATTGAATGTAATTAAAATCTATATTTGTAGATGAGTATTTATCTTTTTCTTTTATTCTATTTTCACTGTCAATTAATTTAACAGCAACATGCTTGCAGTTAAAGTAGTTCATTCTTCTGAATTGTAAGCAAATGTAATCTATATATTCAGCTGTGTATTAAACCCAAGCTATAGGCTATAGCTATTATTTATCTTCATTTTCCATTTCCTATAATTCTTAATTTTCTGATTCATCATTTTAATTAGAAAAAACAGCAAATTTAAATTCAGTTTACTCAATATCAAAATATCTAGATTATGATTTAAATATTTTAATGTTAGTGTCAACTATTTTAAGATTCTTTTTATTAATGATTTTTTCTAAAGTATATTCATTATCTATGTCATTAAAGTAATCTAAATCAGGATTTTTTTCAACTTTTATTCTTTTATTACTGCCAAAAAGCATCAAAGTTTTTACTGGACATGAGAAAAAACCTTCTCTGCTAATTTAAACTCCTGTGAGTATATTGATAGTCTCGTTACAAAGCACGTTTTATGTGTCTTCAATATAGTTTTCATGAACTGAAAGATTTATTTGTTTACACAAGCTAGTTTTTTAATAAAGGTCAATTGCAATTTTTAGCAGTCCTTTCATTTACTCATGATTAGCTCTAAATTACTTTATTTTATTAGTAAAATTAATAAAAATTTCAGAAAAAAAAAATAAATAATTTAAATAAAAATTAAAATAATTAATTAATAAATTAATTAATTACATTTTAATTCATGCAAGATACTCTATACATTTTGTCAACTTATTCAAACTCTTCAAGACTAAATCCGTAAAAGATTCTCTTAATATAATTCTATTAAATAAAATATAATTGAAATTTTTCTGAAAAGGATAAATAAATATATAGATTAGGTGAATAAAAGCTTTAAAATGGATATTTTGAAAGTAAAATATTCTTGATAAAATGTTATTAAAAAAAATATTTACAAATGAAAAAGCATCTCCATTGAAGTTGAATTTTATATAGTTGCTAATACTGCAAACCATATCATCAATAGACTTGAAGTTTTTCAGATAGGTTGAGTATATATTCTTACTATCGCTAAGTGTTGAACCAGCAATATTCACATTTTTAATTCCAAGCTTTGAGCATATAGACCAAAGCCCTTTTATAAAAGCAGTGTCAACCCAATATTCATGAAGCTAGTCAAATCCTCCGTTACTTGCATATCCATAAAAAGCAATTGGGTTATTTATTTAAGAAGGAATTAAGAGAGTTTTGATAATTTTTTCTTCAGATAAGTTAGAACTAAAAGGTAAAGAAAAACCAGTACTTCTCTTAAAAATCATTTTTATAAGGTTGCTTCTGAATTGGTTATTTTTGGATATTAATTTGTAAAATTCTCTGCTTGTGTGATTTAAAACACAAAATATGTCTCTCAAATCCAAAAATTTCATTATGTTCAACAAAACTTCTATTGGCTATTCTTCAATTAATATTCTCTTCCATACATATTCTTGTAAAGGATGTTCAAAAATATCTGAGTAGGTGGATGGTTAATCACAAAGGTCAAATTCTAATTCCATTTAAATTTTTAGATAAAGTAGTTAAGATTGTATAATTTATATTTGTTATTGTATAAAGAGTTGTAGGAAGTGAGTAGGAGTTCGTTAAATTATATTATTTATGCAATAAGTAGGCTTTGCGAACTTTGTTAATCGTTATTAGTTAGATAGATAGATACTAAAGTCTTTAACAAATTATTGAATTATATGATATTTATTTTCTTTTTGTTTTTTTTTGTTTGGAATTTAATTACTAATAAAAAACACTATCTAATTCTTAATAAATTCATAAATAACCAGTTGTTTCTTTCTTTGTTATCATTGATATTTTATCAATATTAATCAATCTATTCTTGAACCTATTATCTATTTTCTCAAATTTTATATTTTCTGAGGATGACATTCATTAAAGCTCTTAAGTAAAACTAAGTCAATCAAAAATTTTTTTGTTTGTCACCCTTAAATTTGTTATGAAATCAACTAAAATAAGAAGCTATTTAACCACAATTATAATAAATAAAATGCATATTCTATTTTTGTATTTTTTATACAAAGTTAAAGCATCTATAATTTTTGTTTAATCTACCAGCTCTTTCTATTTTTTATACTCTTTATATTAACTTTTGTTATAGAAAGCTTAAAAAAAAAAAGATTCAACAAAATTTGCAAATTAAACACAAAATAAAATTTTTAAGTTAATTATTCTTACCAAAAATTTTTAAAAGTTTCAAAGTTTTTTAATTTGAATAAGATTCAAACAACTAATTAAATCAAAGTATTTTTAAAAATACTTAATAAATAGAAATATAGAAGAATTTATATTTGTTGTATTTATTATTTAAAGAATAGTTTAACTGAATTTTCCATAAGTTATTATATTTTTTATGAAACATTTAAAAATAAAACTGTTCTTAATAAAAATAAAATAAATTTATTTTTAGATATAAAGTGATTCAAATATTTTAAAAGAAGGGCTGAGCTCGTTTTAATAATTATGTTCTTAAATCTTCTCTGAAATAGGTAGAATAACCTATCTGATCTAGGAAAGATATCTTAAGCTCTATTTTTTTTTGTTAAATCAAAAATAAATTTGATTAGTAAAAATTTGGAAGTAAGTAAATACTTCTTTAATTTTTATTACTTTTTATAAAAAATAAAATAGAAAATTATGAAAAAATAAATAAAAATAAAGAAACTATAATTAGAATCTATATTAATTAAAAACAGAAATATTTTAATAATTTTTATAATCGATAAAGAATTTCTTTAGCATATTACAAATAGATAATAATATATGCATGATACATAATAATAATAATAATAATAATAACATTTGAAATAACTTTCATAATTATTTGAAAGTAAAATTATAATATAATATGAGTTAATTAATTAACTAATTAAGATTATTATTCTAATTAAATAAATACTAATACTATGAGTAAGTATTTGTGATTTATTACAAGTAAGCAAGCGATTAAATAAATAAGCAAGAAAGTAAGTAAGCAAGCAAGCAAGAAGTATCTATCTTAAATAATTAAATATTACAAGATGTTATGAAAATGGTTAGAGGTAAAGAAAGAAGAAAGAAAATTATTGAAAGAATATTGTGAATATTTGGTCATATAAAAGCTTATTTTATTTATTAAGATTCAATTTCGTTTTTCTTTTATGTTTATTTATTTATTTAATTAATTAAATGGTAGATTAGCGGTTTAATTTATGGTAGAATTTATTTTGTTAATATATTTTATAGCTTGATAGGAAGTGAAGTTGGTAATTGCTGATTGGTAAGATGAATGGTAAAGATGAATCATAATGTATGTATGATTTTGGATATCCAAAGATCAGTTAGATCGTCATTCTTCGTCACGGTGCTGTCCTTTTAAGAGTTCCATATACTTTTCTTCTTCTTTGAAATATCTTTAGAATTTATCGTTGTTTTTATCATCATTGTATTGGTTCAGCTTCTAATTAATATTCATATTGTTAGTAGGATTAACCATCATCATCATCTATCCGCTGTTTGGATTTAATTGTGAATTGACTTGCTTTGGAATATTCGGTTACTGTGGTTGTGTTTACTTGCGTACCTAATTAATTTAATTTTGCGAAGAAGATTATTAAGAAGACTAAGAAGTTGATTATTAAGATGCTTAAGAAGATAATTAACTAGTATTTGTAGTGTTATTAATATTATTATTTTAGTTTTATCCAATCTTTACGCCACCAGTGTTACTTATAATTTAACTGGAAGGCTATTATTGAGGTTACAACAAATTTTACTGACCTTGTTAAGATTGAAGAGGAGTACTTGATCCACCTTGGTTCAACACCACTTTCTTTATAAGCTTATTAGGACCTGCTTTTGCTGCATTATATCTCGAATAACCAGATTTTATTGGCTAGTTATTCTTAAAAGTTTAATTGAAATTTTACTGAGGGCCTTTAGAACTACTTCTCTATTTATTCAAATCATTCTGCTTTTGTTGTTAAAGCAATAGTTGTTGCTATTACTATTGCTATTATTATTGCTCTGCATATTACTGTGCTAATCTAATAGCAGTACTCTTAGCAAGTTTTTTTAACTACTGATTTCTATTATTGTAGCATCCAAGCAAACTGCTGTAAGTACTATTTTAAGGTAGCTTGATTTAATTCCCTTTAAAAATCAAATCAAATCCTCCTATTTATTCTTCTTAACCTGTTAAACTGTTTATGAATAAAAAATTTTATGAAAATGCTAAGCTTTTTTAATTTTATACATTCTTTCAATATCGATTATTGTAAAAGTATCATCTAGGACACTTATTTTTAATTCGCTATCAACTTGTGTATTTGCTGTCATTGAAGGACTATTTATTTTTAAAACAAAAAATATTTTCAACTGAAAAAAGGGTTTTTTTTTAGAAATAAAAAATGATTTTTAATAATAAAAAAAATGTTTGCATTATAAAAATGAAAAAATTACCTTGCATTAACTTCTAGCAGCCATGGCTTAAGCTATGCATCAAAGAGAATATCAAATCCATATAGCTCAAAGCATCTTTTATCGTTAATCATAACTTTTTAAACAGCCTATAAAGCCTTTATGATTATTTACTGAATTTAATAAAAAGCCTCACTTACTTTTTCTTATCCATATCTATAAAGTTTTATGAATGAAAATTATTTTTGTGAAAATCAATTAAATTATTTTTTACTTAGAAATCAAATATAATTTTAATGTTTGAAGTAACCATTTTCCACCAAGTTTTTCGTCATAGTTTTCTGATGTTTTCTAAATGGCAACATTTGTTAAATGTACATCTATTAAAATTTGATATTATTTAGTTCAATATTTGGTTTAATTTTATGTTTACATGCATTGCTAATATCCTCTAAATCGTATCTGTGATGAGTAAATCTTGCAAAACCTGTTCTGTAAAGGTATACAGTAAGAGGTTAGTAAGAAACGCACAAAGCATATATTCTCATATCAAATTTTTTTCCACCTATCAAAAGAGGATCTGCTATATACTTTTACACTACATATGGATCAGCCTATAAAATAAATACTTAGTTTTTAAATTAAATTTGAGTATAACAATTACTTAAGGGTTATCAGGATTATATCGATATGTGTTCTTCCAGTTTCCGATTTCTTTTATATTTCTAAATAAGAAAATACCCTTTCCTTATGCTTTTCCTATCTTAATTTATAAAGAAATATTGCTTATATATTTTTTTTATGTTTATTTGATAAAATATTACAGGCTTCATAATCCAAAGTTGCTTGGAATCACTCATAGAATTTACTTTCTTGAATTCTTCACAAAAAATAGAATATTCACTTGGCAAGTTATATGTCAAAGGAGTAAAATTGTATCTGTTAAAAAAAATTGAATTTTAAAAAGTAATCCTAACAATTGTTAAATTGAATACAATGCCGCTTCTTCCAATTTATTTTCTTTTTCTAACGTCTTCTTGTATTTCTTAATATTTTTGATCAGCAAATCCTTTCTACAAAGCTATTTTTAAAATATTTCATTAATATTTATGCTTTTTTTACAATTAAAGTATAAATTTTCTTTCATTTCAGTTGACGTTGAAACTGCAATAATAAACTAACTAATTAATTAATGGCTTTACTTCTGAAAAATTTCTATAGTGATTGACTCTCTGGTTTGAAGAAACGTGAGCATGATCCATAACATCTAAAATCCATTCCTTTTCAGCCCAATTTAAATCCCAATCATCGAACTCTGCTTCTTTCCATTACCTTCTTTTCATGGATTCTAAAATGCAATTTTTGAAAGTAGTTTTAAACTTAATGCTAGACCTAATTGAGATATAGAAAAATTAATAAAGCATAAAGTTAATTGCACTTAATCGCAAATAAAACTTAAAATATTTTATCTGCTTATCTACATAATTTTAATAATAAAGCTGCTTACGGATGAACAGGATAATGCTCCTTTTTAATGTATTTCCTAAAATATTCTGACATTTCGCTCTATAAAAATCAACTGATATTCTTGCTTTTATGTTATGAAGTTAAAATTTTTAATTAAATTACAAACTTTTTAGAAAATTAATTAATTTTTTTATAATTCAAAGAATGTTTGTAATTTGTTTATATTTAATTATAATAAGACAACGAACGGATAATGAATAAGAAACAAAGACTTTTCTATATCAAACAACTATTTTCTTTTTGCAAAGTTTTTAACAAATTAGTTTAAATAAATATTATTGAATTCTAATATATTTTTTAAAAATTTAATTTAACATTAAAAATTAATTCCTCAAAAATATTTTTTAGTCAAAAAATGCTCCTTCAGCTATAGTGAGAGTCTGAGAATAACTCAGCTAAATCTATTACACTTAAAATTTTGTAAAAATTAGAGCTTAAAGGAAGTGGCTACACATACTTTTAAGTAGAACTCCTTTAAGCATAATATAATTTTATATACTCTTTGAGCACATTTAAAAATCCATTTTAGTAATGAAAGTCATCCATTAGATGCTAATCTTTTCTCATAAAATAGTAAAGTAAACATTGCTATTCCCAATTATATAAATTGCAGTTTTAAGCAAGAAATTGAGGTAAAACATTGTAGAGCTCTTTAAAAAGATGCTCTATATTTTGCTGATTTATATATTCTAAAAAATCTATTACATCGTCGACTTAAATAAAACTTTAAGATGCTATTATAGCGAATCTGTTAAGTTTGTCATCTTTGTACTACCTGATAATCTGAGTATTTTTCAAATCATTTAGAGTGAATAATTAAATTTTTTCGTATGAACTTTCCAATATCAATTAATCAATAATTTCAATTATTTATTCTGTATTTTATACATCAAGCTAACTTAAACTCTATAGTAATATGTTAAGGTCCGATAAACTAAGTGAATTAAAATCGTAATTCTACAATTTACTTTCTATTAAATTATCTAGATTTAGAGAGAGCTAATTTTAAGATTTCAAAAAAATAGCTATTGCCATCATTTTTATAAGATTTTAATCAAACAATCTTTAAAAATCTAAATTTTATAAAAAATTATTCACAGTCTAGCTGTAGTAAGAATTTATTGAAAATATAAAATTTATGTTGATAATATGAGACAAGTCTTAATCACTTAAAGTGGTTGTTTTATCCTTTATAATGTTTATAATTTAATAAAATCCAAAATCAATTAGTTTAATAAACTGTTCGTTAAGCATGTTTTCTTTCAAATATATATTAGCTATCTCGTCAAGCTATTCAAGTTTATACTGGTATTACTAATCAAGGATAACAATTGACATGATATCTCTTAATTTTATTAAAGTCTTCTTTATCAATTCTATTTTATACTCTTCCTTAACTTAAGATTTTATAAAAGAAACCCCCTTCAAAATTTTATACACCTAAGTTCCCTAAATCTCAAATCTATCGTGTAAGATTGAATCACATAAAAGTATCCACATTTCCTAATTCTAATAGTAACCTAAGTTCTACAAACTCTCAGTCAAGCATCCTAAATAAATATCTTCTTCAAAGTCTAATTTTTATATTCTCTGTTAAATTTTTTGTATTATACTATCTATGCCATAAATACTTTTATAGGATTTTCCTTAATCAAGCTCACTTATTCGGAGCATTATTTTTATTTACTCATTTAAAGTAAGCTTCTATCTTCTAGAATTAAATAAATCGAGAAGCTTCTCCTTACTCTGCATATTTAGAACTCCAAATCTATCATTAAAATCTTTATATTTTTTCATTTTGTTGAGTATCAGCTCTGTCTATTATGCTGTAACATTAACTAACTATGCATTTTATCTTGATCCCTAACAGAATAAATATTTTAAAGATTATTTTATTATCAATCTCATATCTACTTTATCTAATTATTATTTTCTTTTTTATCCTTTAATTAATAAAATGAGTAATTTCTTATGAAAATTTCAGAATAAACCAAATATTTAATTTTATTTACCAATCAATAAAAAAACAATTTATTTTTATAATAATTTAACAAAGCTATTAAGAATTAGATAAAATTAATTAATTTTTATATTTCCAACATTCTATTGTTAAAAATTAATATTATTTGCAAACAAACATAAATTATTTTAAAAGACATAATTAATTTTATATTTTATTATGATTTTATTTTTTTTAGATTCTTAGAAATAATATCTCATTAATTGATTTTCTTTAATTAAGATTAAACATAAGAGAAAACATATTGAGCTCTAAAATCTGAAATCCATTTGTCGAAATTTTGCTATATGGTAGTTCTGGTATTTTAGAGTGCTTAAGAATCAGATGCTTTAGGATAAGATAATTCTACTCCGTGAGCACAGTTATCACAATCGCTGACGATAGCAATCATACCATTTTTACTTTTAGTAAGAGAAGCCCATTACCAAGGATCTTCGCTTCCATTAGTAAAAATAATATTAGTGGCTAATAAGTTCAATCCACCATAAAATCCATTAACCTCGTCTGGTTTAGGAACATAAACTAAAAATTAAATAAAATAACATTGAAATTAATTAAGAGCTTAAATAAAAAATAATTAAATTTACTAGGTCCAAATGCTTGAGTGCATTATCCTTCGAAAAAGCTAATTGAATTAGTGCTACTTCTCATAGCTTATCCAGCTTACTAACTAGGAGTTTATAACCAGCCAAAATAAGAACAATATTAATATAACCATTAACGCATATTATCAGAATCTTATGTTTTCTTAGGACTATTGAGGAAGTTTTAAGAATATATTGTTGCATTAGGGAAGTTATTATTCTGAGTCCAGTAACCAATCAAGTTTGCTTTTTAAGTTGCGTAGTCTGCAGTATTGAAAATGTTGCAAAGATCAGTTCTTTATCCATACTATACAAAAGAAGCTAAATTATCAGGAATGAAGAACAAAAATTCATCAACAGAAAGTTTTTCAGATTAAAATTATTTTAAAAGAGCTGCCTAAGTATTAGGATTGCTGACTTCATCTTAAATTGATTAAATAAAAGATTAAATATTTTATGGGCATTATTGACCAGACTTTAAGGTGCTCACATAGATCTAATTATCATATTACCAGAAATCCTCGATAGCATTCACGACAGCACTAGAAGCAAGAGCGCCTACAGTTAAATGGGGATATTTGTATCTGAACCAAGCACTTAAAGCACCTGGATATGATCCACCAACAGTGATAAAAGGATTCATTTCACTTACTTTGAAAGAATTCTATTATATAATTGTTAATTTGTTTATTTATTTTTAAAAAATAAAATAAAATTTTTTAAATTCAATTTAATAAAAGCTTTATTAATTTATTTATCTATTCAATAAATATCTTTTTTTTGTAATATTTTTTAACCCTCATAATAAAAAGTTTTGATATGATTTATAATTATATACACAGAGCTTCATTTTTGTGCATTTGTTATTATTTAAATGAAAATGATAGCAAATAAAAATAATGATTACATCAGCAAAAAGATTCTTTTTGACTTAGCTAATGAAATAAGCAGTATCAGCAAGAGCTTAATCGTGAGTGAGATATTTTAAATTTTAAGTTGAAAAGGAATCAACAGTATCACTTTAAGGGAAAGGTTAAGAGACACCATAGAATCTATGCTCTAAAGAAATAACTAAAGCATTGTAAGTTTAAGCTAATTACACAAGCCAACCTCTTCCAGGTGAAATACCTTTCATTTAACTTTCTCCTCCAATTGAAATAAAAACAGTACCATTAAGAGGGTTCCAATATTGAGAGAATGTGCAAAATCTTTATTACCAAATAACATCTTACGATTGTGGATGGAGATGGTCTAAAATTTAATTAAATCTCCATTCTTATTAAGTAATTGTAACTCCTTAAGCTATTGTAGTTTGGAATTCATTCTAGCCTAAAGCTAAACTGAGTGTGATAGCTAAAATAAAAATAGCTTTCATTTGATCAATTTTTAAAAATACTAATATTTCTTTTACTTAATATTTATATAAAATAAATAAGGTTATATTGATAAAAGAAATTTAATTAAAATATCCAAAAAGAACAAAAGATTTTTGAGTTTTATTATCTATCATTCTTACTAATTTATTTCTTTTATAATTAAATTGATTAATTAATAAAATTAAATTGCAATCAAATTTTGTATTTTTTCATCTTCAATAATATTATTATTTAGTTTATGAAAAATTAAACATTTATCAAGATAATTTTATATTAGATTTGGGGTTGGGGTTGGGGTTGGGGTTGGGGTTGGGGTTGGGGTTGGGGTTGGGGTTGGGGTTGGGGTTGGGGTTGGGGTTGGGGTTGGGGTTGGGGTTGGGGTTGGGGTTGGGGTTGGGGTTGGGGTTGGGGTTGGGGTTGGGGTTGGGGTTGGGGTTGGGGTTGGGGTTGGGGTTGGGGTTGGGGTTGGGGTTGGGGTTGGGGTTGGGGTTGGGGTTGGGGTTGGGGTTGGGGTTGGGGTTGGGGTTG